GGTCAGTCTGAGTCCCCAGCATCGACCCGTAGAGTACCCTCCTAAAATAGGAACTGCCTATAACCCCCATCCCCCAGAACCCCATATAACCCCTAATCCCCAAACTCCCGGAACTCCCAGACCAGCCTATAACCTCTAAGACAGGTGTTAGGGGTCAGCCCCAAGTCGAGGGGGTTAGTGACAGGAATTGGGGGTTAAGGGGGCTAACCCCTCAGGGGGTTAGGGGGTTAGGATGGTTTTCGGAGGTTATCCATACTAGAAAGTCCCTCAAATCTATGAATGCATCGGCGCATCATGAACAGCAAACAGAGGCGCGTCTAATGCGCTTGGGATCTCAGACATAACTCATGATTAGGTCAAGCTTAATTGCGAGTCGTCGCCCATTATGGGGGCCGCCGCAGGCTCGTTTCATCGCCGCAAACGTTGGCAGCGCCATCGCGACGTCGTTGCCGCGAGAATTCGGGTCCGGAACAGTTGTGATAACGTGTTGCGACAAGGATTTGTATGGCACTGTACAACGGTGGGGGAGTTACTCTTTATAAACGTCTTCCATCTCCTCAGTTGCCAAGTCGTTCCAACTCAAAGCAGTAGGCGTCGGAGCGGGAGCACGACTATGCTCCAAAATGATGAACAGGCTCGGTATTAGCGCTGTCAGTGGCACGGCTTGGTTGTATCGACCGTCCCGGGCGTCGGATGCTCCGAGCAGTGAGCCTTGGGGGCGCCATCGCTGGGGTTCATGACATTGACAGCGCTACGCCAGCTCTGCTGTGATGACTTGACAGGCCTACGCGACATGTGCTTCACTGTCGAGCGGGCTTGCGGGGTGCCTGTACATTGCCCGCCGCTTGAAGGAGACAGGTTGGGCAAGATAGTCCTCGCCCTCGGCCGCGGTGGAGTGATGCTGCACCCGCGCAGCCGAAAGGCGTCGAGGGTAGCAGACGTCCTGCCCTTCTTTTGTGCGGCACTCGAGGTCTGCTCCACGATCCGAATTGGCCTGCGGGCTTCTCTTAGCCACTGGAGAACTATGACTTGAGCCTACTGAACCCGTCAGCATTCGCGGAGGTACGGCAGCCAGGACAGCATGGTATTCGTGACAAAGGCGATAGCATTGGTGCATCAGCGTCGAGAGCGGAAGCCGTCTTCCGAACACAGGAGGTGACAAGTCTCATCGCCCGAGCGGTGTAAGGCTGGGTAAGTGGCAAAGGCGGCGTCAGCACAGCGCTCTCGGGGACGTCGAAGTAAGCCTTCCGTGTGGCTGGTACATACGCGGCCTCCACATCTCGCGCAAGCCAAGGAGCCGCTAGAGGGGTCGATTGGTGGGTATGCAGTCCGAGTCCAGTTATCGCGCCGTTGCCGTGATGACAGCCAGTCGGCGTGCCAGGCCAGCTTCGTCAATATTAGTGTTGTTGCCGCTGTAGCCCCGATGTAACATTCGCGCCGACGCCACCGCTTTCTGGCACTCTGTTCACAGTCTGGCCAATCGGCTGCATCGACGGCGGCGGCAGCGGCGGCGCGGGAGTTGTGTCCGCGATCGGCAACTCGGAAGCGCCTCGGAGAGGTGCGGCAAGCTTCGGCCCTGAGCTCGCCCCTCGGGCCATTACCGGGCCAACTCTCGGCGACTAAGTGTGGGCTGGCGGCGTTCTGTTTCCCGATGACCAGCAACAGCGTCTTTTGCACACATGCATGTTATACTTTTGGTTAATGACTATAAGAACAAGATGATTGAAAGAGTTCGTGTTACAACAATGTCTGTTGGAAGACGCGCTGTGCCAGCTGAAACTTTGTTGCTGGGCAGAGTGTCTGTTGGGAGACGACCCAAGATGTATGCCAAATGCCTAATGACTTAATGAATGCCTGTTGGAGACACCTCCGCGACGGCGCTTGTTGGAAAGCAGCCGGACGGATGAGCTCATGCTGTGATGAGATGAGAATGCTAAAGCCTGCTCCTGATTGTGAGCGGCTGTCCTTCGTCTCCCTTCCCCTAACCCCTAACGTCCTCCTCACTTCCCCCGATCCCTAAACCCTTCGTCGCCGGCGCTTACCACCTCGTGACGTCCGCCTCAGCTTCGCCGAACACGCTCTCCTTCTTGACGCCAAAGTCCTTGTCGGCAGCATAGGTGTCGAGGGGGGTGACGCGCTCGCCGTAAAACTGGGGCATCTTGCGGCGCAGCCAACCGTCAATCCAGCCATTGATCGCCTGGAACTCGAGGAGGAAGCCGTCGTGGCCGTCCGGCGAGGGGATGAGGACGAGCTCGGCATCGGGGATGTGCGCAGCGAGCTCGCGCTGCTCGCTCGGCTGGAACAGGCCGTCGCTCTCGATGCCAATGACGAGCGCGGGCGGCAGCTTCGACAGAGCGTAGTGCAGCGCCGCCTCGAGCTCGACGTCGTCGTCCGCTGTCGAGATCGGGAGGGTCGACGAGACAGTGCCACCGAAACGGGACGGGTGCGAGAGGTCGTGCGTGTCGAGCTTGCGCGTAATGTGAATGTAGCAGTTGGCGTCAAAGCGGCCAGTGAACTTGTCGCCCTGGTAGCGGAGGTACGACTGGGCGTTGAAGACCTCGTGGGGAGTACCGCCGGTGCCGAGCTTGGGCTTGCCGTTGGGGACACCGAGGTTCAGGTTTGTGAGAGGTGCGGGGTGACCGTTGCCGTTGCCGTTCGGCAGCTTGCCGTCATCGCTTGTGGACGGAGAAGAGGGCGTGGGCGAGCCCTTCTTGCTGGGACGGTGACCGTCGTTGTGCTCGACCCACGCCGGCGAGCGAACCAGCTCGGCCTCGGATGGCTCGAGGGGGTTGGTCGTCTCGCTTCCACCCATGACGCGCACCCCGCCAGAGGGCACCTTGCTCTTGCGGCCGCCGCCCTTCTTGCGTCCGAAGCGCGACTCGAAGCTGTCGCGAGAGCGGTACGTGAGGAGCGCGGCCATGCGCGCGGCGGCGAGTCCACGAGTCGGCTGGTGGAACAGGTCCACCGCCCCGTCCTCCTTCAGGTAGTAGTATCCGTCCTCATAGTTCGGGTCCGAGTAGATCGATTGGCGCTGCGCCTCGCCCCACGAGATGCACCAGGCCGAGTGACGAGCGCTAGTGGCCAGGGGCACGATCGCATTGACGAAACCGGGCGGCGTGTTCAGCGGCCACTCGAGGCAAGTCATACCGCCCATCGATCCGCCAATCACGGCTGCGACGCTCTTGACGCCCAGCTGCTTGAGCACGGCATAGTGCAGGCGCACGTCGTCCTTGACGGTGCTGCCGGGCATCTCGGGACCGTACGGCTTGCCCGTCTCGGGGTTGGTCGTCACACTCGAGATTGTTCCGTACGGCGAGCCGATGACGTTGGCACAAAAGATGAAGTAGCGGGTCGGGTCAAATGCGCGGTCCGGGCCAAGAAGCGGTCCCCACCTGGAATGTTAGCTTTGGGACCAAAAGTTAAGTGTCGGGTCCACTTTCGGCCGCAAAACTCTACACGTACCAGTCTTCAACGTCGGCCGAGCCGGTGAGGGCGTGGCAAAGAACGAGGCAGTTGTTGGCCTCGGCGTTGAGTTTTCCCCATGTCTTGTAGGCAACGGGAACGTTGTGGAGTGTCTCGCCCGACTCAAAGGTGAAGGACGGGATGACGGCAAAGTCCTGTTGGATGAGGGCGGCGAAGGGGTTGCCTCCAGAGGGGTCGTTGGCTGTGATGGTCAGCGATAAGATAAGCGAGGGAGAGGAAGAATGCACGCACGAGGGTGAGGAGTTGGTGTGGTATTCGTGATTGCTGTTTGGTGTGCCATGATGGTGTGATGAATGGTCTGAATGCAAGAGATGTCGGGAGAATGAAGAGGTATGCAGGAGGAGGATACCTCGACGCAGTGGCCAGAGCAGCGCCAGGGAAGGGGAGAAACACCGGGCTCTATAACGAGCGACTCGACAGCGGCGAATCTGATTGGCTCTCAGCCCGTCCACCGCTTAAACCCGGGTGACTCCCATTCCCTAATCACGACTTCGATTCTGATTATTCGGAGACACCCGTTTCTATTCTTCCATTAGCTTTTCCTCGCCTATGCATAAGAACAGGCTCTTCTGCGCAGTGTGAACTCTACGCTCGTCGCCGCCGGCTACTCTGCACATCTTCATTGCCCACCTTTGGACGTTGTTGCTCGTGACCCAGAGCACTTTCGATGATTGCACACGAGTTGCATCACTGGGTGAAGCGATGGCGTGATTCCAATCTCGGCTTGCTGGGCACTGGCCTCGCTCAGGTGGCGCAGGGTCCCTCACCCAACCAGGGTCATGACTTAGCCGATAACAATCTCTCGTTCTCGGTTTTCTTCGCTTCACCCGATGTTCGTTCTACAGGAGTTGCATACCCTCGTGTGACACTCTCCGTTGCGGAGCAGAGCTTGGCCGCACACTGCAAACGGGCACTCTGCATCGGGCAACCCACCTGTCTCAGATCTTTCGACGTTCCTCGGACACACAGCTATCACCCGACCCTCATCGCCTCTTTGATCACCGATCCGTCCTCTGCACCGCACAGATCTCTCCGCACCTTCGACCTCGCCTTCGCCTTTGATAATAACCGTTTAGTCTGTGCGTCGATGACGTGCTGCGCAATTGGGTGTGTGTACCAGATGCATGAGAGAGAAACAAACAAAATGCCTAATAACCTTCTTCCGCTACATTACAACTTAGCCTTCGCCTCGCCAGTGCCTCGATCGGCACGGGGGCGCGCTAGTCAGGCGCTCTTGCCAGTGGTCGCGACGCTCCTCTTGGAGAAGAGGTCCTCAAACTGCTTCTCCGTCTCCTTGACAATGTCGTACATGAAGAGCTTGTCGTGGACGTCTCTTGAGATCATCTTGTCCGGGTTGGAGCCGGGCGCAGAGGAGGCAAAGGCAGCGTTACGGGCGTCCTTGTCATTGGTGTGGAGACCCTTCGAGTTCTCGGCAGCGGTGAGGACGGCCCAGTCGGTGCGCGGCTTGCGAATCTCCTGGTAAACCTCGAGGGCAGAGTGAATGTCCTTCTTGTCCTTGATCTTGGACAGAATGACACCGAGACAGGCAGCGTCCTCGATGGCCTGGGCGGCGCCCTGGGCAATGTGGGGGAGGGTGGGGTGGCAGGCGTCACCGACGAGGGCGGCATTGCGGAGGGGCTTGTGGACACGGAGCTTCCACTCGAGGACCTCTCCCTCGGGGACGAGCTGGAGGAGCTTCTGAACGCGCGGGCAGAAGTCGTGGAACGTCTGGAGCATCTCCTCCTTGCTTCCGGCAGCGGTCCAAGTGTCGGCCTGGACAAAGTTGCGGTCGGGCTGTGTCGTCGACATGTTGAACAGGTCGTGGCTCTCGATCGGGTAGGCGATGATGTGGCGCTTCTCGCCAATCCAGCGGTACGACTGGCTGCCAGTGAAGAAGGGGAGAAGCTCGGGGTCCTCCTTGATGGCGGAACGGCGGACCATGATACGGTAAGCGGCCTGGCCAGTGTCCTCGACCTCGTCCTTGATACCCGTGCGGGTGAGCATGGCCTCGCGCGCCTTGCTCTTGACGCCGTCGGCGGCAATGATCACGTCGGCCTCGACCCACTCGGGCTGCTTGGTCTCGGGGTTGACAACCTGGAAGCGCGTGTTGTCAAAGTCGTACTGGGTAATGTGCGAGCCAAGGTGCGTCTTGACAACGCCAGAGCGCTTGGCTCCCTCGACGAGGCAGCGCTGCAGACCGGCGCGGTGAACAGTGACAAAGGGATAGCCGTAGGTCTGCTCCATGTAGTCCTCGTACGAAACCGAGGTGAGAATCTCGTCGGTAGCACAGTCGAGAACGTTGGCCTTCTCAATCACGACACCCTCGCCGTTGCAAATGTCGAGAACACCCCAGCCGTCAAGAACGCGGGCAAGGTTGGGAGGAATGTTGATGCCGGCACCGACCTCGCCGAGAGCGGGGGCCTGCTCGTAGACGGCAATGTCCTTGAAGCCCTGCTGAGCGAGGGCAAGCGCGGTGCCCATGCCGCCCATTCTGATTGTCAGCGAATGTGTGATCGTCAAAGTCACTCACCCAGCGCCAATGATGCGGATGCGGAGGTCGGGGATTCCGGGAGTCGGGACAATGGTTCCAGTCATGTTGTTCTTGGAGGGGGGGTTGTTGCTGTCGGTCATGGTGTGGGAAGGATGCATTAATATAAACGTCGAGATGGTGCCCATGTCCTCTTGAGGAGCTGACGGGGTCAGGGGTGCTAGATTGCCGTCGCCTTGGAGTGAAAGACGTCGGGCGGAGCCTCCGGCGTCCGGAGGTGTGTCGCCCGGACCCGCCGGCCCCGTGATCCAACGGGATGGTGACCGACCGCCACGTGGCTTCAGTTTCTCGTACGGTGAGCGATTTGCTGCACCTGACCTGGTCCACTACCGAGGCCCCTCCGCGGAGCCGGTCTACCCGCGTCAAGCGGCGTATCACTTGAAACTCTGGCTCGCACACTTCCACCGACCACGGCCACGGACATCGGACGCGGCGAAGCGGACACCTTGCCACCCATCGTCATTTCCCGTGTCCTTCTCTCTCATACAATCATAATGCATACGTTGAGTAATACAGTGGTTTGGGCTAGCTAGGATCTCCGCGGAGCTCCATTTTAAGTGTTGGACTTGCGAGCTTGTCGTGATCCTTATCTGGTGGTATTTACTTTTTGGCCATGACGGCGTCCTCGGCGGCCCTGACGGATGTTTCAAACCAGGCGCGCAGCGTCGCCTCGTCCTCTTGTCCGACCGAGATGCGCACGAGGTCTGGCTCGACGCCAAACGACGCCGCCCAGTCCAGCTCGGCATAATGTGCAAGAATGGTGTACGGCGACGCGAGCGTGAAGCTCGTACCGAGACTGGGGCCCTTGGCGCACGGGAGCGAGTCGTAGAAGGCGCGGCTCGCCGCCGGGTCGGTGAATGTGATACTGAAGAGACCGCCGAATCCGCCCTTGCCGGCCGTTGGCTCGCGCTTGCATGCAGCATAATTCTCCGGCGTCTCCCACCGCGGGTAGTAGACCTTCTTGATGACCTTGTTATCACCTGGACCTGAAGCCAAGCTGCGCGAGTGCAGATAGTCGGTAATGGCATAGGCATTGTCATTGACGCGCGCAATGCGTCCGCGATAGTCGCGCGAGTTGCGCTCCATGTAGACTGCATCCTCGGGCCAGTAATTGTCCTCGTAGCTTTCGGCCATGACCTTCTTCAGAGAGGCGTACGCAGTCGACTTGGGGTTGAGCACCAACGATCCGCCCATGACATTGCTGTCGCCAGAGAAGATCTTGGTGAGACTGCTCACGACCACGTCCGCGTACGGCATGACGTCAACATTGATAAAGTTGCCAATCGTTTCGTCGACAACAACGAGGAAGCCGTGCTGGTCGGCAAGCTGGCGAATGCGCTTCAGGTCGGGAGAGCGGACGAGGGGATTAGACGGAAACTCGCAAAAGAGCGCGAGCAGCGGCTCGCTGGGATCCTGCTGGTCGAGCAGCTGTTCAAGCTTGTCGAGCTCCGAGTCGTCGCCAATGCCGAAGAATTCGCATCCAGGCCCCCACTTGGACAGAATCTTGAGCGTGTCCGTGTAGGGAAAGCCAAAACAGGAGGAGATGCCCTCGGGCTTGCCCTCGTTGCGGCGCGCACGGCGAGCAACATCGTGCGCATGCCAGATTGCGCTCATACCTCCCGGATACAGGTAGACATCGTCGGGCGTGACCTCTCCGCGCTTGATGTGTGCATCGCCGTCGAAGTCAGCGTCGTTCGGCAACAGTCCACCGGCGATGCGCCTTCGCAGCGCCTGCTTTGCGAGCGGAGCATTGAACAGGGGCAGATTCCGCCCGTACCGCTCCTCGAGGTAAGTTCCGAGGTCGGCGGCGGCCACCTCCTCGGGCACGCTAATCGTCTTCTCCTCCTCGGGATTCGGACTCGTTGGCGTCGTCGGCGTCTGGGGGGTCGAGTAGCGCGAGTCGCGCGCATAGTGACGGTTACGGCCCGTCACCGGCTTGCCCGTCTGGCACGCCGCGGGCGCAGAGGCGCCAGCCGGCGCCTCGCCAAGGAATGCGAGGGCACGCTCAGCCTGTCGGCTCGTAATGCCGTCGCCCGTGTGCTGCCAAAACTGCTTTGCGGCGGGAAAGTCGTCCTTGGCAAAAAAGAGAATCTGGAGCTCGATGCAGTCGATATCGCTCTGGCGCGCAGAGGGTAGGCTCTTGGCGCCAGGCGTAACGACGTACTCGACGGTGCGGGATGCGACGGGCGGGGAGCGGGAGGCGAGGAAGTCGCGGGCCTCGCTGGCGATGCGGGGCGAGGGAAAGAGCATGCATGCCTCGCCCTCGTGTCCAAACTTTGACAGGAGGAGGGCCTGCAGCTTCTGGATAGAGCGGTGGATGAAGAAGCGGGGGTAGCCAGTCACCATGCGGCCGACTACGCGGGGGTCGCCCTCTTCGTATCCAATGTTGTCTTCCCAGAGGGGGAGGGAGACGGAGATGGCATGGTTGGTGAGGGCGGGGACCGAGCTGCCGAGGGGTATCTGCTGCGGAGTCTTGGACGCCGCCATGGTGAAGTGTGCAGATGTAAAGAGAGACGTCGAGGACTAGGAATGCATCGCTGGCTGCTAAGGGATCGAGTCGATCGATGGATCGAGGTGACTTCACCCCCGGACTTTTCGCCGCTCAGTTAGCCGCTGCATTCCGGGCACGTGGTTTCCCCTGGATCGATCGTCCTGCTTCCAGATTTTGGCGCAAACCCGTGCTGAGGAGTGCATCTGAGAACCAATGACGCGCAGCGAGTGCGGCGGCTGTGTTCTCCACGACGAAGATAGATAACGAATGATGCGTCGCTTAGCACCAGGCACTGGCATTGGAGAGCAGCTGCTACGAGGTAGCGACTGACCGGCGAGGGCGCAAAGTGCGTCGTCAAAGCGCGCGATCTAGACCTCCGCCGCATCGCAGCCAGCACACACACACTACGGATCCAGGGAGCTATCTGATAAGTAAATGTGTGCACCCAACACTTCCCGGTGGTATGTATGTGCATTACTAGCTGGTATCTATGATTGTGGGTGATTAATGCTCTATGGTTTTTCTAGTGGAGATAAAGCTTAGAGCTTCTTGGCCTTGCCGTAAGACTCGACGCGGCGCTCAGCCTCCTGACCGTCCTTCTCGACCTGCTCGAGCTCGCGCTCCTGGACAGCCTTGCGCTCGGAGGCCTTAGCCTTGGCGACACGGTCCTTGTAGGCGTGGTACTTGGCGTCGGTGCCGAGCGAGTAGTCCCACCAGCGGAACGAGGTCGAGTAGCAGTTGACAAAGGCCATGTGGTGGAAGTCGTGGTGGTCAGCGCCGGCCCAGAAGGGGAGGAAGTGGCTGAGCGACCAGGGGAAGTCGTATCCAGAGTGGGCGTCGACGGCCTGGAACAGACGGAGAGTGACCCAAATGTAGACGGTCAGGATGTGGAGGTCGTTGCGGAAGAGGCAGTAGAGGAAGGGGCCGGAAATGGTGCCCTGGGCGAGAATCATGACCTCGAGAGGGTGGGCGTACTCGGCGGCGAGACCGATGGGGGCGGAGAACTCGTGGTGAAGCTTGTGAATGTGCTTGTAGAGGGGACCCCAGTGGAGACCGCGGTGAGCCCAGTAGTGGAACATGTCCTCAAAGACGAAGAAGAAGGCGATCTGAGCGGCCATGAGCCAGATGGGCGAGAAGGGAACCTCGTAGGTGGCCATGCCAAAGTAGCAGCAGATCGGGTGGAAGAGCCAGATGAGGGGAGCTTCGCAGGTGAAGTGGGTCAGGAGGACGACCTTGGTGCACTTCCAAATCTGGGCCGGGGTAATCTTCTTGTTGGGCTGGAGCTTCCACTTGTGGAAGAAGGGAATCTCGTCGATGATGAGCCAGGGGATGCAGCGTCCAAAGTAGACAATCTCGTGGAGGAGGAAGGACATGACGCCAGTGGCAAGGATGGCGTTGCCCATGTAGATGTAGTAGTTGGCCCAGAGACGCTCAAACCAGTTGAGGGCGGAGAGGTTGAGGTCGCCGTAAAGGGCCTCCTTGGTGGTGGTGGCGTTGGAGATGACGAGCTGCTCGGCGATGGTGGGGGCGTGCTTGGAGATGTACCCCATAGCGTGGTCGTAGATGGCAGCCATGATGGGCGAGGTCGTGTCGGAGGGAGGGAGATTAGATCAGTAGAGGAGTAGTAGTGTCGTTACAAGAAAACCGGGAGGGCGAAGGGAAAGGAGAGAACACCCCGAGTCGTGTGTCGGCGAGGGAGAGACAACGATGTTGGGATGGAGAGAGAAGAAGTGGTGAGCGCGACTAATAAAGTTGACCAGGTTGTGTGGACTCTCGGGATGTGCCGCGCGGTGGAAAAACAATCGTACAATCTTACGAGGGGGAGCAAGAGGCGCAGAGGGCCCGGGATCCCTGAGCTGACACGCCGGCGAGGTGCATGCATGGCATCTTTGCAGCGTACGCTTGCGCGGGTGTGCGCGTGTGCGAGCGATGGACGGTCGATGGTCTTCGGCGCGTCCCTGAATTGCCTTTACAGTCGTACCACTTTTTTCTGAAGCTTGCTTTTGCCACGCGACAACTCCCCGCCCCAGCCAAAAATTCATCGGCCCATACACAACACGGACAATACATCAGCCTGACACTGCAGAAGCGGATGCAAAATCTTCACCGCATAGTGGCATCCACGTGCGTCGCGGTGAGCGTGTCAGCCTCTTGCTCGGTGTGTCGCGCATGTCCGCTGTCCTGATGTCGGCCAGGCTCGGCATGCTCTACGATATGTTTAACGCCACTCAGGCACACCGCCGATCTCCCAGCATGCGACCCATTCCCCGTGGCCGGTGATGTGTTGGCTTATCTCTCTGCACGTAGTGTGTCAAACTCATTCTGTACTCAGCCGTATCCACCTCTGACATCACTGTCTCTTCAGACCCTCCCAGCGAGCTCTGTTCGAAAAAGCCATCGAAGAACTCCGCCGTTCATTGCTGCCATCTTCGAACCACGCCGACCGGCCGACCGGCCTTGAGGCTGCCCTGTGCCGTTCAGCTCCGAGTCCCAGCCCCGACTTCCGCCACAGATCTTCGCGTGATTGCGGCCGCCAGCCTGGCCAACCACTGACCCCTTGCTGACTAACACCCGCATCGCAGGGTCGTCCCATTTCCTTCAGCGCCGTGTTTGAATTGTTTGATGCCTGCACAGACTGCGCCTCGTATGGCTAACGGGCAAGGGGGACGCATGCGACTAAGCCCTCGTACCACCCCTCGTCGTCTCATCTCGGAACAGACCTCGCAGCACTCGGTCCCGATATCCACTATCTGCTAGTCGCCGGCGGTATCGTTGGCCAATCATCCAGCCTCGGTTGCCAAAGGTCCGGAGCCGGTCCCAACACTCGCGCTTCTTCGCGAAAGTGCCGGCGGGAAGATGGCAACATCCATTAGACCTTCACACCTGAAAGTCGCCAGCTCCTCAGCTGTTTGAAGAGCAAGTTAGCCCTCCCCTCGGCAGCAAGTATTCCAATACCGCCACCGCTGGTCTCGATTCCTCTCCATTACCGGTCCTGTCCCAGTACCTCACTCCTCTCGTCTCCGCTTGACAGCGGTCTCCTGCAACGAAGAGCGCCGGAACCGCCTCCACTGGCTCGACGGTCTATCCTGCATACAACACCTTTCCACACCTGTTTCGTTACTTACCAGGCTTTCTTTCTGGTCCGGCTCTTGAGTGGTGATGAAATTTTCGGTAGGGGAGATGTTGCGACATGGGGAGAGGTGGTCATCCGAGAGATGGACTGGTCAAGCGCGAAGGTCGCTCCCGTTTGCTGGCTGTACCATGCATGCCCCTGCTCATCTCACTCCTTGCCCCAACTGGACGACTCAAAGTCCTCGGGCACGCATCCGACTGCACTCCAGAAGCTTCTCCGCAGCGAGTAATCAGGCGGAACTCGAATCGCTCCGTCTCTCACCGCGAGACGGACCGGTGTCATCTCCGTGCCACAGTCCTCCTCCACCCTCTTCCGCTGCCCGAACATGCCGAGCGGGCAAGACGCCGACACGAGCGTTCGAATCCTTCGATCACTCCACCTGTCCCATCGCATGCCCACCTGCCATGCCCCGTGGCACACCCGCGTGCGCATATCCGCAACCCCTCGTCATTGCCCTCTTTCGACGTTAATGAATCGCACTCACGTCACTGATGAGCGTGCCAAGCCGTGAAACGCGGCGAGGCGGTGCAATGATAACAATACTCCGCAGTCGTTGCAACTCACCCGATAACGACGTGCACGCTACCCGTCACCGGGAGAACCGTTAGCGCCATTTGCGGCAATCACCCACCAGGGTGCGACACCGAGACCCCACTCCGACCCCCGCTATGGCCGTTTCACTGCTGCCCAACATCGCTCCGAGCGCTCCGACGACACCAGCGGACCGATACGACGCCGCAGGGCCTCCTCTGTCCGCTCGCTCGTGAGTGTCGTATATCCACTCCGAGTCTGTTCAACGCTAAAATAGCGTATAGCGTAATTATCAATGTCTCGGATGCGGTCCGTGATCCACCTTGAATCTTGATGCCCTCCTTCCAATTCTCCAGCTGACCACCCTCTGACCTGCCCGTGTCATGCAGCTGCCAAGCAGGTGCAAGGACAGGTGCCCCGCCAACACCTGAAGCACACCTCGGAGCAACTCTGCACCTGACCAATTCACGACGACCCTCAGGCAGTGCGAGATATTGAACCTTCGGTCCGGGACGTCGGAACGGGGGTGCTTCATGACGTTAGGAGGCCGATTTGGGGCACCTCTTTGTTGTTCAACGCTCGGGCAACTTGCCGGTCAGGCTCACCGGGCAAGCCGGCGGGGCACCTTGGAGAGCAAATGCCTCAACGACAACTCTTGCCAGCGAAGAGGGCGAAGTGATGGAGTGGGCTAGGACCAGCCTTCGCATGATGAGCCTCGGGAGTCGACGGTGATCCCCCAGAAATCTTCCAGCGAAAGATATATAAGCAGGCTCGCCAGCAGCCTCTACCTCCATCAACAACAACAGCGACAACCTCCTCAGCCCCGAGCCACAATGAAGTTCACCTCCCTCCTCGTCACCGCCACGGCCCTCTTTGGCCTCGCCTCTGCCCGCCCTGCTAAGCGCGAGCTCGAGGCCACTGCCGCCGACCTCGCCGACCCCAAGGCGAACTTCAACTTCTCGCCCCTCGAGTCCGCGCTCAACACCGTCTTCTCGCAGATCGAGCAGATCCCCGATTCGGTCCTCGAGAGCGGCGACGAGGCGACCGCCGCCTGGCTCAAGGAGAACCCCTTCCAGAAGCGCGACTATGTCGACGTCCGTGTCCCGCTCAACGAGCGCAGTGACGTCTCGGTTTTTGAGGAGCGCGGCATCGACTGGGGCAAGGTCGCCAAGTGTGTCGCGACCGTCACGTCGGCTATTGCGACCAACGTCATCCCCGCCGCCAAGCTGCTCAAAATTAAGAAGTACATTGCCGAGCTCGGTGGTGTCAAGACGGCCATTCAGCTGCTCATTGGCGCGACGACCACCGCTGAGAAGCTCAAGGCTGGCGGACAGGCGCTCGTCGAGCTTAGCAAGCTCTTCCTCGGTGTTACCGCCATTGAGTCTGCGTGCTTCTAAGCGGGTATTAGTATGGTAGACGTTGGTGTGAGAACAAGCAATAAGTAAAGTAAATGCAAACGTGAGAAGTCCCTTGGACGCGGCATTCATTAACGGCTGTCGGCGTTCTTCGTCGGCCTCTTCCCGGAGGACGAGATGTTTCCAGTCCTAAGTTGCAGGGGCACAGTCGCGTGGGAATGTCGCTTGAACATCCCCTTATCCCTAAGCTGCGGGACCATTCAATATGCTTGTCAGTGATGGAGCAGAAACTACCTGTCGTTGCCCTTGTCCCGATACTCATTCATCCTAGGAAATGCATCACGTGATCATCACTGTAGAAACGTGTTTTGGTCTCTCGCTCATCTCCGACCGGCTCCGGCAAACGTATCCGGCGGCGCCGACCGTCACCTTGCACCGACGATCGATTACGGCCCACTCGCTGTTGTTGTCTTCCCATCCCTCACGACTTACGACCACGACCATGACGGTGCAGCTGGGGTACGAGCGCGTCGCATCTCTTGCGCGTGGGCGCGGTGTCGAGATTGTCCCAAACGTCTTCTACTTCCTCCGACATGGGCAAACACCGCGCAACGCACTCAAGATCTTCCAGGCGTACGACGAGCCGCTCTCGGAGCTGGGCCAGAAGCAGGCCGTCGACGCTGCAGCGGCGCTTGCGAATGAGCCCGTCCGATCCATCGTTGTGTCCGATGCGAAGCGCACGCTGCAGACCGCCGAGCCCTCCGCCAAGGCTCTCGGTCTCACGCCGACGCCCACCCCGCTTCTGAAAGAGAGGCATTTCGGCGCGCTCGTCGGTACGAGTTCGGAGACGATCGACTGGGACTGCAAGCCTGAGGGCGGCGAGACGCTCGACGAGTTTGTGCAGCGCTCCCTGTCCGGTGTCGAATTCGCCCTGAACCGGAGCGAGGACCAAGAGCCGACCCTCATCGTCGCTCACGGCGGTAATCTTCTCGTGCTCGTCAACGCCCTCGGCATCCCGCTCGACCGATCAAAGTTTAGCAACGCGCTTCCCCTCAAGTTCACGCGTGTTGATGGCCAGTGGCACATTACGCCCTTGCTGGCGCCGAGCGATCCGGCGCACGCGAACATGTCCTAGAGAGTATGCAGCTGGTGCCGAAGTTTGCCGAAGACTGCCTTTCGAGTCCACTTGATGCAGGCACACCGCACTGCGTCAACCACGGTCTGCAGGTCCGCAGAGCATGTGAAGCGTCACCTGATGATGCATACAGCGCGTTCCCAGGCGACGCCCACCGTGCTGTGAGGTACAAAAGGAGGTCACAAACCCCCTCCAGCCCACCATACTCACTCTACTGACATGATTCAGTTCGACTTTGACGCCGTCGTCATCGGCGCTGGCTTTGCGGGCTTGTACGCCCTACGCAAGCTGCGCGACGAGGCGGGCCTGCACGTGCGTCTTTTCGAGAAGGGTTCCGGTGTCGGCGGCACCTGGTTCTGGAACCGGTATCCGGGAGCGATGAGCGATACTGAAGCCCCCTTCTACCGGTACAGCTTTGACGCCGACCTGCTCGCGAGCGACACTTGGACGCGGCGCTATATTCCCCAGCCCGAGATACTGGCATATCTCGAGCGCGTCGCTGGCCATTTCGACCTGATGCGAGACATCCAGCTCAACACGGAGGTGCAGGCGCTGCATTGGGATGAGGGAGCCGGGGGCTGGCACGTCATCACCGACCACGGCCGATACACTGCGCGCTACGTCGTCACGGCCCTTGGCCTGCTGAGCGCTGTCAATTGGCCCAACATCCCCGGTCTCGCCGACTTCAAGGGCATATTGGCGCACACGGCCCAATGGCCCGAGGGTCTCGCGCTCGACGGCCTCCGCGTTGGCGTCATCGGCACGGGCTCGACAGGGTGCCAGGTCGTCTGCGCAACGAGCAGGGTTGCACGCCACCTGATCGTCTTCCAGCGCAGCCCGCAGTACAGCGTGCCCGCCGGGAATGGGCCCGTCACACCGGACGAAGTAGCAAGTTACCGCCAGCGCTGGCCCGAAGTGTGGGCACAGGTCCGCTCGTCGGCCGTTGGGTTCGGGTTCGACGAGAGCACCGTGTCCGCGCACAGTGTTAGTGACGCCGAGCGCGAGGCCGCTTTCGAAGCCGCGTGGGCACAGGGCAACGGGTTCCGATTCGTATTCGGTGCCTTCTGCGACGTCTCTACAGACCGCGGCGTGAACGAGCTCGCCGCAGCGTTCATCCGGCGCAAGATTTCGTCCATCGTGCGCGACCCCGAAACTGCGCGGCGTCTCACGCCAACGGGCCTGTTTGCCAAGCGCCCCCTCTGCACGGACGGCTACTTTAACGCCTTTAACCAGCCAAACGTGTCGCTCGTTGACCTGCGAGAGACGCCGATCGCGCATGTTAGTGAGCGCGGAATCGTCACTGAAGACGAGATGGAGCACGAGCTCGACGTGCTCGTGCTCGCTACGGGCTTCGACGCCGTCGACGGCAACTACCGCCGCATGGATATCCGGGGGCGCAGCGGCACGCTCGACGCGCACTGGGATACGCCCAGCAGCTTCCTCGGCATTGGCACGGCCGGGTTCCCAAACATGCTCATGGTCAGTGGGCCGCAGGGACCGTTTGCAAACCTGGTGCCCGCGATCGAGGTGCAGGTCGAGTTCATCGCGGATCTGATTGCCGATGCGGAACAGCGCCGTCGCGGTGGCGGTGACGCTGTCATCGACGTCAAGCCAGCGGCCGAGGAGCGCTGGACACAGCAATGCCACGACCTCGCCAGGGGGACACTGTACGCCGAGACTGACAGCTGGATCTTCGGCGCCAACATTCCGGGCAAGAAGCACAATATCCTCTTCTACCTCGGTGGACTGGGAAAGTATGGCGAGCATCTCTGGGAGGAGGAGGAGGGCGGCTTCCAAGGATTCCGCCACACCGCCCCCAAATCTCTCGACGGCGTCATCACAAGGGTGGAGGAGGTGGAGATGCAGCCGGTACAGGCATAAGGTTACTTCAGATTCATACAACGCTATGCAGGTCCATCACAGCTTCGACGGTCGGGGGATGCCCGGCGTCTTAGGGATAGAGTCACGTGTGACGGCAGAGCCCGCCTTCAGCTGCCACTTAGACTTGTCGTACGTTGACGGCCAGACGCCATTCTTGCCTGGGGCGAGGATTCCGTTCGGGTCGAGCGTGTCCTTGATCTTCTCGGATAGCTTCATGAGCGCATTGTCGTTGAAGTTGTACGTGCCTGCAATCTGGTCCATGAGCGAGATATGGGTACGGTCTGCCGTCAGCGTCGCCTCTCTTCGCACCCACATTCTCCCCAACCCTCGGCGGCACACTCATCGATGAGTCTGCGGACGACCTCGACAGCCCGCGCCCGCTCCTCGGGCTTGGTGCGGTCGTACACGACGCAGATGATGTGGTGCATCTCGCGCATGCCAATGATAAAGTCGACAATGACGTCAAAGCCAGCCTCGACGAGTCGCTTCTTGGAGATCTGGTACTGCTTCGTGGCCGCGTCGCCGCGAACCTCGGCAATGGGCGAGAAGAAGAAGTGTGCGCCGTTCGGGACCCAGTCGACCCACTTGAGCTCGTCGTAGGTCGGGATGCCGCGCATCGTCTTGGAGCGAATGTCGAGCACGCCGGGCGCGGGACGTCCCTCCTCGTGCAGGTAGAACTTGACGCCGGGAATCTGAGAGAATGCACCCTTGATCGCTCCCCAGAGCGCATCGCGGACGGGATCGGGGCCATACAGTGCACCGTAGAAGATCCATCGCCCTAGCCCGGTCTTGCGCTGAATGTCGTCCATTTCGGCCTCGTTCAGGGCGCGATCTTTGACGCCAGGGCAGTATCCCTCCTTTGTGTCGAGGCACGCCGCGTCGAGGAGCAAACTGCGGATGGTGGCAACGTTCTGGATGATCATGCAGATGCGGAGCTGGCGCACAGTCTCGACGATGGCGGGCAAGTCGTCCTCCTTCTCAAACGTGATGGAGTAGGCCTGATATCCGCCGGGGTTGGGCATGAGCCACAAGCCCATCTTAGTGACGATGCCGTAGTTGCTCTGCGAGAAGATGCCGTCGTGATACGGACCGAACCCGTAGTTGAACAGCTGCCAGCAACGGTTGGGCTTTTGCTGGTCGGGCGACTGGCCCTGGTCTGCGCCAGGCTCAGGAAGCGCGCCCATGCCGGTGCGCACCAGCTCGCCGTTGGGTAGTACGACCTCGAGACCACAATGCATCATCCAATGGTCGCCGTAGGGCGAGTAGCCGACGCCGCGCTCAATCGTGTTGCCGATAACACTGCCGCCTCCGAGGTCGGGAACGTCGATCCAAAGCTTGTCTTCAAGGCCACGCCTGACGAGGTCGTCGTACAGGTCGTGGAAGGTGACGCCGGGCTCGACGAGGCAGTATGCGTCCTTCTCATTGACCTCGAGGACGCGGTCCATGTGCCGGCCCATGTCGAGACCGACAGAGCCAGGGACACGGGGCGCAGTGCCGCCGTAACCAATGTTGCGGCCAATGGAGAAGGGCCAGACGGGGACCTTGAAGTCGTTGCACACCTTCATGATTGCCTGGAGTTCGGGCACGCTGCGAGGGGCGACGACGGCAGAGGACACAAAGTAGTCCTTGTCAAAGACGGGATGCATGTCGTGTTCCTTGGCCGGGTCCATATAGTCAGTCTTGACGAACTGGTGCTCGCCAGTGATAATGTCGATGTTGTCGGCGCCGACAATGCCGCGGACCTCGTCGAGGTACCTGGCAAAGGTCGGCGCGTCGATGCCTGGAGGTAGGATGAGGGGCTGGGTCATGGCGGAGTTGCTGGTGTCTCCAAGGTCAGCGCTGTGGGCCTTAAGTAGATGTCGATGGGTACTGCGATGGCTGCGGCTTCTTGGGGGGAAGGGCGGGGATGTTGCCGAGGCTATCTGATCAATAATCGGAGGCGCCGATAAGTTCCCGCTGTCAGCTGACTGCAGCACGAGATCGGTCATCATCTCGGTACGACGCGTTTTAAAACACCGGCCACATCAACTGCTGACGCAACCATCCCCAACCATGACCTCTCTCTCCGGCAAAGTCGCAATCGTCACTGTAAGCAATCTCAATCAACACGGCTGACCACAGGGAGGTGCATCCGGCATCGGACTTGGCATTGTCAAGGTGAGCCCCCATTACCTCCTCGCTGACTCCAGGCCTTCATCGAGGCAGATGTCGAGGGCATCACCGTCGTGGATCGAACCCGGTCCGCCCTCGACGCATGCAAGGCCGAGCTCGCGACCGACCGCCTTCTAACCTTTTGCGGCGATGTGACAGACGAGGCGACAGCTGAAGCCTACACGAAAGCAACTGTCGACAAGTGGGGCAAGGTCGACATTGTCGTGCTGAATGCCGGCATCGAGGGAGCCTGGCACATGCTGCACGAGACGCCAATGGACGAATACGACAAGGTCATGGCCGTCAACGCCCGCGGCGTCTTCATCGGGCTGAAGCATGGGCTACGAGCGTTCCTCGCTTCGCCGTCGGGCGGCAAGGGCTGCAGTGCCATCGTCATGTGCAGTGTCGCTGGGCTGGAGGGCGTCCCGCTCATCAGCCCTTACACGGCATCCAAGTTTGCTGTGCGAGGCCTCGCATGCATCGCATCGCAAGAGTATGGCAAGTTTGGCATCCGTGTGAACGCCATCTGCCCCGGATTCATTGAGACGCCCTTCTCTGCGGTACACCCCGAGCTCCTCGATCTCGCAAAGGACAAGTCGAGCCTGCAGACGCTGGGCAAGCCGGCAGACATTGCCAACGCGACCCTGTTCCTCGCCAGTGATGCAAGCGAGTTCTGCACAGGGACAACGCTCAAGGTCGACGGGGGAGTCGCCCGGTTCTGCTAGTCCCATAGTGTTGCGTATGAAAGCCGATGTGAACCCTGAACAACTAACTGTACATCGGCAAACTGGCCTCGTTGTTGAAAAGACACTTTTCCGAGCGCCAGCGCACCGCCACCATGCATTGAAGCAAGCATCAGCAGGTCACCTGATCCCTCTCCCCGCGCTGTGTTCAAGCATTCGTCTCGCGAGGCGGACACGTCTCCGCAAACTCGGGATATTACTGAAGAGAAAAGGGCGGGGACGTCTCCGCCAAGGGTCCTGTATGCCCACTGCACCCCAGTTACGAGATCAACAGCCAGACAACAGACCGACCTCCGACGGAAGTGGACGCGTCAGACTCGTATCTACGATAGATAATCTCGTCGAGTCATGTCGACTCGGGCGGCGGGCGGAGGATTTTCCGCTCTTGCGGTCGGCAACTCGCCTCGCCTACCCGCTGTCGGGCGCTGTGAAGCAGTTCCGTCCAGGTGTCGTCGGTAGTCTCTCCGCTCTAATGAAACCTGTGGCGAAAGCGATGTTGGGAAGGGCGAAGACCAGGAGTTGCCGTGTTCTGGGGTGATGGGCTTCCTGAATTCCTGATCGAACCTGACCTGCAATCCTCTTGGCGGTTTCGGATCCGGGGCGAGGCCCGTGCGCGATATGTCACGGGACGAGAACAACAACCACCGGACCTCCCCACGTTGCAGTCAATGCCTTGTTCCTCTTTCCAACGGGATCGAGGTCTCCAGGTACTTCGGACTCATCGCGCTGGGAAAGCTGACAGGCAGCATGGCGGCTCTCGACTACCTCGCCTTCCCGCACATCTTTGACGCCGTGCTTGACCACCTCGTTGCCGCGAAGAATGTGGACACTCTGCGCACCGTTTACCGTCTTTCACGGGCCGCTCGGGACCGCGTCTTCCGCAAGTGTTGCCACCACTTGAGTATCGACTACCGAGCCTATCCCGTCACGGTCGGCACAGCGCTGGGGGGTTTCTGGATCCCCGACCATCAGTTCTCGCCAGGAAGCACTGTCGTCGACATCTACGCTGGCGAAGACTACTCGATGTATCCACTCGCTCCCGACATCCTTCGAATCATTACTCAAACTGCCCCGCAGACTATTCGCCTCCTCGATCACTACGGCATGGATGACGTTTTATCCTACTCTGAGCCCATCAACACGCTCGTCTTCCACACCAAGAACTGGTGCCTGAACCGCGAGCCAGATCCTTGGTTCCTCATGCTGCCGGCCAACGCGGAGCGAATCATCATCAACCTCATCGGGTGTGACGAGTTTGGATACCCAGACGTCTCATTCGCGCCCGCTCACAATCACGACGACGTCCAACAAGAGCTGGTTCTTATTGCGACAGCAGGTCCCAGCCCTCCACCAGACGCGGAAGGAGTCGTCAATCGCCAGCACCACCTCATAGACAACATTACCTATTCCATTTTGGGGTACCTGGAGGAACTACAGCAAGCTACCATCACGGTCGTCGGGGCAGAGCACTGGAAGCACGACTGGAGTTGCGGCCTTCCGCCCCCAGACATGCAGCCATCAAACGTTGGCCAGCATCTCATTACATGCGCCCTCACTGAGACATGTAGAGAGTCGACATATGATGCTGCGACCGGCAGCTATGTCCAACACTCTGATGAAGTGGTGGAGGCTTTCTTGCAGCGGATCAAGTTCATCGCCCTCGACGAGTTCAAGGAGAGCGTCGGGGACACGCTGTTTGAGCTCATGACCGTAGAAGCGGTGTGATATCGAACATGCATCTCGTGCATCAGCAGTGCGCCTGAGGGCCTGAGAAGCGGTGGAGAGAGACATCGAACGATCAGCACTGTGAGACACATCGAGCGACCTGCGCCCTCCATTCCACGGCGACGCTTCCAACCTCGCAATCGACTTCGACGCTGCACTGTTACTCATCACCGCAACCCACTTCTCCAGCCCGACGTAAGGCAGCAAGACCGTACGGCTATAACTCGCAGCATGCCAAGCCTTGACTATACATCCTTCCCGCACCTCTTCGAAGCCGTCATCGACCAACTCATCCTGGAACGCGACCATGCCTCACTCCGCGCCGTCTACTCCACATCCCACCTCGCTCAACACATCGTGTATGAGAAGGTTGGCCGACACCAGATGATCGACTTTCGCGTCAAGCCTACCAGAGCCGGTTCGACCGTTGGAGCACTGTGGAACCCGGCTCACAAGTTTGTCAAGGCTCGCGGCACCGTCCTGGATATCTACGCCGGCCCCGAGAAGTCTACGTACCCTCTTCTGCCCGGGTTTCAAAGGATGGTCGATGCCGCTGCTCCCGACGTTGTTCGCCTTATGGACCATTACGAATATTACGAAAGCGAAGACACGCTGTCCTCTGCGAAGCCGATCGATACTGTCGTGCTCCAAGCCCAGAACTGGATCTCGAACGACAGTTGGAATCCACTGGATGATTTCTGGTTGCCCCTGCTTCCGCCCACCGCCAAGCGCATTGTGATCAACATCCGGGGTTGTGCCGCGTATGGCTTCCCGGTCCTCCAGTTCCGCCGCAACGGGTACGACCCCTCCGCAGAGCAGGAGGTCATCATCCTGGTGTCACACGACTGCACACCTCCCGCCGACACACGAGTTCTGAGGGGCACAGACGACTGCCTCAAGATCCTCATCGAGAGTCTGGGCGAGGGCACTTTCCTCTTGCTCAGGAGCCAGCCCAAGTCCACCGTCCTCATCGTCGATGCCGAGAGCTCGGAGATGAGTCTTAACCGAACCCCGTTGACAGCGCAACCATCGCCGCTGTGTCTCGGCATGCATGTCCTGAGCAAGATGTGCGAACGGGCCATGGTCTACTCGGCGGCCGGGGAGTGGAGGCCCACCTTCGAAGAGGTGGAGTCTCGGTGTGGTCGTGTCACATTCGACACCGTGGAGAGGTTCAAGGACCGTGTTGGCGAGGCCATGTTCCGCCTCATGACCGAAGAGGACGTCTACGTCGGCGAGGGTTTCTAAAGCGTGCAGCAACAACATCGATGCGAGAAAGCACAGCACAATGTTTTGCATATGTACACATATATAGTGAGTGTCCATGCAAGAGAGAACGCTCTTAGAGCTCAAACTTGGGCATTGGCTTGGCACCGGGCGTGTCGCACTTGCACATGCACACAGGCTTCTTCGTGGCCGAGGGAGCGGGGCTGGTGACCGTGACGGTGGTGGCGGTCGTGGTGGTGACGGTGGAGGCCGAAGGGGCAGGGCACTCGGAGGAGGGGATGGGCGAGGGAGTGACCGAGGAGGAGGGGACAGGGACGGCCGACGGGGGCTCAGGGGCGGGCGAGGACGAGGGCTCAGGGGCAGCCGACGAAGGGACGGCCGACGATGAAGGGGCGGCCGACGACGAGGGCGGAGGAGCAGAAGACGAGGACGGGCCGGGCCACCCGAACCCTTGGTGGTGAGCTTGACGCTGTACTGGCACTCCTTGCTGTTGGCGTTGTTAGTCTTGATGTGGACCTCGCACTCCTGGCCCGCGGTGGCGGCGCCCTTGAGCTCGCCGAAGAGGTTGTTCTTGTTGATGGCGATGGTGGAGGTCTGGCCAGTCGCCTTGTTGATGAAGGTAGCGTCAATGTTGACAGTGCTCTCCTTCGAGTGCAGGTTCACTTCAAAGGTGAGCTCCTCGCTCTGGCTCTTGGGGGAGTAGGTGAAGACAGCCTCTGCGTTCTTGGAGCACAGGCCCAGGCTGTGGACGTTGTTGATGAGGGGGCCGCCCGACTCGCCAATGTCGTTGCCGCTGCACTTGCCGTCGTTGTTGGTGATGCCATTCTTGATGACCTGTTGAACAAACTCCTTCTGTGCCTCCTGCGAGGTGAGGACCGACACGGTGCCTCCAGATGCGAGGGCGGCCTGCGAGATGCGCTCGTCAAGCGGCGTCACGAGACCATTCTTGGGGGGGCCGGAGAACCAGCGGCCAACCTCGCTGATGATCCCGGAGAGGCCTCCCTGATTGGCTGCGGCCTGTTTCTCGTCGACGCTCGTGTGGCCGATGGACACACGCACGCCGGCCGCCGTGGCGCGGTTGATCTGCTCGACAGCCTCCTCGAGACTGGTGTCCTGGCCGTCCGTGAAGAGAATCAGACCGCCGCGGTTCCCCGGGTTGCTCTTGAGGATCTGGTCGAGACCGAGCCGGATGCCGCGGTAGATCTTGGTCATGCCCACGCTGTCGATGGCGCTCAGCTTGGCGCGCGCCACGTCGTTCGGGTCGCCCTGCGGGTACTCGAGCTTGGCCGCCTGGTCAAAGGACACGATGGACACGGTGTCCGCCTTGTTCTTTTCGGTCGCCTCGGAGGCAGAGGTCAGGTAGTCAAGCAGCTCGAGACCGCCCTGGATGCGGAGCCGGTTCGGGTCTGTGTCCTCAGTGGAAGAGGACGAGTCGAGGACGAGGCTCACGACGCGACCGGGGTTGTCGCACACTTGGCCGGCGGTGCCGCGGGCCTGCAGGGGCGCGGCGAAGGCGGCAGTGGCGAGGATAGAGACGCCGAGGAACTTCATTGTCAAGGGAGTGTGGTAAAAGGAGTGTCGGTTGTCCCGTCAAAAGAGCCCCGTTGTTGTTGCTTCTTATACTGCATGCTTGCACTGTCACCACGTCTGCCACTGGAAGTCGTATTTCGGAGGACGACGGGAGTTTCAAGCATTGAGGTCTCCGGGAAGGCATTGTAGAGTTCCATGCGCGGCCTCTCGATCCTTGCGTTTGGCAGCCTTTCGACGAATAGCAACTGACACCGGCACACTGTTCCAGGCCGAAACATGAAGGAGGTTCGTGATGAAACAGGAGCCGCAAAGCCCGGAGCTGACCTCGGTCACAACGGCAAACACGGCGTCAAGGCTGACTTGCATTCCAGGACAGCGGTCCCGTCCAAGCTTCCGCTGAGGTGGGCGCGGGAAGGATGGCAAGCACTACCCCGAGGGGCCGTTGCGCGGGATACGTTGATAAGATTGGCATGCACAGCGTCAGTGCACTGGGCTTCGTGCTGATTATTAGCGTGAAACTTTGTTCCGCGAATTTTTTACAGGGGCCTTTTCGCGGAACAGAGTCCACCCTCTGGGATAATGTACCATTCCTTCTTCGATTTCTTCGATTTCTTAGTGAGCATAGTGCGGAGTATCCCTTCGTTCACCCATTCGGCCTGGGCTGTTGGCCGGTCTTGTATGCCTGATTGTAGGGTGCTGGTGAGACCTCGGTGCTGGTTCGGGACGGGAGTAGCTGAGATGCTTCTGGACAGATGCGCGAGGGAAATTCGCCGAGCCTGCAATGCGTGCAGATGGAAACAGTCGCGATGTCCATCACCAAGCCCACTCGCTCAAGTCCGGGGTCCTCGCCTCCTGGATCTGGTTGGACAAACCTCCGCGCGTATTACGAGATGTGTGCATGGCAGCTCTAATGACTCTATATTTCTAGTGACTCTAATGCAACTCTATACCGAGTGCGAGTTGTCGTCGCACGACCAGGGGCCGGCGTCTGACGTCGTCTCGATGACGTCCATGATGGCGCCGTACGTGCCACCCGCGGTGAGGAAGAAGGCGAGGACGAAGAGGAAGATGTTGAGCGCGAGCTCGGCACGGAGACGCCAGTTGCGGCGGCGCTCGGGCGAGGCGTAGCGCCAGTTGTCGTGCCACCACATCAGGTTGTAGGGCCAGATGGCCACGGTGGGGCACACGAAAGCACCGACGAGGGAGATGATGGAGCCAAAGTTGGGCACGGCCGAGGCGATGATGTACGAGATGACAGTGCCCGCGAACATGCATCCGAGCCAGGTCATCCAGTGCACGCGCGAGTTGGAGGCGAGGTGGCGCGTGCCCTTGAGCAGTCGGATGAAGATGTGCTTGCCCGCCAGGTGACCGTAGATGGTGAGCGAACCGACGAGGGCGGGGATGGCGATACCGTAGCAGATCTTCTTGAGCAGCGGGCCAGCCGAGCCGAGCGCAGGCGACGCAACATAGCGTCCACAGTAGCCGTACACGACGCCACCAATGACGCAGTACACGACGGTGATGATGCCGACAGACCAGAGCATGGCCTTGGTGTAGCTGCGGGGGTTGCGCATCTCGGACGCAACGTTCCAGTAAGTCGCAGTCGATCCGAAGGAGAAGACGATTGAGGCAATGGCGGACATGGCCTTGGCGAACGTCGGCTGCGCGACGACATGAAGGTCCTTGTCCCAGGGACCGAGCTTGGGAGCATCGGGCGGGCGGTCCTGCAGGCCAACGGCGATGGTGAGGGTGAGCAGGGCGGCGGCAAGGGAAACGAGACCGGCCCAGCCGACGATCGAGACCTTGTCGAGTGTACGAATCGAGCCGAGGAGAAGACCCATGATGGCGGAGACGGCGATGAAGACAGCAGTGCACGCGCCGTGGGCGGAAACAGCGTTGAGCGCCGTCGAAACGGACACGATGGCACTCGACACCATCGTGATCATATACAGGTAGAAGAAGAAGTAGAGGATCTCCTTGAGGGGACGGCCGCCGACGACGAGGCCGCCATCGGCAAGGTCATAGACCTCGGGGTGCCGAAGCTTGAAGCTGCCAACCTGCGCGGCGCAGTAGGCAATGATGGCGGCGATCGTGACAAGCAGGATGAGACCCGGCACCAGGCCGAGAATGTGCAGCACGTAGGGGAGCGAGAGCACGCCGAGACCAATGTTGGCCTTACTGATGAGGACCCAGGCACCCATTGTGCTCAGCTGGTAGGTTAGCGCGATTCAGTTCCTCATCTCGGTCACACGACTTACGTTCCGGTAATTCGGACCACCGCCCGACAGCTCGCCAAAGACTGCATCGTGGACGACATTGTCGCCGAGCTCAGCGTCGGTCTTGCCGTTCCCCTTGGCGCGGGGAACGCTCTCTGCTGATCTTGTTGATGGTGGCCGGCTGAATGAGGGGGTCGACATGGGGCGGTGTTGTGATGGTTACAAAAGAAGCCAAGCAAAGCTTTGTGCGGCAACTTTCAATGAATTTTTCCGTGAGGTTAGGAAAACGCGTTCGAGTCAGGAACAACCATTACGTGAGATACGCGGGCCCGTGCCTGGACAAGCCGGTGCCGGGGATCGCCGCGCTTGGATCTTCCGGAATCACGCGGCCGCGCGGCCAGTCTGTGCGGCGGGCATGGTGGGGTCACGTGCTACATGCGGAGTACATGGAATCTCCGGACCTAGTCAGCCCTGACCCCAGCCCTGAACAAGGCTTGAGGACCTGGATCTGAACACCGCAACAACCATGTCACCGACCAGCCTCGACCCGAACCTCTTCCCTCACCTCTTCGACGGTATCATCGCACATCTTCACAACGATGGAGACGAGAGGTCTCTAGCAACGCTTCGAGCATCTAGCTCTCTTGTGCGGGATCTCGTGGACCGTCAACTTGCTGTCCACATGGCCGTCGTTGATGGACGCATGGAAACGCATTTGCTTGCACTCTGGAAGGACGAATGGAAGGATGGTAATCCCATGACGCGGGTCGTCGACTTCTACGACAAGCGCATCAACGACAGTCCAGAGGCAGGATCACCTGTCCGTTTTCTGAAGGGCTCGCACCCCGCCATTCTACGCGAAGTCGGCTACGCTTTCGCCACCCACTTCCGCAAGCATCCTTGCAACAAATTCACGTTTATCAGCATGTTTGATTTCTCAAAGGGGAGACCCATAACGGACGACGACACGTTCGACCTTGCGGCAAAATGTCTCTCTTTTGAGGCGCACGCTGACCATAGCATCGCGTCCGCCGTTTATCACCACGGGTACGGTCTGCAGCATGAAGTTTCGGTAGAGGTGGATCCAGGCCATACGGACGATTCCCGGCCTCTGTCTACGACGGTCATGTTCGCTCCAAACTCGTCCTTCCGCAAGTCCGAATATCCTCCAGCAGTTCCGATTGTATACGCTCCCCGTCACAGAACAGGGCAGCTAAATGAGCTGATTGATTGCATCGTCGAGCTGCTCTGGCAGAAAGGCGCGCCAACCGTGCAGATCGTTGGTGCCGAGTTCTGGGAAGAAACTTGGTGGGATTTCAACATGTTCCAGCCACCTCTTGATGGGCTTCCGGAGGCACTGTCCAAGGACACGGAGAGAGAGAGAGTCCTCGCTGTCTGGAAGTTGGTGTTTGACGACAAAGTTGCCCGTCTGCGGCAGTTTAGCATCAAGGAGCGTTTGGTAGACGCAGAGAGCCGCGTCACGTTCATTTCTCTTCCTGTGTTCAGAGAGCAGATCGGGGAGTACATGTTTGGGCTGTGTACTGAGTGCGACTTTGAGGATGATTCGGACGAAGGGGAGCAGTCAGGAATCCGGTCGGAAGGCGAGTTCTGAAGTTGTCGATGTACAGTATTTATAACCCTCCCATGTTTGTCTGTCAGTCCCTGGGCCACCGCCTCCACCACCTCCACCACACACAACTCAACACTGACCTCCACCGCGTCAGCGTCTTGCCACCCCCCACAACACCATGCCTATCCCTCCCCGCGACAACGAGCATGTCATAGCCCTCCCCAATGGGAGGCAGCTAGCCTACGCATCCATGGGGAATAAGTCCTCCCGCACCCTCTTCCTCTTCTTCAGTGGTCTCTTCTCAATCGGCTCGATCTCCCGCCTTCCCCCCATCGTCGAGAAGCTCGACGCGCACATGCTCGCCCCCACGCCGACGGGAATGGGCAAGACATCTCCGCGGATTCCTGGCGGCCGCTCGTACGCTGCCAACCTCGTCGATGATATCCGGAGGCTGATCGAGGCCGAACACCCAGACGGTATCGATGCCCTCTACATAGGCGGCGGGAGCTATGGCACGGTCATGGCGCAAATCCTGTACGGGGCCGGGTACGATGTCTTCCCCGACGGCGCCAAGATCAAGGGCTGTCTTCTCGTCTCGGGGTTCAGCCCGTACAAGTACGACACGGATTACGCGCAGAGCTTGACCTGGACGAACTGGGTAGCAGTTGGACCACCAAGCATGATGCCATTCCGGATGCTGCAGCGCGCCATGCGTCCCGCGATCGCTCTCAAGCTGCGCACTGTCGAGGACGCGAAAGTGATGATTATGGACATGCTCTACTTGAAACTCGAGGCCGAGGAACGCGCGACTCTCGACCAGCACCTAGCGGAGAACCAGATGACGTTCGACGAGCACGTCACGTACTTGGCGGAGAATATGGTGCGCTCGGTGGAACATACGTGGGACGGATTCATGGAGGTGTCGGAAGTGCTCCACTCCGACTGGGGCTTTGACCCGCGCACATTGGATGAGGCGCATCAGAAACCGATTCTGCTCGTGTCGGCGTTGGCAGACGAGGTCGGCGGATCGAGGAACCAGTGGATGTTGGAGAATTACAAGAATGCGGTCGGTCGGGATATCAAGGGAGGTCATGCCGCGGGGCTCGCAAAGATGGGGGAACTGTGGCAGGAGCTCGTGGACCTGTGCGGCAGCCACAACGGCAGCGGGGACAGCGAGAAGCCATGAGCAAAGTATCGAAGATGAGCAAGTCGATAAGTGTGGGTACGGGTGATTGAAGTCTGGATTTGGACTTTTGTAATGGCGGATTCATGTTTTGTAAATAAGGACGGCTCAAATGTCAGGGTCACAAGTGGTCAAAGTCATTTCAGATCTGAAAGCGGTGACAATCTTTATATACCCGGGGGGGATGCCAAGACATTCACTCATTTCGCGGCGCTCCGGGGGCCAACACTCACACCATCGCCCACTCCACCATGTCCGGTGGCCTGTACAAGCGCGATGCGTGCTCGGGCCAGGTCAAATCCACAGACTACAACTTGGGCCTGCATGTCGCCGCCCTCTTCATCATCCTCGGCGTCTCGGGCGGTGCATGCGCGCTACCCCTCTTCGTGTCCCGCTTCCCGATCCGCGGCTTCTTCTTCACTGTTCGGCACTTTGGAACCGGCGTCCTCCTCGCAACCGCCTTCGTCCACCTCCTTCCCACCGCCTTCCTCTCGCTCAGCAACCCATGCCTCCCCAAGTTTTGGACAGAGGATTACCCCGCCATGCCGGGCGCCATTGCGCTCGCCGGAGTGCTGGTCGTGACGGTGCTTGAGATGATTCTCAGCCCGTCACGACACTTCGTCCCGCAACGACGACCAAGGGGACGACTAGCCTCCGTCTCGGAGAACGAAGTGCAGCTCGACGCACTCCGGAGCGACCTCGCCGCGACCGACGTGACGCTCACAACGACCGAAACGGAAGTCAAAGTCGTCCTGACGCCCGAGCAGGAGCGGAAGAAGAGCATGCTCCAGGTCTTCATGCTCGAGATCGGCATCCTCTTCCACAGCGTCTTTATCGGCATGGCCCTGTCCGTCGCGACGGGGGGCGACTTTGTCGTCCTTCTCATCGCGATCGCATTCCATCGTAAGCCACATTCTGCTGCGCTTGCTGACGTCAGAAACCTTTGAGGGACTCGCGCTCGGATCCCGCATCGCAGCGATAGACTGGCCGGCCCGCTCGCCCAGGCCATACCTCATGGTCCTGGCGTACGGGTGCACGACGCCGATAGGCCAGGCGATAGGCATCGGCACGCACACGCTCTACGATCCGGACAGCGTCTTTGGTCTCCTGCTTGTCGGGATCATGAACGCCATTTCGTCCGGATTGCTCATCTACGCATCCCTCATCGAGCTGCTCGCCGAGGACTTTTTGACGGATCATTCCTGGGCTGTCCTCCGTGGGCGGAAGAGGGTGGTCGCCGTCGCGCTCGTGTTTGCGGGCGCACTCGCTATGAGCGTCGTGGGCGCGTGGGCCTAAGCATAGCGGACATCTGTTGTAAACACATCATGTACCATATCATCTGGCCGACTCCGACATCGCCGAGAACGGAGGTGACCTAATACGCGGGATAGCTATAAAGGCTAGAAAGGGAAGCAACTGAGTGGCAGGAGTGCAAGCAGAAGCTGCAGCGTACCAGGTGGCTGACGACTGCGCATCGGGCGCCTCACACGTCACTCGGCGTAACTTTGCGCGCGAAGGCGGGGATTTCATTGCAGCCGTCGAGTTAGACGTATCGAAGGCACAAGCATACTCGTGCGCCCCGTCCTTGCCGGGGTCGCACTCGCCCCCCTTGAACCGGTACGAGTAGCTCGTCACGAGACAGATGTACCGCATCTGTTCCCTCGGATGCGGAGGGATCCACCACGCCGAGGCTGAAGGTGAAGCGCTATCCACGATACGAGAGGAGACGTCAGGATCGGGCCCGATTGAAGTGCAGCGGTCAGGCGCCGCCCCCGTGCAAAATGGAAGCACATCCGCCTCCTTCGGCACAGGCTGGCCGTGTCTACATTTCAACGCCGGCGAGACCGTAGGTGAAGAGAGACGCCTGGCTCGTGACTCCAAGTCACGTCAATGATAGGAGGTACATTGCGGCTGACGCCCTCTCGCCTTTGAAAGCACAGCACGTAAGAGACGCGACCTGCAGCTCGTCTCGAACAAGGCCAGGAAGCCAGCAGCGTAACGGGACTCGGAAGAGCTTGAGAGATAGTGTCGTCTGCATAAAGAGAGGCTAGCTTCCAGGCACTTTCGAGCACAGGCCTTGGGCGTCACGCGCTGTTAAAGCTCCTACCTGACGCCACTTGGCCTCCATTTCTGCAGAGGACATTTCTGCAGAGGACATTACGGATTCGGGACTGCGGGTTTGCCGGCGCGCGATGGATCGTGTTGGGGCTGGTGTGGCGCACGATTTCTGCGGGCGCTGCAGTCACGTTCACGTGGAAAAGTGAGAAGTCACGTCTCTGATGAACAATCACCCATCGCAATAGTCGATATGACGACCGTGACGTGAACCGAGGCCGACAACAATGGATTGATGACAGGATCGAACCCCCTTGGATCGTGACGCAGATCCGCGGAGGTCAGTGACGTTGACTGGAGAGAGAACACAGCTGCCCAAAGACTGCAAGCCTTTCCGAACCGCCAGCACGCCAGTCTCCGAGGTTGTGGAGGGTAGGCCGGCCCCATAGCCGTTCCGCAGGTAGAGGTAGGTGTGGGTGGGTGACAGCTGGGTGACTAATGCTGATGCTGCGACCCAATTCATGCATGCCTGCCAGTACTGCGAACGCCTATCTTCAAGTGCGCTCGTGGTGGGAAGACTCTCACACGACCTTTTTGCCCGATGCGGTCAGCGCGCCGTTGGCGACAGCCGCCGTCGTGTTCGTGGGGATGCCCAGCCGCCCCTTTCCTGGGAAGAGCATACACAAAGATACTCACGAGGCACCAGCTTCTGCCTCTCATCCCATCGCCAGGGTAGACGTGAATCCGCTATTCCGGGTCGAACACGTCCAGATCGGGGTGAAGTGCGATTCACTGCGAGAGAGCTCAGCCATGTGGTTGTTGCTGGCTGGCTGCGCTCGTCCTCGCGCTGCCCGAAGTTGTCTGCTGAGGCGTACACTCATCACCGGGAACTCTGATGCGCAGCCGCCCCCTAGAAGAGCTGAGGGGCTGTCGATGAGAAACACGACAGAGCATAAGCATTCAATTCAGAAGAAGCTACAAGGGGTTGGGGCAGCTACGGAGATGCCAAGTGGAGTGCTACAAGAGGTGGTACGGGTCACGCTACAATTTGGCAGGCGCAGGCGAGAGAGGAGCAGAGTCGCTGCGAATGGGGATGTCGATATTGGTCTGGGTCGCTGCATCGAGGCTGTGGAGGTGACAGATTAGCCAGAGCCCCAAAGACGGCAAACCGGGGCTGTCCGGTCGAAGACTGTGGGAACAGGCTTGAAAGGCGCTGTTCAGGCAAGCCTGCGGAACTGCGCTTCATGCCCATCACACGTCACTCGACGTCTCTACCGGCGATGGTGGACGCTTGTTTAGCTCCAGAAAAGCATCCTCGAGCCCGGTGAGCCCGTGACAGCTTTCATGTGCCACTAGCACAGGGCTGTGGATGACCGCCTTATCGTCACGAGCGTCCAGCGAGGTGCGGGGACTGAGTAGGCGAGGTGACGCCGCCCTGCCACTGCTGCTGTGGCCATGATCCGAGGACAGCGAGCCAGGCGCGTTCTCGGATAGCTCGGTGCCTGTCGAGCCCGTAGAGCGGTTTAGAACACTTGCAGCAACAGGCTGCCCCGAATGCACAACGCGGCCGTTCTTCGAAGGTGAGGGGACAACTCGCTCGTGTACGAGTGACAGGGGGTTGCCAAGCTCGTCGCAAGCGTATTCTCTCTCGCCACCTTTGACCCGGATATACTTGCCGAGCCTGCGCCGATATGTGTAAACTATCTCTGTGCAACGGTACCCGTAGTTTTCCTCCGGTATGTTGACAGGATCGAAAACACCTAGATCGAATCTGAAGGATGGTCTGGTTTTCATGTAGTCGGAGATGTCGGGGTCCAAGTCCTCTGTCGTGCAGTAGTCGAGGCACGCTCGAGTGAACGGGATAACGTCCACTAGCTTCGGAATAGACTGCCTGTGCTGGTGTAGCTGGTAGCCAGCAAGACGATAGGCGAAGAACATCATGTGCGTCGTCTCCGCCATCCAGTCGTCGAGGGAGGGAAGGTGGAAGCGGTTATCCCATTCACCCTGGTTCCTGCGATGTTAGATACAGTGTCACTGAACAGGGAACTGTCTGCGCTTTACTTACAGCTCGTATACTTTGCCAAAAACCGCCAGCCTAAACATGTGCAGCGTGATCTTGTCCCAGCGGTCTTCGGCGACGGCATCGTCCCACGCGTTAGAAGCCAGAGTAGCAGCCCGCAAGATGCGCGACCTGGTGCTCGACCGGAAAAATGCGTAGTCTCCTAGAGCAGAACGGGTGGTGCAGGGGAACGTGCGCGGCCAATGGGGAGGGGTGGGCCTGCGGGTACGAGGGCGGGTACGGCGATGCGTCGCTGTCGAAGCTTGAGCTGCACCAGGGGGCGGGTTGCGATGAGCAGCTGTGACATCCATTGCAAGTTGTGAATGGAGGACGGGCTAGAAGTAGTGAACGATAGAGATTTTTCTTCTAGTTTGCAGGTATGATAATATGAAGAGTGGACAATGACGCGAAGAGTTGATGAAGACGGACGAGGTATCTGTTGACGGTGTCGTGATTGATCCCGGGTGGCGAAAAGAGACTAGTGGCAGACCAAGTGACATGGTGGATTGTCACGAGATCTCTGGCTGACCCCGCCTCAGCCACCCGTAGCATCGTGGTCAATACCGCGGTAGTCTTTCTCAACTAGCATGAGAGTGGCAATGTGGCTGCGCACAGTTGGTTGCAGAGAAAAGTCAAACGCGTACAAGCCAACGACTCCTCCATCCTTTGTCCAAACACTCGCTCACTCTTCCATCGAACTGCTTCTCGTGCAGGGGACATCACCATTTCCCCCCACCAGCTCCAGCTACCCGCTGTTGGCTATCTCACTCAGACGAATCACTCTCCCCTCCACGAACTTGCTCTTTTCACCGCCCCACTGCTCAACGTTGGTGGCCATCATGGGTGACACTTCCAAGTCCGGGGTCACCCCCCTCGTTCCACCGCCCGATCTCTCATCGACCTGCACAGGCTCCCCACCAACGTGCACTGGCGATTGCACATGCAACAATCCCGCCTCCGCCACGTCGATGCCCGTTGCGCCGCCTGAGCAGATGGCCGCGGGGCACCATCCTTGGCAAGCAGTATTTATTGCGTTGCGAGAAGTGGAGCTGCGAGCCCCGCCTAAACGTCCAAAAAGCCACGACAGGACTGCCAAGAACACGACGAAAGGGAAAACCAGAGACAGGGGAGCTGCTGGAAAGGAGTGGGGTTGGGATGAGCTCCACGGTACTACTTTCAAACGGCTGGATCCCGCGAGCTGGCAGCGCAAACGACAAAGGCTCTGGGATATCCTTCCTCATCTGCCCGGCTGTCCGACAGGAGCCTTGCCCACCACACAGCTCGATGACGGTACCTCTCAAACTACGGCGTCCGGAATAGATCGCGCCCAAGTCGATGCGGTCCAAAGTGCCATGTCTCGTAGCGGGCCAATCGAGGTCTATTCAGAGAACGATGCCGTAAGCAAGTGGCTCACGTCGTACAACAAGACGTATGAGGTGATTCTGCAGCAGCTGGCTCGGCACATACTTGGCGAAGACGCCAATGTTGCCACACACTATGATGTTACCGGCGAGAGTGTAGGCATAGAGGGAGCCACGTGCCGCCCCGATCTCTTCAGTGAGGTCAAGTTGGAGCTACCCAGGGAAAACGGCGCGAGTCAAGAGGGTGACAGCGTCGATATGGACGTCGACGACGATGGGGATAGCTCAGGTGCGGAGAATGGCGACAGTGAATGGGACGAGAGCGATGGTGAGGAGAACCGAGATGAAGATAGCAGCCACGACGTTGTCGAGAGCAGTGGAACAACCATCTCTTCCGGAAAGCCCTCTCATTCGAACGGTAGTAGCTCGGATTGCACCACCCAATCCAGCTGCAAACCTGAGAGCTCTCGGGGGAAGGCCGCCGGGCTTCCCCGGCGGTGCCACCTGACCATGACCGAGGCAAAGGCGGTCGAGGTCTTGCCAGACTCCATCTTCGACAAGCTTGACGAAGACTACATCCCGAACGATAATGAACCTCACATCCAAGCCATTGTCTACGAGAAAGAAACGATTGACAAGGCGGTCAAAGATGTTCGGGCTTGCACACGGGCAGCGAGGCGAGGCAGGCAACCAAACCTCGCCAAGACGACTGCGACCTCGACCTCTTCAAGAACGACCAAGAAGACGAAGCAGAAGGCGATCAAATTTATACGGCTGGACAACGAAACGCGATCATCAGCGCGGATCGCAGAGAAAGCCGCGGCAGCAGCAACAGCAACAGGAGTGGAACCACCTCCCGCTCTTGGTACTGGACCGATTATGAAAGGGCCGCTCCGAGCGGCGGCGCTCAACGTCTCAGAGGTACTCTCATACCTCAATGTCTTCGGAAGCAGAAACGGCATACTCACGTCGATAGTGCGCCATGCCCCTGTGCTGCTGAGAAGTGGAAAGGGCGAGCAGAAGTGCGCGCTGGTAGGCGCGACTTCAGGCCATCGCACGACGTTGAACCCGAATGGAATGAAGGTACCTCCGACGCCAACCCTCCTTGAAATGCGTCTGACCCTCGACGCTGATGAGCTGTATTCCATTGCCAAATCACGCAAGACCATCCTGGACGACGAAGGCCACCAGGGCGATGATCATTCGCGCCCACCTCCTCTTCTTAGGTCAGATGTCGGTGGCCACGTTCTCAATGACCGTGCTCCCGGGGCCATTACTCCAGACTGCGAGTCGGATACTGCATCCGGATCAGGATCAGACGAGGAGATGGACGTAGACAACTGGGATCAGCCAGATCTGTTCGATGGTGAGACCTTCGACGAGGATGACAGGGTCATTCTGGAGCACCAATGCCGGGAACCAGGTGCCCCTGGAGTAGTCGCAGAACAGGCTTAGAAATATTCTTCATTAATGCAACTCACTTCGCTGCACGTACACATCATTCTGTCAGAGATCTAGAACATTTTGCGATGCGACGAAATATTCACACTGCGCCTTTGTTGGCAAACAACGCATTGCCCCCTCTTCGCGTAACTTACCAAACAGCCTGCTTGAACATGTGCATCGTGATCTTGTCCCAGCGTTCCTCTCCTACAGTTTCGTCCCGTGCCTCGCTGGCCGCCTGCTGCGGGGAGAAGCGCGGTCTGCTGCACGCCTCACCTTAGAATGCCGGATGCTCAGGACCGGGTCGAGCAGAGCTGGGGAATGAGTCAGTCCACCCGTCGGGTATGGACCGGGGGCGGGGTTCGAGCGTGGTTCGGCGTGGTGTAGCGCTGGGCGGCGATGGATGGGTGCGTAAAGTGATCGGTTTCATGACTGTTGATCGCGGATGCGGCTTGTTGGGAGAAGCGCACGTTTACTTATACTTGTGACCTGTACCGCTTAGTACGTTCTCCTGCTCCATGCTGTGGATGACGTGTTATCCTAGAGTAAGATGGACATCTGGGAGTGGGTATCTGGGCATGGACATCTGGGCATGGCCACCAGTGATTCAAAGTGTGGTGAAATGAAAGCTTGGCCTGAGGCAGAACGCAGCCATGGGCGGCGCTACATCAGTCGCGCACGTGAGTAGGCAAACTAATCATGAATGCATTGCCAACGTAATGTAGAAGCTAAACGTAATAGAGAACGTGTCGAAGTGTTAAGAGTCTTTGCCGCTCAAACCGGCTGCGATGTTGCGAATGGCATATAAATTAGAAGCACGCCGCGAGGAGAGCGGCGGCACCGATACCAGCAGCCGAAGCAACGAGGCCGGCAGCGCCCGAGTTCTCAGTCTTGGAGGCGGCGCCCGAGGCACCAGCGGCAGCCGAGCTGGAGGAAGAAGCGGAAGGCTTGGTGCTGGAGCCGACCGCGCCGGCACCGGCAGAGGCGCCAGTGGGGGAGGCGGAGGCGCCGCCAGCGACACCGCCAGAGACACCGGCGGGAGAGGCACCAGCAGAGGGGGCAGCGCGGTCGGCGTCACCTCCGGCCTTTCCGGGAGCGGGCGAGGTGGCAGCGGGAACGGTGGGCTCGGCGGCGGAGACGTCGGCGTCGGCGCCAGAGGCGGTGGGCTCGGTCTCAGAACCAGAGACGCTCACGTCGGCGTCGGCGCCAGGGAGGAGGGGGGACGCGGACGACACACCAGCACTGCCGCTGGCCGATCCCGAGGCGCCACCGCCGCCGAGACCGAGGTACTGGCACGACTGGACGAGGGTGTCGTACATGGCGCCCATCTTGGCGCAGTCGAGACAGGGCTTGTAGATGGACGTGTCCTGGAAGTTAGCTTTTCTAGCGGGGAAGACACGTACCGCGCAGACAGCTTCGAGACACTTGTTGTCCATGTTGACGCACTGGGGCGCAACAGCCTCGACGGCGGCGCACTGCGACTCGCACTCCTTGGGCAGGGCGGTCAGGCCGTCGATGCCCTCGAACTGGGCGGTCGCACCGATGGCTGAAGTCAGCGTGAGTCTATGTGAAGATTGTTCAAAGGAAGGAAGGCAGGCAGACATACCGAGAACGGAGAGAAGAACGAGCGACTTGAGCATTGCGGATGAGTTTGAAGCTGAGCTTGCAGAGGTGAACACTTGCGCGAGGTAGAAGGTAATGAGCGACTTGAAGATGTTGAAGACGTCCAAGTGAGAGATATAGGAGTGAAGGAAGAATGGAACGACAAAGTCGGCGGCAAAGGAAGTACACAAACTCCACGACCTCGCCGTTTCCATGCCCCTCACCGCCCGCGGGTTCCGCGTGCCGCAACTCGCGCGCCATTTCGGGTTGACTCATGTCCCCTCACCCATTCTGCGTGCTTCTGGAGGTCTGAGCGTAAGGGATCGCCAACGCCTGGTCTCGCCTGGCTCGGATCTCGTCTCAGGAGCATGTGGGATGCAGCCAATCGCGCCGGGATCTCGACTGCCGGTCCGTTCCAGCGTCTCCGTGTTGGGGAGGGGTCAGTGCGAGACGGCGATCGCCGGATCCGAGCGAGAGCGAGGGGGGCGAGGAAGCGATGCTGCACGACGCAGACGAGACACAGCGCGACAGCACGACAGTGGGACGGAAGAGTCGCGCAGCAACGTTGCTCCGCACGGCCTCCGGAGTGGTCAGATCTAGGAACGGCGACGCCGCAAACGCCTCGAAAACCCTTTCATCCTTTGGAAATGGCCCCGAGCACTCGGCACTCGGCCCGATTCATGCACTATGCATGCACTATGCATTTCATTCCGGTGCAAACTCTGTCGCCTGAGCTATTACTTCATGCATGCATGATGCGGTGCGGACACGACTTGATATTTCTTATGGCTGTCGTGGCTGATTATCTCCCCCGGGCCCCAGAATAGACGGTATGTGACATGGGATGTGATCGACAGAACATAGATTAGCATCCTGTGCTGTTCCAGGATTCCGGAGCCGACTCATCTTGGCGTCAACCCTTCTCCGGCCTTAGTCCCCTCTTAACCTCTCCCAGCCAAGACGACCACGGTTTCAGATTAGATCTTGCTCATCGCACAGTTTGTCACCGCTGGACGGGGCGGCCGTTGGATTCCGCAGTCCTGCGCCGCGTGTTGCAGTACCAAAGCACCGAGCATGCACGCTCGCACGCTCCCGTATCGTCTGAGCGACCACTCCGCCAGAGCAACTCGAGAAGGGCGGCAGCCATTTCTTCGCATAGTCCACTCTGCGCAGTCTGCACTCGTGCACTTCAAGGAAACCAGAGCAGCTGCGCATGCAGAGGCAACGTCATCCCGAGAGACATAGGTCCACTTGCATGAGGTTCAACAGAGTGAGACAGAGTCCACTCACGCAAGACGAAGCAAGGCAAAGGCAACCTGCCAGTTTGAAAGAGCGCTGCGACGGCGATACCAGCGATGAGAGCGACAGCCGAGGCACCGAGCGAAACAGCGCCGGCCTTCTCTGATGCCTGGCCGGAGCTGGCGTCCGATCTTAGGCACCGTCGGATTCAACAGAGCTGTCAAAGTGTGATACGCCGGCACGAGGGAGGAGTACGAGGAGTCTTGCTGATCTGCCCCAGTCAGGTTGATCCCGCTCCCAAGTTACTTTCCCTCGGAATCGCGTCCTTACTTGCTGGCCAACAAAGAACTACTGATTTGTCGACAACCGAGACGGCCCCCTCCATGCCCCTCGCCTGGTCAGCCAGGCTGCCCTTGCGCTCTACGCCTCTGGCGGTATGAGCGTAAGGGATCGCCAGCGCTGACGTGCCAGGCGACGCAGAACGACATCACGGGAGCGACAGCGCGACAGATATGGTCCCAGCTACGTTGCCCCGCACGTCCTCGGCGTAGAACCCTTGCGTCCTTTAACGCCGTTCGGCCCGCTTCTGATGGCCTAAGCGTTGTGAGGGTGCTCGGGTGCAAACTTTGCAGTGCACGCATGGTTTTGATATATCTCGTACAGTCCTTGGGATCGACAGAACAGAGATGGTCGTGGTTCTGTTCCAGCATCCGGAACTGGCTTGGCTTGGCGTTTGGCATCGGCCTTACGTCTTCATAAGTTGACCTTGCAGCGCAATCTGATCCGGACAGTCCTCCACTCTCTCTTCAAGCGAATTGAAGTTCTTCATCCGCTGGCCATGCGCAGTGTCCACATTACATCAACGGAAGAAACTGCGGATGCAGGATGGTTGACGCGTCTGACGCGACCCTCCAGAACGACCAGAATCCGAATCCACGTCTCAGGGCTAACCGAGCTACCGAGAGCTCTCCCTTGTCAAGACATGCTTTTGTTCAACCGACACTCACAAAGACATCCGCAATTAGACCTGGTTAGAATTGTCAGGACCAGACTCATCACCCTCCCCCAATCGACTCCTGGTGCTTTACCCTGAGGCTCGAACAATCACCCGCGGCACCCAGGGTCATGCACATTCAACTGATGCACTGATGCACAACAGCTCGAGCAGTCGTATCAAGTGAACGTCTGGAGATTATACGTGCATGCGTGCCGAGCCAATGAAGCAAAAGAGTCCACTACGATGCGTATGGGATCGTTTAGAAGAGCGCTGCGGCGGCGATACCAGCGACAACGGCGAAGGCGGAAGCACCGAGAGAAGCAGCGCCAGAGTTGCCCATCTGCTTCGAAGCCTCGTCGACGGTGATGCCCGGGCTACCGGAGGAGCCAGCGTTGGGACCGGGAACCAGTACCAGCCGATCCAGCACCAGCACCTCCGTTGTCGGCGTTCGATCCAGAGAGTCCTCCAGCCCCGGCTCCGCCTGATCCAGCCGAAGCCGACTCCTCAGGTGCAGGGAAGGCGAGACCACTTCCAGTCACAGTAGAGAGGTCGGGAGTGGTGAGCGTGGGCATGATGGCGCCGATCGTTGGCTTCCGTGTCGTGCCCACGTCCGAGATCACGTCCGAGTCGGAGCCAGAGTTGGAGCCGTAGGAGCCAGAGGAGTCGGAGGAGCCGGAGGAGCCAGAGGAGCCGGAGGAGCCGGAGGAGTCGGAGGAGCCAGACGAGCCAGAGCTGGAACCGCCAGCGACATCGTATCCAAGCATGGAGCACGAGCTCTCGAACTGCTCATAGATGCTCGACATCTTGGCGCAATCAAGGCAGGACTTGAACTTGCCCGCGTTCTGCGCAGAGGTCAGTGCATACTCTCCCCACACTATTCCGTAGATACTCACCGCACACACTTTCTCGAGACAGGTCTCGTCCATGGACGCGCACGAGTTGGCGAAGCTGGAAACCTCAGCACACTGTGACTTGCAGCTGGCAGGAATGGTGCCCAGGCCTGGGAAGGACTGAGCGGAGGCGGTGAGCGCGAGCGCGGAGACGAGGACGAGTGACTGGAGCATGGCTATGGTGTTAGAGGGATGGGGAACAGGAGACGGACCGGGGTGAGGCTGCGTCGTTTTATAGCGAAAGGTTTGCCTCTCGACAATCTGGCCTGGGGCCGGCGCGTCGCACGATGCTTGTCTCGCCTGCATTCGCGCGTAGGACGCAACCCCACTGCTCACCGGCAGCAGACAGCGCTCGGGTTTCGATGCGTCCGTGGGCAGGAAAGCTCCCCCTCTGCCGATACTCTCTCTTGTCACCCAGAGCCAAGCGTGGAGTACCGACACCAGCCCTTGGCTCTTCACCCGGGCCCAGGCTACCTCACCATCGCCCTAGCAGTTCTGTTCGCTGATCACCCCAGATGCTGACCCCAATTGTGATCAGGTCCCTGTGTCCATCTCTCCTAGCTTCACGCCAGGCGCGTCCAACGCGTCCCAGCAAACAACATGCAGAAGCGACATGGGAGCCGTCGGATCCGACCTCCCTCTAAACTTCTCTCTGCGATACTGCCTAGCAACTTGGGGGGAGTCTTGTCGGTCCGCCCCGATGGGGCAGTCCGGCCAGTCTTCTGTCTTTCCAGCATCCCTCCATCCCTGACCCCTGGAAAGACATCCTGGACTTACGGACCAACGACAAACGAGCCCGGCGTGTGAGGCACAAGACCAGTCAACAATCGAGCCCTTGCAGTCTTCTTGGCATCACCCCTCCTGCGCAGCAAGTGCAAGATCTAAAGAGGATACGGACCGCCGGCCCGGATGGTTGAATAGATCGATAGCGAGCTGGGAAGCGAGTATCCATTCAAACCATATCAACGTCGCTGGCCGGCCCACTAGGCACGCAACCGGACCCTGGACCAACCCTGTTCAGCCCTGCTCAGCCCTGCCGGTCTCGGATCCGGGCGGGATCAGCAGATGAAGGCACGTGCCTGGTCTTGTGTCCATCGCACTGGCGATGTGCTGAGATTCTGGTCAACTCTCTGTGTTTAACGAAGGCGCCGCATACGCCCACGCACACACACGCTAAGAGAACAGAGTAGAGTGCGTACGCGTTCCAGGGCAAAGGCACGGTGGGCATAATCACTCAGGCGGTCTGCTCTGCGCGGTCTGCTCTGCGCTCTGGATTAGCCATGGTATTCGGTTCATTTCAGTTAATTAATCAACAACACCCTGCCACTCACCCGCAACAATGTCCATTCATGCCCCCTCAGCACCTGCCCGGGGGCGTGCTGGCTCACATGCCTCACATGCCCCGCTCACGCACCGCCCGGTCCTTCGCGCTGGACCATTCATCTCACCGATGACCGCCGCCCATGATTCGTAGCGACGGCCCGGATACCGAGACATCCGCTGTTGGGCATGTGCACTGCCCCTGCCGGCACAGAGAGTTGGGATCCCCACGGAGGACCGTGTGCCAAAGAAACCGGCCGGTCTGTGATAAAGTTGCAGTCGCCCATTCACCCGGCAGCATCGCCCCGGCCCCACCACCCGACCGGATCGGCACTGCCCAGCCTCTGCTCCACCCACTACTCTTGTACCCACTTGCCGAACCGGCAATCACAGTTCCATCAGGCTGCTCCATGCCCTCCCTCGGGGACTCTGATTCCCGTCTGAGCACGTTTTTGTGTGTTCTCCTCCCTCTGGTCCATTCTCGTTCATGAGGCAATGCAATACTGATACAGATGGTTTTCTAAAGAACCGCAGCGACGGCAGCAGCCGCCACAGCCGCGACACCGACTGCCGGCGCAGCGAACGAGGCGCCGTTGTCCTTCTTGTCCTCCTTTGCGCTTGCGGCCGAGACGGCGCTGCTGCTGGTGGCGGAGGGGCCAGCAGAGCCTGGGCGTTAGTGTGCGCTCACTTACAACTACCGCAGCGCTGTAGTCTAATGAGGACTCACTGCTGGAGGAAGTGTTGGTGTCCTTGCCGAAGAAGTCGCAGACAGATTCAAACTTGTCGTACATCTTCTCCGTCTTGAGACACTCAAGGCAGGGCTTGACACTGGCCGCCTTTTCTCGTCAGCGCATGGCGTGCCTCTGAGGGACGTGCGGCCCAAGCCCATGCCCATGCCCAAGCGCAAGCGCAAACGCAGGCCTGCCAAGTGCGAGAGCGGACCGGGAGCGAACGTGACTCACCTTGCAGAACTCGGTAAGGCATCCCTTGAAGAGGGACGTGCAGTTGTTGCTGATCACGTTGCCGACCTCGCCGCAGTGGTCGTGGCATTTCTCGGACACGTCGTGGATTTGCTTCAGGTTGAAGAGGTCCGCGGAGGCGGTAAGGGCTGCGCGTTAGAACTTTGGTCGTGAGCTTGGTGTTGTTGTGGAATACGCACCAAGCACCGAGACGAGGGCTAGTGACTTGAACATCGTGAAGGCGTGGCTGAGGGTGTCGGCAGTGACTCGTTGCTGCCTATATATGCGTGCTCGTTGTTGCGGCCATGCTACGTGTCATGCGAGACGACGGCCAGCGGAGCCCTCAAGTCGACGCAGCAGGCTTGAAACCTGACCATAGCCACACTGCATGCTGAGACGTTTGTGCAACAGCAGCGCAGCAACCGGGTGCTGGGCCTGCCAATGAGGTTATGCATCACCATACTAAGATCGTACCGGAACGCCGTATCAGCAGCCCGTCATTGCGGGCACCGACAGCACTGCTCGTTTTGAGAGCCGTGGTTGAAACGTGAAGCGCACTTCTGCGCACGTCGCATCAGTGCAACACCTTGCATGCCCCGTCGGTCCCCTGACCGCCATGCCGCTCGCCGTGTCCGATGCTTTGGGCCGCCAAGTTTCCCACGATCGTCTATCGCTGCTCGCAGACCACTCGAAACCTGGTCTGGGCTCGCAACGCCGTCGTACGCCCAGTGCCGTGTTATGCTTCATACGGTTTGGGGTCGTCGATAGCGGTGCTGGATAGAACTTGTGCCTGGCACAGGGTCATCGGGCCCCAGACCACCTCGACCCTCGAGTCCCAGCCTCCATGCCTCCATCCTCCGTCCGTCCCCTTCGTCACATCTCCCCTCCCTCCTCCTGTGTCCACGAGTCAGAGGGACAGAGACATACCATGAATGGGTGTCATGGGGAGTAGCAGCCCAGCCCTACGCATCCTCACTCCATGACTCTTCGAACTAGCCTCCAGAGAATTCCCTGTGTCACCATCTCGAGCACAGCCCCGAAAACCTGACCCCGGTCCTGGACGTTCCTGACAAGTCTGTCACCAAACTCAAACGTTACCACAGGAAACCACCGGACAACTCGGGAGAGGGAGGAGGGCATTCTCGGTACGGTTGCCTCCGCCAAGTGCCGTGCCGCGTCCATGAGACGAGACACGAAAGACAATGATGATGCTGCTGGACCCACCTTGGAATCTGCGACACAGGAGTATGGCGGGCATGCCTGGCCGCTGCCCGCTTCGTCCCCCGTACCTTAGGTCACATTGTTTCGCAACCCTTGATAGCCTCGACATGCCAGACGCGTCAAACCGTTTGACGCGTCAGACTGTCGTCGTCCACTGCACATCACCTCGCGACTTCAGAAACCTCATAACCTCGCATACACGCCACGTGGTCCGCCTTGTAGTTCATAACACACTTATGTATTACTGTTTCTGGATCGATATATTAAAAGGCTGCGTTTAGAAGAGCGCAGCAGCGACGGCGGCAGCAGCGACACCGGCGACGGAGACGTGAAGCGCGCCGGCGCTGCCCGAGTTACCAGAGGCGGAGCCGGAGCTGCCAGAGCTGCCAGAGCTGCCAGAGCTGCCGGAGCTGCCGGAGCCGCTCGAGCTGCCAGAACCAGAGCTGCCAGAACCAGACGAGCCAGATGAGCCCGACGAGCCAGATCCAGCGGCCGAGACGTCCGTCCCAAGCGCCGAGCACGAGCTGACAAACGAGTCGTAAATGTCCGACATCTTGGCACACTCGAGGCAGGGCTTGAACTTGTCCGCGTTCTGGGGTCAGCGTGGCACTCTTGATCTTGTGGTGGGAGCGGCACTCACCTTGCAAATGTCACTGAAACAGGCGCCGTCCATCGAGGTGCACTTTGAGCCGAGGGAGGCGACTTCCTTGCACTGCGACTTGCACGAGTCGGGGATGCTGCCCATGCCCGGGAAGGACTGGGCGGAGGCGCCGAGGGCTGGCGGTCAGTTGCTTGCGGGTCGGGGTGTTGGTTTGGCTCACCGAGGACAGAGAGGATAAAGAGGGACTTGAACATGGTGATCACGGCGAAAGAGTGTGGGGTCCAAAGAAGGGTGAGTCGTTGGGAAGAGCAGGGTGGGAAAGCATCTTTGACAGGTAGATCGAGCTTCTTAAATACCTCTAGTCCAGCTGAGGAGTTGCACAAAGTGCGAGCAACACCCCCAGATCCCGATCTGAGACTCCCGCCGAGCCACGGGGCAAGTTGGCTGGCAACCTTACCATTGTTCCAGATCGACAGGCCGCGGACCTTAGTTACCGGCACACGCCACGATCGGCACACAACCCGTCCAATGGTACGGAAGTGATTCGCGACACCCTCGGCGGAAGTGCCTCCCGTGTGAAGAATACCGAGACATCCGCTGTTGGGCATGTGCACTGCCCCTGCCGGCACAGAGAGTTGGGATCCCCACGGAGGACCGTGTGCCAAAGAAACCGGCCGGTCTGTGATAAAGTTGCAGTCGCCCATTCACCCGGCAGCATCGCCCCGGCCCCACCACCCGACCGGATCGGCACTGCCCAGCCTCTGCTCCACCCACTACTCTTGTACCCACTTGCCGAACCGGCAATCACAGTTCCATCAGGCTGCTCCATGCCCTCCCTCGGGGACTCTGATTCCCGTCTGAGCACGTTTTTGTGTGTTCTCCTCCCTCTGGCGCAATCTGATCCGGACAGTCCTCCACTCTCTCTTCAAGCGAATTGAAGTTCTTCATCCGCTGGCCATGCGCAGTGTCCACATTACATCAACGGAAGAAACTGCGGATGCAGGATGGTTGACGCGTCTGACGCGACCCTCCAGAACGACCAGAATCCGAATCCACGTCTCAGGGCTAACCGAGCTACCGAGAGCTCTCCCTTGTCAAGACATGCTTTTGTTCAACCGACACTCACAAAGACATCCGCAATTAGACCTGGTTAGAATTGTCAGGACCAGACTCATCACCCTCCCCCAATCGACTCCTGGTGCTTTACCCTGAGGCTCGAACAATCACCCGCGGCACCCAGGGTCATGCACATTCAACTGATGCACTGATGCACAACAGCTCGAGCAGTCGTATCAAGTTCCCCCCTTCCCCCCACGAACGCCGTGCATGTGTGCATGCAAGAGGGGGAGTGTACACACTGTTGATTATCGGAGGCGGCTCTCGTTGCAGCATGGTGCACCAGTGCCAGTGCGCGGATGCAAGAGCGACAAGAGCCGATGTGGGAGCCGTCGGATCCGAGATTGGACCAGTCAGCAGCACCCATTCAGTCCTCGGTAATAATCCGCGCGCCTGCATCCACGAGGGGGAGTCATTGCCTGCTCTTATTCCAGCTCTCCTGCTCTTGCTAGGCGCCACAACTCCAGGACGTCGCTGACAACATCTAACAAGCATGACTAGGCCCGCATACTCGAGATGGATACCTCGAATATCCGCCCGCTCCTCGCTCATCCAACATCAGCGGAGATGCCTTGATCTCCGTTCCGATCCTTCCCAAGTGACGTAAATCCGGCCTCCCCTTGCTCTTAACAAGCTATCAACAACACTCCATGTCTTCATCCCACTCTCGATACGCAATCATCACAGGCGGCAGCAGCGGCATCGGCTACGAGGCGGCGAGGGATCTCGCCACCGCGAACCCAGACATGCAAGTCGCGGTACTTGCGCGGACCCCACCGCGGGCTCTGCCAGCGAACACGGCATTCTACCCCGTGGACCTGGGCGATCTGGCCTCGATCCAGTCCTTCCTCGATGAATGGGACCATCCCGTCTCGGCTTTGATTTGCTGTGCGGGTGTGAGTCTGCGCAAACCGGTCCTGAACGAGGACGGCATCGACACGACCTTTGCGGTCAACCATGTCGGGCACGCTGCACTCTTCTTCGGCCTGAAGGAGCGAGGACGATTCACAGCCGACGCGCGCGTCGTCTTCGTCTCCTCATCCCTCCACCGAAGAGTGAGGTGGAGTAGCGCAGACGAAGCGGCACACGAGAGATACCAGAGGGGCATGACCGCTTATTCGACCTCGAAGCTCGCCAATGTCCTGTTCGCGAACACGCTTGCGCGAAAGGCAGCCGAGCATGAGAGCGGCTGGCGCGTGAACACCTTCGATCCAGGGTTTGTGCCCACGACCAATCTGTTCAGGGGCGTGCCCCTCCTCGGCCGGTGGTTCATCAATTACATCCTGCCCTGGTTCTCATGGTTGCTGAAGCTCCGCGGCGCGGTAGTCTCGACACCAAAACGGTCGGGGAGGGTGCTTGCGCTTATGGCATATGACCCGCAGTACGACGTGAATGGCAAGTTCTTCCATGTCGAAGAGGAGAAGGACAGCAGCGAGGCGTCGCACGACCGCGCACTCCAGGATGACCTCTGGGACTGGACGGCGAGGTATCTCAAGGTGCCGAAGGAGATCAGCTGGTGAGCCGGTATGATCGAAAAACGATGCTGAGCAGCGTTTGCCTTCCGCCCCGGCGTGTCTCTTTAGTCTTAGGATGAGTTCAATTTACGGTGGTGAGTCTACAGCTACCGGTGGCAAACCTCCCTGGATCGCTTGAGGACAGATCCTGATGCCCGGTCCGGCTTGCTGCATCCCGTCGAGATGAGATTGGAGCGGTCGCTGAACGACGCCCCGAGAAGTCATTGATGAGGTGCACTCGCACTTCGGAGCCGATTACGGCTGAAACGCTGGCTCGATCTGGACGGAGTGGACGGGTTTCAGCATCGTCTGGCCACATGCATTTCGGACCGTCTGGTCCTTAGGTTGTGCGATGACGCCATATGACCCATGCTTCCGGACTGCCTACTGATTACGACTAACGTGATGTCAGCCTGATTACCAGTGTCGAAAGGTCGCCTGTACTGATCTCCGCAACTATAATTGCGGACCTATGAACTGACACTCGTATTGACACGCCGGGGAGCCCGGATGGATCCATTGCAGGCTACCCAAGGACCTACAAAGGCCGCGTTGACGATGTAACATAGTTCATCTGCCCTATGATTTAGACAGCCTCGCGGGGATGGTCAATCCGAACAGCTACACCATGCGACATGGACGAAACCACCATGAATGACATTAAGCTTTCGCACGCCCATTGATGTTGAGGTACGGCACGTGGCCCAGGATCCTCTTTAGCGCCGGCAACACCTCAAGAGGAGCAATCACTAGGACGAGACAGCTTAAGGTGCAGTCAACTCTATATAACGGCCACAGATGCCCGCACCTGCCCGCCGCCCTCCACCACGTCCATCGTCACTACACGCATTCTTGCCGAGCGTGCCGAAGACCACAAGCGATCCGTCACCCAACCCCGCCATACAGACGCCGCGATATTGGTGGCAAAACAGTGGTAAGTGTTCCAGATATCAATGGAGGTGCCCGCCGCCGTGCCTCGCTGCAACATCCTCTCCTTGGTGCCTTTCAACCCGATCCTGTGGCCAGTTTATCCACTCCCTCCGAGTAGTGATGTGTGGCAATTCATCACGTTTCGAACGTCGGCCAGACGAGTCGGCGCCGTCTGTCCTCTCATCGACGTCGGGCGGGCTATCGCTCGACGCTGCGAGTCATCAGAGTAGCACTCCGAGGCCCTGTTGTTTGACAATGTCCTTAACCCCCTTCATTAACATGCTGCGGGATAGGAGTGTTCCACTGCTTTGGGACAACCTCGTAGCTCCCCACATTGCAGCAGCTACAGCTACGGGGTAACACCTGTTGGGTCGAGATCTATTGAAGGCAAGTGAGCAGTGCGGAAGGGCTGAAACATGGGCGGCTTGCGCAGCGCATCGCATCATGCTGACGAAGGAGCTATATAACGCACTGAACTGAACGCCAGCTTCAACCAACAACGACTTGGCTTCCAATTTCGAACGACTAGTCAGCTACAACACCAGCATGCTCTTCACCTCCCTCCTCGCCAGCCTGGTTCTCGCCTCCGGGGCAGCCGCCAACTCCTGGGGCGGCAACAACCTGCTCATGCTCCAAGGCATGGAGGAGAGCGCGCAGATCGACTTCATCAAGCGGCAGGCCGCCGACGGGAGCAAGGTGCTCCGCCTCTGGGTACGCGGCTACAAGAAGGGGTGCGAGAAGGGCACCAACATTGCCATCGACGCGCCCGACTTCGAGACCGAGCTCGGCAAGTACAACGACGAGACTCTCGATGTCCTCGACCGCACACTGGGACTGATACAGGAACACGGCCAGGGCATGAAGGTCATCATCTCGCCGCACAACGCAAACGCCATCTACGGGTACGCCCACTGTCACGGCTAGCAGACACTGACTCCCCAGCCTGTGGTCACTCACCGACGTGTACACCAAGTTCGGACCCAGGTTCTACAATCAGGACGAGCCGCAGAAGATCTATGACAGTCGCCTCCAGCACATTCTCGAGTACAAGGGCAAGCACACGGGCAAGGCGTGGAAGGATTTCTCCGAGGTGATTCTCGCTTTCGACCTGCAGAACGAGCCCTTCGTTGGTGCTAAGGACTGCCCCAACCTCGGCCAGGCGGACAAGCAGTGGGCGTGCAAGCGCGCGACGAACATGCGCAAGATTCTCAGTCCCGACATCAAGATCGCCACTGGAGGCCTGGGCGGCGCCATCGACAACAAGTGCACGTTCATGGCCGAGGCCATGTCGTGCGACGCAATCGACGCCATCTCGGGTAAGTGCTCCCTCTGCGCCTCGGCTGACGACAGTCCACTCGTACCCCGGACAGGGCGGCGACCTGGCCAAGAAAGCAGCGGATTGGAACGAGCAGAAGGGGAGCAAGCTCATGTACGTCGAGGAGCTGGGCATCGAGTGGCGCAAGAAGGGCTGGGACATTGCCAAGACCTTTTCAGACGTGACGAGCACGCTGAACAGTGCCGGCGTGCCGTGGATGTCGTGGATGCTCATCCCTGACGTGGCGGGCAACTGCAAGGACAACTACAACTCGGACACGGACTACAACATCATTCCCCTTGACAAGGCGGGCGACATTGCCAAGGCGATGAGCGGTGCTGCGGCCGCCAAGAGTGACCAGGATTGGGGCCTCTCAGCGGGAGGCGGCAGCTCTGGCAGCTCGAGCACGCGACCGCTCAACCAGGGTAATGGGACGTCCTCTGATGTGATGTCGCACACCAACGGCACTTCGTCGTCGGACAATGGGACCACAACCGCCGGAGGCTCCTTGTCGACTGGTGGTTCCTCATCCACTGGTGAGACAGCGTCCAATGGCGGATCTTCATCCGGAGAGACCTCAGCTTCCGGGGAGACCTCGTCCGCGGGTGGGACGTCTTCTGAGGGTACAGAGACCTCGTCTCAAGGTGCGACCTCCCCGGGCTCGTCGACCGGTGGCTCCACGGAGGGCGGTAAGGGCAACTCGCAGGATGACTCGGGCGGAGCAAAGATGGGCGCTTCTTGGTCGAAGGATGATGCGTCATCATCCAAAGAGAAGGGCAGTTGGTCGAAGGACGGCGCGTCCGCGTCGAAGAGTGACGGAAAGTCGTGGTGAGCGACTGATGGAGAGGAGGATACCACGTAGCACAATGCAGTATGATGATGATATCGGTAGTCGGCTCCGATGGTAGTGAGACTCTACCCCAGGCGCGATCTTTCCAACCCAAGCCGGTGTCGTTGTCCACGACCTGAAGGAGGAACCTCTGCAGTCCAGGGGTGGTAAGCCAACATGCCAGGGACGTGCTCCGATAACCTGGCGAAATTGACCGATCTCCGTCACTGCCAGTATGAGATGCCGATCCTCCATCACAACTGTCCAAAGAGGTGTTCAAACGCCGTTCATGGCATGTTCTTAGAGAACAAAGGTCCGTATCTCGTAAGGGGCATGTCGCCTCTAGGAAGAACGAAGTACGCCAAGTGTTCGAGGCCGGGAATTGTCGCGTTTCCGCGGCGCTCGAGTCCGTCTCGGCAGTAGAATGTCCCGGGTATGCGGGCGCCTCGGGTCGAGACGACGATATGGCTCGGCACGCCAGAGGGAAACTGCATCGCGATACCAGCTCCGCCGAACACCTCCTCGTATCGGTCCAACGGTAGTGCATTCCCCTCTGGCCAGCCGTTGGACTTGCCACTTGCAACCGTACCCGTAGGAATTACGACAGCATCCCAATACTTGGGCGACTCTTCGTATGGAAAGCCGGCCGTGAAGGCCCCCAGACCACGGGAATGCAGATGCACAAAATCTCCCGTCACCTGCCTTGGAGCGACGCTCGTGTCGTCCGTCTCCCAGATAGTGCGCAGGATGATGGGGTTGCCGTTCGAGTCTGCCGCACGGATTCGCATTCTACAGAATGTCTCGTAGGCGGAGGATGCCGTCACATTGGTCTCGAGCGGGAGGGGGACGAAGGGCATGTACTGGTCAATCCATGTTGAGCGAGCGTCGGGGATGAAGGTCGTGCAAAGTGGGTTGGCTGGGCAAGTATCCGCCGGACTTGGCACTGAAGCAAATGAGCACACGCCCTCATCTGGGAAATTGCCCCATTTACCGGACCAACTCTCTTCACTGCAGGGTGTCTGGTCAATGTAGCGTTGCGAGTTTCTCAAATCGCCAGGGGTATGAACGTCTATGCCCACAGCGAGAGGAAAAAGTGTCAAAAAGAGGACCAAGAGTCGGAGGCCAGTATCCCATGCCGGTGGCGATCGGCCAGTCGGGCCAAAGCGCATCTGATGTGGTTGGAAGAGCGATGTGCAGATCGAAGCTAAGTTGCTCTGGCACCATCTCACCGGCATCGTATAACGGATTGAGCTTCGTCGCATTCCCGCTGCGTGTCAGGGGGGCTTCGGGGGCAATGTCGCGCTGGAGTTCGGGGCAGTGGTGGTCGTTTTGACAGGAGGCTTCCAGGCACCGGTCCGAGGCGGGCTCGGATGAGGATACCGCCATCGTCGTCGGACAGCCCTGCAATAGTGCACAACCTGGACGTCTGCAGCGCTAGGGGCTCACAGCAGGGTACGTAGCAGGTCAGCTGGCACAGCTTGACTGCAACTGACTGTGACGTCACGGAAGATAGATGCCAACAACAGATCATATTCGTCGTGATCAGCAGTCAGTCCTCAGTTGTTGATGAATTGCGACCTGACCTTAAACATCGCGCTCCCCGATGCCCGGACCGACAGTCCGAACCACATCTCTTGCCCGGGAGAAAGTTACCTGCATCGCTTACGCAGCACTCGCATTCACCTCACCTACTGCTCGTAGGTGGCAGGCTAGCGGCGAAAAAGAACACTCCGTCCTCGTAAGGTACACGGACATTTCCTCGATGCGTCGGTTCCGTAGTATTGCACTGCGAGAACGTGCCCGGGACCATGACCGCCGTACTTGAGACAGCAACCCGACCCGTCCTAGCCGGATGTTGGGGGAAGAAGAACATGTCGGGCACGGAGGGGACGTAAACCCTCGCTCTGAGACGGTCGAAACGGTCCTGCGGCAGATTCTTCTTCAGCGTCTCCTGCAGCGCATCCCAGTCGCCTGTGACGGGAACGTCAGCGGACCAGGTAACGTTCAACCACCGGCCCGTGTGCGTGCCGTCGTCGATGCCGGCTGCAAACACCGGAGTCCCCTGCCCGTAGCTGATGGGCGGCATTGTCGAGTCCATTCTCCATTTGTCGGGAGAGTCGGGCTCGAAGTGCGTGCACATCGGGGTGTTAGCAAGAGTACCATACTTGCGTAGGAGATCGTTGTCCTTGTCGTCCTGGGCAAAGACCTCTTGGGATAGCTCATCGTTCTGGTTCGGTCGTGTCTGTTCCGTCTGGGCTAGCGTGCCAGATGTGAAGGCGAGAGTGAGGAGGACAAAGGATAGCACACCGAACGGCTTCGAAACAAGACGCGGCGCAGCGGAGGGTGGCCCCTCAGGCTTGTCCTGCAGATACACCCTGATATCGGTTACGTTGTGCTCTGCAAAACAGCCGCCGACCTTGTAGCTCGTCATGTCCTTCTCAGCGGTGCCGTTGTAGGGTCCTACGGCGACGGCGCAGTGACTCCACGCACCGACGTTCGTCGCGTTGTCCGGTGGGCAACAGAGGCTGTTGATAGCCTCGTTGAGGCCAAAGGTGTAGTTGAACCACATGCCCATCGTGGAGAGCAATTCGAGGTGAGTGATGGTGCAGTGGGACGGTCATCTCTGGCTGTTCTCATCTACTCGAAGGCACAGAAGCTATTGTCTGAATAGCGCTGGCGCCCCACATGGATCAGTTGCATAACGGCAGGAGTCATGACGGCGTATGCCGTAGTCAATAGCGTGCCCAACGCTAGTCGGAGCTCCGCGGTCCAAGGCACAGGCGCTAGCGCACTCACTCCAGGATCCAGGATGTATCAGCAGCGTCACGAACCAGCTTCAAGGACGTCACCATCGCCGGCCGCCCGAACTCGCTTCCGAGAATGGATCACGGGCTGGGGACATGACGATCACTTCTCATCCACAGGACGTCCTCACGGCAGTGCTTAGTCCCAGACACACCTGTGCCGTACGCCGAAGCTGGCAAGGCCGCACGAAGCGATGGAGGGGACCATGTGGAGACCAATGGCTCCGATGTCGGAGACCATGTGCGCTAGTGCCTGAGTCGGAAGAGGCAGGTGACATACTGCCCTCAAACCACAACGCTGTCGCTGGGCTCCTAGCAGCGGCAGCAGCTGACCGCAGTGACCGAAGTCTTGGCACCGTGTCAGCCTTACGGCCTCGCGGCAGCTTCGCCAGAGTGAGTTTGACAGGGGCCGACCGACGTAACTTACACCAGACCGATACCGGACAGCTCTTAACATGTCATCTGCAGGGGATCCAAGGCGGTGAAGTAGAACAGACGGTCCCAATATGGCACGCTAACATTGCCCCTATGCGTAGGGGCGGTCTGGTTGATGCACTCGGAGAACGTTCCGGGTATCATCACAGCAGACGACGACACGGCAGGTTGGCCATAGTTGCTTCGCGGAAGACCCGCGAACGCAAACATGTCACCGACGAAGGGGACATACACCTCCTTCCGTAGCCTCTTCATGCGGTTGTCCGGGATCGCAGTGCGCATCTTCTCTTGGAGCGCCGTCCAGTTTCCTGTCACTGGCACTTCGGCTCGCCACGTTACGTTCAGATACCAATACTCCCCCTTCGATGGCCCTTCCTCTATCCCGCTTGCCCCACCTTCAAGTTCCCAACCTGAGGGTCCCACCACAATCGGGGGCATCTCCCCATCCAACTCCCACGATGAGGGATCGTCGGGCTCGAAATGGGTGCACATTGGGTGATCTGCTAAGGGACCGTACTTCATCATCATGTCGTCCTTCCACCGGTCGATGTAACCGAGATACACGTTCAAATCCTGATTCTGGTCGGTTGTGTTCGTCCCAGCGTCTGGTCGTGAGCTATCGGCTCTCACCGCGACCATAGGGCGGTCAGACTTCCAGATCGTTTGATGCTGCGCGAGGCTCAGTGACGCCAGAGAGAGAGCGACGACGATGCAGGCGAGGACGCCAAGCGGTTTCGGGGCTATCCTACTTGATGATGATGCCTTGGGAGGGTGCTCGGGGTAGTCTTGCAAGTATAAGCGGAGGTCGGTAACGTTTTGCTTCTCGACAAAGCACTTGTTGACCGTCGTACTAGTCGAGTGAAAGATATCGGAGCCGTTCCCAACAACAACTGAGCAGAAGCTCCACTCTCCGATGTTGGTGTTGTTGCCCTCGGGACAGCAGCGGGCGTTCGCTGCGTTGTTGCGTGCGAAGGTGTAGTTGTACCACATGCCCATGGCGAATGTGTCGGCGGAGTGGTAAATATTTCGGTCCGACGGTGTATGCGTTGGCCGGCAAAGATGTGGCTACAGTTGAAGTGCTTTTGTACTGTCGATGCAGGTAGCGTTTTAAGGTTTTGGGGCAACGATATCTGTTACTTACGGTCAGTCAACTCGGATCCACATGACCTGGCGAAACTTGGCAAACGTGAGTACAACACGTCCCTCCTGTCATCGCGGACGTCACTCGCAGGTAGGGCGGTTCGAACATGGGCGAGGGGAGACAAAAACACAAGGTGTATGCTGCACTGATGTTGGAAGCAGGGGATCCTGCTCAATACCGGCCGTTTCGAGCTGTAGCACCAGGCTGGGAGCAGTGAAGACATTGTTAGCACCACTCGACTTTGCGACTGGACGTCAGTAAACAACGATCAGACCTCGTCGCACGATCCGACGTCATCAGTGCCTTGTAACAGCATTCCCTGCCGTTTCGTGTCTTGGATAATAGAGACAAAGCTGGAAGAGTGTGCAGTAGTCGAGGAGGAAGTTCAGGTGACTCGGTCAGAACTCAAAACACAGCTCGAATCCAGGCACAGACTGACGGCGGCTAAGTCTCCCACGGCTGCACATCTTCAGCTGACTTGCACGTGACTCCTCGTCATGTGCCTACCAGAGGGTTCGATGACGCGCCGTGGGCTTCGCCGAGGATACACCGAGAACAGGCGTATGCGGGGCCGGGCATCATCAGACCTCCACCTTTCGGCTGGCTGTTGCTGGCACGCTGGTCCGCGATCTTTGCTCTCGACGCTGTCGTCAACTACCATCTGCAACCTCCCCCAATCCATTCACACTCAACAGCCCATCATGTCTGACGCCGGCTCAGAGGGTCCCCTCGACCCCACTCTCCAGAACATCCTCGACCAGAAGAGCCTCAAGTGGATCTTCTGTGGTGAGTACATGGCTTGGGCCGGTGACCAGTTGCTCTCAAGGACGGCCATCTGACCACCACTGAACTCATCTTGCGGGACTGCCTTCTAGCTGCCGTGTAAACATGCCCCAAGCTAACAACTTCAGGTGGAAAGGGTGGTGTCGGAAAGACGACGACGTCATGTTCGCTTGCGATCCAGCTGTCCAAGGTCCGCGAGAGCGTCCTTCTCATCGTGAGTAACATGGATGCCGCTGTCGAGTGATCTCGATGCCTAGCTGCCAGCAGTTGGCTCAAGCTAACTATTCAGTCCACTGACCCGGCGCACAACCTGTCTGACGCCTTTGCCCAAAAGTTCGGCAAGGACGCGACCAAGGTGAACGGCTTCGACAACCTGTACGCGATGGAGATCGACCCGAACAGCTCGATGCAGGAGATGATCGAGAACAGCGACCAGGGCGGTGCGATGGGCGGCATGATGCAGGACCTCGCCTTTGCGATCCCGGGTGTGGACGAGGCGATGGGTTTCGCCGAGGTCATGAAGCACGTGAAGAGCATGGAGTTCAGCGTCATCGTGTTCGACACTGCGCCGACAGGCCACACGCTGCGTTTCCTCTCCTTCCCTTCCGTGCTCGAGAAGGCGCTCGGTAAGCTCTCGCAGCTCTCTGGCCGCTTCGGACCGATGATCTCGCAGATGAGCTCCATGTTCGGCGGCCAGGCCGGCGCGCAGGAGGACATGTTCGCCAAGCTCGAGCAGATGCGCGAGACGATCACCGAGGTCAACACGCAGTTCAAGGACGCGGACCTGACGACATTCGTGTGCGTGTGCATCTCCGAGTTCCTGTCGCTGTACGAGACCGAGCGCCTCATCCAGGAACTCACCAAGTACGGCATCGACACGCACAACATTGTCGTCAACCAGCTCCTGTACCCGAAGAAGGGCGACCACTGCGACCAGTGCTCGGTCCGCTACAAGATGCAGCAGAAGTACCTCAAGGAGGCGTACGACCTGTACGACGACTACTTCCACATCGTCCTCCTCCCGCTCCTCACGCACGAGGTCCGCGGAAGCGACAACCTCAAGAAGTTCTCCGAGCTCCTCGTCAAGCCCTACGAGCCCGGAGAGGTCCAGAAGCTCGAGGACATTCCCGACGACCCCGACGCCGCCAACTAGAATACTAGGTTACACAGCACAGACTTGATGTAGATTTAATTGCAGACGAAACGCACGTTGCTACAGGGTTGCATACGGCCGATAATTCAGCCCAGAGGTCTACTACAGTCTAATCATATTACGCAGACGCGCCGAGGAACTGCTGCCGCTGTTTGTCAGTTGAGGTCCAGGGCCCTAGAAACTCACAAGCTGCTTGACGCTCGCCTGCTGCGCGGGGTCGAGCGCGTTGATCTGCTCCTGCGTGAGTTGCAGGACCTGCACGAGCATTTGCTGCTCGTTAGCTATCGCCGCCTGAAGTTCAGCTTACCTTCTGGTCCTCTGGGAGGCCGGCGAGTGCGGCCTGAGTGGCAGGCGGGAGGGGCGGAGGAGGCGCACCATATCCACCTGAGGCGCCGCCGTATCCCTGTTGCGGGGGATAGTTTTGGGGCGGGGGAGGGCGGTTGTACCTCCTGCCGCCGGAGCCGCGGGAGCAGGGGCAGGGGGAGCAGCGCCGGAAGCGGGGAAGGGAGGGTATCCGCCAGCGGGCGGCGCGCCACCCCAAGCGGGAGCGGTGGGGTTGCCGGGGTTCTGTCCGGGGAGGGGCTGGATGCGCTGCAGCACGGAGGGGTCGACAATGTTGAGCAGCAGCATGGCCTGGAAGAGGGCGTAGGCGAGCTGGGGCCGGTCGGCGAGTAATTGACGGGCCTGTTCCGGCTGAGCGGTCACCAGCGCCTTCATGTCGGCCATGACACGCTGCATCTCGCCCGGGTTCACCTCGGCCAGCGTCTTGCTGATCGCATCCGTCGCCTTCTGGCCCGGCGGAGGTTCTCTTCCCGCCGGAAGCGCAGACATGTCCACTCCACCCACTGAAGGAGACATGTCCCTGTTAAATCCACCGGCTCCGCCACGGGGAGGGGGGCCTCTCCGCCTTCCCCCGTCGTCCGTCGAGAGCTCGATGCGCACCGGTCGTCCGTTGATCGGCACATCCTGCAGATTCCGCACCGCGCTGTGCGCCGTCGCCTGGTCTGTTTGTCAGCTAAGCCCTCCAACGTCAGAGCTTACCATAGAACTGAACAAAGGCGTACCCCTTGCTCTTTCCTGTCTGCGCGTCAAACTTGATTCTGTCATTAGCTCAAGACAACGAGATAGGGAGCTCACTCGACGTTAGCTACGGGACCGACTTCGGAGAAAACGCTGGCGATCTGCTCCTCGGACACATCGTAGGGGATGTTAGCGACGAAGACAGTGCGCGACACCTGGGTGGCGGGGGGCGGCATGGTGGTGGATGGTCGGATGCTTGAGAGGAGAGCGTCGCTCGCTCGCATTATTGTTGCCTTGGGTCGCGATGATTTCAGCGGTTGCGGTCATGACGAACGGAAGTATTTCCACATGGGCAACCAGCGAAGTCCGGCGGCAACGGAATCAAATGATAACAACAGACGAGCTGGTCTCGACGAGATTTCAGCAGCGAGCGGCGAGCAGTTGACATCATCGACTCCAGCAACGGCAATGACCAACGTCCTGTCCTTTGACAAGGGTGCCTGGGACGACCGCGAGCTTATCAACGCATACGATGCGTCGCTGCTAGAGTTCCACGTGAGTTAGATCATCCTGGTTTCAACTGACGTCCAGATTCATAACCCGGGACCTGGCAGCTGGCTCGACAAGGCGACTGCGGCCCTGGCAAAGGGCCAGCCATTGCCAGGTGCAACGGCGTATGGATCCTCGTGAGTACAAGTCTCAGCTACGATCGCAGTATGCTCAAGCTAACAATCCAGATGGTATACGGCTTCGAAACCGCCAGAGAAGGAAACCCGCATCAAGAAGCGGAAGAAGAACCCGTATGCGAATGGAAGCGAAGCGTCACCCGCGCCAAACCCTTACTCCACATCTGCTTCTGCGTCGACGTCAACGCCGCAAGTTGAGCGCGCCTCGTCGCCGACGTACCACCCCGCGTCGCCCGAGCCTGTTGACAAAGCGATCGAGGCGGACGATGAGGAACCCGTAGTCGCCGCAGATGACGACGAGGAAGGCGAGGACGAGGGCGGCTACGACGAGCAGGAATGGCCCGGATACGAGGGCGCAGAGCAGGAGTGGGAAGCGCCCGAGTCTGCCGTTACTGCACCGCAGACCGAGGCGCCGTCCGCTGACGCTGGACTCGCCTACCCTCCTCCGAGAGGACACTGGGACGCTTCGCCCGTGTCGCGCGAAACGGCACTGGGCTACGCGCTGAATGCGCAGTACTGGGCAGGATACTGGATGGGCGTGGCGCGGTACGCTCCCGCCGAAGGTGCTGAGGGCGAGCCGGCAGCGAAGAAGCAGAAGCCCCTGCGTCGATGAAGGGGATAGACGTCTAGATCATTCATTTCTTGTATGTACAACTAAAGCACGCCATGTATCTATGTGGGAACCTCATGACTCATCGCATCTCCGTCTACTGACTTGCCTCACTTGTTCCGTCGGGTGTTTGCGTCGAGTACGCTTTCGCAGGCAGGCTGGCATTGGGATCCTCTGGACGCTCGACCCATGGTCCATCCGGCCACGCCCTCAGTCCGCCCTCATCCTTGTCCTTCGCGACCAGCTCAAACCTCTCCTCCACACTATCCGGCAGCCCCTTCGCATACTCCGCGGCCTCAAGATATCGCGGCGAGTGCTGCTCCCTCCCCTCCACTGGCCCGCACATCGCACCGTCCCGGGCCAGCTTGCGGAAGTGCGCCTCCGTCCCCTCCGCGCTTACTACCGCATGCAGATAAGCACGGAAAGGCGGATTCCCTGCCGCCTCGCGCTCGACTTTCGACTCGGGCGGCCGCTTCGCATACTGCTCGTCTGCGCGCGGTGTTGACCCGACTGGCGGCCAGCCCCGCGACGCTGTGACCACACCCCACAGGTCCATGTGCATGCGTGTGTGGGGGTACTCTTTCGTGATTGTTTTCATGGCTTCGCACGCATCACGGAGCGTGGGGTACACCGTATCGGAGACGAGGTAGGGGCGATAGTCGTAATCGGCGCTAGAGGGCATGTTAGAGGGCAAATTATATGGAACTGAGATACGACGCATCGGAGACCGAGAGGAGTGACTGGTAGGAGTGGAGTGACAAAGTCAGGTGATCGACCTCGGACCGAGTCCTCCGCGTGTTGTTGACATCAGCAGCAGTCAGATTAAGGTTTCGCTCCAGCACTCCCTTCCTCTGGGTCACTCGTTCCTCCGACTCCCACGCATCTTGATCCTAACACCACTCTTCCACCCCACAGCCCGTAGGAATCATGAACCGGGAAGCAAACTGGATGCTTCTGTGGGATCGGCGGGAGAGTGCCTTGCCTGCTGCGTTCCTGCCCTGGTGAACACTGAGTTAACGCTGAGGTGTCACTCGCTGTGCGGTCTGAATGAGTGTCTGCTTCTCAGATCTCTCGGGACAAGGTTGGATTTCCACAGGTAGCCATGGAAACGGCGCGACGGCGAGGGCATCACATGCGATGTATTTCTGGAACGAACATTGCCTTACAGAAAGATTCTCGCTCGCCGAAAGATATATAAGAAGCCCCGCAGTCCTCAGCGACCCCCTACCACTAGCGTTCCAAACAATGAAAGCCGCTATCATCCTAGCTGCCCTCGCCTCGGTCTCGGCGAACCCGACCTCGATCAGTAAATACCCCTTCTCACTTGCGCTAACAGTAGACTACGAGCCAAACCTCGCGTCCCCCTCCTGTTTCTCGAGCCTCGAGTCCGCCTCGGCATCTATCAAGCGCGCCTCGGACGGGCACGGTTTCGCCCACTTTGATGACTGGGGAGTGCTCACGTCCTACAACTCCGCGGGGCATGCGGTGCAGCACGCCGTCGTGTCCTGGCCGGCTACGGTGGCCTACTTCGAGTCTCTGGGCAAGTGGGACGCGTTCGCAAAGACGGGGCATCTGGGCGAGATCTGCAGCAGGAACCTGACGGACGACGTGCATGAGCGCATCAGGAGGGCGAGAGAGGAGAAGAAGGAGCAAGGCGAGGAGGCTTGGCCCAAGGTGCCCTTCGAGTGTCGGGAGAAGATCCCCGCGAGCAACACCAACAGGGAGGGGCGACAGCTCAAGCCCTACGTCCCGCCCCAGGCTACTCGGCAGGTGCAGATGTGGTGCCTGAACACGCCCTGCTCCCGGGACAGTGATTGCAGCTCGCAAGGATGCGGGACGTGCATCATGCGCGACAAGTTCATGTTCCTGTCATGTTCTGGCTAAGCCTATGAATCTATGCATGTGTCTATGACTCCCTGTCAACCGTCGAAGCGACTAGAGCTTTGAGTCGACCCATTTCGGCGCCCTCTTCTCCGCAAAGGCGTTCATGCCCTCTCTCCAGTTCTCCCCAGACGTGACGGCCTTGTACTTGGCCGACTGGGTGAAGCGGTCCATGTGCCGGTCAAAGCCCATCTCCTCCTCGACAAGCCTCAGGCCCCAGGAATGCAGAAGCACCGAGTCGGGCGAGTTGGCCACGGTCTGGCGGGCGATGTCGAAGGCTGTGGACTCAACTTCGCCATCGGGCACGACGCAGTTCACGAGTCCCGCTCTCTCGGCTTCACGGGCGGGAATGTCGCGGCCTGTCATGAGCCACTCGGCCGCTGGAAGTCAGCTTGCGGTTGAGCGGTGGTGTAAAGAATGACTCACCTTTCTGCCGTCCGACGAGATAGACCAACCGCGGGAGACCGCCGCCGCCAGCAGGCACACCACGCTTCGCCTCGGGCAAGCTGAGGACTGCGCTTTCTCCAGCAACCACCACGTCGAAGTTGGTCAGCATCTCGACCGCTCCACCAACAACGATGCCACGGAGCGCAGCGATGATCGGCTTCTTGATCTTTCTTCGTGCAAGCCCAGCGAGGCCCGTTCCGCTCTTCGGCATGGGAGAGATGCCCTTGCCCTGCATATTAGCGGTAGCCGTCAAAGGCAAGACTCACAATCTCGATCAGATCTCCGCCGGCACAGAACGCCCGCTCCGTCGTCGTGCCCATGATCGCGCATCGCATACTCGGCTCGGCCTCGTACCAGTCCCAGAGCCTGTCGAGGGCCTCATTCGTGACTTTGTTCAGGGCATTCCATTGCCGCGGCCGGTTCAAGGCAACGTGCAGGATGTGCTCGGCGGGGAAGGTCACAACGATGTGCGCCTCGGAAGGGGTTTCGGGCGGCGGGGTTTGGAACGGCATGGTTGTCGATCTTCCGCCTGTATCGTTGTTCGTTCGATGAGCTGGCGATGGGAGGTAAGGTGATAGTCTATGAGCCTATGTATCTAGGTAGACGAAGAGCAAAGTCGAGGATGGAGCAACGTTTCCCGAAACGCGACGCTGGACGCGGGTATGGAGGCCCACTCTTTAGCCGGCTATCGAGGGGGCGGACATGGCCGACTGCCCATATCAACGGCGCGCTCGGCCGTAAGAGCCATTATCTAATCAACGCCTCCCCCTCCGGCCCTCCAACGAGTTCGGCTTCATCTGTCGCTGCAACTCCGCTCCGGACTGACATGGAACAGGCATCGTAAACAGTATCAGCAGGGCGTAGAGGAGTGGGGCGCTGTTGCACCGCAAGCACTCTTCGATCACCTCCACTGGTGTCACCCGTCCTCCATCCTCCCACTCCGACCACCCTCTGCAACTCCATTGTTCCGCCATCACGCCTCTTGGACGTCGCTTCTCCGCTGCCGCGTCCGCTCGGGCGCCGCCGCCGACGCCCCCGCCAGCAGAAACATGCATATAGCCCTTCCCGTTCGTATAACGGCTAGTATGCTCGCTTGTCATTACGTAACACGACCGCGGGAGATCGGAGTTCGATTCTCCGACGGGAAGCACAAGACGCTGAAGTGCGTCTGTTTTTGGCCCCATGGAGGGCGGAAGGGGGCTTGGGAGGTCTGCGAGGTGTGGGGAGCGTAAAGCGGGGGAGGTGGGGGAAAACAGACGGCGGCGGTGGCGGCGAGGGAAGGAGGATCGACGGATCACGCACGATCGAGCTCAGTGCATTTTGGATTGCGTCGACAGAGATCTCTGTTCCGTGCTCCACTTCTCCTTCCCCAATGTGTGAGCCGGTTGCTTATTGACCTCCCTGTGAAATGTCGTCGATGGTGCTGTTCTGGAGCGTTGCAAGGGGGCACGAGCGTAGCCGGAAGATGAGTCGCACGAACAGGATGGTGTGATCAGCACTTTGCGGTTCTCGTGCCCTTGACGACTGTGGAGCCCTCGAAGCGCCAAGTCGAGCGAGTGACGGCTACAAGGCTGGTGTGGTCTTATGGAGGAACGTGCCTGATAGATGATGTTGGGCCGTTGGAGATGATGAAAGTGCTCATGAAGCACTCGGCAGCGGACAGAGTCTGGCCCCTGCGATGGAGCGCTCCAGGAACGACAGAAGCGGACTAAGTCTGTTCGAATTGCTTCCCGAGATCTGGGTGCTCCGAACTCGTCGGACGTGATTGTTCGTTTGTGGTGAACCTGATGCGGTACGACACTCGTCCGCAATGAGCAATTGGCTGGGGCGTATCACAAACCGGTGTGTCTCACCAATTGCTTGTCACGTATGGGTGATCGCTAGAGTCATATCAATGATCCCATGCTAATCCAACTCTCCGACATGCTCAGTGTTCCCGAGATGGGTGCGATGTCCAGCCTCGCACGACCCGGATCGGGTGGAGTGGTTGATGAGGGCCTCCAGATCCGAGGTTGTGATTGGATAGATAGAGCTGCACGTGGCTATCAAGCTGCGGATCGCCTTATCAGTTCGCTGTGTCGGGCGTGGTAGTCTTGTGCAGAATGGCGCACTCTCAGCGCTGTCTTCCATCATATCTGGAATAGACAGGCATGCATGCACTCCATCCGTGCGTGACAGATCTTGGAGCCTGACGACGCCCAGTGGCAGACTGCGAAGCGAGCTGGTCAACCGGGGAAAAAGTCGGGTCCAAGAAGGTCTGGGCATTCCTTGGCGCTCGTCTGGGCCACCACCGTCTTTATACCAAGCCCCCCCACGCCCATGTCGCCATCGCCTTCTGCTGCAAATTTCTTCATCGTCCAAGACCTCCCCTGCATATCTACCGACAAATGATCGCCGTGCATGTTCAGAATGTCGCCATCGAACTGCGCTCTGTCGCAATATACATAACTCTCTCCGTCGCTCTCGATGCAGATCTTTGCTAGCTTGCAGATGCCAATGGAGCTCTTTAAATACGAAAGACATGCAGACGTTCCGAATCAGCACTCACCCCATTCCGAACAACAGCAATGTCGAAGCAGGAGGTCCTCTACCAGGAACACGATCCGGAGCACTTTCCTCCTCCGCCTAGCGAGACGGAGGGGCTCACTCTCGTGAAGGATTGGACAGAGGCAGAAGAGCGCGCCGCGAAGCGCAAGTGAGTCTCTCACGTGACCCACCTTCGTGGCACCACTAACTCCAGGCTCGATCTTATCATCATGCCGATCCTGACGCTGGGCTTCTTTTGCCTGCAGCTCGACCGCGGGAACATTGCGAATGCGCTCACGGACAACTTCATGAAAGACGTCGGCGTGAATCAAGACCAGTTCAACGTTGGGCAGCAGATGCTCTCGCTCGGCATTGTACTGTTCGAAGTTCCCTCTAACATGGCGCTGTACCGTGTCGGTCCCGCCAAGTGGCTCACGCTGCAGCTCTTCCTCTTCGGCATTGTCAGCACCTTCCAAGCCTTCCAGCACGGGTACGGCGCTTTCATTGCGACACGCTTCCTTCTCGGCATCACCGAGAGCGGCTTCATCCCCGGCGGTCTCTGGACACTGAGCACGTGGTACACGCGCACCGAGACTGCGAAGCGTGTCATGTTCTTCTACTTTGGCAACCAGATCGGCCAGGCGTCATCCAAGCTCCTCGCCTACGGTATCCTGCATATGCGCGGTGTCGCCGGCAAGCCGGGCTGGTTCTGGCTTTTCTTCCTCATGGGTCTCTTCACCATCGCGTCCGGTTTCATCTACGGTTTCTTCCTTCCCGACAGTTTCAGCAAACCTGGGTCCGCCTTCCTCCCCCGCGTCTCCTACTTCTCCCAGCGGGAGCTCGAGATCCTCCGCGCACGTGTTCTGCTCGACGACCCCGCCAAGGAAAAGAAGAAGAAGCACATCTCGCTGAACGGCTTCAAGCGCGCGTTCGGTAACTGGCGTCTCTGGCTGCACTTCCTCATCACGCTTTGCAACAATGGTCCGCAGCGTGCTTTCGACACGTACTCCCCTTCCATCGTCAACTCATTCGGTTTCAAGAACCTCGAGAGCAACGCGCTGGCCTCGGTCGGATTCTGGCTCCAGGTCCCCGTCTCCTTTATCTTCTCCTGGGTCAGCGACCACTTCAACCGCCGCGGCGAGACCGTCATTGCCGGCTTGGCGTGCCATATGACGGGCTACATCTTCAACCGCGCCTTCACCGAGCTGCAGGGCCAGAGAGGCGTCAAGTACTTCGGTGTCGTGTGGACGCAGACCTTCGGCACCTTCTCCCACCCCCTCAACATCGCCTGGATGTCCCTGACCGCGAGGGACACGGAGGAGCGGGCCCTCGCCATGGCGATGGTCATCATGGGGGCGAATACCGCGGGCATCTACGGCGCGCAAATCTTCCGCTCAGACGACAAGCCCAAGTATCGCCGTGGCTTTAGCATTGCCATTGCGATTCTCGCTTTCGGCCTCCTCCTCGCCGTGCTCAGGTACCTTGACAGCTTGCGCCAGCGCCGCAAGGCCAAGAAGCAGAGCGAGATCGTCGAAGCCGAGCACGGCAACACCACCTCATCGAGCGACGCTAGTATCGCCAGCGACGAGAAGAAGCTGTAGATTATCCAACCAACAGTCCCTCCTTATGTGTACCATGTCCCATAATGTATATAGTGCTTAGTATGCGATCGTATCATGTTCTCAGCAAACTCGAGCGGAGCCAGGCGGATGTTCGTGTCCGACGACCTCGGCATCCATCCAAGCGTGACAAACTGATAAGACACAGTATTGAGAGTGGGGGCACGAGCTAAGCGCGTTGTTTGTTCGCGGAGCAACTCCACTCCGCCTGACAGGCGTCTTGCTGGTGTTTGGTCGCCGATGCACCTCGACGCTAACCAGATACGGCAGTAATGCATGCCGTAAGCCGGCGACTTATCTTGTGCGCGCCTACGGAAACTCTGAAAACTGAGAAAGCCGAGCTGTTTACGCGCACGAGCTAGTCTGCACAGCCGCACACCCGCACCGGAGGTGGCTGGTTGGAGCTATCTTGACACGGTCTTGACGAAAGACGGCGATCCGTCCGTCGACATCTTTGCACTTCTGCACCACAGATGTGCGAAAAAAGTCAGTTCGAGACGAAAACCCATTCGATAATGTTTCTGCAGAGCATGGATTGTGCGTGGATGCGGCGTGGAACATGTTTATCTTCATTTTCGACGCGTTGTTTGGTGCCACGGGACGAAAACACAACCAACTGACGGCTTATCGGACCGATCACTAGTGGTTCCTGATAAGATAGGCGCGCGAGAAAAGTGGCATCACGCCTCTCCTTTGCGGGCTGAGGGCGATGTGTGGATGGGTGCATGCGCTCTGTGACATTCCTCCGCTGTCACTAGCGCAAAGGCTTTGCGGAACGGAGAGTATAAAGGGGCAGTTCCGTCGTCTTCAATGTTGACATCGCTCCATCCGCCATGCCCATCATACCCACCACCCGGCAGCTTCAGGCATGCCAGCCGGCCCGGGGGCCTCTCCCTGGTCCTCACCTCCGCGGCCGAGCACGCGCGAAACTGCTATGGTCCTAGTATGGTAATGCAGCCTGGGACTGGACCTGCTTACGCTCTACTGACGGCCGCACTGACCTAAGACGCAATCGACGCCGATGGAGACGGGCTGGATTGCTGACTGGACAACAAGCGCAGCGGATTTGGACAACCGTCTAGGGTGTAGGTGCTGGGTGGCGGGGAACGCTGTGCCGTCACAGCTTGGCCTCCGAAACCGGACCCACGCACTGTCCGGCGTCGGCGTCGGCTTTCGTGTCCGCCTTCTTAGTTCAGTGGCTAGAATTTTCCACTAGTAGTATCACCCTGATATGCTATGGAACGGTCACCCGTTCAATTCGGGTAGAAGGCAACGCCGACGCGTTGAGGGGTGTCCGAAGATGCTCAGCAGCGCTTTTTGGTCATTCTTCGGTCTCGGAATCGGCGGGCGGAACTCCGCTCCGCTCGGCGCAGCTCATCGTGCTCGGCCTTCTTAGTTCAGTGGCTAGAATTTTCCACTAGTAGCGGTGCATCATCGGACTATGGAACGGTCACCCGTTCGATTCGGGTAGAAGGCAGCCCAGAGCGGCGCATCAACCTCTTGCATACGCGAGAGGATGGTGCGAACGTTTCTTTTGGCATGTTGTGATTCGGCGTGGAGGTAAGGGATCGGATGGTGGCGCTGGGGCGGTTTGGGTCCGATGGGGTCGGTGTTTTGGAGGAAGGTAGGAGGCCGACTGATAAGATAAGGCTCCTGCATGTAAGCGCGCTGGATAAACTCGCTGGAAAGTCACCGTGCACGCCTACCAACGCGGGCTCGTAGACGGCGTTCCGGCCTTGCGGACCGATAAGATCAGGGAAAAGTCCGTCACGCAGTGGGGCGTCGTGGGGGCGAGAACACGCGGTGCCAAACGACTCGAATGCTATTTCGGCGCCAGCGATGTGCAAAGGTTTCAACATCACGGACCCATCGGAGATGGCGAGCAAGACGCTCCGCGACACTACGTGCTGGACCGAGCTACTGATGTGACGTTGCTGTTTTTTGCGCGCCTTTGAGCATCTTTTTACTGATCAGCTGACCACACACGCACTTTTTGCACGCCTATCGGTTTTCAACGATGTGGCTCTCGGTAATTTTCCACCTGTGGCTCTGTTGTTGGAACGTTTGAAGTTGTTACTGGCGGATCTGTATGTCCCGTTGATCAGTATCCCTCGTAGCTGCCATGGTTCACAACTCACAGCAGTGCCCCCTCGGTACGACAGAGTCCTTATCTCTCTTCTCACTTTCTCAGCGACGAAAATGCCCTCCCACGCGGGTATAAAAGGCAGCTCGTTCGAAACAGTTCGAAAAGACAGCTCCAACGCAATCGCCTCTCCCTCTTCGCTAGACCCCTCCCGCTAGAACCTCCTCGTAGTCACCATGCCTCTCATCCCCACCACCATCGAGACGCTCAAGGCCGACCTGGCCCGCGCTCCCGTCGACGATGTCTTCCTCATCCTCTCCGGAACTGAAGACGCAAATGGCCAATCCTGGTGCCACTACTGCAACCTCGCTCGTCCCGACATTGAGCGTGTCTTCTCCTCTGACGACAAGTGTGAGTGCAACGCCTTCCCCGTCGCCGTGCTGACAGAAGATACACTCGTGCTCAAGGTCGTCCGCGGCGAGCTCCTCTCCGAGTCCATGTTCTGGCTCGCCTCTTCGCTCCAGGTCCGCGGCGTCCCCTCGATCTACCGTTTCGCGCGTGGTGGTCAGCCTGTGGCCGGATGGGAAGACCACCTCTTCCAGCCGCACTGGGAGCCAGCCTCGTACCGCGCCTCCGACTTTGGTGCCTACCTGGACTGGTGGGCAGCGGGCGTGTCTGAGTTCGAGGACTTCCTCATTTCCTCTTCCTCAGAGCCGTACGTGCCTCCCGAGCAGCGCATCGAGGCCCTGGCGCAGGAGTGGGACGAGATGAAGACCATCATCGCTGCGCGCAAGGCGAAGCAGGAGAAGGACGACGCGTGGCGCCGCGAAAAGGCCGAGAAGGCGGCTAAGCGCAAGGCCCGCGAGCAGAGGCGCGCCAGCGAGCTCGCCAAGGCTGCTGAGGTCAACCGGCCCGCGCTCGCCAAGCTCGATCCCAACGTCTATGGCCGCCAGCAGGTCCGCGCCGCTGCGCTCAGACGACTGCGCCCCACGAAGGGACGGCTGCAGTACATCAAGTCTGTGCAGAGGGAGAACACGAAGGTCTTCTGCGACGGCGAGGTCTGTGTGCCAACTGCCGCGTGACTGTACTTCTCCCTCCGCTGCTCCATCTCGATTCCTTCTTTCGTTTCCATACGTGTTTCCGTAAAGATCGTAATACAAGTTGCCCGATGTTACTAGTAGCCCTTTTAATCATAGAGGAGCTGCAAATCTCAGCGCTGTGCCTTTGTCGTACAGTTGGAGAGATTCGGCCGTTCGTATATCATCTCCGGCAGGTGGTCAAATCATCCTATATGCTCTCAGAGTCACCGAGCGTCCATGCGCTGTCGGTCTGCCACTTGCTGGTCAGATGCACATCTAATAGCTCCCAATTCCAGCCAAGCGAGAGAGCGCCAATGTTTACAACCCTTGGAAGACGCGGCCCTCCAACTAGTTCCTGTTCGTATAACGGCTAGTATGCTCGCTTGTCACTGCCTATTTGACCGCGGGAGATCGGAGTTCGATTCTCCGACAGGAAGCTACCGAGCCTCTACACGAGGCATTCATCTTTTGTTGCTTGTCGGTGCGTCTTGACGGTCTGGTTGGATGACTTCGAAGGGTTGTTCAGGGTGCAGAGTTGACACAAACAACCTCCACCAAGCTCGAATTTTTGCTTCCGCCTGTTCGTTGTCACGTGATGAATTGCCTGCCTTTCGGCAACCGCGGGTAAACCGCGCTTGTGCCTTTGCGCCACCGGGGGATCAGCCTCGTATCTGGGAGTTCTCGGCCGTTAGCTCGCTGCTGGCTGCGGTGAGTGGTTCGGCGGAGGCCGTCGCTCGTCATGGGTGCTCGGCAGAAACGAGCGGGTGAGCCCCGCACAACTTCCTCACTCTTTCCTCACGTGGCCCCACATTTGTAAGCTACATGCTTTGTCCGGGTCCGGCGGCTCGCTCGTTCTCAGTGACAAACCGAGCCCCGTCTCTACATTCTTTTCTCCGCATACTCTGTCATTACTGATGCTCGACAATGACCGCAATACCTAACGAACGAGACGTCAAGGACGTCTCCATTGCCCCCGATGGAGCGATCGTGGAGGACGACAAGCGCTCAGCGGCCATGAACTCGCAGTCGACACTCACGCCCACCGCCCTCCCCGAGGGATGCAGCTATGGCGACCTCGACGGCGAGCGCGTCATCTGGGTCGACTTTCCGCCCGGATCAAAACACAACCCGTTCTACTACCCAAAGCGGGTCAAAGTGTGCATTGTCATCTGCACGCTGATCTACACCTGGTTCTGCTGTAAGTTGTCCCCTTAACCCCCACCCGGCCTGGCAAGGAATCGCACGGCACGCACGGACCGCGGACCGCAAAAGTCCGGATCAACTCAGCGATTCTGCACATGCCTCCGGCCTGCTGAGTAACCATTCCATGCAGTCCAGCGACCCGGAACCGGCGCTCAGACGTGTGCTAACGTCAGCCTCCACCGCGTCCGCCTTTGCCATCTCGGCGAACTCGATGTGCCAGGAGCTCGGATGCAGCACAATTGAGGCGCAGGCGGGTATCGGGCTTTACGCCTGGGGAGCAGGCATCATGCCCCTCTTCATTGCGCCGATCAGCGAGGAGTTCGGTCGACGGCCAATCTACCTGACAGCAGCGGTCACTTTCCTCCTCTTCCATGTCATGAACGGCGCGTGAGTTTCCCTTATCCCCCCTCTCACTCGCTATTCGCAACTAACGCTCAGGGCGAAGAACACGGCTACCGTTCTCGTATCCCGATTCATGGCGGGTCTTTCCGGCAGCGTAGGCACGAGCATCGTCGGCGGCACGCTCAGCGACATCTTCATTCCCGCGCAGCGGGGCCTGCCGATGCTCCTGTCAGGTTTCTGCCTGTACCTCGCCACGGGCACGGCGGGAACCATGTTCGCATATGTCGACTCGCGCGTCGGCTGGCGCTGGGTCTGGTGGGTGCACGTGATTGGTCTCGGCGCCTGCCTGCCCATGTTTATCTTCACGATGCCAGAGACACGCTCGGGCCTCATCTTGCGCCGCCGCGCGAGGAAACTGCGCAAGGAGAGGGGCATGCGTGATGGGGCGCGATACCTCTCGCACGACGAGGTGGAGAAGGAGAAGTTCTGGCCCGCGCTGAAGCGATCAGCCACGAGGCCGCTGTACTTCCTCGCGACAGAGCCGATTGTCACTTTCTTCTCCCTCTGGGTCGCCCTCGCCTGGTCCGTCATGTACGTCCAGATCGAGGGTCTGCCCTACATGATGCGGCACATCTACGGGTTCCACCTCGAGGGTGTTGGGCTCATGTACCTCACGACCGCGATCGGAAGTGTCTTCGGTCTCTTCGCGGGTAAGGCCCAGGAGAAGCTGTATAAGCGCATGGCACCGAAGAAGGGCGTTGAGGCGAGACTGTACGGCCCCATGGTGGCCGGTGTCGTCTTTGCCGCCGGCTGCTTCATTACGGGCGCGACCGCGTCAGCCGACGTACACTGGATCGGCAGTGCTATCGGCCAAGTCATCATGATCGCGGCCATCATGACCATCTACGTGACGGCGTTCACGTACGTCTCCGAGTGTTACGGAACGTACGCGTCCAGCGCTATCGCTGGCCAGAGCACATCGCGTAACATGATCGGAGGCGGGTTTGCGTTCGCGACCGACGCCATGTTCCGCTCTATGACGGTGCGCTGGGCAATCATCATGATGGGCTGCATTGCTGCGTTGCTTGCGCTCGTGCCGTTCATTGCGTACTTCTACGGTCCCGCCATCCGTGCCCGGTCGCCCTACTCCCGCGCCCTGATGCAGCAGGAGAAGGACGCACTCGACGCCGAGCGCATACAGAGAGAGGCGATGGGCATCAACATGGACGGCGTGGAGGACTATGAGGGCGACGCGAACGAGAAGACGATGGACGAGGCGGTTGTCGCTGAGGAGGCGCGGCATGCGGAGCACGAACAGCGGAACGAACAGCGACAAGTTGAGCACGCACGGCATCATGCGGAGCACGAACAGCATCGTCATCAGCATCAAGGGACTTAGACTGGCATCTGAACTCTGACAGCATTGTACACATATCTCATGCACAGGTTATAATGAGCACCAGGCGTCCATTGTCCCCCTCAGACACGCGCATGCGTCGCCCCAGTACTACCACTGATATAACGTGCTCTTCTTCATCCCATCTCATGATCGGCAATCACCTTGTCCCGCCCCACACCTCCAACCTTACCGGCACAGCGAACGATGCCCAAACCTATGCCCAAACCGGTGGCCGAACCGATGCCCGGACCGATGGCCAAACCGGTCCCCGATACCGACGCCGACGGCGCCCTGCTCATCTCCATGCAAGCCCGGCTCGACGAGCTCCAGTCCGCCCTCGCAAAGGACAAGGCAGTCTGCCGCAGCGCAGACGCAAAGGTGCTCCATGAGCAGAACGCGGCGCTGGTTGCGGGCATCAGCGAGCTTGAGAAGAGAGTGTATCACTACAACAAATACGCCAATGCCCTTAGCGAGCTGGCGACGGCTCAGCAGAATCTCATTGTCCGCCAACGCGATACGATTTTCGCGTTCAGGGCTAGGGACGACGTCAAGGCGAAGAGGGAGGGGAGGACACCGGCACCATTCCTTTACTCGAAGGGCGAGCCCACTGCTGCCGATCTGCTGGCCATCGCGAACTCACAGCTGGTACTCTGCTGTGACAGCTTGCGTGCGTGTAAGAAGAAGTTGGTAGCCCTCAATAACAAGAAGGACGGGGAGGCTGAGAAGGAGGAGAAGGAGGGCGAGGGAGAGGGAGAGGAGTTGCGGGACAAGCACGCGGCGGTTCAGCGTCAGCTAGACGTTGTGTTGAGCGCCTTCATCGTACTCACGGTTCACGCTCAGCGCCAAGTCCCCACAATCCAAGAATATGGGCTTCCCTCAATCTGAGTTCGCGTTCGTTGCCCCCTTCTCGCACCCGCCTGCTGCCGCGCTCGGCGCCGCCGCCGGCGCCCTCGCCGGCGCTCTCGCCATCAACCACCGTCTCTTCGCTAGTATATCGGTTAGTATAATCGCCTCTCAAACGAGAGTTCCTCCGTACAAGTGGTCGCGATAGAGCAGGGTTCGACTCCCTGGCGGAGAATTGGATCTCCTAGATCCTCCTTTTGCTCGTTTTGGGGACTGTTGGGACTGGACGAGGGGCGTCGAACGAGCGCGGGATGCTGATGACAGGACATATCCTCTCGTGGCTGGCCGCTCGCTTCTGAGTGCGTATTCTTTGTGTCTTGTGAAGTAGAGCTCGAGTACTGTCGGATGCATGATGCTGGGTCGAGGGCGAGTGTTGCTCTGGAAGTACGATGCATGACGCTTGTCCTCCGTCGTGGATGAACGTGACACCCCTGCGACCCGATCGCCACTACCCACACACGCCCGCAACCGCCGCGTCAACTCGAGTCAATGGTCCACACATACCTGTCGTGCTATCAGCATCACTTCACGCTGGCAACTCTGCATCAACCCCCCACCCGACACCGTCCTCGATGGCTTCCATCATTGACGACTATCACCCCGACGGCCCGCTCGGCAACTTCTGCCTCCTCCCCTTCGTCGACGAGGCGGAGGCGAACCTCCCTCCCGCCACCCACATCCCAAGGCACGACAAGAAGCGCAAGGCCAGGAGACGCACCCATCCCGAGGGGCGGGAGTCCAAGCGCCGTGGACGTGAAGCAGCCAGCCAGTCCTCCGTGCCCGACGCACCTGACGCCAGCATGACCAGCCACCAAGACGATGCTGATCGCGTTCTGGTCGCCGAGAATGACCGTCTGAACGGGCTGATCGCCAGGCTCCAGGGTCAGCTCACGGGATACGAGCAGCGTCAGAAGAAGAACATGGCCCGCATTCGCAGCCTCGAGAAGGCTCTGCAGGTGCAAGAAGCCATCTCCCACAGGCATGCCCAGGAGCTTGTGCGTCGAGACGGCAAGGAGAGGATGGTCTCCGATCACAAAGGTGCCAGTGAACAAGAGCAGGTGAGCAAGGCCCAGCTGCAGCACGGCTGCATCCGTCAGATGCAGCGTCCCCGGCCCTACGACGGGCACGTCAAAGATGAGAAGGTCACGCCTCACTTGACCACGCCCCACTCCGACCAAGACACTGTCAAGACAGAGCCAGGCACCGATTCCCCCTCGCCCTCCGACTTCGATCTGGCCCGCCTCAGCATCCACGACAAGCACCCCGCCCTCGAAGTGATGGAACGCACCCGCCTCTCCCTCGCCACATGCATTCAGGACATGAGCGCTCTTCCGGGCCAGCGCCTGACGCACGGTGACCGCGACTACAGGGCGCTCTGCGCCGTTCACTACGACGTCACTTTGCAGATTCGCCAGCTCGAGAGGTTGTGTGCCAAGGCGACGCCTTGAGAGTTGCCTCCCCAAGGCGATCCAACAGTGCCGTGAACATGCGTATGCAATGAACAATGGAGGTCAGAGGCTAAACTGAACCTCAGTCACTAATCTTCTCAATATCATACTAAGCTGCAGAACACTCACCACAGATCCACAACGCATGCTCAGAATGGAATGAGGCTTCGAAAATTCGTCGACTCCCATGCAGGTGAGCTTCAGCGCATGGTTTTGACTGACGATCCTCCACTTGCGCCCCACCTCCACATTGCAACCCTCCACTCTCCGCAAGCCACCGCAACCCTTCCCACAAGACGAACAACCATCAACCATCCCTTGACGTTCCATGCATGCAAGAACAATCCAAAAACGAGAGAATGCCCGGGATCGAACCGGGGACCTACAGATGGTTGCGCAATTGCAATCTGCCGCTTCTACCGCTGAGCCACATCCTCCTGAGCTGTTGTGCTCGGAAGGAGGGGCGCCGGCGGCGCCACCGCCGCAGCGCAGCCCGCACGAATCGAGGTCGTCCTTCTTCAACGCTACGTCCCGAACTCACAGCTGCAACAGACAACCTCTAGGTATTTCGCCGTGGGGGTTCTCAAATTGGAGGCTTCGGAACCACAACCTCAGTGGAACCGGCGAAACCGCCCTTCCGACGATCCAAAAGGGGGCGTCGTACTCCGTCCATGCTCACAACACTCTTCCTCAATCTCGTCCACCCCATCGGGCTTCCCCCTCCAGCAGCGCCGACCAGTGGGAAGCACAGGAGTTCCAAAAACGAGAGAATGCCCGGGATCGAACCGGGGACCTACAGATGGTTGCTGAAGTTGCAATCTGCCGCTTCTACCGCTGAGCCACATCCTCTGAGTCGTCGTCCTCGTCGACAGCCGCCGCGGCGGCGCCCCGGCCGACAGCGCGCGCGCGATCAAGCCCGCCAGGAGAGCAGTTCTGCATTGATTACCGCTACCTCTGGCTGCCCTTGGCGTCGGCTGATACGCAATCCAAACTCACTCATTGCCAGTATTTGAATGCGCCCGTCGCTGCTCAGGAACGACATAAGACCGATGATCGGCGAGCCAAAAAGTGCGCAGGACTCCCGTGTTGCTGACACCATCGAGACTTCGTCTGTGCCCGGCCTCCTGGTGAGTCTTCCACCTCTTCCAGGCCCTCCTGCAAGCGCAAGACACTCAAAAACGAGAGAATGCCCGGGATCGAACCGGGGACCTACAGATAATTGCTTGGATTGCAATCTGCCGCTTCTACCGCTGAGCCACATCCTCCGAAGGCAGGTTGCTGATCGCCGGGATTGGCGCCGGGGCGTCGCCGACTCCGAGACCCGACCACGTCGACAAGGAGATGTGCAAGAAGATCACGACACGCCCGGCTGACTCTACGGAGCGAGGATGGTGGGGGTTGTGTTCTTTAACCAATGCACGGGCGCGCGTTATTGCCGGACTACTTCATCTGGGAGACGCCCCTCGCAGCTTCTAAGCCGGCAGCCTCTAACCCTTCCAACGCCGCCCCGCTATGCCTTCGGCGGCCGCCGAGCGCCGAGCGCTCACGACGCCCTTCGGATGCCCAACATCAGAAGGCGAGATGGCCGAGCGGTCTAAGGCGCTGTGTTAAGGTTCTTCACCTCGGATCTCCGAGGCCGACGTTCCCTCCGCAGTCTTCGGACGTGGGTTCGAATCCCACTCTCGTCAAGCGAGTGGTCGCACACTCCCTTACGCCAACCTTTTTCGATGCTGCTCGGAACAATCGAGTCGCTGAGGGAGGGACACGAGAGATGGTATATGCGGGCGAAGTTCAAGTATCGTCTGACCCCGGCCTCGGCCTCTCCTTCAACCATACCCTTTGCGCGGGTCCGCTAATGACAACTCGACTAACATTGTGCATGATCGCAGACGCCAGCTTCACATGCATGGGATTACGCGACAAGGCTGGCAGTTGGGCTGTCACTTGCGATGAAGTTGGGTCCGGCGCAGTACTCAATGCAACGCAACGTCACTCTTGGACCGGCCGCCCCGCGCGGAGGGATCTCCTCACAGCACCCCAGCTCCACATCTCCAAGTTTGTCGCGTCACTACATTCAGTGTCAGGCCTTGTGGAAGCATCCCGCACGAATACAGGCCGTAGATTCTCAAAAAGTCGAGAGAATGCCCGGGATCGAACCGGGGACCTACGGATGGTTGCAAGTGATTGCAATCCGCCGCTTCTACCGCTGAGCCACATTCTCTAAGGCACGATTGCTACGGAGATTCGGAGCCGGCCCGACCTGCCGGGATCCGTGAATGCGCCCGCATTGCGCTCGTTCGCGATCGTTCGTCTGTTGGCACGCGCGCAACGGCGGATTTTGTGGTATGCACGACTTGTGGCTCGTGCTCTGCAAGCGTAGTGGTTGTGGTAGATGCGCACGTCGCGGGGGAATGGCTTGGTGACGGGTGTGAAACGGGGCGCAAGGGGCGCAGTAAGAGCCACTCATGACGGCTCCTCTGGCGATCTGGCTCCATTCTGGCACACAACATCCACGTCAGCTCATCGTCTCCGCTTCCGCCTTCCTCTCAGCTTCGGTCTCTTCCTCATCAATCTCTTCTTGCATCGCGTCCATCGCGCCATCGCCTCTTCACCGCCTCCACCGCATCTCACCACCACCCCATCTTTCTTGGTCCTGAACCCAGCCACTGGTCAAGACCCTCCACAATGGGCTCGCCAATCCCCAAGGAAGAGCAAGACCGCACGCTGCGAGCCTTGACTTAGGAAGTCCTCGCTCTCGACAACACTGCGAGTCACCAAGCAGACACTACCGCGACTAGTGAGGGGCTCGAAGTCAGTGTCAAACCCTTCGGTGGCGATGCGGAGTCGCGCAGTGGTTCACCTAGGCCGAACCTGACCCCTGGCGTCAAGCGCAAAGCAGATGACGACATCGACCTCGACGAGTTCACAAGGACAAAGGCGCACCTCGTCAGCTTCCTCACGGGCGTCATCTCGGCATTGGACGAGACCAGCTTCGACGATGCTGACGCCAAGGCCCCTCACCGTCCCTTGGCAACTCCTCACCGGTCGTCTGAGCCCCAGCATGAACACGGCGATATCTTCGCGGGCGTCAACTCTTCTCCCAAGCAGCAGAGCCGGCCCGCCTCGGCCATCAACATCAACATCGGCAGTTTAGGGGGTAGCACCAAACAAACTGCCAGCGAGAAGGTCACGAGCTCGCTCACCGCTCTCCGAACCCGTCTTAACGCAATTCAGGACGAAGTTGACGTCCGCAAGGCGACCACAAATATGGTTAAGCTCAAGAGCAGCGTACTCAGCAGCCGCGTGAAGAACCTCACCGGTCGGCCCACTGATGTCGAGGTGTACGCCTCCGTGCTCTCGGGGTATGAGGCGCGCCTTCAAGAGCTGCTATTCGACCATAGCCTACTTTCGCACGAGATCAACGCTGCGAAGACCGAGCTGCATGGGCTTCACACCGCGATGGCGCAGTGTGAGCGCGAGACCAGCGACCACCGCAGCGACAAGGCGTACCTGAAGGAGCTGCTCGACATGCGGACGGACCAACTGCGCGCCCAGGGTCGCGTCATTTCGGAGCGTGACGAGCAGCTAAGAGCGATGAGGAAGGAGCATGAGAGGGAGGTGTGGAAGTTGAAGGAGCGTCACGCGGCTGAGCTCAACGGATACAAGAAGGGGCAGGCAACGCTGCAGAGGAAGCTCTGGGAGAAGGAGAACCCCGGCAAGACTCTTCCCCATGGTTTCTTGCAGAACCGTTTTGTCACCAAGTGATATGACCGCCAGATTGACTTCGACCAATAGTGCCAGTTGCCTTCGGACGAGCATGCATGTCTGTATGGGCCTGTTCAGGGCTCAAAGCCCCCTGATAAGGAGGCCGCAACCGTCCCCTCTGACGTCAGTCACCGATGCATACCTTCTTTGCACAGCATAGATGACCTCCACTTCATCATACAGATAAACTCAAGTACGACGGATCCGAGCTTCGGTGCTAGCGGAGGGAAATCGATCACGGAGCCGCCGAGCACCATCTCAACCACCCATCGCCGAGCACTTAAATTCACGCCGAGAACTGACTCCACATCCACCAACGCAGCCACCAACGCAGCATGACTCTCTACCTCCTCACTGCTCTCGTCGCCACCGTTCAAGCAGCCATTACACTGCATCCCAACGGTGACGCGTCATACTGCCTCGACGCTCGGGGAGACGCGAGCAACGGCCCCAACAATCCCGTCATAGCCCGCACGTACGTTCCGCCGACGACAAGAGCTGACAGCAGCCGCCCCTGCGAGCAGACGGGTGGATACCCGATCCCCTCGCAGGTGTTCGACTGGCGAGGCACCGAGCTCCGACTGGACGAGACCGACCCGCCGCGCTGTCTGCGCAGTACCAGCGGGCTCGCATCGCTCGGCGACTGCGACTCTCAGAGTTGGATCTATGACAATGTCTACGAGGTCATTCGCGACGGGACGGAGGGACTCTGTCTTGATCCCCTCGAGATCGGCGGGATGGTTCACATATCAGAGTGCCAGCTGTGCCCGTCCGTCATGAACTGGACCATTACTGAGCTGTGAGTGTGGAAGTCGAGGAATGCAGTCGTCTCACGGCCTCGTTATCTAGCCCTGACCCTCATGTCGCGCCTGCCAGCGGCGCACAGGGTAAGGGACTGCGATCAGGGATTCAGTCGTATGCATGAGATCGATGCTCTAATCTTCATGCTGGGAGGACAGGCTCAGGTTGTACGTAGGACCTGTTTCAGAGACCCCATCCTGGATCGTGGCGAAGTAGTACATGCCTCTCGCCGCAGGAACAGAGACATTACCGCGGAGTTCTGTCCCGTTCTGGCAATCGTGATAGGTGCCGGGTATGACGGCTCCTGCGGTCTTGACCATCAACAAGCCAAGATGTCCTTGGGAGAACGGGAACTCGTCGGGTATGATGGGTACCCAGACTCGCTCGGCGAAGCCCTGGTCGGGGGGCATATTCAGCGACTTATAGTCACCAGTGACGGGCATGCCGCTCTCGGCAACCCAGAGCGGCTTGAAGTAGAAGCGCTTCTGGGACATGGAAATGAGGCAGGGACTGCGGCTGATGCGGGAGCAGAATTCGCCGTTCCCAATGACGAGGTTGGGCATCTCGGTGTCGAGATGCCACTTGCTCTGGTCGTCGGGGACGAAGGAGGTGCAGACGGGGTCCTGTTCGAGCTGGCCACTGACGCCGCCGAGGAGCAGAAGGGCGACACAGGCAAGCGGGAGCCAGCCTAAAGATGGCTTCATCCCCGGCGCCGCCGATGGTATCTCCGACCGCGTATTCGTGTAATCTTGCACGTAGCACTTGACGTCGGTCACGTTGCCTTGCTCGGCTAGACACTGGTTGAAGGCTGTCGCATTTCCGATCCCGAGGAGGCAGGCGCTAGAACGTCCGTCGAGTGCGGAAGTGGCATTGCCGGATGGGCAACACTCATCGTTGAGCGTAGCGTTCGTGGGGAAGGTGCAGTTGTACCACATACTGTCAGATGTGATTAACGGGGGCATGCATGATGGTCACAACCTTTGCTGATCAAAAGCCATAGTCAGGAGACAGGTGGTTCAATCGTTAGCAACGCCGATGTCCTTAAGCTCAGCACCGAGGTTTCAGAGTTCGGTGACGTCGTGCTTCGGTCAGGTGATGATAACTCGTCAGACAACGTACGCAGCGTTCACACACACACACCACATGCTGTGCAGCCTCGACCTCCCCAGATAGTCAAACTATCACTTGTGGTTGCAGCCGTCACAGGCCATGGTCGACTCGGGTCGTGCCTGGAAGCAAGCCACCGAAGTACTGACCCGAAGTTACTTCCAGTAAGTGGAGCACTTTGCCTTCCCTCGACATGCAGACTGGATGCAGACTGGATGCAGTGCATGCAGTCACTACACAATCCCTAGGCGAGAAAGCAGCGATGTCACTTGCTGCCACCATCCTGATACTGCCAAATGGGCATGGTCTCGTTCTGTTGCTGGTCCGGCCCAGTAGGTGGAGCGGCCTTCTGCCAGGTCGTGAAGTAGTATAATCCTCTGGCTTCGGGAACGGTGACGTTGCCGCGGACTTCAGATGTGCCGTTCTTGCAGTCGCGGAAGACACCGGGGATGATGGCCGCATTGGTTTTGGCCGCGGTGAGGCCAAAGTGACCCCCGGCGACGGGGAGCTTGTCCGGCATATAAGGAATATACACCTTGTCCGCGAAGGCGCGATCCGTCGGTAGAGACAGGTCGTCGAAATCACCGGTAACGGGCACGGGTCCTTCTGGTCCATCGGCAGACCATACCGACTCGAAGTAGAAGTTTTTGCCATCCATACTCAGCATGCACCCTTTCAGTCCGGCACCGCACCCGATTGCTATGGATGTTATGACATGCTGTGTCTCCGCGGTGAGGTTCCAGGAGCTTTGGTCATCCGGGATGAACTTCGTGCACACTGGGTCCTTCGCCGGCTGAACCTGCCCGAACACACCGTTAAGAAACAGGAGCCAGATGCAGGTGACAGTCGCCCAGCCCAGAGGCTTGGAAGTGGCTCGAATGGTGGCAGAGTCCGAGGGTTTATTTGACCAGTCTTGCAGGTAACATCGGACGTCCGTGACGTTAGTGTCCAACAGGCATTCGTTGAACTGCGTTGCGTTTCCGAAACCGAGTGAACAAGCGCTTGTTCCCTGCTGGAGAGCGTCGGTGACGTTGCCGGCAGGACAACACGCGCTGTTGACAGTGTCGTTCTGAGGAAAAGTGCAAGTGTACCACATCGTTGAGTGAGCGATTCCAAGTTGAGCTGTAGTAGCGCATCTTGTTCAGGCGAACAGGATCTCCACTTGAGCTCGTGAACAATGTTTCACAATCGATGGCTGGATGCTGGAACATGGGAGGGGCATCAAGCAGGTGCCTGGTAACCACGACCAGGCAAACCAGGCCGGCAACGGTTCCCTATGCTGTACCTTGCGAGCGGCCCGGCCATGACACGGCGATGGCGTCGTTGAATGTCGGCGTCTTAATCGTTGGTCCAACGGGAACACCTGCCGAATTTCGGATAGCTTATCAGCTTATCAGTCAGCCGAAGACATTGTTGATCGGAATAACTTATTTTACGATCCGACGTTACCAACTCCAGCCCCGGCATCTGTTGTGAGGTTGTGAATGCTGTGGTCGCCAGACGTCTGAAGTAGACACCTTCGTAGGTCGAGGATCGAAGAAGCGCGCTTCCCCAGGGCACTTCGGCTGATGTTATTGGAACTGGCGTGGGAGGTTAGATCCCGCGATCCGCCCCTGACGGCGACGCCCTCTACACACCCGTCCTTGGCACATCGAACGATCCTCACTTCCTCGTCGGCAGCGTACTCTTCACCACCACTCCCTCGATCCTGTCAAGCCCTTGTCTGGTTGTGCAACATGGTGGCTGGACTCATCGGGCACCTTTCTTCTGCTTCTTAGATTTCCAACCCAGACGATTCTGAGCATTCTCCCCAGCACGCCCGGCGACTACCCATCCACCGGTCTCTCGTCCTCCATGGCTATCACAGCTTCGATCGCAGGCGGAAGCCCGGCTTAGGAGACCTGCTCTCGCCGCTCGCACTCGACAGTCTTCGTGTCATCTGCGCAGTCTCTCAATCATCCTTTGCCCATCGACAGCGCGAGTCACTCAACTCGTAGTCTCCAAGATCGCCTTCAGGCAGCCGAGCTGAAGAATGCCATCAGCGACGCAGTCATTTCGGCTCTCCGCGAGGAGTTGCGTCATGCGCAGGCAATGATAGCGGCTACCGCCCGTGAATGCACTCTTGCCGGTGTCGGAGCTCCGTCCGAATCCGATAAGCTCATGTGTCTGGATGATGACCGAACCGTGGTCAGCATGGACACCATCTCGCTCCACAACGCCAAGGCCACACAGTATGGGCCAAACGAGAATCATTCCGAGGAGAACGCCCTTCGAGAGCAGGTTGTTTCTCTGGCCCAGCGTCTCCAAGCGGCCGAGTTCAGCAAAGAAGACAGCGACCTGAACTTGGAGGAAGCGGTGCAGAAGAATGGCCACCTCATGATGAAGGTCACGCAGCTGCAGGAGCAGCTTCAACATGCACGCAACGCACTCACAAGTATCGACAGGGACCTGCACCAATCCAATGCGGAAAGAGATCGCCTGCGCAAGGAATTCGCCGCCACTGGAGCCAGCGACGAGCCCACGAGTTCTAGGGCGGAGACAGTCCGGCTGCGTGACGAGCTCGCCAGTACTGCATCACAGAAGCAGCTCCTCGAGTCGAAACTCGACTTCTTGAACCGCGACAACAAGCATCTGAGGTCTACGAATGCCGAGCTGAGGGCCAAACTCCAGGAACGAGATGTCAAGCAGCCCATTCCGACTCCAGAGCAGGCCACCCCTCCTCCACAACAGCTCGCCCCCAAGCAGCAAAGCCCAGAACAGCCGTTGCCCAAGCAGCTTACCCCCAAGGAAACGACCAACGCATCTCAGTGCCCAAGTGAAAGTGTGCCTTCTAGCTCGGCGGCCTCAGACTACGTCGAGTGTGAGGTCAAGCTGCCCAGCATCAACTTCCGACGTGTACTGGATCTCAGCGAGAGACTTGACGACCATCGGCTCGCATTTCGTCACAGCAACAAGTGGTACTACGCTGTGACCGAGAGACATCCCCTTACCCGACCCCGCCTCGTCCTTCTGCGGGAAGACCTCCAATGGCACGTCGACTTCATGAACGAGCTCACTGAAGAGCTTTCTTCCATGTTTATGCCTACTCCTGATCACGTGGACAAGTCCTCCGAGCTCGGCAAGCTCCGAGAGAGGGCTTCCAAGATTGCTGATGCGGTTTCAGACTGCACGGCGCTGCAGAAGTCAGCGGTGGGCGCTTCGCCGGGGGAGCTTTCCCGTATCACCGCGGAAGTCCAGCTCTTAAGCAAGACAGAGATGGAGGAGCTGCTCCCCGTCGTCTACCGCTGCATCCACCGCCTTCGTAAAGAGAAGGCTGATACATCTTCCATTGGGCTGTAGTGTAGTGCGATTCTCCTCACACAGTAGCCTCTACTGTCTACTATGCATCGCCCGAGCTCGCTCATCTGACGATGGGGACGATGTGCTTAGGTACATACAGGAACACACCTGATCCAAAATTCATGACATGCATGTTAATTTCGTTGTGCTTCAGCGAGAGTAACTCTGCACGGATTGCAAAGCATGGGATCGGATAGTTTCCCGAGTGGTGCGGTCGCCGCCTCGAGAGTGCGAACGTGAGGTGCGAGCAACCGTCAACTATCAATCCGATCTGCGCTCAACACGCCATCAGCCTCGGTCATGGACATGTGACCAGGGGCATCCTGCACAGCATTACTGTCACATACCCTTCGGAACGCGCGAGTTGCCCATGGGTGTCCATATGGAGCTACGTTGTCCTGTCATCAGGTCATGGCAGCCCCTGGCCACACATGTCGAAGAGGCTCCGCTCCGTCGACGGCATGTAAGCTTCGTGGGCACCGCCTTGCACGTCCTAACGGAGAGCATGTGGTCACAAGGACGAAGTACAGCATGTCTTACGCCAGGTCACAGAGGCTGCCGTACAAGGCAAGCATGTGATCAACATGCAATCGCCCTGCCAAGCGGACCGAGCAAACCAGGTGGAGCCGGAGCCCCTGCGCTAATCATCCCTGACGTTATCATGTGACGATAACACCAATCTCGGTAACTTACAGACCGAGGTTTTTTCAGCCTCAGCGACTTGTTTTCCTGAAAAGTCGCATGCCTTCTCAGCACTGTGGGGCCTCGGAGACCTTGCGGTCTTGAAAGTAAGTTGCATAGTCTAGTACATTTCGACTGCACACGTCCGGCATCAAGCAGAGGCGTTGAGAGCTACGAGTGCGAATCCTGCCATGTTGGCGGTGATTCCGTATCGGGTGACGGGCCATGGGGATCCTGCGGAGATCTGACAGTGGCGTAGTAATACAGTCCACTGGCCTCAGGAACTGTGACGTTGCCTCTGTACTCGGTGCCGTTCTGGCAGGCTTTGTAGGTCCCAGGGATGATTGCTGCGTTCATTCTAATCGCCATGAATCCCGAGTGCTGGGGTGCGAAAGTGAACTCGTCGGGCACAGCTGGAGGCCATACCTTCTCGGCGAACTTGCGATCCTTCGGCAGGTCAAGCGATTTGTAGTCGCCTGTAACGGGCACAGGTCCGTCGGGCCCACCCGCGGCCCACTGTACCTCGAAGTAGTACCGCTGCGGGTCTCCCGTTCGGACCTTGCAGTGGCCCGGAGAGCCGCACATCACGGCGTTGGAGATTGAAAGCTGCGGCGTAACGGCGTCGAGGTTCCACGTGTCTCGCGCATCGGGCTCGAACTTGGTACACACTGGGTTTTCGGCCGGAGGCTGGAGAGCTGTCACTCCACTGAGCAGAAGGAAGCCGAGGAAAGCCATTGCGAACCAGCTCACTCCCTTTGCGACTTGCGGGTATGCAGCGGACTCGTCAGGCTTTGTGTTCGACCAGTCCTGTAAATAGCATTTGGGGGCCGTCACATTGCCTGTCTTGTAGAGGCAGTCCGTGAATGCGGTTGCTCCTCCGAGATCGAGTAGACACAGGCTGTTCTCCCCAGCGGCGGAGGCGTTGCCGGAAGGGCAGCAGTTGGTGTTGAGTGTATTGTTTTGAGGGAAGGTGCAGTTGTACCACATGTTGCGGAGGTTGATGTGATCATAACCCGCGGCATATCCTTTAGTATGCCTTCGAGTCTCTGCGTAGTATGTCAACGCGATATCTCACCTGAACAGCTGACCTCGGTGCCAGGTTGTTGGAGCAGGGGAGCATTGTCGATGCGCAGCAAGAGACCGAGGGTAGTAAAGCTTACGCTCGCTGTGGAGCCCGAGATCCGGCTCTGGGTCACTTCGTCCGCACTCACGCCCACGCCCACCGTCACAGAAATCACTCAGGCACAGATAACACAAACCCGATTAAGCAACAACGCTGCGCAGGTACCGAAGGGAGTTCGGGTGGCAGCAGCCAGGCCTGAGAGAGAGTCCACTAACTTATAGCTGTTTCTGCTCTGTAACCAAATTGATAGTAAGCATATGAGCCAGGGAACGCGTGCGAGACTGTGCGACGGACCTCGCCTTGCTCTTGTCCAAGCAGCACGATACCGCCCGAGAGGACCCTCTCTCATATACGACCAGGCTCCTAAGCACCTACCTTCTCTGAGACGTCAGCACATCTAATGCTCCGCCGTGTGCTCTGAAGTCCTCCTTCACGGCAACTTTACCAGGCGACCATTCAAGTTCCTGCCGCACTGGCGGACATAGTATGCCGTAGCCCCAGATTCAGCCACACATCAGCAGCTTCAGAAGCACCTCTTCGCTAGTATATCGGTTAGTATAATCGCCTCTCAAACGAGAGTTCCTGGCTTCCAGTGATCGCGATAGAGCAGGGTTCGACTCCCTGGCGGAGAATTCTTTTGCCTTTGAGGCGCACGCATGGTTCTTTCTCTGGTTCTGGACACCAGAGCGGGTGCGGCAGAATTCCCGAGGCACCGCAGCATGCGGGGTGGGTGGTGCAGAGTCTGCTGCGGTGGAGGTGGAGGCCGATCGGAATCTAAGCATCGTGCGGATCAACATTTGTCCATCTCCTCTCTTCCTCAAACAACAGTCGCGGGCGACTCACAGCGCTGTGCTCAGCGAAGCAGACTTTTTGTAAGTCGGCAGGCTCTTCTGCAGCTAACCTCAGCCGTCCACCCTCTCCGCGACACCACAACCTGAACTTTGCACCCTTCCCTCGACTCATGAGCGATCAAGCAGAGTCGGCCCAGCCCCAGGCGCCGGCTTAGTACGCTGCTCCTGGCTCTGCAGAGCACTACTCATCGTTTCCGCCTCCCGAGGGTGTTAACCGAAAGCGCGTCCTCGCCCTACTCGAAGAGATGAAAGCATGCACCGCCGAGCTCGACGCCGGCATGCTGTTCGTGAAAACAAGCTGGCCGCTGTTCAAGTCCGAGGTCGAAGCCTTCCAAGGCAGTCCTGGCGGGCCAACTCAGACCCCCGACACTATCCGCACTGTCATGGAGTTCAAGCGCACGCAGGAGGAGTTTGATCACATCTTCACCCGACTTGAGACGCAAGCCGGTGCTCTGCGCCGGCTGCGGGTGCAAGTCATGCATGCTTGGTGTGCTCCCTCTGAGACGTAGGTACATATGTGTGTACTCTGCATGCATCGTGTTTGTATGGGTTTTATGATTGATGGAAGATTCGTAGTACGTGAGGTGAGCCTTCGGCCACTCGAGTGGTTCGATTAAGCTAGGCGACTCGACCGGACGTAAAGGCGTTAGGCATCATCACTAATGTCTCCCTTCCTCCCCCTTGTCCACCACCAACCAACTCTTGTGTCAACCTCGCTTGAAGATCTGTTCTCTGCAGAGAAACAGACCGGTATCCTATTCCACCTATCAATCTCTGGCTCCCCACCAGTTACTTGTCTTGCAAGCATGTCCGAAACCTCCGCCGCCTCCCTTCCTGCGGTCTAGGAATCCGAGTCGCCGACGTCTCCGATCTCGACTCCCTTGTTCCTCCCAAGCTCGGCTCCGTCAACAGCAGTCGAGACCGACACAGTCGCATCTTCCGCAGACTCACTCTTCGAGGACAATCTGCTTGATGTAGACGAGCAGCCCGACACACCTCCTACGTCGTTGCCCGATACCTCGTCCGAGGCAGACCCCGCGGCACTCCTCGATGAGCCCGACGAGCTGAACGAGCTGAATGCCAGCGACGTCGACCCCGACATTCCAGACCTCGTGGGCGAAGCCGAAGCGTCCGTCAACGCTCTGCTGGCCGGTATCGTCGCATTTACGAACCCGGGCATGTTTGAGGACATGATGCACCTCATCGATTGTGCAGGGCAGTATGACGCCGGCCTTGAGTGGTTCGAGGAACACTTTCACGCGCACCGCGTCCACATCAAGGCGTTCGAAGACAACTCGCACAAGACGGCCGCTGAACTTGAAGATCTCGTGCGTGCAACGGAGGAACTGGAATGCATCTCGAAGAAGCTGAAGGAGATGCGTCGCAACCTGAGGTTGGCCGAGAATCGGTTCAGGCGCAAGTATCTCTGCGAATGCTAGCTTGTCGCTTGTTCCTAACTTGTAGCTTTCATGCATACGTTGGTATGTCTCATTGCAGACACGCAGACACACAAGCAGTTGGTGACTCGAGAGGTCGAGAACCGGGTGCTTCACAACAAGATCTCTCAGACGTACTCGAGTTGAGTCACCCGGCCCGGAACCAAAGGCTGCGGCGCACATCATGTCACCTTCCTATCGTTCTCCGTTCCTCAACCTCTCGCTCCGACCTTCTCACCACGTCCCCATCGATGAGCCACTATTCCAGACCCTTTCAACCTCATTCGGTGCCAGCTTTCGCGTACTTCGCCCACCCTCCTCGCGCCATGACCGAGCTCAAGAACCAAGATCCTCGCGTCTCATCGCTCTACAAGATCCCTTCCTCCGCGCCGCGCCACTTGCGCTGGAAAAAGATCCTGCGCACAAGCAACCCCACTACTCCATCCATTGACGAGCTCTTCAGTACGCCCATTCCAGCTGCCTCGCCTGTCTCGCCCGCCTCGTCTGCCTCCTCGACGATCCCGGCCTAGCAAGCCGAACTCCCCGAGCAGACGGCGCAGCTCGCCCGCTCTGGTCCCAACGCGAGCCCCTCAAGCAGCAACAGCAAACGCAAGCGTCTCCTGGAAGCTGAGGAAGACGGCCTCGCCTCCGCCCACCGCAAGGTGCACATCATGCACGAGATGCTGAGCCACTCCTCCAGCTCCAGCACCAGTGACGACGGTCTCGATCCCGGTGCCGAGGCGCTCGCGCGCCTCCTCACCTTCAAGGAGGACGCAGAGGACAAGCTCGCCCTCGCCTCGGCCGAAAAGAACATTCTCCAGCGTCGCAAGGACGCATTGCAGGCCGAGGTGCGCCAGTTGAAATCGGCGCTGCTCGCGAGCCAGGTGCAGGTCGCCGAGAAGGAGAAGCACATTAAGGCGCTCAAAACGTACCTCGACGAATCTCCCAATGAGAAGATTAAGGAACTCGAGGACAAGGTCGACACCCTCGAGAGGCAGAATGCACAGCACGTGCGAGCTCGCATCGACTGTCCCTGTTGTTCTCTGGACTGAGCTGGATACCAGGTACTCGCTGGTAGACTGTAGCACCCTGCGATGGCGATGGAAATGTACATGACTTCTTAGCTGGATACAATGGATAAAATACTGATACACTCATGATACAGGCTGAGACGCGTTCTCTCGCGCCTCGCGCTCCGCCTTCTTCTTCTCGGCTGCGCGGTTGGCGGCAGTCCTCTTCTTGCGCGCTTGCAGCACCTTCTCCGCCTTGCGTGCTTTGCCCGCTGCCTTTGCGACGGCTTTCTCGGCCCGTCTGGCCTCCTTCTCTGTGCGGCGTTGCGCCTTCTCCTTCAGGTCTGGACGTCAGCTGACCTGTCCTCACGCAGCAGCTGGACAGAGGCGACTCACTCTTGACCGTAGTCTCCGTCACGCGGCTGCACGCAAACACGCTGTCGCGCTGCCGCAACAGCTTCTTCGGTGCGGCGCGAGCATCGGCCAGAATCTTGAGGCGATGCGCTTGAAGATCGTCAGCGGACGAGTGGAAGAGCTTCTCAAGTCGGGCGTTGGCGCGATTGATAATCCTGGATGTCAGCTCGAGAGACCGGTAAACGCAGCTGTGGTACTCACTCCGGGTCCACCGTCAGCGCCGCCGCGCCCATGACCGCCTTCCAGTCGAGCGGGTCCATGGTGCTCCTCACTCTCTCGGTGCCTGGCGGTCGGAAGGCTGCGATGCCGGCCAGTGTCCGGTCGACCTGGGCTTGGACATTGGCGGCAATGTGATACGCGACCTCGGGGTCCATATCATCGTCGTCGCTGAGATCTGAGTCCAGCTCGTCTTCCTCCCTCTCTACTTCATCGGCTCCCTCAGCAGCGGGCAGGAAGCGTCCCTGCTTGTTACGCGGCTTGTCGACAGTCGGACCCTTGAATTTGGTGCGTTGATAGCGCAACCGCTCGCGAGTCGCCATGTCCGCCGCTGCCTCCTGCACGCTTTCACTCAGACTCTGCTCGGCGACCACATTCTTGGGATACTCGGGCCAGAGTGTGCGGCGCTTGTCTTCTTCTTGCCGGAGTTCACTGGGCTGCCCACCCAGGTGTTCTGGCATCGAGGCTCGAAAGGCGGCACGCTCGCGCCGGAGGAAAAGCCGACGCTCGTTCCTGTCTGCTGTTCGTGGAGTGGGAATGATGCCGGATGGACCAGAGGAACGGCGGGACATTGCCACAACAGGCGACGAGCCGCGGGACGATGGGTTGGGGGTCGGTGACCATAGCGGCGCGCCGAGGAGGGCAGGACCGAGAGATGTCGCATCGCGGAGAGCTAGTGAGCCGACGAGGTGCGAGTAGCCCTCCAGCTCTGCGCGAGTCGGGGGAAGGTTGGTCGGCGACGGCGGGGCAGTGTCGGTCCTCTCGCTACGCTGTGTCGGTGTGAGCTCTCTCGAGCCCCTCGACTCGTCGTCTGACGGTTCCGGCGTCGGCGACAGACTGCCCGGCATCGTGTCGTCGGCCGCGTGGGTATCAGGGGTCGCGAGAGTGGTGGATGGGGTTGAGCAACAACAAACAACCATGCATGGCGCTCTCATCGAAATCTCGAGTGGAGGTTGAGAACAACCCCTGACGTGGCCCACGTGTCGTTGATACCGACGCGTCTGACTTCTCTCGCCACCCAGCCACCATCATGAACGGGACCAAAATTCGCAATGTTACGCGTCCCAGCACCGTCATGACGCGCTCGAGCCTCCTTTCGATTCTTGCATCATCCACTCAACTGCTCTTCTTGACATCTTGTACACGGCCATGGGGACTAAGTGAGCTTCGGACGCCTTTCTTAGCTGACGTCAGGGCTGTGCGGACATATGGCCGCGCTCGACCCCGGGGGTCGTCCCCACCAAGTCTGGTCGCCTCGGGCGGCCTCACGCCCCAGTCGATGCTCTTCACGCCGAGTCCGCCGAGCACGCCGCCGAAAGTTCTGAAACGGCGGGCAACCTCGGAACCTACGTCACCGTCGCCGAAGAAGCCTCTCGCCGACGTTGACACGAACCGTTCCTCCTCCCCTCTCACCACCTCATCGACGCCGAAACTCCCACCCGTTCCCGCCAAGCCGAAACAGGGCACACTGCTCGGCTTCATCACACGGAAACCGGCAACGGCACGGCCAACGAAGCGACCACGAGATGACGAACTGGCCGAGAAGAAGGTTAAGTCGAAGCGCAACGAGCAGCTCGTCTTCACGCAGGGAACGAGACAGACCTGCAAGCAGTGCAACATGGCGTGGATGCGCGGGGTCGATGACGAGCTGCACGCTCAGCATCACTCGCGTGTCCTCGATGGTGTGCCAGTCACGAAGGCGCAGAGCTTCTCTTGGACTCTGGCCACGAGCAAGCCGCTAGCGAAGGGTAGCGCGGCGATCTACATGGCCGACTACACCGCTGGCAAGGTGACAGAAGCATGCGACGCGGTTGACCGAGTGCTCAGCGCCGCAACCCTCCCAGCCGAGGTCAGGGGGAAGTGCAAGGTCTTCCTCGCTGTTGTCGGCACCCGCATCGTCGGTGTTACTGTTTCCCAGCCTATCAAGCACGCAATGGCCGTGATCGAGGACTCGGGCGACGCAGTCAAGTGCGACCCAAAGCGGCTCCCGACACCGTTAGGGATCCATCGCGTGTTCACGGTCCCAAGCCTCCGCGGCCAAGGATTAGCGGCTGCGATGCTCGATGCCGCTGCCGGACACACAGTTTATGGGCGCAGCTTCAAACCAGAGGAGGCGGCGTTCTCCCAGCCAACCGAGGGTGGACGCAAGGTCATGCGCAAGTGGGGAGTCACGAGGGTCTTCGAGGAGGACGACCAGTAACAGGTTGCTTGCAGTTCTTGTTGTATGTATGCTTATTGGATCCTGACCTCATCTGAAGACCCATTTACGACAGGAGTCAAGCCAGGCTCACCACAGTTCGCATCGCCGCACCGACGGGCCCTCGCACTCCACGACCACACAGCTCCGAGTGTGCACCGATGGCGCACTCCCGCTGCCAGCACATCAAGAGGTGTTCTTGCAATCTAACATCCCTCCATAAACGCATCCAACATGCCTAGGGACAGGGGATCGCCCACTGCACCCCCTCACGACCCCGTTAATGGGCAACAGGAATTCGTCAACAGCCACGCCGCCCACTCGCAGAACAACAACCAACAGTTCAACCACCACGAGGCCAATGGTCACCGGACTGATGCCGCCCATGTGACCACCCAACAGGTTGCCACTGCACCTGTCGACGATGAGGGCAACCCTCTCGCGCCGCTGGAGATTGACGACGACCTCCTTCCTCAAGCCCTCCATGCTCAACTCGCCCTCTCGCGTGCCCGCCAGACCGCCGCCGAACTCGCCGCGCATGGCCTGGAGGCGGAGAATGGCATCCTCCGTCGCGCACTCGCCGAAGCTGAAGCAGATGCCGCGCCTGTTCGCGCGAGGGCGAGGGCGCTGCAGCGCGTCTCGCACCGCCAGCAGCGCCTGATCGATCTGCAGTGGCTCATGCTGGACCGGCGCGGGGTCGAGGTGCCCCACTCCGTTCTTGGGGAGGGACAGGCTCGCACCGCTGCAGCAGCAGCAGCCAACGGAACCAACACCAACGGCACGGGCGACACTGAGGGCGGCACTCCGACCCACTCTGACGCGAACAGCAACGCCGCGAACAACGCCGAATCCCAGGCAATCGACGCAATGACCCTCCTCTCCCGCGCCGAACGCTCGCTCGCCTCCGCCTCCGACTCTCTGTCCGCGCTCGGCGTCCTCCTCCAGGCTGGGAACACTACGGTCGGACACGCGGACATTATGGCCATCAAGGGACAGATCGACGGGCTGCACCGTACTTGGGCGCCGCTGCCTGCTTTCCACTATGCGCATGCTAGTCTGAGGGGCAACGCTGCTGGTCAGAGGCTGGTTGATGGGCTGGGCGGGATTGAGGCGTACTGGACCAAGGACTAGTCCACCCATACCCATCACAGCCTAGCGTCAGCGTACGAGAAGGACAGGACCGAAAGAAGGACTGGAGAACAGAAACAGGGAATGCATAGTTTGACAGGCGCGACCATTACAATCAATTTGACTATCTTCGACAGAGGAGAATGAGCTTTAGGAAACACCGGAGGTTATCTCGGGCGGCGTGCGAAGGTGGCCTGCAGCCGCTGCATAGCGCAGTATAGTGGCCAGTGCGTGTCCCTGATCTCCACTGGATCGGCACGCTCGGCACGCACATACGTGTACACAGTATCCAGCCTCGCTTCAGCGGACCGCAGGTCGGCGTACACTTTGCACAAGGTGGTGGCTGGTTCTTCCAGCTCGCTTGGGCCGGCACTGACGTCGGTAGCGGTGCTATGATGGCTCAGACGACGGGGGCTAGTGATCCTGTCGGCGTTGGGAGGACTGGGGTCAGCTCAGCAACGGAACTCACGGAGCTGCAGAACAAGATGACTCTTACTTGATGGCGTCCCTGCTGTCACCACCGCTGGACGCAGTATTCGTTGGCGTAAGAGGCTGCACCTCGCGCTGAATGAGCAGGGCCTCCAGCTCCTTCACACGCTCCTCGAGATCCATGTTCTGCGATCGGAGTTGAGCATTGGCAACACGCAGTCCATCCGCTGCCGTCCGCTGAAGAGTCGTCTCAGCCTGAGCTGCGCTAAGCCTCGCTTGTGCGAGCACGAGGGCCGTGGCCGGATCGAGAGTGGGATCGGTAGGCGGGGCGGAACGACGGCGAGTGTGGCCTCTCACAAAGCGGGGTTCTGAGAGTGTCGGAGTTGAGGACGCCGAGCGGCGCTCGGGACTCTCGCTGATAGGCTGGAGGGTCGTGGGTATCGTGACCGTCATACGGGCTGGTGTTGCGAAAGGCAACTGTGGTGATGGTGACTGATTGGAGAAAGGGGATGTTTGGGCTGCTGGTGACACCTTCATGTGGACGCTGGGAAAGGAAGTGGCCCGTTCTAAGATTCGCGTCGGACCGGGCGTGGCATTGTCGGACCCGAATCAGACGCGTTGGGATCTGCGCCGCATCCCTTCCAAACCAGGCAGATCGCGAGGTGTAGAAGGGTCGACCGATTATTTGCCGATCGCCGAGATAACGCCCTTAGCGTCTTTGGTGTCCAGAATGACCCTATTCAAGCACAGTCACATGGGCAACGACGCATGCTTGGCGATGCTGAATGACAACAGGTCTTCGCCTGGTAGTCATGCACTGATAGCCAGCTGCAAGACTGGACTAGCTCACCGTTACACAATGCATTGTCCTGTCGTCCAGCTCTCTATGTGCAAATCTACCAGTGTCCAAGCTGTCTATGTATGCACGACAATGTCTAGATGGGAATCTATGTATGGATATCTGTGGGGGAAGAGGAGAGAAGTGTATCCGCTCCACGACTGCGGTACTGCGTCCCTTGACTGCGGCCATCTTGCCGGTCTGGACCCGATAGTCCCTGTTCGGAGTATTCCACCTCGACTGCGGGTCCTTTACTGACGCTGGGTCGTTCAGCTGATCGCAGTCTAACCAAACAACGAGCAGCTGATCGTAGTGGCTGTGGAGCTCGGTCGGGTGCCCTTAAGGTAACAATGGCATGTGAACCGTAAGCCATGGCGGTGACGTTGACGAAAGGACACAGGCCTGCGCGGGCGAGGGGTTGATTTTAGATGCCGAAGTGGAGACCACGAGGACGGGTGGGTCAGATGACGACGGTCGAGGAGAGGCACAGCTGTCGACTGTGCCGAGATGCCGCCGAGACGTTTTGGGTTAGGTGGGAGGAATGGTTTCCGCTTCGATCGAGAGAGCCGCGAGTCGTTGGAACCGTGGAAAGTGGGTTGGGAATATGCGGTGACTGCGAGTTGAGGTGGCAGCACCGCTCACATCGTCGCCCTCACGACGGACACCTTGTCCATCCTCCGCTTGAGAGTCTCATTCTCGACTTCCAGCTGGGCAACGCGGCGCTTCAGTGCTTCCTTCTCCCCGTCGTTTTCTGCATCGGCTCCCGCACATCGTGCCGCATCTGTGAATGGTGTTGCAGCTTTCACGATCTGAACATTCTCGCGGCGAACATCGACAAGCTTCTGCGTCAGGTCTCCGATCGTGTGGTGCAGATCTGCGATAATCGAGTCCTTGGCGTCCAGATCCTCCATCGCCTCGAGGAGTGAACGGGAGACCTCGGCGCTCTTACGCTCGAGCAGCTCGTAGTGCTCTTCCGGGCTGCGAAGGCGGGGTGATGAACGCAATGAGGGGCATGGGGAGGCGCGAGAGATCGTATGCGGGCTCAGACCTGGACAGGCGGGGATACGGGCCGGAGGAGCCATGGACGACATGGAGGAGACGGAAGTTGGTCTTGAGCGGCCAGAGGGGGCTGGGGACTTGATTCGCACTGACCGGAATGAGGGGACTGGGGATGATTGAGGAGTACGTCCTGGCATGGACGAATGCGGCGACGGGACGTGGACGTTCGCGTACTGTGCTTGTGGGGCAACGGCTGCCATGGCGATATATATGGAACGGGAGCGAGGGCGGTCAAGCAGAATGGGGCAGGGTATGAAGATTGGAGCGGGAGGACGAAGCACTCATCTAATTCCAGCCAGCTGTTTATACGTGCATGAGTGACTGCGACGCGTATCTGGCGACGCGCGCATGCATGCATGGAATCAGCTTTTCTGAAGCCGTTTTCACACAGGACGCGCAATGAGCAATCGACGAGCGGAGTATCATGCACCGCGTAGTGAGGTCATGCCCGACGTTATCGCGGCATCTGACGCGCTTCGTCGGGCCGTAGTTTCCGCAGTGCGCGTAGTGAGGTGGTAACTTCAGGGTTGCTGCGATCATCCTTTGCTTCCAGCCGTTCTGGCCAGTTCCACTCCTGCGCGTTGCGGTGCATCCCTGGGCAAGTTCCCTGGGCACGGCGTCATGGCCAGCGCTGGCTCACTCATACACATATGCATAAAGCTTGCTTTACTGGAGGCAAAAGCCTCTTCAGTCACCGGCATAACCGAGACCGAAAGACTACGTTGCGCTCGCTACGCGGACGGCAGCGCACGGCTGTGCTAGCGGAGCAGTGCTCCGATCTTCTTTGACTTGAGACGCATCGCAGCAAGTTCCAGGCTTTGCTCATCGATCTTCTCCCTCTTCACGGTGATCTGGTCGTCCTTGATCGAAAGCTGAGTGTTCTTCGAGACTATATCGTGAGCCAGCTCATCACGTTTCTTGGTCAAGTGGTCGATCTCCTTTGACTGCGCCTTGTTCTTGCTTTTGAGCCAGCGCACCTTGCGCAGGTGCTCCTCGGCTTGCTTCTTGAGATCCCTGTCCGTGTTCAACGCACGCTCCTTCCACTGCTTGACGCCTGCCTCGAGCTTGTGAACAGTGCGCTTCTTGTTGTCGAGAAGTTCGTTCAGTTCCGCAATGTATGTATCGTTCTGGTCGCCCGCCTCAAGAAGTTCGCGCCTCAGCTGCTTGTTCTCGTCCTTCTAGTCTGTGTGAGCACGACGCAAGCGGTTGGGCTGCTTACCAGCCTGGCGACTTGACGCTCAGCTTCACTCGCACGACATTCGGCTTCAAGGAGGTTGTGCTCTGCCTCCTCTCGAGCTTCCTCCGCCAAGGCAAATTCTTCGCTCCTCTCCTCCTCGTCTGTCTCTGCCTGAGCTTCGGCCGCATAGAGGCGTTCCTCGAAGTCAGCTGCAGTTTGTTCGGCCTCCACCATTGCGGCTTCGCTAGCGGCGGCGGTCTCCTCGGCGTCGGAGACACGGCGCTCAGTGGCTGCGAGACGTTCCAAAGCGTCGGCCAGCAGACGCTGCACGGTGGATGCGCGATCTTCGGCGACTGCGGTTTGCGCTTGCGCTTCAGACCCGGCGCTTTCGGCATCGAGGACGGCACGCTCGGCGATGGTGGCACGCTGCTTTGCTTCCTGGACACTCATCTCAGCCGACTTGAGACAGCATTCCAACGTGTACGCACGGTACTCCGCAGCAGACGCGCGACGATTGGCGAGCGCTCCGCGCTCTTCCGCTTGGCGCGCACGGAAGTACGCCGCCGAGGTGCGCACATGGGCCATCTGAGAACGTTTCTCTAGTTGGTGGAGGCGACATTCGGCGTCGGCGGCCCGTTTCTTGTATTCGGCGAGATGACGCTCCGCGGCGGCTGCATCTTCGGCATGCTGGTCCGCGCTTTCGATGGCAGCTTGCTCGACAGCGAGTACTCGGTTCTCAGCAGCGGCTTTGGCTTCCTCGAGCTCGGCGAGATGACGCTCCGCACGCAAGGCGCGCTGTTCAGCAGCACCTCTGGCCGTCTCGACTCAGCGAGGCGACAGACTGCATTTTCGGCGGCACGCTGCCTATCGGCATTTGCACGGGTCTCGGTCGCTAGAGCGTCCGCACGAGCGTTCGCTGCCTCCGTCTTGGCAGCCGCGGAGTTGCGGTCGGCATCATCCGCCAGACGCTTGAGCTCTGCTGCGCGCCTTTCGGCCTCGGAAGCTTGCAGCTTGGCCTCTGCCACTTGAAGCTTGAGCTGAAGGATCTGGGTCTCACAGTCGCAGGAGCTCGAAGGGATGGTGCGCTTGGGGGGTTCAGCGACGAAGCCGGACACGATGAGACGCAGGCGTTGATTGATGTTGGCGAGCTCTTCCTCTGCCTTGCGCTTCGTTCCGCGTTCGGGCGAGACTTGCTAGGTCCCACTGCCTAGAGACATGGCGAGGAAGGTCGATGGAATGCTCGATTGACGAAAGGTTCGCGTCGAGGCAGATTCACAAAGCAAGCGGAGATGAGGGAGGGGCAAGAGCGAAAAGCCAGGAGGCGCCTGTCCTGCCTTGTAGAGCCCTCTGGTTGACGTCTGAGTGAAGGAGATGCGGTTCGTGAAAGAAGTGAGATGTGGTGACGCAACTGACCCAGTCCAGTCAACCCCCTCGTGGTGGTCGTTTGCTTCCGTCCCTCCTCGCGGTGATCCTTGCCGATCTTCGACTCACTTGGGTGTCGTCCAATCCTTGCTAGGTGGAGTTCCTTGGACAGCGACCTCGGGTGGACAAGGCGCTGTTAATGCAATGGCCAGCTCAACTCTATGCATCAAGGGCGAAGGGGCTAGCGGTGTGGGAGAACGTGTCACACGTGAGAGGGAAGACACCGAGATTGTGAGTTGAAGACCGACTGCCCCCATTGTTCTTTTGGTCAAGGGGTCTACGGAATCAAACGATGCTGAAATTCGAAAGCTGTGGATGTATGCATTAGGAGGTTAAACTGCAAGCTAGCCCTGGGTGTCGGCGGCGTCGACGTTGAACAAGCTGTCCAGGCAATGCTGCGTTTTCTCAGCTTCCTTCGCCTGCTTGGCGAGCACCTCATCCTGCTCCGCAATTCGACGCTTCAGGACTTCGACCTCCTTTCTCGCCGTTGCGGCCTCCTTCTTCCAGTTGGCTCCTTCCTTCCTGGCCTCTTCAAGCTCCTGGCTGGCACCTCTGGTAGCCGCAGCCTGCGCGCGCAGCTCCTCCGCCTGGAACCTGTACCTGTCTTGAAGTTTGGAGTTGTCTTCCCTCAGCTTGTGGATCTCTAGCTCGAGGGCGTGCATCTGTTGGTTAGGTCCCTGCACGTGAAGCCGGTTGAATGACATACCTTGCGCTTCTGCTCCTCCTGCTGAACATTGGAAGAGCTGCCGGCGTTGAGAATTGGAGCCGGACCGTCCGCGAATTGGCGGAAGACGAGCTCGTACTTCAGCGTTGGCGCAGGCTCAGGCGTCATCATGCGTGCGCGCTTGCTGGGACTGGCGATGGTGGAAGCGTCGTCCCCTGCGTCCGCCGTAAGGCCATTCTAGGGCTCGGGCGTGCGGGGTCCGGTAGTCATGATGCTGGCGCCGGGTTGTGGTATCGCTGAAGGTGATGGCCCCGTTGGCTGAGAAGAGTTTGCAGGGTAGGTATGGCCGAAAGCTTGAGCGGAGGAAGGGGGGGTTGGCAGAGGCGACTGTGCCTGCTGAAACGCTGGCGGGAGAGATGCGTGGGCGTGTTGATGTGAGTGCCGGTAGTTGGTCATGGGAGTGAGGCAGACCACAACGCTGTGCGAGTGCTGACTGTTCGGAGGTCGAGTTGATGAGAGGTGAGCTATGTTGAGAAGGCGAAGCCTATCGTTGTTGACTTCACTTGGACGGATGAGTGGACTGTACGTTGGTCGCTGATGACGGAGTTAAATCATGGCTAGCTGGTGGCGTGAGGCACAGGTCACATCCGCGCCCCCGGCATTCACTGTGAGCGGTAGATAGTAGCCGAGATCCCTCCCTCACCCAGAATGAGCTGCATAGTGCACAACGTTGGGCTATTGACATCTCAATGAGAAGAATGGTGTGCGAACTCGGGGCTGAATGCGAAGAATCACTCGTTCTTGGGCCAGTGCAATAGCGGTTCCGACCTTGGTCGTTGTTGCTCCCTGGTCGCCGTGCATTCTCGAGCTGGGAACCTAGTCCTCCCGCCTTGCACATTTCAGGTTACGCTCCTCACCAAGATCCTTGGTCAAAGAGCTCCTCCTGAGGAACGAGTGAATGGCACTCAGCTCGTCCATCCTCTTAGCCAACACCGCGAGCTGCTCAGCAGATGCCTTCTCCGTTCGTGCCGCCAGATCGTACGGATTGTGCTTGTAACTGATGGGGAAGCCCGATCCTGCCCCGGCGATAGTGATGTCCCTATGTGAGATACCCTCGGCCAGGAGCGCGATGTGGTCCCTGCTGGCTTCGATGTATGCAGATTGGGCCTTGATCAGCTCCGCTTGGACGTCTTCGAGACTATCGAGCTTGTTTGTGGTCTTATCAAAAAACTCGTCGACTGCTTGTTCACGGTGGTGTCGGAGCTCATCGCGTTGCCGAGTAGATTGTAGGTGAAGGTTGGTGGTGACGAGGTTGTCCGTGGTTGATGGAAATGCGTCGTCACATCGTGGGCGGTTGCCTGTCATGCCGGACGAGGAAGGCGCAAGGCGCAAAGGTGGACGTTGCGTGCGAGGAGCAGCACACACTGACGCCCTCCGGCCTTTCGGAACAAACATCGAGCGGCCTTGGCCATGGTACGTCTGGCGCGGATGGCGCGAAGACGGCGCGAGTTCAAGAACCAGCACACACTGACGCACGCGGGTCCGTCGGACACACCAATTCGCCAACCGCGAGATCGCGAGCATGCGAGCGCCGTGCGAAATGTCATGCTTGCGGCGTCTCGAGCCCGCGCGGTCGTCCCGCACGCAACTGGGCAGGCTCCCAAGACGTCTATATGAGACTGCTGATCTGTCTGTCAGCTTCTCCTTCCACTCCATCACTCATTCACAATCTTGACTCACACCAACATCCTAGTACCCTGTCGCGTGGGAACGGAACACTCAGAGGGCCGGACGACCGGACATCATTATGAGAGGGCCGGAAGACCGGACACATATTGACTCCCTGTTCGCGTCACGATCGACTCGCTCAGACCAAAGCAGGGCAAGGGGTATGCGTTCCGCAGCGAGGGACACTCAGGTCAGTTTCGAACAAGTGATCTTCCTAACTGTCAGTCCTTTGTCGTCCACGGCCATTCCCAGCGAGGCGTATCGATTCAAGTCAATGACCATAGCCTGGCCGAACAGGTCAGTTAAAAGATCGTCGCCATTAACTGTCAGCCCTTCCTCGTTTCAGACCGACCCGCACAACCTGGACACCTGAACGACAGCAGGATCGGTCAGTTTCCACGTCCGGATGACTTCTAACTGTCAGCGCTCCGTCAGCCCAGATCCCACGGCTTGCCGGACCACATGCCGGGCGACGGTTCGCAACCCTTCTCCACTCCAGCACTAGAGCATGGCCCGCTCTGCCCAACCGCCCGACTGTGTCGCTGGCTGTGTTCCTCCGTCGTGTGAGTACCTGACACCGACTGCTGTCAGCTTCACCGTATCAAGCTTTGTAGCTTACCTAGACCAGACCACCGCATCCTCCTAGCCGTACTACCCCATGTTCCCCATGCACAGGTATCCATACAATTTCTGTCGTCAGCTTCCACCGAGACCCCAGCTCACCTAGCTCTAAAACTTCTTCAGGGCATCCTCAAACTCATCCCAGTGGTTGATATTAACAACAGCCCCCGCCTCCTTCAACACCCGTCCCATGTCCTCCCTCTCCTCCGGCGGGTATGCGCCAAGGTACCCAATCGTCTTGATCCCTGCACGAACCGCAGATGTCGTCCCACTCCTCGAGTCCTCGACAGCCACAGCCGTATCTGCGTTCTTGCCCAGTTTCGCCAGCGCAAATATGTAAATTGCAGGATCGGGCTTGGAGCTTGGTTCCGGCATGGAGGTCGCGGCCGAGTACACCCTGTCGCCGAAGTATCCCGCCAGACCCGTCTTCTCGAGCGACACATTGACGCGCCTCAGCGCCGAGGAAGAGACGACGGCGAGGGTGTACTTCCCACTCCGTTCCAGATCGTCCAGAACGGGTTTCACGCCCTCGCACGGCTCGAGCGCCGCTTGAAGCTTGGCAATGACGACTTCTTCCTCCTTCTTGACGTAGACTTCGAGCTCTTCCTGCGTTATGGGGAGCGAGTACTCAGAGGCGAGGGAGGAGAGCATGCCGCGGAAGTTTTGGCCGACGTATTTCTGCTGCAGAGTCGGACCCGTGAAGGGCTCCAGCGGGAGGGCGTGCGCTTTGATGAGACTGTTGACGAGCTCGGCGCAACCTTCGAAGGCGAGGTGCTCTGAGAGAACGAGCGTGTTGTCGCAGTCAAAGAGGAGGGTGTCGATTGCCATGATGCTAAGTCGGGTGAAGGGGGGATGGTGATGGTGAATGTAAGTGTGCTGGACTTGTAGGAGCTATGCTCAAGCCAGTGCTCGGCGAGTGTACAGTGAGAAGAAGGTCGACGACGGCGGTGACAACAACAAACTCACTTAACGGACGATCGGCCCGACCCCCGCGACTACCCCGCGCGTATCGGCTACCTAACCACAGGTCACATGACGTCAGCGGCGAGACCCTTCACGCGTGTGAGAAACAGACTGCGACGCGTCTGGGTAAGTGATTCGCTGAGATTCGGATCCCTTCGGATTGCATCAGAGTGCTTCAGAGACAAGTCTTGGATCACATTTCGAGCGTTATGGTTACAACGACGACTACAGATTCCTATTCTTCTTCCATCTCCCAGATGCGCACCCACCGATCGCTTAGGCGATGACAGGGGCGGGGGGCTGGCCAGTGAGGGCGCCGCTCTGGAGCTCCTTGAGGATGTACTGGTTGAAGGCGGCGCGGCCGACGGCGAAGACGACACCCCAGAAGGCGCCGCGGAAGAGGGTCGGCCAGTTCTCCTCGGCGATGATGGACTGGACAGCGTCGACGACACCACCATAGCGGACGGGGCGGACGAGGATGTCGTCCTCGGCAGAGTTGCTCGAGCGGGGGCCGACGGGCAGCGGCGTGCCGTCCGCGTCCGAGGGGTGGGACTGGATGCGCGTCGTGACGAGGAGGAAGGGGGCCTGGACGAGAGCAGAGAAGAGAGACCAGGCGAACTCGCCCTCGGGACCGTAGCTCCAGAGAATGTCGGCGTCGGCGAAAGTGAGGGCACGGCCGACAAGAACGTCAAGGATAGTCGAGGTAACAAGGCCGGGGATCTGGTAGAGACGAAGAGGGTTCGACTGCTCAGACTCGGTCATGACAGACTTGAGGTTGAACGACGGGAGGCGGTAGGCAGAGACGAAGGCACGGGCGGCGAGGACGTTGAAGGGAGCGACGAGGAGGTTGAAGGCAACATCGAACAGGATTCCGTTTCCAGTCTGCGTGAACCAGGCCCAGGCGCGGCCGAGGGTGCCGGTCGTGGTAGCGGGGTCGGTAGGGGAAGTGCCCTTGGCGACGGCGACACCGAGAACAATGGCAGCAGGCAGGGACGAGACAAGGTAGGACAGGACCGAAGGGAAAGCACCGTTGAAGAAGCCAGCGATACCCTCGAGCTTGTAGGTACGCTTGAACATCTGGATGAGAGACCAGGAGCGGGGCTGCTCCTCCGAGACCGAGATCTTGTTGACGCCGTTCTTCTCGGTGACGTTGATCTCGTCAATGACGGGGTTGTAGTTGGTCAGGTAGCGGGCGAGGGTGCCGGCGAAGGGGACGCCGAGAAGCGTGACACCGACGCCGGGCAGGAACGCGGCCGCGCTGAACTGGATTCCATCCGCTGCGGTCATGATGGAAAAGTGAGTTGGCTTGAGGTGAGGAAAGAAGGAGAATCAAGCTCGGGCAGAGGGATGATATAGCTATGGGAAACTCGGCGGGCCCTTTTCGTGACGCTGCCCCGCGTGCTCCTGAGTGCTTTCACCTGGTTACGTCGCCAGGCATCGTCTCTCGCTCGAGCATGCTCCACAGACTCGGATGGAATCAGTCCGAATGCACTGTTATTCTGTTAATGAATGGTGCATGCGATCACGCGTGCATACGCGCCATGCCGATATGCTTTCCATTAGCTTGGTGCATAACAACATCACCACCTGTACTGCAGATCATCAGCCACCCACTGCAACATTGCGCATGACGCTGTGGCGTCCATGATCTTCTAGAAACGCCGTTCCCTCATACAAACGGGCCAGTTTTCATCTGTGACAAGTCTCGGCTGTCCGTGTTTTTCACCGCATAACCTGACATCACGCTGCATGTACTCGAGGCGAGGTCGCCAGTTGCGAAGCACGAATCCGGCGGCTTGATTTCATCGTCGATTGGGGGACATGTCGTTACCGTCGAACGGCGCGCCGGGCGTGATTGGGCGCTGAGTGGCAACGACCGAGGTGAAGTCATGACGTCAGCCAGGACAGTCGAGTCTGGACCGAGGTGCAGACTGTGTGTGCTTGGAAACTACCGTGGGAGACTCGCGGCGACATGGCGGCGTCCTCGCTCGCTTTTCCGAGCACCTGCTTCCAGTGCTACGAGATAATTGTCGTGCAACAAGCCAGAGAGCCTTGAGGAAAGCGAGTCAGTGCTTGGTCTTCTGGGGGTACAGGTAAAGCTGCACCATGTTGGCTCCCTCCCTCAATCTCATCAACAGCCGTGGACCCCCAGCTGGAGGCATGCTGTTGTCAGCGTCTTCCGGATATATTGTGACGAATGTCCAGAAGCTATGCAGGCTGGGCTACTGCCGTTTCTTAATCTGTGGATGAGGAATCAGTATTGCGTCGAATGTCTGTGTCAGCTGATGCCTTATCTTATCGGCTCGGACGACCTCGGTGGTGATGCAATGCAGATGTGTGCTTGATATGGTACAATGCTAGTTCTGCCACGGGGTCGGGCTAGGTCCCAGTTCCGTGATGTTGTTGCCCAGTTTCCTGACGCCGTTCGCGAGCTGTCTGTTAGCTTATTGTTGCCACTGGGCAGCTTCCGCTGAAAGGCTCAACACCTCGACATTCAACGACCGGCTCGAGGTGAGGATATACAGCAGCCTCGGATAGGGAGGCCCTGTCGCTTTGGTGCAAGTCCTCGGCTGCACACCAGCGGCATCACTCCCGCCTACACTCACATCGTACGTCGCCTTGCCTCGAATCATCGCAATCGGCACTGGTCCGTAATGCCGCGAGTCAATGGAGTTGCTCATGTTGTCGCCCGCGACCCAAACGTGGCCCTTGGGAACCTGCCGTCAGCTGTTTCTAAGGCTATCTGCGAAGCTGCAAGAGACCCTATAGCCCCAGACGCCTGCAGAGGACTGGTTGCAGGAGTATGTATACTCACCTTGATGAACACCCCCTGTCCCCTCCTCTCAACAACATGTCCCGCGAGCCATCCCGGATCGTCGTCAGACCGCCTCGGCTCAACCTCGACAATATCACCCGGCAATCCGACGACGCGCTTGCACACGGCATACTCCGGGTTGCTGGGCGAGGGGAAAGTGACGAGGTCGCCGCGCTCCGGACGTCGGTTGCCGCCCATCCATTTCGGTCGCCAGTACGCGAGGGCCGATACGACCAGGATTGAGCCGTCTGCCGGAAGAGTGGGAAGCATGCTCGTCCCGCTCGTTCCGCTCACTTCACCGACATAGGCGAGCACGAGGTGCGCAAAACATGCCACTTGGGCGGCGTACAGCGTCACCTTCGCCGAATAGCGGAGACCTGGCCAGCGGCGTTTTCCGCCTGGAGGTGGGGAGGAAGACGACGAAGAGGAGGATGAGGCCGAAGGTGAGGAGGATGAAGGGCTAGTGGTCGTGACTCGTCCTGTTGTCCGAGTCGAGGCGTGTCGGAATTGCGTCGGTGCTTGCCGCACCAGAGGGCGGACGCGGCTCAGCATGGTTGATGCGGTCAAGCAGAGCAAAGGTGGAGGTCGAGTGGTCAACTCGAAAGGAACTAGAGATATCGGTTCAGGCACGGCCGGCGGAACCAGATTTCACGAGATGGAATGTCGGCATGGTCGCATATCCGATATGGTCGGAGAGAAGGGGTCAACGGAAGTTGGTATTGCTCTTCGACTCCTTGTGCAACCGAGGAGGGCTGACCTGTGCTGACTCGCTGCAGAGCATACGAATGGCCCTCGGGAATGGGACCTGGGGAACGTGGTCGGCTGTATAACTCTCGCTGTTTCCAGTATCCGCCTCCTTGGCATCCGTCAACCTGACAATCCAACTGACCAATGGTCCCCGGCTAGAGCATAAAAGCTCAAATGTTATGCATGGCGCTTATATCACAGTTTTCACAGCGACACGTTCTTGCTGATCTTGTTTGGACTGGGGTATCGTCGACTGATGCAGGGAAGGGTGGTTCACGTCATGCCAGGCTTGTCGTCGTCCTCCCGAGACAGAGTAGAAGAGCGGCTCCAGCGGCAACGTGGTGCGTCGATAGTAGCCTCATCAAGGACTGAAGCGCCGACACCGCGATTCTCCGGCTCCGGAGAAGACCGTCCCTTGTCGTCCAAAACGAGCTTGTACGCGATCAGCAGCTTTTCGGTCTGGGCGCAGCGCTTCTCAGCATTGGCGGCGCGGCGCTCAGCCTCCGCCACGGCTTCCTCGGCATCCCTCGCCCTCTGTTCGGCAGACTTTGCTCTCTCCTCGGCGTCGGCGAAATCCTTCCTGACACGGCGTTGGGCCTCGGCGATCTTGAGGTCGGCCCCTGTTTCAGCCTCTGCAATCTTCAACTGCGCCTGAACCTCGGTCTCGCGGGCAGCATCCTCTGCTTGCATTTTGAGGTTCAAGAGGCCGTTTGCGCGACATTCTGCAGATCCGGCTTGCTCAAGCGCCATTAGGACATCGCGTTCGGCCGCCCGGCCGCCCGGTGCTTGAACTCAGCCGTGCTCGCCCTTTTCTCTGCGACACCGAGCTTGCGCTCCACCTCAGCGACCTTGTGCTCAGCGCTACGGGCTCTGCGCTCGGCTGCCTCGCTGCGGCACAGGAGCGTGCGGCACTCATCCTTGTACGTCTTCACCTCGGTCTGGGCGGCATGATGCTCGATGCGGAGGAGCTGCAGCTCGACTTCGCACGTGATGTCGGCGACCGCGATGTCCTGGACGTCGTGTTCGTCTGTGGCGAGCGTGGAGGGCGGAGCCGCAGCAGGGAGAGCAGTGGCGGATGCGGTATTCTTCGGGGTAACCTTGCGGCCGGCCTTAGAGTCGTTGTGGTGCGTCTTGGCCTTCTTGATCTTGCGGGATTCTGGGGCAGGCCGACGGGCGCTCGGCGAACCGCTGTCGTGCGCATTGCGCTGCTTGTTGGGCGCGGAGGTCATGGTAGATCAAGGGAAGGAAGGTCGGTGCCTTTGGCGGCGTTGTGAGTTGCGGGCGAGGGAGGCGGCGAGTGCCCGTTTCCTGTCGCCCAGCGACTTGCGATAGCGCTCACGCGAGTTTGTGTGTGCTCGATGGCGTGGTGTCTCGGCTTCGGTTGAGGTTGAAAGAGAGCAGGTGAAGTGGACACAGTCGACGCAGAAGGAGTTCGAGATCTTTCGGCAATGCCCTCCGTGATCAGCTTCCGCCCGTCGATCGTGTTGCTGATCTCCAGCTTACGACTTCCTCCTGTCGGCGGACGCTGCAGCTGAGTTGCTGATGCCTGCTGTGCTTTCTAACCGCTACCCACAGGCTGACTCTCTGATCTAATGCATCATGTCATACATTCGACATACACTTATCCACAGGCTTCTCGTGCCCTAGCAATCGTCCAATCCTGGATGTGTTCTGCATAGCTTGTCGTATCGTCCGCTGGTGATCGCCTCCATGGGCCGTATTCTTATCAAGCGAAGGCAGAGTCTCACTCGATAACAGGTTTGACTTCGTTGGCATTTGCGGGATGGTCACGAGCGTCAGGCTGAGGCGCCTCGCCAGCTGGTGCTTGCGTCTTGCGCTGCTGTGGAGGAATCCGCTCTCTATCATCCAGCACGAGCTTGTAAGCGTCGACAAGCTTCTCAGCCTTCTCTGCGCGCTCCTCAGCCTCAGCAGCCCGACACTCGGCCTCAGTGGCTCGGCGCTCAGCCTCAGTCTTGGCCGCCTCAGCCCTTGCCACCCTGTTCTCCGCCTCGGTAGTCTTGTTATCGGCCTCAGCCACGGCGCGGAGCAATGCGGCGTTGGCGGCCTGGACGCGTGCAGCGGCGTCGGTCTCCGCCGTCAACGCCCTCTTGTCTGCGTCCGCGACTGCACGCTCCGCCTTGGCTCTGGCTTCCTGTGCGGCCTTGTCCGCCTCCTCAGCTCGCTTGGTCCAGTCGGCGACGAGCTTCCTCTGCCGATCGAGCTCTTGCTCTGCTTCCTCGGCCCGCTTTGTGGCACTGGTAGCCTCGCGCTCCACCTCCACAATCCTGCGCTCCGCCCTCAGCGCCCGGCGGGCTAGGGTCACGTTTGCCTCTCGGTACGTGCGGGCGTGGACGTCTGAGGCGCGCAGCTGGGTGCGAAGGGCCTCGATCACGGATTGCAGGCTCGTCATGTCGGCTGCAGCGGTCTGGTCCTGAGCCACGGGGCCCCGTAAAGTGCCAGGCGACGAGGGATCGGGCTGGGAGTATACGTTGCGGAGAAGGTTAGGGCAGTGGGGGTCTGATAACTCAGATTGGCGTTCCGCTCGGCTCCCATTCGTTAGGTCGCTTTGCCAATACCGCAAGCGCGGGGCCTTGCGCTTGTGCTCGTCGTCGTCTTCCATGACCGTGCGGCGCTTGAAGAACTTGAGGTACTCCATCTCGGTAGAGGAAATATGCGGGCGGCGGAGGTTGTTCTGGGAGGGCCGGGGTCGGTGGAGAGAGCTGGTTGGTCGACGCGCTTCGCTCGTGGCAGGCTTGATGCGTCACCTGAGGGTTTGGCTGACCCCTGTAACGGTTTCCTGTGATGCTGAGGAGCTACCGCAGGTCTGGAGGAATAGAGAGTGGCGAGTGAAGAAAGCGCAGGCACAGTGTGACCGTCCTTCGTATGTAGCGGATCTGCGCGACCTGCGCCCTCCATCCGCTTCCGCCATCTCCATGTCTCTTCATATCTGCATCGCAAACCAGCAGCCAGTTTCCACTCCCATCGACAAGCTTTACAGGTCACATGCATGCATTGTAAACACCGGTCTCTCCGTGGTATCTGCTTCTAATAACTCTAACCCCCCACAGGATACAGCATCATCGGTCTTGGACCTATCGCGAGGGCCATTGAGGCGACGACACTTGCTGAGGGACGCGCTCACCGGTTGAACAGCCGCACATGGGTAGTTGGAGCAAATTGAACCCTTGAAGCCCTCGCACTGCGCTCCTCCCCAAACTCAGCTGCAAGAGCCTCGACCTTGGTCTTCTGGTCATAAATCTCTACTCTCAGTTCGTCACAGCGCCGCCCCAGCTCCCTCGCTTTCTCCTCCGCCAGCTCGGTCCTGCGCTCGGCCTGCTGGGCTCTGGCGGTGAGCTCTGCGTTCTGTTCTTCCAGCGTTCTTGTTTCAGCCTCAGCTGCCTGAAGACGGGTTTGGAGCCTACTGATCTCACTCTGCCAGAACGTGGTGTCCTCACCATCATCTTCGTCGGACGCGGAGAACTCTGCCTCGGACCAGTTGGCGGCGTCGGGGGAATCGCACTCCGAGTCGGAGAACGTATCGGCGTACTTGGTTGCTGGAGGAGTAGCTGGTGTTGCGGCTTCTGGGGTCGTCTGAGCTGTCGAAGCTGCAGCAGCGGCGCTATTGCTGTCACTCGTCCCGGTGGCGGAAGAATCATCGCCACGTTCACCTTTGAGGTCGTCGATGAACGCCATGAATCTGCGATAGCCTGCAACGTGCGCCATTCCGGCTTGTGTGTTGTGCCACGCATTTGCGTCGCGCGGAACGCGAGGGGCTAGAGGCGGAGTCGCAGTTGGGCAGGTCTGAGCATCTGTGTCGGTGTCGGCGCTGGAGGTGTCGGTACTCTTTGGCAGTCGGGGTCTGGGGCTCGAGGGTGCGAGGTCGATGGACGCCTTGCGCTTGCGTTCCTCCATGACAGGCTGCCCTGGCGCATCTAAGACAATCTGGTCATCCATGCTGATCACGGAGAGAGAGAGAGAGAGGTAGGGTTACAAGAGGTGGTAGGGCTCGGGCGAGACGAGAGCGGGGCGTCGTTGGTGGCGAGAGAAGTGTGAGTGTAGCGCTGTACCAGCAGCGGCGCGAGAAAGGTAGCCACGTAGTGCGTTCAGGATGTACGTGAGGCAAGTGGAAGAAGGAAGGGCTGTACGTAGATATGACAGACTATTTGTGCGATAGGAAAAGTATGGAGGAGAAAGACAGGCCGACGTGAGTGTTGCAAAGTAAATATGGGCGTCCCTCTAGCGCAGTTCACTCACGCCCTCCATCCGCTTCCGTCTGCCGATCATGACCTCGACCTCATGCCTCATGGATGTTGCCTCGTTCCAGCATTTTACTCTGAGTTCTCTGCGCATCTTCGCATAATGAAGTCTGTATATGCATGGAGTGCTGGGTACCATCTGCGGCTTTCCCTACAGTATGAGAAGAGCAGCCCACTGTTGATTGCCACCATCCGTGCCTTCGCGCCGCTCCGTCCCGTCTGGCAGCTCAACGCACCGGCCAGCAATCCGGTCGCGCCTCAGCCCCTCCTCAAGTATCCCGATATCCTTCAGAACAAGCCTGTACGCCTCCACCATCTTCTCCGCCTTCTCTCTGGAGCCTTTCTCCTCGGCGGTGCGTCGCTCAGCCGCCTGAACTGCCACTTCAGCCTTCTTCCTACGCCCCTCTGCCTCGGCCAAGTTCCGCTCAGCCTGTCCCCTAAATGCTTCAGCCCAACGAGCGCTGCGCTCAGCCTCCATGGTGCGCTGCTCCTGCTTCTCGGCCTCGTGCTGTGCTGCCTCGGCGCGTGTCTTCTAGACACTGGCGTCGTGTTCTGCTTGAGCGCGGGCACGGGCTGAGACTTGCGACTCCCGCTCGGCAGCCAGGGCGCGGCGAGTGAGCTCAGCGTTGGCGTCGGCGTACGTCTTTGATTCTGCTCTGGCGTCGCGAAGCTGCGTGCGCAAATTGTCGAGCTCGGCTTGTTGAGCTGTCGCAAGGTCCAAGGAGGGGGGCTGCTGGGGCTGAGACAAGATGATGGGTCGACGGGGCAGGGTGGCCTTCATGAGCGGAGTGGGGTTATGTGCCCTTGCCGGGCGGGATTTTGGCTGTGTGTGGTCTTTTCGGCGCATACGAGCCTTCTTGCTCAGACGAGGCTGTTTCGCCGGCTGGCGAGACTCGGTAGTATCAGCGGGTCGAGAGTCGGGCTTCTCCTGGACGTCATGCATGTCGATGCTCATGTCGGCTGGCGGAACGACACCGCAATGCACACTCGGATCGTCACGGGACGACGTTGCTGGTGGCGAGAAGGAAGACAGGTCTGTTGCCGGTTGCTGCTGGAGGTGCGGGCGTGGCGTGCACTGAATGGCAAGACCTGCTTCATCAGGCCCCTCGCCGTGCGCTACCAGAAATAGGTACTGGGAGTTGAGCAGCGGGTGGGGGGATTGTGAAAGATGAGGAGAGGATCCGCAACTTGTCGATGTCAAGGATGCTAGTAGGTAGCGTCCCGCGCGGTGGAGTTGGCTGCGCCGCTGCGCCCTCGGATCCCTCGATCCACGTCCGCCCGCCGATCATGTCTCTGCACGTATGGCCTCGAGTCAGCAGTCGATTCTCGCTATTATTTGGGGGATCACAGGCTACATGCATATGCGGTCTAGACAGGTCTCTTCGTGTGATTCGCTGGCCACTTCTATCACCAGCAGAGGGGAGGGCATTGTTGATCAAGGCGACTTCGTGGGGATCTCAGGGGGCATGTAACTAACGAACGGAAGCGCCTGTTGGGGGACTTCAGGCTTGTCGCACTCAGCCCGAGAGTGAATCATTCGAACATGCAGGTTCTTAGCAAACCGGACCCTCGCCGCCTTCGCGCTTCGCTCGGCGCCAACATCAGCTGCGGAGGCTGCCACTTCCCCGTTCAGAATTCGGACCTCGGTTGCAAGTTCTTCGCAGTGCTGTTGCAACGCTGCTGCGCGCTCCTCCGCCTCCTCAGCCCTGCGCTCAGCCCGCAGCGTCCTCGTCGTGAGGTCCGCATTCGTCATTTCGAACGTCCTGGCTTCGGCTTTGGCTGCCCGAAGCCGTGTCCAAAGCGTCTCGATCTTGGCGTGCAGACTCGTGATGTCGTCGGAGCCCTCTGCGTCGGACTCGAAGTCTTCTTCGCTGGTCGCGAAGGTGTCTTCGAACTCGGGTCCCTCCTCGTTGGTCGCGGTGCCGTCTCCATTGAGCCCAAAGTCGTCTTCGTCGGATTGGGAAGCCTCTTCGACTGCCTCGCTGAACTCGACTTCCTCATCGTAGGTTTCGTTGACCTCGTCCTCATCGAAAGTCTCATTGAGGTAAGATCCCTCTTCGAGAGTCTTGTCTGTCTCGGAGTCCTCTTCGAAAGTCTCGTCGAACTCAGCATCGTCCTTGACGTCGCCGGCGGATCTGGTGAGAGGCCACAGAGGGCGTCCGAGTCCGACAAGGTAGTCGCGTTCAGAGTTGATAGTTATCTCGGGCACGGTGAGGAGGTCTGGGGCTGTTGCTGTCATTGCTCTCGCTCTAGAGTTCGAAGTCGAGGCGGCGCCATCGTTTGCACGTGTCCCACCGGTGGCGGGCCCCTCATCATCTCCAGCCTTGGAGTTGTTGACGAGCTTTTCGACTTTCCGGTAGCTCTCAGCGTGCGCCTTGCCCGCAGGCGTGTTGCGCCACACGCTTGAATCACGCAGGGCGCGGGGCGCTTGAGGCGCTAGAGCCAGAGAGACTGTAGAGGAGGCCTCTGAACTGGGATCCGCGTCGGCGTTCGTTCTGGGTTGGTGCAGGCGGGTTCTGCAGGAAGAGGAAGAGAGGACGATGGACGCCTTGCGCTTGCGTCCATGGGGCGAGGGAGACTGTGCGAGTTCTTCCGCGCCGTCGTCGAGGAGGAACTGAAGCTCCATACTGGCGTAAACAAGACACTAATCGTGCCAGCTTTGGTGTGGCTTCAGCGAGAAGGTTGGAAGCCGTCTGGCGGCGAGAGCAACAGCAACCGCCTCACCGTCGAGGTAGTAGTAACGAGTGACTTGGGTGTGTTGGAAGGGAGCGTGAGTTAGTTGGTGAGGAAGGGGAGCAGAGGATGGGCTTGACAGTTAGTGGTGGAAGAGGAAGAGCGTAGAGAAGATATGAGCGATGTTAGAGTGGCAAGTGAGTATGTACAAGTAAACAACCCTGTCCCTCTAGCGCAGTTCACTCACGCCCTCCATCCGCTTCCGTCCGCCGATCAAGTCTCGAGCCAGTTGCACTGCATCTCTGGAACCATGCAAGTGGCTTCATGTATGCACATGGAGTCTGTACACACTAGTACACACGTAATGCTCTCACGCACTATGCTTATCATGGTTTACGTCGCAACCCGCTTGTGGCGCATGAATGCGGGCTCACCTGCCGACGGCAGGCTCGACCTCCTCAGCAAGCAGCCCATGCTCCTTCAGTACGACCTTGTACGCCCCAGCTCTCTCCTCGAATCCTTTCCTCGTCCTCTCCGCCTCGTCCCTGCCCTTCTCCGCCTCTTGGTTCGCCCATTCAGCCATGACAGCCCTCTCTTCCGCTTCCTCAGCCCTCATCTTCATCTTATCCTTCGCCTCCTTCTCTTCCTTCTCCTTCTTCATCTTCTGGAGCATAGCCTGCGCCTCCCGCGCCAAGTCCTTCGACCTATCCATTATCTTTGCCTGCCGCCGCTCGCTGATCTCCTTCATATCACGCCGGTGCAGCCTCTCGGCCGTCCTCGCCCTCTCCTCCATCTTCGCGAGCTTGGACTTTAGGTCTTTGACCTGCGTGGCCAGCGCCAGGACCTGCTTCATGTGAACCTGCACGCACTGAGGCGTCCGCTGCCTTGAGCTGGGCGCGGAGGGATTCGTTCTCGGCTCCCAGATCGGTAACTGGTGGGAGAGGCGGGACCGGTCCAGTATCGGTTCCAGAGTCGGGCGGGACGTGCCCTGCGAGACGCTGGGTCGTGCTGCAAGGTGTGCTGCAAAATGCATCGACGGCACTGCCGGTGGCAGCAGCGTTGCGGGCTCTCTTCGGACTCGTACCCACGTTGGTGCTCTTGCCCACTTCCGCTTCCTCGTCAGAGGAGAGGACGATGATGTCGCGCTTTTCCCCGCCTTGACGCATGATGGTTGGGATGTGGTGTTGAAGGAATGAGTGAAAGAAGTGGAATCGATGCGAAGAGCTGACCTTCTTGACTGATGCCGACGCCCTCATTGATGCGGTCCCGTCCTGCGCCCATCTCCGTCGCACCCTCGCGTCATCATCTGTGTAGCTGTGGTCACAGTGTCTCGTGTACCGCTGCCCGTGCAAGTATGCCAGTGGACCGCAAAATCTGCTGTAAGTTCCTGGACGCCGTCCGACTCTACTCTTCGCTTTTCCCAGACCTGCGACGTCGACCTAAACCCTGTTAATACATGCATACCTTCACCACATCTACGCCGTCTACGCCGTCTGAGCCCCCAGATCTCCCTCGGGCACATCAAACCCAGCCCAGGCCCTCATGGTGGGTACATCGACGACGCCCTCGCGTCCTTCAGCGATAGACTTGCAGATGGCGTCCGCGACGTGGTCGACGTGGATCGGGTGCGTGCGCAGCGTCTGCGCCGTCTTGCCCAGAATGCTCTCCTCCGAGAAGGGCAAGGGCAGGTGCAGCCTGTCGTGGAGTCCGGCGCTGAGGGAGACGGCGAATGCGGGCAGCGTGCTAAGCGGGCGGGTGTGCGAGTGGTACATGAGACCTGGTGTTAGCTAAGACCGTCGCAGAGTAGCTGGGGGAAGAAAGCGGAGAGCGAAGAGGAGAGGATAGACTTACCGGGACGCATGATCAGCGGGTGCACATTCGTCTGCGGCGTGCACTTCTGGATGATCAGACCCTCCGCCTCACGCTTGCTCCGGAGGTAGCCTTCGGGCACGATGGGGGCGAAGCCGGTGCCGGCGGAGATGTAGACGAACGACCTCGGAGACGGGGCGCCGTCAACGAGGTGCGGGTGCTGGAGCATCGTGTCGAGCACCGAGATGGCTGTCGTCAGCTTGGTACGTTCAACGTTACAGCTGCGTTCCTCACCCGAATCCCGGTTCATTGCATCGTATCCCTTCCTCTTCTCCGCCGTCGTCTTGAGCGGGTTACTGTCGACCCCGGAGCCAAGGACACCCTGCGCTACAGCCTTGAGTACGCCCAGGGGGTTACCTTGTCGGACAGCAGCCTTGTACCCCGCGTCCTCGAGCAGGATACCGAGCGTGTGCACGACGGCCGTCTTGTTCGAGATCAGGTCGGCAAACGTCGATGGCTCAAAGGCAGACGCCTTGTGCCACTGCACGCGCTGCACCCATTTTGGCGTGTGCCCTGCTGGGGTCGTGTATGGCGTTCCGGAGGAGGACATGCTGGAGACGTCCCAGCCCCTAGAGACGGCGGCCTTGCACACGGCCGAGCCTGCGGTTAGCTATGAGCGTACGAAAGGGCTTAAGCGAGCGCGGAGAGGATATGAAGGGGAAGTCCCACTCATGGAGTCTTGACTTACCGAGGAAGCCGTTCCCGCCCACGACGAGGAGGCGCGGGACTGTTGTTGATACCGAGGCCATGATGATCGGTTGGATCCGGTGGATGGAGGGAGATTTCATGGTGAGGAGTTCCGGATGGAAGTGGAGGGTCATCTACGGGTTTCCCACGATCGCATCGTGCCTCCACAGGTGGAGGTCGGAGGTGGAGGTCGTCCAGACCACACAACTGGGCCGTGGGAGTGGAGGTGTTGTGAAGAGGTGTGAGCGGAGAGAGAAAGCGCCGACTCCCTGTATGTACGTATGCAAGCTGTCTCTTCACTATTGCATTGGCATACATAGCTTCATCCATGCGCTCTGAAACTCTGGAGACGACTTATGCAGCTCAGTCAAGGACGAAGCACTGCGAGGGCAGCTGACCGCGGCGAGCTCACTGCGCCCAGTCCTATTACATGCAACTATCTCATGCGCTTGTTTCTGTGACTGTCTGTGGCTCGATGCTAGTATGCTGCGGGCTCTGCGCAGGTGGAACTAGTCGGGGACTCTAGCAGCCCACCCAAAAACGTCGGCGAGCACAAGAATCCGAGCGGCGAAATGTTAGTACGGTTGGTTGAGCTCGAACTGCCGACGCTGCATAACTGGACTGAGCACGACCGGCGTTTCATCGCTGAGCCGACCGCATCTCAGCGATCTCAGCGATCTCAGCAGCTCTGTACCATGACCTTGCATATCTCTTCCATCTTTCGGTCCTCTCGGCGTTGGTCCACCACTCTTCCAGCTCCACCACCTGCAGTACACAGCCCTGCACCGCTACTGGCTCTCACCCGCATTGTCGCGCCTTGCAGCCTCCTCGTTCGTTCGACAACTGCGCATTGTTTCACCACTAAGTCGACGTCGCATTGTCTAATCATCTTCGATCGCGCCACCGCTTAATCTGGACACCGAGCCATTCCGAGATTAAACTGCGGTGAGCGCATTCATGAAAGCGGTGGAAAGAATGGTCGGCCGAAGTGAGGAGTGGGCCAAGTGAATAGATGTCTGCTTCGGGAAGCTAGTTGGCGAGGTCCTCTCAACATGACAGTGACGCGCCCAGTGCGTCCTCTAGCTCATGAGCTCATATCAGTCGCGTCTACGTGACTCAGCCTTCCCACGGTCGCTCGAGTGAGGGCCGAATGGCGGGTCGAGGCGTCTTGGGCCTAGGCGCGACCACCGACCGATCCGCGCAGCGCGGCGTCTTGGATTCTCGTGACCTGGAATGTCTTGAAGCTCGGAAATAATCTCCGCGTGCCTCCGCAAACTATCTCTTAGAATGCCGCACACTGTCGCTGTGACATCACCATGCCGCAGCGAGAGTTTAGGCCGAAGAGTCCCCGTTATCTGATAAACAATGGTTGTCATGATGGAGCACGCGGTCATGTTCGGAACATACAGGAGATCCTTGCCAAGCTTTGAGCTTACTGCAAGAGGCAGCAGCAGCATCGGCAGAACAATGGGCGCGCGCGGTTCATGAGAGGAGGCTGGTCGAGATGCAGGGGTGTGTGGGTGCGACGCGTGCACCGTGGGACAGCTGACGTGGATGGATAATTCAGGGTCGCGGGGGGCTAGCACCGCGCTCCAACGAGTCATGTTTGTGTGTTGGCGCGACGCGACTGACCTTTTTTCAGGACGCGCAGCTAAACACACGTATATAATTCACGTGACTCTGTGATCCCTCCAGCCAACCAGCGTCCAGCATTCGACCAAAGATCAGCCCCAGGCTTGATCTCGCACTGGCAATGTTTATCACACCCATTCATCCGCCCAGCCAAACCCTGCAAGGGGAGACGAACTGTCGGCCGGATGTCCCGTTGCGGTGGTTGCGGTGCCCAGGACACAGGGCGTTCAATGTAATGGCGCGCAGGAGGCCCAAGCCCGAGCTCATGTTCACTCCAGCGCGAAAAGGAAACGCGTCTCCAACAGACTCTTAAGCGCACTAGGTCAGACGCCCATCTGTAAGATTTCTCTCATCTCACCACTTCACACCACGCACGCATCTTGCTATCTTGCAAGTCTATCCTGGTAACCTGCCCCCGTCCTAACCCCCCTACTGCCTGCTCTCTTGCCTTTAATCTCTCCCACCATGGCTGCCATCGTCACCCCGTCCAAGGTCGCCGCGGCCGCCCTCGAGAACTTCTCCATGAACGAGGCCCCCAAGGACGTCCTGTCCAAGCTCAAGGCTGCTGCCGCCAAGGAGGCTGGCGTCGACGCCAACGGAAAGCCCCTCGCCAAGGAGGAGGCCGCTGCCAAGGAGGCCACCCCCGCTGCCGAGGAGGATGCCGACTGCTACAAGCCTGACTATGACGCGCCCGTCGAGAAGCGCTACGTCGGTGACCTCGAGTGCGAGGAGGCCGACGAGCCCCTGCTCAAGGAGTCGACCGACCGCTTCGTCCTGTTCCCCATCAAGTACCGCGAGGTGAGTATCCGTATGGTGACGCGTGACTGGAGCTGACTCAACCGCAGATCTGGCAGATGTACAAGAAGGCGCAGGCCTCGTTCTGGACCGCCGAGGAGATCAACCTCGCGCCTGACCTCCACGACTGGGACAACAAGCTGAACGACAACGAGCGCTACTTCATCGAGCACGTGCTCGCCTTTTTCGCCGCGTCCGACGGTATCGTCAACGAGAACCTCGTCGAGCGCTTCTGCGGTGAGGTGCAGATCTCCGAGGCCAAGACGTTCTACGGCTTCCAGATCATGATGGAGAACATCCACTCGGAGACGTACTCGCTCCTCATCGACACCTACATCCGTGACAATGCCCGCCGCCAGTACCTGTTCCAGGCCATCGAGACCATTCCCTGCATCAAGAAGAAGGCCGACTGGGCTCTCCGCTGGATCTCGGACCAGCGTTCGTCGTTCGGCGAGCGCCTTATCGCTTTCGCTGCCGTCGAGGGCATCTTCTTCTCTGGCTCGTTTGCGTCCATCTTCTGGCTCAAGAAGCGTGGTCTCATGCCCGGTCTCACCTTCTCGAACGAGCTCATCTCGCGCGACGAGGGTCTCCACACCGACTTTGCCTGCCTGCTCTTCACGCACCTTCGCCGCCGCCCGCACCCCGACACGATCAACAAGATCATCAAGGAGGCGGTCAAGATTGAGCAGGAGTTCCTCACCGAGGCCCTCCCCGTCTCGCTCATTGGCATGAACGCCAAGCTCATGTGCCAGTACATTGAGTTTGTCGCCGACCGCCTCCTCGTCGCCCTCGGCAACGACAAGGTCTGGAACTCGGCCAACCCCTTCGACTTCATGGAGATGATCTCGCTCCAGGGCAAGGCCAACTTTTTCGAGTCGCGCGTGTCCGCCTACTCCAAATCTGGCGTCAACCAGTCGGTTGGCAAGACAGCAGAGGAGGCCGCCTCGGGTCGTGCCTTCTCGCTCGACGAGGACTTCTAAGCGTGCAAACACGCGAGCGCCGCGAGCGTGCTCATTAGAACAGTAGGATTAGTCAGCAGTCTTAGCTTTTGTAGTAATATTTATAGACCAACACCCTTGTATGCAATTATTCCAGACACCCCGCTTGCTGCATGCTGCGTACTGATCTCGTAAGGAGACTCTGCGGAGGAGCGAAAGTTTGGAGCCCTCAACCCCTGACGCGCATTCATGACGGTGGTTGACTCAACCATCGTCAACTTGACGTCAGCCCCCCCGACGCGTCGCGTATGGCATGTCTGGATCATTTCCGACGCGTCGCGTCAGTTGAGTGATCTGGGCGTAGGGGAAGATGGCTGACACTGACTTCTGCAGGCAATACCGGCCTAACCTGCCTGCACGCTCCTGTGGCCTTTTGCCTCACTGAATCTGAAGAGTGCCTCGCCGTGCATGTATGAAGCGTCCAAATCCAGGCGCGAATGGACTCAGAACATGCCTCTGCAAGATCGACGTCACCCGCTGGATGGTTATCCGGGGAGTCATCCATCTCCGTTCGCCGTGCATCTTTTACAGTCTACCTCAGAACTCTCTGTGAACGACAGCGGGTCATGTTCCTCCCCGCGCCTGTCTAAGGAGGAGGTTCTGCATTGCTCGAGCTGGAAACGTTCTGGGTTGGAGGGGTGCAGGCTCAGTGCCGCCACGAAAGACAGGCTCGACATGGCAGTGAGAGGAGCATGAGCCTGAACATCGCCCCTACACGAGACTACGAGAAGTGGGAGCTCTGCAGCACTCGTCTGGGGCACTGCACACATTGTACAAACACATCGCCCATCTCATCATGCATTCGGGCAGAGACGGTAGGGCAGGAACCCAAGGCCAACTTTCCCACGCTCGTCTCGATCGCTCGGGATGTTGGATCGGGTGCCGCAAGTACCCGAGCTGATTCGCCGATCCGCTGTCCACCCCGTGAAGAAAGTCTCGACCCCACCGACTCAGCAAGCAAGCAAGCAAGCAAGCAAGCAAGCAAGCAAGCCCGCGACCGCGAAGCCCGCGCCTCTGCCCCGCCTCGCCTCGCCGAAAGAATGGCCTCACCCTCAGGCAGCCGCGAAGCCCGCGACACTTGCGACGTCGATCTCAGCCATGTCTCGAGCTCGTTCACTGGAGCGTCCGGAGCAACAGCGGCAACAGGGGCAACCAACGACCGACCGCCGCCTCCGCCTCCGCCGTCGCCTCTGTCGCCTGCGTTCAAGCCATCCGAGCCCTTCACGCTGTACGAGGGCTACTCCCCGTCCCTGTATTGGGAGGAGCGGGTGCGTCTCGAGAAAACCCGAATGGGACTCGACGTGCCCAGAACCGAAAGGGTGAGACTGGTCCTTGGGCCGCCGTTCGAAAAGCCCGGCAGCAGGAGGCGGATCTGGGTGCGTCCAGAGGACGTGAAGGGGCTCGTCCAGGTGCCCAGGCGTAACTGGACTGAGGAGGCGATGCTGCCGTGCTTCGATCTCTCGTGCAGGATGATCATCCAATACCTCACGCGTATTGATGTGGGGGGTTATCTCGGCGATATCATACGTGAAAGTGAAGCGTCGACTCGTAGACGTAGATCTCCGTAGACGGCATAGAAGATTAGGTTTTTTGGGCTTTTCATCTCTTGACCACACGGGCGTACGGTACTTGGCTATGTGTATGCGCGCACGATTGCTTGGACGGCGGGCTGAATTTGGACGTGGACGGTGGCAGCATTTCTAAAGGCAGTCGCGTGATAATGGTGTCCCTCTTTTCCTTTCAACACACTTCCACCGGGTTGCATCAAAGATGTGGAATGCTTCACTGACCACTACTGACCATGTTGCTTGGAGCCATGCATCATCCGTGACGGTCTTCCATCACCGCCTCAAAGTCACCCCAGGTCCTGCAATTGGCCGAGCTTGACAGCTAGACGTGTCCCAGCCGGGATTGCGGGATGGTTGTTTCTGCCCGTTCTATGCGGTGCAAGTCGCGCCAGGCACGTTCCGTCCGCTGGCCATATAAGATACAAACAGCTGACCCGCACGCAACATCACACCCCAGCCGCAGCATGACGATGAGTCTCCTCGACGCACACTGGACGATCACGAAGGCGCGTCTGCAGGGCTTTCTGCTCGTATGGGGTGGAGTCGCCGCGTACCAGACGACGAGGGACTACTTCTACCCTCCACCGCCGGAGGAGGTCAACGAGACGGACGAGTGTGACGTGAGCGAGCAGGGGGGCGAGGTCACAGTCCGACTCGTTGACAGGGGACCTGAGCCATCTCCTCTTGTCGACACAGAACACTTCCAAGCACGTCTAGTTTAGACCCCCCTCCCACCGAAAACTCCTCGGGAACACCGGTCCGACCCGCTGAGAACTCAATATCGCGGTCGCTCTCTCTTTGCCCGCCCACCTCGGGCAGTATAAAGTAGTCCAGTGCGACCCTCACCTACCCCTTCGACACTCGCAACATGTCCGCCCTCCGCCAAGTCTGGGCAGGATACCGCTTTACGGGCTACGTTGGTGACACCATTCGTGAGCTCAAGGTTCTGAGGCGGTGCCTGCGGTGCGGAAACGGTCCGCCGGCCCCGAGGTTTGACGCCGGTTCGAGAGTAAGTCTGTTTCAGCGCCAACGGTTGGCTTAGTTCAGTAGGACCAGTTAGATGATGCACTCTCTCATGATATCGTTGGCGTAAAGCATACTGCGACGTTGAGGGCATTGTTCGTCTGTGCTGCGGAACACAACTCGGGGCAGTTTTCCCACGGGCGCCATCCCTTCTCCTGGCCACAATTTACGTAACAGCCCTATCCTCGTCCACTCTCCCACGCCCGCCCTCCATGACATGAGCACATCTGTTGTTGTCCGCCATCCTCACCCCCTCAATCACCGTCGACATCTTGCCGCCATCGACCATCGACAAGGGAAGTGATGGCGCACACGTCCCACTCGCTCGACACGCCTGGAACGCGGCTCGCGCCCGCTGACGCGTCGGCATACCTCCAGCGCGTGGTTGCGGGGACGCTGAATCGGAAGGGATTCGCGGGGGCTGAGGCTGGCGCGCTTGCTGAGATGGAGCGTCTGTTGGAGAATCGTGAGTAGACCTGCGCTTTCTCTCATTGCTCCAGTTGTATCTGCCACAAACACCCTGTCTGCTCTGATATTCTCATGAGCTGCGCGTCGGACGTCGGACCGAAGATAGCGGCGAACCGAGGGAATGATAAGCTGTTTCTCCCGCCGGGACTGGCTTCACCAGCATCTCTACTGGTCGCGGAAGAGTTCTGGGGCAGAGGGCGATGATCGAATAGCTTTCCTGTCTTCTTGCGTAGCTGACCCCAGACATTCAGCGCCTGTTCGTGCTGGCACAGGACTATGCCGCCTTCTCGGGACGCAATACGCCGTATGCGGGCGACCTTGCGCGCGCGCAGGCCGAGAGTGGCTGGGACGTTGGGCGGTTGAAGCGCGAGGCAAAGAAGAGACGGATAGGTGAGTCAGATCTTGCGCAGTGCACACTGCACGTGGTGTGTTTGCGGCGCAAGGGCTGCATGGAGTGCGGAATGGAAGGCGCAGCGGTTTGCTCGCTGCACCATGTCCGCGCTCCTTCTTACAGAGCTGTGCATGTATACGTCCAGCTGTCATTCCTATGTATACGCAAGCTGACTCCCAGCCCTGCCTCTGCCCACGGCAACCGAGCCGCCCGAACCCCCACAGCCCCTCACGCTCGCCTCTCTCCCAGAACTGGGGAGTGACGAGAAACCGCGTCCCGTGCCGCCACCATCGTACGCGTTCGACAACGCGCCCCCTCTCCCGCAACCATGGACTTACAAGCCGGACGAGGTGCCCGCCCCGCCCCCGCCGGGGAACAAGGTCACGAGCGGTGTGCTCGACTTTATCAAGCTGACTGCCACTGAGAGGGGAGATATTCCGCCCGAACTTGGATTGGTGGACTACAGGAGACGAGAGGGCAAGCGGAAGTGGGGCACGAAGGGGGCTGGCGCTTAGTTGTATACATTATGTTACATTGTTTCTACATGGGTATCGAAGAGACTGGGGTCAGCTAACACCCTCGAGGCACTAGCTCACTGGTTGTTGATGTCAGAAGAGTATGGCGGATGGTGAACTTCGCAGTTTGTCCGAGACGCAGGTTATGTGCGGGCTGCTGTCAGCTAACAGAAGAGCACCAATGGTGAAGCTCACGCTCTGAGTGGCCGCGCATGAGAACGACGTCTAGCATTTGGGCAGCGTCCGTCACGCACGGGAGGCTCGTCTGACCTCAATTGTCAAGAGTGCGCACTTTCTCCTCGGTCTGCTATCAGCTCTCGCTGGCGAAAAACCCTGATCAGCTTACCTCGGAGCGACGCTGGTCTCAGCTACGAATAGGTCCCGGCGAGCTCACCATCACCTGGTCGTCAGCTTCGTCACCATGATCGAAAGCTTACATCACTCGTCATCGCTGTACTCCTCCTCGTCCTCATCGTCGTCGTCGTCATCGTCCGAGTCCGCGAACACATTCTCCTGCCGCTTGCGCCTGTTGTCAGCTTCCCATCAGACGATATCAGCTCACCGCTTCTGGTACGGCTGCAGCTGGCTCGCGCCCTTCGGCGGAACCTTCTTGGGCGGTGACTGGGCTGTGGTGTCAGTTTGCACGTCAGGAAGACTTCAACTCACGCCCAGTGTGCGCCGCGCGTTGGAGTTCGGCCTGTTGCGCACGGATGCGTCCTCCGAGCTTCTCGATCTGGGCCTGAGCGTTAGCTGCGTGCCAGAGGGTAACGCACGTTGGCCGCGTCGAGGTCAGCTTGGACGGCTGCGGCACCTGGATGTCAGTGTTTGCTCGACGTTTCAAAGGCAGGGATCGCCGGTGGAGGGCTAGAAGAGGCTACGCACTGCCCTCGTTTCGCTGGTGGAGGAGCTGTTGTCAGCTTTGACGGAGCACATGGAGCTCACCAGGAATGCACCGTCGAGAAGGAGACCGATATTCTCGGACACAGACGCGGCGTCGAGGTACACGCTGTTCTTCTTCGTGGCCGTGTGGATCGTGAGCTGGCGTCAGCTGGCGAATTGCAAACCCCAGCTCACCTTCCTGCCCCCGTTTGGACGGGTGTCGACGCTCATGTCACCTTTGATCATGGCCCTGCTGATCTCGTCGACATTGCTCGTGTCCTGTAGTTAGCTAAGGCAATTCCAACGCGCAGAGCTGGCTCACCTCGCCGATACCGATCCAGAGCTGGAGGTTGTTTGGTTCCTGGGCGTTTGGGCGGAGCCAGAGAGCTAGCTCCCAAACGCCATCCTTTGCTCTAGACTGGACAAGGTAGTGCGATGTGTGTCCTGCTGCGACGGAGTAGATCTGCTCCGTGACGTTGAGGCTGTCGAGCGACATGGTGCCGCTTGTTGGTAGCCGGAGGACGCAAAGTTCGGTTCAAGCGAATGGACGACTGGACGATGGTCATCTCGTTCGCGGTATCGTTATCGGACGGGGCCTTCCCTGAACACCTCAGGCTGAGTCGACTAATCACAGAAGGCGGAATGTCCGTAATGTGGGCTAATTACAGCGGGTATTAGAAGTCGGGATTACATTGTAATAGTGGTGTAGAAAAGATCTTTTCCAAGGCCGATGACGAGATTTTCCAATCCTCAGGGCTTGCGCCTGGCGAGCGGCAAGCGGCGGCGGACATGTGCCGCTCCTCCCCAGCTCAAGATCCGATATTCTCTTCATCTTCTCCGACAACGACTCACCTCCACAACAATCTTCCACCCCTCCTCCCCTTCCCTTTCTTACCAATCACCCACTCGACCGACCATGGTGTCCATCGCTGCGACCACGCTCCGAACAGCCCGCACAGCTCGTGCAGTGAGTTAATCCTCTCTGCCCATGCTAACTCTCAGCTCCCCTCGTGCTCCCGCGCTCTCGCGACGGCCGCCGATGCCGCTCCCCAGCAGCCTGCCAAGCGGCGGTTCGCCAAGCTCGACGATGGACTTACGTTTGACGACTTTGTGTCTGGCGAGCCTATCCCGCCTGCCTCCGAGCGTGTCGTGCTCGGCAACACGTCGCAGCCGCGTCTCCCGAGTTTCCTGAAGCACCCCATCCCGCGCGGCGAGTCTTACACGGGAATCAAGAAGGACCTGCGTGGTCTGGGACTGCACACGGTGTGCGAGGAGGCCAAGTGCCCGAACATTGGCGAGTGCTGGGGCGGCGGCAAGGGCGCGGCGACGGCGACCATCATGCTCATGGGCGACACGTGCACGCGCGGGTGCCGCTTCTGCTCTATCAAGACGGCGAAAGCCCCGCCGCCGCTCGACGTGCACGAGCCCGAGAACACGGCCGAGGCCATCTCGCGCTGGGGACTGGGATACATTGTCCTGACCTCCGTGGACCGCGACGACCTCGCGGACGGAGGCGCCAAGCACATCGCCGAGACGATCGTCAAGATTAAGCAGAAGGCGCCCAAGATCCTTGTCGAGGCGCTCACCCCCGACTTTGCCAACAAGGGAGACGAGACGATCAAGACGGTCGCGACGAGTGGACTCGACGTCTTTGCCCACAACATTGAGACCGTCGAGCGGTGCACGCCCTTTGTCCGTGACCGCCGCGCTGGGTTCCGCCACTCCATCGAGGTCCTCCGCAAGGCCAAGGCGTTCGCGAAGGAGGACGGAAAGGAGCTCCTCACCAAGACGTCGATCATGCTCGGTGTCGGCGAGCAGGAGGACGAGGTCCACCATGCCCTTCAGTGTGAGTAGAGTTGGGGGCCGTCGGTTCGAGCCGAGGGCGGAGTGTCGTCGCTCCGTATCCCATCCCGGCCAGCTTTCTTCTCTGCGAATCCCAGCTGACATCCAGGTCTCCGCGACGCCGACGTCGACGTCGTCACTTTCGGCCAGTACATGCGCCCGACAAAGCGCCACATGAAGGTGGACCGCTACGTGGAGCCCGTCGAGTTTGCGCGCTGGAAGGAGGTCGCCGAGGGCATGGGCTTCCTGTACGTTGCGTCGGGCCCGCTCGTGCGCTCCTCGTACAAGGCCGGCGAGTTCTTCATTGAGAACGTGCTCAAGAAGCGTCGTGCGGCCGCGGCGGAGAAGGCCGCGGCGGAGCTGGCTGCCAAGAAGGAGCAGGAGGGCGCCGAGGCCAACCTCTAAGCGGGCTATCTGACCGCTGTCAGATGAGGTTTCTCTGAAGGCTGAAGATAGACTTGGAGATCTGGACCACGAGGACGTTGCATTCCGAGCCGGCGAGCATTCAACAGCGCCAGCGGCTCACACATATAAACCAACATACAACACAGATTCTGGATAAAAACTGTACGATTATGCAACCCGGATAGACTATACATTATAAGAGCGCTGCTACATTCTGCTACTGACTGAAGACTCTGGGCGTTGTGGGGGCCAGGGCGCCGTCTAGGCGACAGGGCTGTAACCCGCTGGCCGCTGGTGGGTGACGGAACGGTCCGGTTTTCTGAGCGTGAGACGTGGTGCCGCTCACTCGCCATCGAGCATGATCGCGATGAACTCTTCCTGCGAGATCTCGCCGTCGCCGTCCATGTCAAACTCGTCAATCATCGCTTGTCTGGGGGTCAGCTTATCCAAAAGCCCCCTTCAGCTGCGTAGCGAATGAGCCAATCCACCACTCGTCCCTCAATGCAGAAGACTAGCGGGTGCCCAATACCGGCCATAAGTGGAGTAATACCAGGTGCGTAGATGCTATGGGTACGCATCATGGCCGACCCACAAGGTCATGGACGCCAAGCAAGGGAAGAAGAACTCACAACTCCTCGTCGCCGAGGTGCTCGCCCAGCTCCTTGGCGACCCGGCGCAGGTTCTTGAGCGAGATGCGACCGGTCTTGTCATCGTCGAAGAGGGAGAAGGCGCGGCGCAGTTCCTCCATAGGGTCTCGCGCCAGAATCTTCTCCGTCACTTTGTGTCAGCTGATTACGCGGACTTGTTAGCTGCTTCAACCTCGGCATCACCCAGCGCAACCATGCACACCACAAGACACCGAGAGGAGATACAGGGGAGCAGATTGAGGAGCTCAGAGAGTACACATGCCCTCGCTTCCTCGCTTCGCTCGATGTTGACACTCACTGACTTTCTCAAAGTCGGCGAGCGCCATAAGCCCGTCTCCCCGATCATGGTCGCGGAGGATCTTAAGCACCTCCTGCTTTCTGAGGTCAAAGCCGAGTGCGCGCATGGCGACCTTGAGCTCGTGGTAGTCGATGAAGCCGTCCTTGTCCGTGTCGAAGAGCTCGAACGCGTCGCGCACCTCGCCGCGTTGCTCGTCCGTCAAGCTCGGTTTCGGGGGCGGGAGCGATGCGCCGCGCCTTGATGTGCGGGGGAAGCCGGACATGATGTCTAGTGAGGATGAGAGTGAGGGCGTGAGAGTACACCGGGGTCCCCTTGAGAGAAGAGTGGAGGGAAGAAAGTGGAGGTGAGGGAGGAGAAGGAACGAGTAGATGAGCAGTGGCAAAGTCGCAGAAGACAAAGCAACAACAAACGAAGCTCGACGCGTCTCACGTGTCGCGTCCGGATAAACACCGGAACAACCGACGACGAAATGTTGAGCACATCCACCAGCGTCATACTTCCCTCCCTCCCGCAACAACAACATCCACGAACAACCATGCTTCTCCCCGCCGGCTTTGCGCTGCCCACTTCCGGTGAGCCGGTGCTCATCAGTGACACGACGGCCGCTTCATCCAACTTCGCCCTCTACCACCTCATCCAGCTCGCACAGGAGCGCGCAGTGCCTGTGAGTGTCTTCCCTCATCCCAGCTGGCCAGTGGGACTGCTGCAGCTGGCCACATTCTTCGCAGCGGTGAAGCTATAAACCCAGCTGTTGATTTGCTGTTGCCTAAAGCTGACAACAGACTACTCTTGTCGACCTCCGGCAAGAAGGGGCTGCGAGCCACACCGCCGTCCTGCGAAAGCTCGGCATCAAGCCGCCTTCCTTCCTCTCCCCATCACCCCTTCCTTCCGCCTCTACTCCTCTCTTCACTTCCTCTGGGCCCAGTCTGCATGCGACCTTCGCGGCGCTCCCGAAGTCCGGTCTCGTGATCCTCGACGGGCTCTCCGAGCTCGAGTCGATCGGCTTCTCTGCCCTTGACATCTCTCGCTTCGTGCGCGCGGTGCGCGACTCTGGCGTTCTGCTTGCTTTTACTCTCCGCGCTGACCTAACGGGAGAGGAAGACAAGGACGTCGAGCAGCCAGAGCTCCTGCGGAGACTGCTCCGTGTCAGCGGTCAATGGTGGAGGATCCAGGGCCTGCAGTCCGGACGCTCGGCTGATGTCACGGGCGAGATCTCGCGGCATAAGCTGAACGGACAGGGAGAGGATGTCGGGCGGCAGAACCCGCTGCAATACCGTCTCGAGATTGCGGGCGTCAAGACGTTCGCAAAGGGAACAGGAAGGGGATATCTGTAACCTGGATCTGTCAACCTCGCCCCTCTTCGACATGCTCTCACTCTGACTGATTGTCTGCGCCGCTGGGCCGCAATTGCCGCAGCTACCTGGACAAGAGCTGTGTAGCCGCCGGTGCAGAGAGCTCCATAACATCACCGCGACCAACCGCAAGCTCAAAGCTGTGACGGCCGGCGCTTTCCCCACCCAACATTGATAGACGCCAAAGGGCCCGAGTAGTGTGCAGTCCTGATGCGCGGCCCGACATGTATGTATCATATCAGACTCTACACGTGCACGTCGTGTTCTATTCCTGCTAACGGGCCGAGTGCCGACGCCGGAGAGTCGATGCAGCGATAAGAAGAGGGGACGGGGAGTGGTGGTTGAGCGGAGAGGTGGAAACGGGCCGATGGATCGGGGTCAATCATTGGTCCGCTCCGTGTTTTGGGTGGGCGGACGCGCGACGCCGGTGCCGGTGATCGACACCGAGCCCACCTTGGCGGGCCGAACTTTTTCTGGGTCGCATCGGCGACGGCAGCTAGAGACGGCTGTTATGCATGCAATTAGTAGGGAAAAGTTTGCAACGAACGTGGTTATGCTTCCTGTGGGCGGCAGCGGCAGGGAGAGCGGGAATCGGGAGACTAGGATATCGGGCAATTGGTGTCAGCTTCTGGTCTTTGCCGTTTCTGGGCAGCGGAGAGATGATTCATGCCGTGTCCCGTATCAATGGTAGCTTCGGTGGACGTAAGCTCTAGTCTCAGACTTCATGCTTTTGGGGGTGCTCCCTGCTCGCAGAAGTCGAGACGTGAAACTCGCCAAGCAATCAAGATGCATGCATCAGAGAATCAAGCGCATAGAGAGAGCCCAGAAGAGGGGACATTTACTGGCCAGGGTCCATCTTTTGAGGAACGCACCCTCCCGTTGCCGCCGGGAGTACGAGACCCTCAGGGACACAACCCGCGCATGACCATGTTGTCGCCTTCTTCCTGTGCATCTCTCTCTCTCTCAACCCTCCCGGGCCAAGCAGGTCGGACACGACATCCATCCCTTCGTCTTTCCCATCCACTCCGACTTCTTTTGACATCTGACCATCTCTCTCCGACACGCTTTACACGCACATCGACGCTGCCTCTCGCTCTCAAAGCTGATCGGCGCCCTCCACGTCCTCGTCAGCCCATCGCGACCACACCCCCTCCCTACGCGACCTCGACCACCACCACCACCACCCTTGACACCATGAGCGCCCCCGCTCCCCCCGTCTTCAAAATCGCCCCGGGCATCCAGTCCTATGACTGGGGTAAGAAGGGCTCCTCCTCCCTCGCCGCCCAGCTTGCCGAGGAGAGCGTACCCGACTTCCAGGTCGACGAGAACAAGCCCTACGCTGAGGTATGTCGTCCCTCCGCTTACTCTACCCTCCGGTGACAGCTCCGTGCTGCGCCCTGTACTCCGTGCAACGCTCCTTAATGGAAGACCGCGCTGCTTCCCACGCTGCGTCCTGCCAAACATGCGTCATGCGTGTGTCTGTACAACCCCCGCAGCACACCAGGCGCAACACTACGGCCCGCTTCCTCCGCTCACCCTAAGGGGATGAGGTATGAGGCGCCATGTCGTCATGGCCTGTCACCCAGCTTCAATGTGTTGTTGTAGCTAACATCAGCTCTGGATGGGAACACACCCCAACTGCCCGTCGCGAACCGGCTCGGGGCTGCTGAGCGAGTACCTCGCGGCGCACCCCGAGCTCATCGGCGACGCGGTGCTCAAGCGTTTCCCCGACGCGCGTAACGGCGACCTCCCCTTCCTGTTCAAGGTACTCTCTATCGCGACGGCGCTCTCGATTCAGGCGCACCCCGACAAGAAGCTCGCTGAGCAGCTGCACAAGTCGAAGAGCGATATCTACAAGGGTGCGTGGTGCTTCGATGGTCCTCCCGAGCGAGACAGCTGGGAAACCTGTTGATGTAGCTGACAACCAGATGGCAACCATAAGCCCGAGATGGCCATCGCACTCACGCCCTTCCGCGCTTTCCTCAACTTTGTTCCCCCGGCCGTGCTCGTGCGCAACCTGCTCGCCGTTCCGGAACTCGCCGCCATTGTCCCCTCTTCCGCCGTCTCCTCTCTCGCCAAGGCCGCTGGCCTGTCGGACTCACCATCACTTTCCGACGCGCAGAAGCTGGAGGAGAAGACGGCCGGCGATGAGGAGAAGAGGGCGCTGAAGGAGGTGTTCAGTGCGCTGATGAGCGCAAACGAGGACGACTTCAAGCCCCAGCTCGAGAAGCTCGTCAAGCGATACAAGGCCGGGGACCTGAAGGACGGAGAGAGCAAGGAGATCGCGGACCTCGCCGTCGAGCTCGAGGGACAGTACCCGGGCGACATTGGCGTGTTCTGCGTTTTCATCCTCAACGTCGTCGACCTGCAGCCGGGAGAGGCGGCCTTCCTTGGGGCCAACATGCCTCATGCGTACATCAACGGAAGTGAGTGTCTCTCCCATCCGCACTAGCTGTAGTATGCGACGCGAAGCTGACGGCAGACATCATCGAGTGCATGGCCACAAGCGACAACGTCGTCCGCGCGGGCCTGACGCCCAAGCTCCGCGACGTCGACACGCTGGTCTCGATGCTGACATACGAGGCCGGCCCCTCGACGGCGCAGCTCCTCAAGCCGCAGGAGTGGCACCACGACCCCAGCACGCTCCTGTACGACCCGCCGATCGCCGAGTTCTCCGTCCTGCGCACGCATCTCGCCAAGGACGAGGTCACGACGCACGCCGCGGTGCAGGGACCGAGTATTGCTGTCGTCACGAATGGCGGTGCGCAGCTCTCTTGGACGCCTGGAGAGGTCGACGGCGACGTCCAGGTCACCAAAGGCGATGTCCTCTTCCTCGGCGCCGGGCAGGAGGTCAAGATCCAGGCGCTGCAGGATGTGGAGATCTTCCGCGCTTTTGTCGAGGCGTGAGCTGCAAGCTGCAAGCGAACCGAGCAGGCCTAGCGCAGTCAGGCGAGTGCGGAGAGCGCAGAGTATTGTTAGAGTAAGTTGGTAGACGACGATAATGCGCGTGTTTGCGCGGTAGGAGCTAGATTGTCATGCATAGGGATATTGTCTGCCCCGTGGTGATGAACTGACATCACTGACGATGATACTAAACCACGAGGCGTCATGTGGGGCGACAGAAGGCGCAGAAGGACGGATGCGGATCGGGGCGTATGCCTCGGAGCTGTCGTCGTTGTCTCCACATCATATGAACCCCGCCCCTCTTTAACCCCAATGCTTTCTCTCTCTCTCTCTCCACCTACAAGCTCAACCCCTTTCTTCCAGGCGTGAAAACGGTTTCCAGCGATGGGCTCCGATCTCAGCCAGAATCGCGTGAAGCCCAAACCTGCGAACCGCTCCTCAAAGCGCCGGGCAGCCCCCAACATGCCGGCTGCGAAAACCACCTCCGCGGGCAGTCGGCCCATCACGGCGCCAGTGGTGAAGCGACCCCGGCAGAGGCGTGAGCGAGATGATCGTTCAATCACTCGCATGTCAAGCGATACCTCCGATACCCCCATTTCCCTACCACGCCCCTACCGATCTCCATCGCCTGATCACCATTCCGGGAACAGCGCCAGTGCTGAGTCCAATACTAAGGCCACCAATCTCGGGGCCGAGATCGAGATCTTGCGCACCCAGCTTCGCGCAGCCAAAGCCGAAGCGAAGACGTACCAAGACGAAAACGCGGATCTGAACTACCGCATCATGGAGGCGGAGCGCAGGGCTGAGAAGGCAGAGACGGACGCTGCGGCGGCCAAGAAGCGGGCCAAGGATGCAGGGAGGACCCTGGGCCAGATCTCCAAGCTCAAGGAGGCCGCTAAGCGCCGTTGGCAAGAGCTTGAGGTAGAACTCAAGCTGGCTGAGGATGAGGCTGAGCTGGCTACGAAGGGGAAGGAGGAGGCGGAGAAGCTCGTCGAGGCGTACAAGCTCGTGCTCAAGAACCATGGGCTGCTCGCCGGCGGTATGGTGGGCGCAGCTAGTGCCGGTCGCGATGGTGCATCAACTGAGGTTACGGAACCCAGCTATGGCGACGTCGAGCCCATCATACATGAGTGAGAGTCGGGGCATAGGGAGCCCCAAGTAGGACAGCGAGTGTAATATACCACGGGCGATGGAGACGACGCCAGCGCGTAAGCTAAGAGTGAGTAGAAACGGCAGCATTCATGCATGTACTACATGTGACTTTTGGCACTGGACTAGTCGAAGCGAGATGATTGACCACCCCAGGCTGTTGGCTGTCAGAAACGACGGGCGCACGGAAGCGGATCGAGGCGGGCGTCGTTCATTAATCGACTACTGCGAACTTCGCCGTCTCCATTCACTCGCCACTGATCACTCGTCATCGTCACTTGTCGCTACTCACCTCTCACGTTCTACACGAGAACAACGCGCATCTTCACGATCCACCAACAGAAGCTATCGCGCCCGGCATCAGTGACAAGGTCGCATCCCGCCCCGTGCCGGCCAAGGACCCGCCACAACTGTCTTCCTCCACACCAAACACACTCGCCACCCCTGCCAACACTCTAGCATCATGTCACTTGGAGAGAGCGCTTTCTCGGGTCTGCGACGACGCAAGAAGCCTAACGACGATGTCGATACTGAGGACGTCATCGGCGCCCTGGATGGACCTCCTCGCTTGACCAAGAGGGCCCGCATGCGTCCCAAAACTCGCGCCACCGATGACAGCGGGCTCGCCTCTTTCTCCACCCCCGTCGCCGCGCGGGCCGTTCCGTCTCACGCCAAAACCTCCGCCTCCCCAGCGACTCCCGTGGCGCTCCCAGAAGAGAACGCCGACGGTGCACAGCGTGCTGCGAGAATAACTCAAGCACTGCAGATGCTGAAGGACAGAGTTGCAGGACGCCCCACGGGCACGAGCACCCTCGACCCAGCCGCCCTCCCTGCGCCCCAGCCCACGCCCACGACCGCCAAGCCCAACACCGCCCCCGTCTCTTTTGCTCACAATCGGGCTCCAACTTCAGCCTCCCCGAGTCTCATCGCCGAGCTCGAAGTCCAGCGTACCCGCGTCCAAGCGTCCAAGGCCGAAGTGCGCGCCTACGAGGAGAAGATCAGGGACCTGACGCGCCGAGCCATGGCGGCAGAGGGAAAGCTGCAAGACGCACAGTGGAACAACAAAAAGTTGGAGCTGCAGGCAGATATGGCCGAGGAGCGCGCTCGCACGACGGCCGCAGAGCTGGTCCAGGTCAAGCTGCGTGCTCGGAATGCAGAGGGTGAGCTCACGGAAGCCAGGCAGCGTATCAAGAAGGCGGAGGAGAGCATGCTCGAGGCGCACTATGAGGCGGCGGATGCTCACGAGCGGGCTGAGAAAGCGGAGAAGAGGGCCGAGGAGGCTAGACAGCGTCTTGTCGCTGCTGAAGCTCGCTGGAGTGAGAGGGTGGAAGTTAAGCAGGAGCCGACTGAACGAGAGCCGACATCGTCTTCGAGGCGCAGCGGTAAGCCTTCGGTGGACGTCAAGCCGGATGTCGAAGATGTCAAGCCTCAGATCGACTGAAGAGTAGAGTGTGGAGATGGCTTCGTGTTAAATAGTCACCTGTATACCAAGCAAGCTCGAAGGATAATGCACGTCGTGTCCAGAGAGAGTCGTTGTGACCATTATGCACAACTTGTAATTCTTTCTTTAGAGGCCAACGTGCTTCCCGGTGATCCTGGTGATCGAGACACGATCGAGATGCGAAGGAGGTGATCGGCGGGTGGAAGCAGAACGTGTTGGGGTGTCTGTGTTGACTCCAAACTCTACCTTTCACCTCTCACCACACTCGTCCTTACGAGATCGCTCCAAGCGCTCGACTACCCGAGCGATAAAGAAGCGCTCTGAAGGCTACTATGACACAGCCGTCTGCAGTCTAGCGACCTGCATCTCGGCCTCAACAGTCGCTCAAGCGCAAGCCATCCGAAGAGGATGTCAAGCCGTCCAAGCGCCAACTGCAAGCCCCTCGTGCACCCAGCTTCCACCATGTGTCAAGCGCTCGGCCTCACAATCAATGGTACATCCCATCCCCCGGTCTTCCTCCCGCTCCGCCTCCTACCCTCTCCATCGACAGACAACAGCAGCACCACCAGATTGAACCAGACTTCGGTCTGCGGTCGCCTAAGCGCGACCCCCGGGATACCCTGTATCGTGACTCCCTCCGCTTCGTCGCGCCCCGCACCAACTCGCAGATGGCCTCAGTAGCCAACAAACTCTCCCAGCTCAAGACCGAGAATGAGTCGCTGAGAACGCAAGTCCAGGTCGCTCAGGCTAATGCCAAGTCCTACGCCCTCAAGAGCGCCGATCTCGTCTTGCGCGTCGTGAAGGCGGAGAATGCCGTCAAGGAGGCGGGGCGGAAGGCCAAGGCAGCCGAGGAGTGTGCAGGGGTGGCTGAGCGCATGTCCAAGGACGCAGAGGAGAGGACAGGAAAGATCACCGAGCTGGAACGCCAACTCGCCGACATGCAACTCAAGCTCGCCAACGCCAAGAATCGCGCCGAAGAAGCCGAGAGCAAGATCGACGTCGCTGAGCACAAGGCCAGCACGGCAGAGCGCAAGATTAGTGCGGCCGAGCGACGGGCGACCGCTGCGCAACGCAAGACTCAGGAAGTCAAGACGACGTTAAAGGAGGTGGAGGGCAGGGCGCAGAAGGCAGAGCGGAAGGTTCATCTCGCCGAGGGCCGGACCCGGACGGCGGAGTATCGCGCCGAAGAGGCAAAGTGCAAGGCCGAGGAGGCGCAGCGCAATCTCGAGGCTGCCGTGACTCGAGCGACCGAGGCGGACAAGGAGGCGGAAGAGGCTGAGCGCAAGGCACAGGAAGCAGAGAGTAGGGCTGCGGCGGCCGAACGCAAGGCCGAGAAGAAGGCGGACAAGTTGGCCGCCGCCTACCGCCGTGCCTCGGAGGCTGAGACTCGCGCCGAAGCGGCCGAGAACAAGGCCAAGTACGCCGAACGACTTCGCAAGGATGCTGTCCGCAAGGAGAGGATGCTCACGGAGAATGTGAAGGTGTCTGATCACGAACTCGAGCATCTCGCCCACCGTACCATTGACGCCGAGGTCTGGGCGTTAAGGGCAGAGTGCGTCGCTGCTGAAGCCGAAGAGCGGGCCGAGCGCCAAGCTATCACCGCCACCCTCGACACCGACGCCCTCAACACCGCTGTCCGCGATGCAGCCTCAGCGGCCGAGCGCATGGAGACCCTCAAGCGCGATCTCGAACATGCAAACCACCGAGCGCAAGACGCCGAGATTTGGGCCATCAGGACTGAGTCTCTCGCAGCCGAGAACGATGAGAAGGCCGAAACGTTCCGGGAGCAAAGGGAGAAGATGAAGCGCGAGAACACGCAACTGAAGCGGCGGGCGACCAAGGCGGAGAACAAGGCCAGAGTGGCTCTGCGCCGCGCTGCTGAGGCTGAGGAGAAAGTCAACCTCGCTGTCGAGCTTGCGGGGCAGGAGCTCGCTCTTCGGCCCGTGTCGCCCTCGGAGTCATCAAGCGGTGAAGATGCAGAGATCTACGAACTGCCCCAGCTCCGTGAACGACCCTCACTCTTCGATCATGGCACCAGCCATGTGTCAGACACACCAGACGAGAGCTCCGCACTTTTCCACAACTTGGCATCTGAAGAACCTAGCGCACCCCCAGAGCCTGCCTCGCCCAGTACACCCTCGACACCTCGTGCACCCACCTGGATACGCAGCCACCAAGCATACCCCCTCGCGCCCCTGCCCCGAGCTCCAGCTCAGGCAAGCAGTGAAGACTGGCAGCGCCTCTTCACGCTTCATGCCGAGGTACAAGCGATTCTGGGCCCGCTGCACCGCGAGGTCGAACAGCACGCAGAGGCTGAACACCCCCAGGCGGCGTCCTGGACGAAGCACGTCGAGATGTTCTACGGGCTGTGTGCCATGTCGGCGGCCAAGATGTGGAGTCTTGAGCGCCGGGGCAGGCTCATGGACAAGGACGCGACGGAGGAGGCGAGGAGGCAGTTTGAGTGGGTGCGCCGGAAGGCTGATGAGCTGCAGGAGCAGATCGGGGAAAGCACACTGTAGCGAACGGATGAGGGTGCTGTATCTGAACTGCATGCATTGTGACATACGCAAGTCTGTCGACGGCTGTCAAAGGTGGTCCACCTGTTTGTTATCAGGTTGCGAACAGATGACGGGCCGCGGTCTCTGGTTTCACCCTCGCAGCCAAACCTGCTGGAAGGGGGCGCAGGTTGAAGACGCGAATCGGTCTCATCGCGAGTGCTCCAACTTTTGCGACAGCGACACGTTTTGCGTTCAGTGGTTATCTCATCTAAGCCCACCTGCGCACAGCACCTAGGTATGAACATCAAGAGTGAAGAGAGTGAGCGTTCGACTACGGACACGCACAATGGCGCCGTCGTGGTGAAACGCAGGCGCTCGACAGCCAGCCCGGACCTGCCCGACCAGCGTCAACGCGCAGAGGTGGGTTCTCTAACGCCAAGCTCGGAATTTTCGTTCTCCCTTCTGGTCGAGGCAGTACATGCTGCCGCCACATCAGTCCCGGACTCAGTATGCAAGACGCACGATAGCACCCTGTCGGCCGCGGGCTCGGTCTCTCTTATCCCAGCCACGTCCACACCCTCAGACATGACGTCTCTTCCACCCTATTCCTCTCCAGATCCTCTCGAGACCGAGAACGAGGTCCTCCGGCGCCGACTGCAAGCAGCCGAGTTCGAAGTTCTCTGTGCACAGCTCAAGGCTGCCAAAGCCAAGGCGAGAGAGTACAGGGTGAAGAACAGAGAGTTGAGCCGCAGGCTGGAAGAGGCGCAGGAGGATATGGAGGCGCTGCGCCAGCTACGCCGTGATGCCGAGTTTCGGGCGGCGAGCGCCGAGCAGTCTGGCGCCGTAGCCCTACGGAACGCCGAGGATCAGATCGCGGCCAGCGAAGCGAGGGCGGAGGCTGCCGAGGCCCAAGCTGCTGCATACAAGAAGCGAGTGTTGGAACTAGAGAATGAGCTCGTGAACGCTCTCACAACGCTGGATCCTGCGTCCCCGAGCCCTCAACCTCCGCCACCGGCGTCGCCACCGCCGCCTCTTCCGCCACCACCGCCCACACTGCCCGCCATCACTCTTACACCTCCCTCCGAGGTTGACTCTGCTTCCAGCCTTCAAGGAGATTCCGTGCATGATTCGAACTCGAACTCCGTGCACCACTCTACCCCTCGGCGCAAGAACAGGCGCGGCGGTAGGCGTCACAACAAGCCTGCCGGCCAGGCCAGTGCAGCTAGCACACCCAACCCCATCCTCAATGAGGGGACTGTCTCCGGGTACGACCCTCACTTCCCGGCATTAGACACCCAGCCAACGACTGGCTCCAACGCAATGCCCATCTCAATGCTCATCCATCCCGACTCTCCCCAGGCCGCGAAGATCAAGCAGCTGTACCGGCTCCACGGCGAGGTACAGAGTTTCCTCAGCACATTGAGAGCGCGAGCGCTCCGACTCGCAGAGCAGGGACACATGCAGGCTCCCGGGTGGGTTAGGGGCTTGGAGGGCCTGTGTGGGTTGAATGGGCTGTACCTCATCCAGATATGGAGGATGCAGCGTGAAGGGATTGCTGGAGCTGGAGATGGGGATCTGGAGGAGCACTTGCGGGGGCTGAAGGGCGTCGCTGAGAATGTGGAGCGCGAGATGGGCTCTTAGCTGCAGAAGCTGGGACAGCAGTCGCGTATGTACAAAGTATGCACCTTCTGTTGGACTGCCATGTCCAGAGTTAGAGACACCGAATTGCATCAGCAGGCCCGAGTGCCAATGGTCGCCGATTATGGAATTGGCCGATGAGAAGGGTGTCGTGAGCGGACTGAGCTGATGATCGTCTTCAGTTCTCACCACCACATGCAGACTCAACACACACGGTAGTGTTCAGAAGCCTGTGCTCTGTTTCAATGGTATGCTTTTGTGATCTTGGAGGGAGCTGCTGCAGAGGTGGCCCAGAGGTGGCAGAAGTGTTCGAGTGATGTGCGGCTCTGACGATCACCGGCATGAGGGGACGGACGGAAGCTGTTTGTCATGAATGGAGAACTGAAGGCGGCTGGTTTGCCTTGTTTCCAGCATTGTCCACTAAACCATCATCTATCTCACTCCTCCAATCTTGCAGAGATCACAGCGACATTAGGGAGTCCTCATCGCTATCGATCCACTAAGCCGCCACCTGGTTCTTGGGCCATCGAAAGCGATCACTCCCGGACCTCATCGGCGTCTTCCTTCTCGGCATCTTCCTCCGCCGACGACTGCCCTTCCCTAACTGTCACCCCACCCCGATCCTCAACACCCAGATGGATACGTCTCCAAAGGGCTAGCAGCCCGCTGACAAGACGATCCAGAGCGGCACTGCCGTCAAGCGCAAGTCTGCTGGTGAGCACGCCAAGCAACCCAAGCGCCAGCTGCTCGGTACCACCTCGCTTCCTCCACCGGGTACTACCCCCACCCCCAGCCCCAGAACGCCCGCCAATTCCACATCGTCCAGCTCTTCAGCTGAACTGGACATCTTGCGCAGCCAGCTGCATGCTGCCAAAGCCAAAGCGCGTGCTTACAAGGAACGCAATGAGGAGCTGGCCCACAGGGCGGAGGAAGCCAACCGCCTGGCTGCCGATGCCGAAGACCAGCGCCTGGACGCTGTCTCCCGGGCTGAGGATGCGGAAGAGCGTGCAGAGACAGCCAAGTCCGAGGCGGAGATGGAAGTCGCCGAGTTGAAAGACGAGTTGGATAAAGCTGAGAGAGATGCTTGCGCCGCGGAGGATAGAGTCGAGGATCTGGAAGAACGCTTGGAGGCAGTCGAACGCGATGCCCAACGCAGAATCGCCGACGCAACAACGCAAGCCGCCAACTCGGAGGCCATGGTTACGACACTGAAGCTTCTGCTGCAGGCCACTGAGCAGCGAGTCCAAACTCTCGAGGGAATAGTCGCTCGCGTCGCTGGCGTGCTTCAAGATGCTCCCAAGGACCTGTCCACAGCCACCTTCGCCGAGACAGAGGTTACGACCACGGATCCTGACATTACAACCCATCACACTCTCGCAATCCCGCGTCACAGTATCAATAGAAGGGACACTCTTCGTGAACAGTGGGAGAAGGTTCACGATCTTATTCAGGATGTGTACAGTGAGGTGGAGAACAACCTCTGGAACACCCCCATGGGAGACAGCAGCGATGAACAGTCGGACGACTCGGATGACACGGTGTATTCTTCCCTTGCGCAGAAGAAGAGCGACGCGAAACAGCGCACTCGGCAGGCCTCCATGTGGATGGAGCGCGCGGACGCCCTTCTCGACCTCGACAAGGTGTACAAGTCTCAGCTCAAGGACTTTGCAGGCCCCGGCAAGAGCGGCGACCAGATGGCAGACCGGTTCGCAAAGAACCTGCAGGAGTTGCAGAAGCAAGCTGAAGCGTTGCGCAAGGAAGTAGCGCAGGGCCACGACTAGTGAACCGCCGAGGAGGCGGTGGCCTGGGTGCTCTCCGATAGCTGTATCGTCATATGTGACATATTGTGTCTGTTCGTCGTCGTGAACAATGGATGGGCCGTTGACCAGCACTGGCCGAAATATGCGATAACAGGGCAATGGTGGCGAATGAGCAAACTTTCGTGCACCTTTTATCACGAGACCTGTCTTTGCGTCTCAAGCTTCAGTCTAACAATCAACCGCTCTGTTTTCAACGGTATTCTCCTTTCGTCTTTCCACAGCCTTTCGGCACTCAAAGTCGCTGAGGACAATGTGGGCACCGCCTCACCAACGCCGTTATGCACTGTCAACTGCACAACTGGCAATTTGGCACCTCGGCCTTCGCGTCGACTGCCACCTCAAATACCACTGGGTATCCCACTACTGTACATGCCCCCAGATCATCCTCCTACAGACCTCTTCACCATGAGTGCTCCGACTAAGCGCAAGCTCAAGGTTCTCGATCAAGAAGAGCATGGGGATTCCTCGCCTGCCAAATACCAGCGCCTCTTCGAAGCTTCTGATAACGAGGACAAGACCAGTGACGTCGCCCTTGACGCAGTCACAATTCTCCGAGGACAACTGGATACCGAGAGGGCCCGATACCAAGCTCTTCTTCAGAAGCACGAAGGCGAAATCAACCAGCGTCAAGCCCGCAACAACATCCTGGTCGACACGATCGAGCGGTTGCAGAAGGAGGCCAGCGAGGCGAAGCTCGAACTGGCAGCTGCCAATGAGCAAATCGAAAATGACGAGAAGCGTATCGCCGAAGCTGAAAGGTAAGTTGCCACCCTTGGGAAGCGTGCATCGAAAGTGGAAGAGGCAGCGCCGCTGACGACTTGCAGGGAGATCGAACGCTGCATCAAGAAGTCCAACAAGTACTGCTCGTCGGCTTACGCCGCCCTCGATGACGCTGAAAGTTGCCGCGAAGACCTCTTGTGGAAAATGTGGGCTATCCAGAGTTTGGCCGCAATGGGATTGAAGCTCTGCCTGCAGGATCATGCGCTTGACCATCTTCAGGACCGTGCGCGGCGCGAAGTGCACTTCTCGCTGAGGATGATCACGATTTTCACCAAGGAAGCCATTCAAAAGTACCCTGACTCTCCGCTGGAGATGGACGGGACTTCTGACTCTTCCTCAGGGCACGGCAATGAGGCTTCGATGGGGGGTGAAGCCGATGAGGCTCCCTCAGGCTCGAAGGATAATGAATCCAATGAGGTGACCTCAGCGCCCGTCGCATCTGCCCAACCGAATACTATGAGCATCAGTCCCATGGGTCAGCTGCTAGAGCGGTATTCGGATATGGTGGAGAATATAACCACCGCTTGGCTGGCCGTAAACTCCCGGATCTGGCGTCGCCTGAATGGTACTGAGGATGGTCGGCTGTTCCTCGAGAGCCTCAATGGCATCCAGCCGCTGTACCACTTCCTCTCGGACGAGAACGGAGAGCCTGTGAAGGATTCGGCTCCTCAGCACCACGAGATGCTCAGCGACTTCGAGTTCTCCCTGATGTGTCGAGTACATCGACTTGACGGTGCCAGCGGGCAAGACCATCCAGACCTCAAGGCTTTCCTCGACCTGCGGGCCAACGACGGTCCGTCCAGTCTGCCCTGGTGCGAGTATCAGACGTGGTCCGTTTTCCTACATGATCTTGATCGCTTGGCTTGGGCCCTCTTGGAGGAAGCTGAGAGCGATTTGCCTGTGGCCGATGACTCGGACAGTGGTGAGAGCCAGGGCGACGACGGCATCCAGGGCGACGAGGAAGAGACCGATGGCGAAGTTGCCGAAGGGGCTGGTGGAGAAGATGCCGAGACTGAGAGTTAATGAGGTGCTGAGGGAGGAAGCATGAGAGCGCGCGCCTGCTGGCAGTCTTTACGCATGGATACTGCTGTTCAGCTCATTTTAGTGTTGGTGAGAGAGCCAGCCTTAGTGTAGAATGCATGGCGGCCTGCCCAATGGACAAAGGATTCGCGGATGCGCGACGATCGGTGAGCGGAAGCGAATTCGCGCCATCAGGTCCACCGAAGTCCAGTCAACCCCATCAGTGACACAATCATGAACCGTTCATTCACATCATTCCCCTCACCGCCCTCAGCAACTGAGAAACACTGCATCCATCATCTAGGAGCAGCGTTTACCTCCAGTTCGCCTCGACAGCGTCTCTCTGCCGACGTCGCGCTCTTGAGGTTCCGCTCTGCGTCGCCGCGTGCCGCCGATCAGCAAAACAAGCGCCTTCCCTCCTTCTTTCGACTTCGTATTCTCTCGGTATATTCATCATGAAGACCCAAGCTGCGGGGTAGAATCCCAAAGCAGGGCAGCAAGCCGTCGATTCCGCCTCTCCTGCAAAGCGCAAGGCGACCCCCGATGCTATCGACGATGTTGACACCAAGCCTACGAAGCGCCAGCTGCGCGCGGCCAGCAGTGCCTCCTCGTCAGTGGGAACCGCATCCAACTCAACCACTCTAGTCGACCCCAAAGCCGACCTCGAGCTCGACAAGACGACTTCCGAGGACGAGAAGGGCGACGCGACCCGCGAGACTCCCACCGAGGCCACCGAGGAGAACTCCAACTCTGAGCACAAGGCCGATCGTTGGGCTGCCATAATGCGCAAGTATAACCTTTCCGATCGTTCGCCCACTTCAGGAGGAGAGCAGGCGAACACTCTCCGCCTTCAACTCAATACCGAGATGGCCAATGCGAACCGCTACCGCGTCCTCTTTGAGGAGTACAAGGAGACGTCCCGCCACTACAAGGAGAAGGCCAGCAAGCTCAAGCTCGAGATCGCCGAGGCCAAGGACCAGCTCAAGCGTGCTCACGAGCGTGCTTCTGCGGCAGAGCTCCGTGCCACCAACTCTCACCAGATGGCGATGGAGGCGGACGACCGAGCTGCCGAAGCCGAGGAGAACGCAGCCTGCGCTGAAGCCGAGCTGGAGCATGCTCAGTGCGAGGCAGAGGACCGCATCGCGGAGGTGGAGGAGCTTCTTGCGGAAGCCAAGAAGGCCGCTGCCGAGGCCGAGGCACACAGCGGAGACGCCAAGGTCGCCGCTCGTGCAGCCGATAAGCGCCGTTCCGAAGCCGAACAAGCGCTCTCCACCGCGAACGAGGAGGCTGAGCTCCGCATGGCCGAGCTGACTGAACGTCTTTCGGAGAGCGAGGCTGTCGCTGCTGCAGCGAAGGCGCGTCTCAAGGCGGCCGAATCCTACATCCACGGCACTAAGCAGCTGTTCGATGGCATCGGCCTCAAGCATGGCGAGCTCTACAAGAAGTACACTGAAGAAGATCCTGAGCTTGAACCCCTTGCTGCAGGAGTCACTGTATCCCAAGCGGGTCTCAGCACTGCTGACAGGCTGATCTACTTGCGTGGCCTGCACCACGAGGTCGAGGAGTTCATTGGCTCTGTATACCACCAGCTCCGCGAGACCCTTGACTGCTCGTATTCCAATGACGACGAGCAGTATCTGTTCCCGGACGCGTATCTCGAAAATGACTCCGACACTGAGGATTCGGACAACGAGATGACCGACACGTCGAACAGCGACGCCGAGTCTGAGATTGGCTCGGGCTCGGAAGACGGCACCCAGGGCTCTGATACCGACCAATCCGACCACGAGGATGGGGACGATATTGACGAAGAGGAGGACGAAGAGCTGGAAGAAGACGCGAAGGACTTTGTCGGCACTGAGGAGCAGGCTGAAGCTGGTCTCCCAGCGGACGCTGACCCCGATAACGCCGAGGACCAGGGGCCCGGCAACGGAGGAGCGCTTGCGAAGAAGGAGCCTTGTGAGGAGTACTCTGAGCAGGAGGAGTCGTGGCTGAAGCGCATGGAGGAGCTGGTCGGTCTTCGCGGGCTTCACCTTGGTGATCTCCTGCTGATTGACCGCGTCTACCGTGAGATCCCCTCGTCTGAAGAGATGGACTACCTCGAGGCACACCTGAGGGCTCTCGATCGCCAGGCGAAGGACCTCTGGGATGAGGTGAAACACGAATGTGCCGACATCATCCGCGCGCGTGAGGAACGCAAGGCTCGAGAGCGTCGCGAGCGCAAGGAAAGGAAGCGCCAGGAACGCCGCATGCGTCAGGCGAGCCAGGCCGTGTAAAGGCTCGCTGCTGTAGATAGTCTCCATGCAAACCAAGTATTGTGCATCGTCCTCCTGTGCGTTCATCACCATGGCCTTCACGCTCCCGCCGTCACTTCATGCATGCCCTCTAAACAGCAATGGCAGGCACCATTCGTCCAGTTCCTTGGCCCTCTTCCTGGCCTCGCGCCTCTCTTCAATTTGGGCAAGTCTGTGGTGCAACTCGGCCAGCAGCTCATTCAGCGCATGCAGGTCCGCCTTCGTGTTCTGCAGCGACTCATGCACGAACCCAATCATCTCAGCTGTCGTTCGCTTGTTTGACTGTTCGCGATACAGGCGGTCGAGTTCGGTTTCACGGGCGAGGCGGTTTCGTTCCTATTCGTCAGCAGGGGAACATCGGGGAGGCGGAGGGGGATTCACGATCTCGCGCGGGCAGTGATGGAACCTCATAGTTCGCTTTGGTCTTTTGGATAATATGTGATGAGGTGTGAGCTTGAGTGTAGGATTGTGGAGGGGGCTTTGGGATGAGGAGATTTGAAGGTGAGAGATGTTTATGTCCACCGAACTTGACTTCTGTGCGGGTCGCAGCCCTGCCGCGGTTGCTGGTAGTCGACGGCGGGGAATCAATCGCATGCACAGTCCTGTGTAAACACCAGCCACTGGCCGAAGCGCAGTGCCCATGTAAGCTCCTGAACAATCCATCGCAGTCTTCTATGGAGTTGCTACCCGTTATTGCTATCGCATTTCTCAGCCATTCGCCGCACTGAGTCAGTACACGCTGCGCTTACACACGCCGCGTACACGGAACCGTGTGCAGATGATTTAGACAAGGGGAGCCTCCTTGCGCCTCTTCTCCTCGTCATACTCGTTCTGGACATCCTCGATCTTGTCCTCTTCAAAGTCCTCGCGGCGCTCCTCGGCATCGCGCTGCTCCGCAAACTTGTTGCCGTACCTGCCAATCTTGTACCAGGGCAGCTCAAACAGTCGGCTCATCTCCTCGAGGCTGCGTCCAGCCGTCTCGGGCACGAAGAACCAGACCCACGCGCCACCGATGATGGTCACGCATGCGAAGGACCAGAACGTGCCCTGAGCTGTGATGCCGCCCTGGCTGGTTGGAAGGAGGAGGTTGGGCACGGCACGCGCGTTACCGTACTGGTTGGCGAAGTGCAGCGCCATCGCCCAGGATGTGCCGATGGCGCGGATGCGGAGAGGGAACAGCTCAGCAGTCAGGAGGTACTGCATCGAGTTCCAGCCAAGTGCCCATCCGAAACCGGAGAGGTAGATCATGGCAATGGCACCGCGAGAGGCGGGCAGCGAGTTGGTCGGCAGGTGGTAGTGGTCATCCATACCCAGCTTGGGGTGGGTGGATAGGAACGCGGCAACGTACACCATGGAAATCGTCTGGAGCGAAATACCGAGGAGGAGGGAGCGCTTGCGTCCAATGACATCGACGAGAAAGAGGGCACAGATGAGGGCCGCGCCGAGCTTGACCAGACCGAAGACGGCGGTCACGAGAAGTCCTTGCTCAGAGCCTTTCACGCCGAGGATCTCAAAGAAGTCGGGCGCGTAAATGGTGATGCTACCCGCGCCGGACCACTGGGACAGGAACTGAACAGAGGTGGTAAGGTAAAGTCGGTAGAGGTTTCCCTTGCTCGTGAATGTCTCCTTAACCGTTTGCCAGAACGTCATGCCGCGCGTCGCCTCAACTTCGCTGTCGTGCGCGTGCTGAATCGCCGCGATCTCATTGCACACGTAGGGATCGTCCTCGGGCAGCCGGCGGAGGCGAGACATGACGTGGCGGGCGTCGTCAACCCGGCCCCTCTTGATCAGGTAGCGCGGAGACTCGTACTGGAACCACGAGAGAATGAAGATGAGACCGGCGAACATGATGTGAATAGACGACGGCACCATCCACCGCTCCTTCACGTTTGAGCCCATGTGTCGCTCCGTCCCGTAGTTGGACCAGTAGGCAAGATTACTGTGGTCAGCTGCAGTGCACGCCCCCAAGCTTACATTCCAAGGTAGACCATGCCCGTGAAGATGCAAGTGCACAGGCCACGGATTGAGGCCGGTGCGATTTCGGCGATATAGACGGGACCGACTACAGGTGTTTGACCGATACCGAAGCCACTGATTGTCAGCTCGCAATATCTGGAGCAGTACTCACGCAATAAAACGGCCAGCGTACACCGCACCAAGATGGCCTCGGTTGCACAGGAAGATCGTAATACCAACAGCCCACCAGATGCAAAGCTGGCGGGTAGCCCAGAGACGACCGATACGGTCACAGACGACGAAAGCGCTGGCTGTCAGCGCACCCTTCCACACTGGACTCACAAAAGCGAACCTGCGACAGAGCCGATGAGAACCATGGACGTGACGTTACCCTTGATGTTCGCCTGCTCGACCTCCGAGTAGTCCTTGAAGTGGATGAGGTCCTGGAAGTTCTTGGAGCGGAACGCGCCGCCAATGAGACCTTCGTCAATGCCTCGGGCCGCACCGAGGAGACCAAACGAGATAACACTGAACCAGAGACGCCAGTTAAAGACGCCCTTTGGCTCACCGAGGTCGCCGAGGCGGAAGATGTTGATGGGTTTCTTGACTCCGCCTGCCATTGTCGCTGGTGTGAGAGGGGGACGATGGAGCTGATGAGAAGTGGAACGGTCCACGTTCGTGAGACTTATATACCGTAAGACGCGCACGTCTGTTGCAATGGACTGCGGTCAGGCCCGCAGAGTTCATGAGCGGTTGATGCACGCGCCGCGGTTTACGAACGGTCGCCCGCCGCAGCCGCCACGCTTGGAAGAGCTTGGCCACACGAACAGCGGCTAGGAACGTTTAGACGCAGCCCACACGAGCAGAGGTCGCTGGACATCATCAGAGGCCCCAAAGGTTCCCCGCGGGGTAGACATCCGTCAAGAACAGGGGCGACCCGGACCAGTGCCGAAACCTCTCATCACCGCCTGCGGTGACCCAACCCAAAGATCAACTCGGAACTGTCGGTTTTGCTTAGCTCGTTTTGGGACCAGGCTAACATCTTTGTCGGAGCGTATCGGGTGTGGGAACAGGCTGAGACTTTGCGAGGGTTTGGGGTCAGAAGGACTGTGAGATGCGAGGAGCGCAAGACTTCAACGTGCATGCCACAGAGCTGTTGCCCGTCATTGAGGGTTGCCCAGTTTAGCCTTTGCCAAGCCCACGCTAACCCACAAGCGCACATGCTTAGGCACGATCGCGCCCCAGAAAGAGAGCTGCATTCCACACATCCTTTCCGTCTCGAGTGCCTGCGTTGAGCGCTACTGTCCTAATGACGCACAGCGACGCACGGTTGTAGGCGGGAAGCCACAACAACACCTGGCAACGCCGCTCCGGAAGTGCCTCGGTCACGAGGATCACAAGTGGGTGCCGAGCATGCTGTGGCTGTAGTATATCCTTTGACTTCGCTGTTGTGCCGCCCTCGTGCTGACCCGAGTAAGACACGGAGAAGCACTCTTCGAAATTGTGTCCACCATGGTGGGAGCATCACGTGTGTCATCTGGTCGAGCATTTCGAATCGTGTAGCTTTAACGGCAACCAGGGAACGGCGACTTAACTAGGGCCGGCATCCAACGACGCGATGTGTGAGAGATGAGGCTCAGCATACCGCAACCTGGGGTCTAACGAGTCGAGTATTTCGAACGTTTTTGGCGCCGAGGTGGTGAACACAAGGGGTGTGGGCACGATATGGCTTGGCGTGTGTGAGATTCTGGTTCTGTGGACATTGCGAACTAACGCTATGCAGTATGGCCTCGCGGGGGACTGTGCCCCGCGGCCCGCTCGTACGGTTGCGGGCAGTGTCGATAGCGCCTGGTCTGCAGGTAGGCGGAGTAACGGATAGCCGCGGGTTGCAAGCGTAGCTCCTCTAATACCCCGCCTCCTGGACTGAAAATAGACGACATAACGACACTCAGAGATACCTGTGAGGCAGCCGTGCACCTTGAACAAACGACAAGCGAACAAGGGGTGCTGAGCGTTGGACACGGCAGGTAGCAAGCCGACAAGTAGGTTTGTGGAATATTGCAGACCGGGTATGCCGGGAGGTTGAAGTGGAGATGAAAGAGATGGCGTAAGTTCTCCATTGACTGACAACTCACTACGATTGAGTTTCGCTTGCCGCCTCTTGCCGCGTAGCGATCGAGAATTGACGACTCCAGCATTCCTCAACGGCTTGTCTCGGCCCTGTTGCCGCTATGTCGCGGCTCTGCCACTGCCAAGTGCTCAGCTCGGTCACTGTGCCGCCCCCGCACTTTGAGGAATGCGCGGGAGCACAGGTGTGGAGACGCTGCTGCTTACGACCGGAAGTGCCGACCTTGACACCGTAGAATCGGCATACCGCCTATCATCGATGCCTGCCTGAACATCTCCCACAAAAACGCTAAGTAGCCAATCATCCCGGAGCACGTTATCAGGAGTAGTCCGGGTCAGGATCGCTGTGCTTCCCCGCAGACCGAACCGACAAAGGATACTTGGACGTGCGCTCTCCGCCAAGGTGTTCGCGATGTGGGGTGGCTCGGCGATAGCGGGCCGTCACCGCCCACGGCAAACCACCTGCTCTCGCGGCGATGCGCGGCGAACGACGGCTTGAACATGGTGGGTCTCCGCATCACTTGGAGAGCCGAGGTGCATCACATTGCGAATACGCACCTGTCAGAAAGCCAAGACAGCGCATCGACGACAGTGAAGACCGCTGTGAGGACCGGCGCGGTTACTTGGAACGTGTGCCGGAAGTTGCATGGATGTTCCATATGTGCGTCCAGACGGGGTGGGCGACCAAGGATGCTTCAGCGCAGAGTCAAATTCGTAACTCGGATGATTGAGACATGATTTGACAGTCGTCGGAACACTTGAAGAGACAGTTCGAAACACATGAGAGAGACTGACATCGGAGTCGTGTGGGTTCTCGCGTGAGCTGATCGACACGCTGACCGCTCGTGCGCCGTTGAAGCCAAGGGTTTAGTCCGTGATCGCCGCTGAGACGCCGACGCCGCCACGGCGCTACGGTTCTACCGGGCCGATTGCCGGAATGCTGCGCAGCACAGAGCGCGGAGCATGTGGTGTGAGTGAAGTGAGGCCCTAGGACTCCGATGCGGAGACGACAAGCAGATCCAGGGCCTGGCGCTGTCTCCGGAGCGGCTGGGATACATGTGGTACACCACTGCCCACCGCGCTCCGGGCCGACGTGCCGGCGTTGCATTCGCTACGGCTCCTTCCGGTACGCGCTCTGTTGATCTCACGCCTTTTCGCTCACGGCGATCTCCTCCGGCACAGCCGGCCGCGTGGCGAGCTCTCTCTCGCTCAGCTTGTAGATCCTAATGGCTTCTTCCTCGAGGTAGCGCCTGCACTCTCGTCGCGACTTATCGACGTCGACGCAGAGAAGGATCAGGAGCGACACAAAGCCGAGCCCAAGCAGGAACGTAAATGGCATATTGTTGTTCCCGCTTCGGTCGATGATCGCGCTGCTCACGAAGGGGCCAATGAAGCTTGAGGTTTTCTGCCGTTAGCTGTCGCCTTTGGGAGGGCCAGCGAAGGCGGGCGTGTAGCTCCAAGGTCGAAAGGGAGCATACATGATCGTGCTCGAGTGGTACTCACGCCAATGATACTGAACAGGGCGAAGAACAGGAACTCCTTGCCGCGCGGCACGACTTCGGAGATCATGGCTTGCGATATAGCATACCACGGACAGACGAAAACTCCGTAGTAGGCTGCACATTAGCTACGAAGACACCTTGGATGAGCTCCAACGCACCCTGATAGAGCCAGAACTCCCAGACATTGTGGAAACCAAACTTGGACTGCGTGATGCCGACGCATCCCCATGCCGCGAGAATGAGGATGAACACGCCGTTCGCGACCAGCATCCACTTCGTTCTGATCACAAAGTGCTTCTGGATCAGCCAGCAGATCAGGATACCCGCGGCCTGGGCCGCTATTCCGTCGATGAGCAGGTAGTTGAGCGTCTTGGAGTCGAACGACGCGACCTCGTTCTGCAGTGTCGCAATGACGGTCACAAGCGTATTCAGGCAGTCGCCCAGGAAGAAGTATGCCGCGAGGTAGATGAAGGTCTGCTTCAGGCGGAAACAGAGCCGGAACGCGTGGTAGATCTGCTTCACGCCTGCAGTGAGGTAGGACGTGTGCGGCGGTAGGCGGTGGCCCGGTCTGTACTGCTCGAATATGAGCCATGGGATGGCACAGACGACTGCTGTCAGTTGCGGTCGTGCGTGGGCAACTCACTCCATACACCCGCGCTGTACGCGCACACGATGGATAGGGAACGCGTGTTGCTCTCCGCATCGTCGTTCTTGACGACCGCGAAGAGGATGCCGCACAGGATCGCGAGCACGACGAGCTCGCCCATACTGCACACGAAGAAGCTCACGTTTGCGAGACGGTTGCGTGCCAGCATGTCACGCTTATCGAACTCGGCAGTGCTGATGTCAGCTCATGAGAGGGGAGTTGTAGCTTGCTCCCACTGCGCGGCGAGAGCGCAGTCGTGGCTTGCAACTCACTCGATCTGTCCCTCCTTCAACTCAACCTCACTCCGCTGCATCTCAGGCAGGTCCCTCGCCAGTCCCGGGAAAGCGGCAGCCCAGAACGTGAGAGCGCCCTGATACCCGATCAAGCCGAGGATGTACAGCGCCGTGCCGGCCTGCCACTTGCTCGGGTCCATGACGCCGAGCCAGCCAAAGCTGACACCCCACGCCAGGAGCGTGAAGAACGTCGTGATGTGAGGGCGCCAGGAGCCATAGTCCGCCATACTGCCCATGATGAGGAAGAGGGCGGCCTGGAGCGCGAAACTGATCCCATTCGTGATCAGCACAATCGAGTTCACGCTGCGTGTCGAGCCGTAGGCTGTCAGAACGCAGTCTGTCGTCAGCTAGTACCCGCGAGCAGATAACAGCTGTATACACTAACCGCCGTCACCACACGCTGCCCCAGTCGCCGGGTCCGCTCCCGCAAGATAGAGGAGGTTCTGCCATGCGCTGATGGCGAAGTTGAATGGTCCCAAACCACTGTTCCCGACATAGTACAGGTACCAGCTCTCTTTGTTAGCTATCATCGCCTGTCGCTAGCACTCACCCAAAGCTCGGTTCGCGTTGTCGTCTTCCGCTCGCCAGTGATCGGGAGGGGACTCGCGAACAGCGCCGCGTCGTCGGGTACGACCTCAAGGACTTCCTTCTCGTCCCGCGCATCGATCGGTACACTGGTCACGCTGAGGTCATCCCTCGCGCCGCCAGGGTGGTGATCGTCGACACTTGTCACGTCGGCATGTCGGAGGTCGGACATGTTGTGATGTCTGAAGCATGAAACGGCGTCGGACAGGTTATCCCCGCATGCCCGCCGTGTCCTGTCCGGCGTGTCCGGGTGCTACGGAGCGGAGCTCATGACAGAGTGCCTGAGAGTGTAATGACGCCAGGGCCGTGGAGTGTTTGGTGCGCGCTTGCGTGCTATTTCGGGCCCATTGCCGATCTGAGCCGACAGTTGCCGTCCGACAGGAAAGGAGGTGGGCAGGTGTTGCGAGCGGACAGGGAGCGAGGTAAAGCCAGCCGGGTGTGTAGAGGTCGTGGAGAAGTGTACAAAGGAGAGTGTCGACGCATGCCAAGGCTCGAAGAGGCTCCTTCGGTGTGGTCGTCGGTAGGATCGTCGCGCTTGGCGTGCCGAGCGAATGGAGCCCCAACGCCCTCGTGTCCATTGAAGTCCCGAGTCTTTGATCGACGTTCGCACTGCTCTACTTAGTCGTCGACAACATCAGTACCTACGACATCGGCCAAAGTTGTAGCTCAGAAGTCGCTGACCTTCCTGCTGACACTCTGACCAAATTGCATCGGGTACAAACACTAGCATCCTCTTCTCAAATCCCCAACCTCCACAAAACCTCTCCTTACGTGAAGACGAACTGGACGACCTTTTGGAAGGCATTCTTCGGCTTCGGCTCCTCGTACGCGACCTGCTCATCCGTCGGGATGTTGGAGTACATGTCAAGCTCGGACGGCTTTTGCCACTTGGGCCGCTTCACGAGCGTGTACCCTGTGACAAGGGTCAGGAAGATGGGCACCGGGATGTACGCGATGACAAAATCGGACGGATCCCAGTTACCCTTCGTGAAGACTTGCCAGCCATTGAATGTTAAGATCACCACTGCCCAGAATATCACGTAGTAGGCAATGAAGGGCTGGAAACGGTTTGCGTAGTGCAGAGTCTTGCGGTCGATGCCGTGAGCGGCGAGGCCGGCCTTGAAGCGAAGGTAGGTCACACCGATGGTAGCCTGGTCGTCAGTCTCGGCTTCAAATATATCGGTACTCACCCAAACGACGTAACCGGAAAGCGCAGTCAAGTTCGAGAACCAGTTGAAGACTGTGGAAGCGCCAGATGAGAGCGACATGTACGCCAGCGGGTAGAAGCAAGTCGTGAACATGAGGGCGTAAAGCGGCAGACCTCTCCGAGTCGTGAAGGCGAAGAACTTGGGCGCATAACCACGCAACGCCATGCCATACAACATCCTGCTCGCCGAGTACATGAGCGAGCTGCCCGACGAGAACGCCGACAGCAGGACACATGCGTTGACGAAGTGAGGCAGACCCTGAATACCCGCGCGCTTCATGGCGAGGACGAAGGGAGAAGAGGCAGCTGTGCCCTTGCTCTGGAGGAGTTCCGGGTCGTCGTACCGCACGATCAGGGAGACGAGGAAGATGAGCAGGATGTAGAAGATGAGGATACGCCAGAAGAGACGCTTCACGGCTTTCTTCAGAGCAACGCGCGGATTGCGTACCTCCGCCGCGGCCACGATCACCATCTCGATACCCATGTAGCTACCCGCTGCCTGGACGAGATCCGTGAACCAGCCAAGGAAATAGCCCAGGTTGTTATCACCGTAGAACGGCGCGAAGGGACCGGGATCCTTCCAGTACCGGAACCCGATGCGGTCCTTCTTCGGACCACCGCCGAGGTCGATCACGAGCGAGGTGATGATGAGGATGATGACGAGGATGATCTTCATGGTTGCGAACCTTCCGTCAGTCCTGCGTCAACCTTCATCGTGGCCATATGCCACCACCTAACCCGCGTACTCACCAGAACTCGGACTCTCCAAACCAGCGCGCACCAAAGTAGTTTACAAGACTTCCACACACAATGAAGGTGGTAATGTACGCTGCTTGGTGCGACACTGCGAAGCCAGTGTCCCAGTACGAGCACAGGATGTTCGCCGCAATCATCTCGGAGGGCATGCTGATGCAGTACTGCACCGTCACTTGCCAACCGACGGCGAACCCGACCGCAGGGTTCACCCAACGTTCGGCGAAGTGGATGTAACCGCCTGAGATGGGCGCGTACACTGCCATCTCGCCTAGACACATGAGTGTGCCGTATGCGATGGCTGTGGTTAGCTTGTGACCCTCGGGTAGTAGGGCGGGACATGTGAGGGGTTGACTCACTGCCTGTCGTGATGAACGCGAGGAGAGCGCCAACGGGTCCACCGTGCGCGATGATACGGCCACTGTTGAGGAACAAGCCCGTTCCAATTGTTCCAGCGAGCGCAATCATCTGCATGTGCCTCTGCTCCATCTTGCGCTGCACACCATCATACAGCTGCGTGTGCACGTCGACCTTGACGTCCTTCTCGGCATCATAGTCGTCACCCGCCTCGGCATCCCGAAGAGACGTGACGGGGTACACGTCCGTGACGCCCTTGTCGTCGATAACGTCCTTCACTGGTTCGTTCATGTTGCCTTGAGTGGAGTGGGGTATCAACAAGCGGGCTCAAGAGTCTCCACCCGCTCCTTTATACCGAGGCTATCGGCGGCATAGCACGGCATCCCCGTCCTTTGAGTCGTGTGGGAACCCCCGCATCTTATCGCAGATGCCCGTCACGAGACGCGACGTATACGCTAAGGCAGTTCCTGCTCCAACGCCAAGAACGCGACAGCGCATGCACATGGACAGAAGAGGTGTCGTGCGGCACAGGTCGCGGCATGCCTCCTGATGCCTATTTCCAGAGATTCCGAAGGGCTTGGCCTCAGCTCCAGAGGCCTCATGGCAAAACAACCGGTATGTCGGCACTCGGCCCGAAGATGAGCCGAAACCTCTCTTCGTCTGCGAAGTGTCCGTTTCCGTGCGTTCTCCGTCCAGGCTCAGATAAGCCTGCCCCCGACACGGCTGTTCTGCGCTTTATTCTTGGGTGCAGTGCTTGGAGCAGGGAGAGATAAGGTACGCGACCGACGGGCACGGCTTTTACGGCTGCACGCCTCGCGCGGCTCGTCCGGCTCAGCCCGGCTGCCCACTTTGCGCTAGCCAGGTGGATCTCGTAACGTTGCATCTCTATCTCGGCGGAATCGCCGCAATCCTCTACGTTGAATCGACCGCTAGTCACAGCTCGTCGTGCACTGGCTCGTGCTTTTCCACGCTTTGGCGGGGGTCGGCATATTGCACCTCGAACACCCAGGCGATGCCACCGTCACTGAACTCGATACCACTCGTGTCTAGCATGAGGGTTCCGTCCTCATACAGCCACTTGATGGTCTTGTCACCATCGGGCGCGATGGCCACAATGCGGTCGCCAGCGAGTACTGGCAACGGCGCGGAGATGGCGAGCGTGCGCCCCGGCTTCTTCAGGGAGATGATGTAGAAGGTGTCCGGCTTGCGCGTAAACTCGACGTGGACGCCGTCGGCGTTGTGCTCGGGGTACGGCTCGAAGGGGGTCGTATCATAGATCGCGCGACCGTTGAGCTTCAACCACTCGCCAGCCTCGCGCAGCGGCTCGCTCTGCGCCTTCGGGATCGATCCGTCTGCACGAGGCCCAATGTTGAGGAGGAAGTTGCCGCCCTTGGCGACAATGTCGACGAGGGAGTGCACCACGTCCTCTGCGCTGCGGTACTCCTCATCCTTCGTGTCCTTGTTGTACCCGAATGAGTGGGGGTCCATGCTCGCACACGTCTCCCACTTGCGCGGCTGGACTGTCGCGAAGCGCGTCATCTCGGGCGTATCAAAGTCGCCCCCGACGCCGCAGCGGTTGTTGATCGCGACCTCGCGCCCGTGTCTCGCCGCATCGGCGTACCAGCGGCTGAAGACGGCAGAGGAGTGGTTGTCCAGCCCGATGTCGCACCACAGCAGGTCGACGTCGTAGTCGTCCACCAGGATCTCCATCTGCGGACGCTGGATGTCCTCGATGAAGTCGGTCGCGCTTTCGCGCTGGCCAGTGAACGGCTCCTCCTCGCGCGTGAAAGGGTTCAGAGCGGGTCCGCCGGGGAAGGACAGGCGGCCGTGAGGCGCGTACAGGGGGTTGAACCACTCGGGAAGCGAGAAGTACGTGCCGCGCTTGAGCTCGGGATGCTCGTCCTTCGCGGCCGTCATGAGCTCCTTCAGAATGTCGCGCTTGGGGCCGAGGAGGAGCGAGTTGCGGTCGCTCGTCTCCTTCGTGTCGAACATGGCAAAGCCGTCGTGATGCTTCGTCGTGAAGACAAAGTACTTTGCCCCACTGGCCGCGATGACGTCCATCCACTCGCTCGCGTTGTACTTGTCGGCAGTAAACATGGGGATGAAGTCGTCGTAATTGAACTCGGCACCGTAGGTCGAAAGGTGGTGGTTCTCCGTCGGCTTCTCCCCGTCGTGGAGCCAGAAGTCGTACCATTCGGCATACTGAGGCGGCGCCGCAAAGGCCGGAACACTGAAGAGACCCCAGTGAATGAAGATGCCAAACTTAGCGCCGTCGTACCAGCCCGGTCGGGAGTGCTCCTCGATCTCGTCCTCGGTGTAGTCCGGGGAGCGGAGGAGCCGGACGCCGCTTACCTCGACGGGGATCTCCTCGATGCGGTCACCGTAGCGGACCTGGAGGTGTGCGCCGTCGAAAGCTTCGAACGAGCCCGCCCGCGGTTCGACCTCAAACTCGAGCAGTACCTCGTCACCAGGCATGAGTCTGTTCACGCGACGCTCATTGAGTCCCTTGAAAGTCTCGCCCTGCAGTTTGACGCCGACATCACGGATCCACGAGCTCTCGTCACCGTGCTCAGACACACTGCGCGGGTTGGTGAGCAGCACCTCAACGATTTGGTGTCCATTCTCCCATCGGCGCGTGCCGCGCGCCCATTGCACAGCCATCACCTCGGAGGTCACGGGCACGTACGACATGGCGAAGACCTTGAGCGCGTTTTTCTCAGCCGGACCCGGGAGGCGCACGCTGGTTAGCGTCCGGCCGGCCGCCGCGGGCGGGATCGTGACGGGGATGTGGAACAGGTGCGACGCATTGTAGCTCTTCACGCCCTCATCGAGGTAGTGGAACGGCGCGCGGATCGGGCTCTTGTTCGTCCAGTGGTGGCTCCACCAGTGCTTTACCTCGAACGGGGCGTGGACCTTTCCGCCATCTTCAAAGGTGAGGGTGAGCGTCTCGTGCGTTTCCATGAACAAGAAGCCGCCCGCATCTTCGCCTGCGCCGAGGATGTGGATACTCCTCACCTCGGTGGGGTCGGGGAGGTGGATCACCTGTTTGTCGGCCTTGACGCAATCCTTCGTTCCAGACCAGTCCGGCAAAACGAAGTCGACGCCAGAGTCGGACCACCTGTCGATTGGGAGATACTCGGATGGAAAGGTTGAGCCGTTTCTGAAGCCCTTTCCGTCGTTCTCGCCGTTGACGCTCGTCGCCTTCGCATTCAAGTACGGGGATAGGTCGAGCTGCACGCTGCGCGGCGTGCTGGCGCCAGCACCGGCGCCCGGGGCGGAGCCGGCGTCGCCGAGTGGGACCTGTGACGCGAGCGCGCCGACCGCCAGGAGCAGCAGCTTGAGCATCATGTTGATGGGGAGGCACGAGGTGAATCCCGCAACTCGACGGGTTATAACTTTCGCGCGGCGTTCAAGTGGCGCTGGATATAGATCCAGGGCCATCAGGCGCTTGGCTTGGCTTCGGGCAACATGCCGGATGTACGTCCGGGATACAGGGGCCGAGATACCGGCAGTCGATTTGCTGATGTCACCTTGGCGGCAGCCACTACAACCTCGAGCGACGCGAAACACGGGGGCCCGCGTTCGGGCACGCGACAAGAAAAGAGCGTCCAGATCTGTCAGATCCCTAGAGGTCCGCAATGCGGCGCCTGACGCCCTTCTCCGACGCCGAGACGGTGGAGAGCGATAGGCTGAGAGCGGCTGGTTGGTTGTTGAAAGTCGACACGAGTCGGATGAACCGAGCGGATATGGGATCTCCGGAGCCGGCGCCTCCCGCCCACGGACAGCAAACCCTAATGGCGACATCGGCCTCATCCGTCACGCACCCCGTCCCCCGTTCACTTCTTTTCTCCACCTTGAGCCGGATTGTCTGCTTCTGAATTCTCTCCAACTTTCACTGACCATCATGGCGCGGCCAGAGACGACTCGTAGCAACGGTAACGGCGCCGGGCGACCAGCCAGCGTCGCCAACAGCTTCAGCACGAACGCGCCCAGCACCAACGGGGCCAACACGCCCACCGAGCGCACGCGCCTGCTCGCCGGCGCTGGACCGAACGGTGTCACGGTTGAGCGCGAGGACACGATCAGCTATGCGACCCACGTTCCCGAAGTGCCGACGCAGAAGGCGCACTACAATCTTGTCGGACTGTCGCAGTACAACTTCTGGGTGCTCTGCTGCAGCATGTGGAGCTGCTCCTTCCTGGCCAGCTTTGACGGCACGATTGTCGCGACGCTGCTCGGCCCAATCTCGTCCTCGTTCAACGCCTCAGACCTCGGCTCGTGGCTTGGCACATCCTACCTCCTGTCCGTGTGCTGCTTCACACCTATCTACGGACGCCTCTGCGACATTATTGGCCGCCAGAGCAGCATGCTCATTGCCCTCAGCTTCTTTACTCTCGGAAATGTTCTTTGCGCGGTTGCTCCCACCATGGAGCTCCTGATTGCCGCTCGTATGGTCGCGGGAATCGGCGGAGGTGGTCTCACGTCGGTTGGAAGCACGATTATGAGCGACCTGGTCCCCATTACGCACCGCGGCATCTTCCAAGGTACGCATCGAAATTTAGCCACCATTTGCGCAGAAAGTTGACGATTTCACAGGATGGGGTAACATTTTCTTCGCTTTAGGCAGTGGGTGAGTGAACAGCACGTGGAGATGTAGGCAGAAGGTGGAGAAACGGAAAGAAAGGAGAGAGGTGCCACCAGGGCTTGACCAGCCTGCCACCCTCGACCCCGCCTGGCGCCGATCACTCAGCCGTACTCCAGGCCGTCCGCACATGCTGGGCGCTTTGCATGGGCACAATCGGGTCATCGGTTCCTATCTGGGTCTAAATGGATCTGATGACAACCGAGTTGAGGAGATGCGACTGAGATCCGCTGATTGGCAAGTGGGCTTCCTTCGTGTCTGGATGGGTCCATCCGACCGCCTGGCCCACTTCGTAGGCCGGCAGACCAGATGGCGCTCGGTGTATGGCGGAATGGAAACCTCTGTCCAAGCTCCACGCTACGCAGACGATGCTGACTCTACAGTCTCGGCGCTCCCATCGGCGGTATGATCTCGGACAAGGTCGGATGGCGCTGGGCATTCTACTTCCAGATCCCGCTGCTGATCATGGCCGGCGCTCTCATCTGGTTCAAGGTGCGATACAACAGCGAGTTCAAGCCGTCCGGCAACATCCTTAAGCGTATCGACTTCCTCGGCTCCGGCCTGCTCGCGGCATCGATCGGCAGTGCCCTCCTCGCGATCTCCATGATGACCTCGATCTCGCCTCCCGAGTCGCGTATCACCAACGGCCTTTTCGTCATCAGCGCTATCTCCTTTCTGCTCTTCATCTATGTCGAGCTGAAGGTTGCCAACGAGCCCATCCTCCCCGTCGAGCTGCTCACGCAGCGCACCCCGATCGCCGTCGCTGTCAACAACTTTACCATTTCGGTCCTCTCGTTCGGCACCATGTACAGCGTCCCGCTGTTCTTCCAGGCCGTGCGCCTCATGACGGCGACTGAGGCCGGACAGCACATGGTGCCCAACAGTGTCCTTGGATCCGTCGGCTCTCTCTTCACAGGCTACATCGTCCGCAAGACTGGCCGCTACTGGTGGTTGACAGCGTTCTGCGGCTTCTGGGCGGTCGTCTCGGCTCTCCTGCTGAGCACGTGGGACCTGAATACGAGCGACTTCCTGCTCTGGACGTCCTTCTGTCCCATGGCCTTTGCGATGGGCAGTGTCACGACGCTGACGATCGTGGGCTTGATCGCGGACATCGGTCGCGAGCACGTCGCGGTCGCGACCTCGCTGTCGTACATGTTCCGGACGATCGGCCAGGTGCTCGGTGTCGCGCTGTCGGGCGCGCTAACGCAGGCTGTGCTGAAGCGCGAGCTGCACAAGCGCATCACGGGCCCCGGGTCGGAGGAGCTCATCCTCCGTATCCGCCAGAGCAGCGAGGAGATTCGCAAGCTCTCGCCCAAGCTCCAGCTCGCCGCCACGACGTCGTACGGCAAGGCGCTCCACGCCGTGTTCGTGTGCAGCGTCGTGCTGGCCGTCATCGGCGTGCTCAGCGGCATGGGCATGCGCGAGGTCGACATGAACAAGAAGCCCGCGCCTCTTACCACCGAGCCGGAGAGCATCGAGGAGGGTGGTCAGAGGTCGTACGCCGCCGTCGCGAACACGCCCCGCGATGCCCGCAACGGCTCCGCACAGGCCTAAGCAAAATTCGTAGATCTCGTACTAGGTTGTTTTTCTTCCCATCGATGCTATCTTTGGCTGCTATTTTTGGTCGCTCGGCGTCTTGGGCTTCGCCCACATGCCTGTGCAATCGTCTGCCCACATGAACTTGCGCTTGCACAGCTGCCTACGGGCCTATGTTGAGGGAAGTAACCGCCCACAATGAAGGCGAGTTAAACGACAGCGGTTTAGCCGGCCCCGGGGCCCATCGGTAATCTCCGATCTGACCAACGAGGACGCCGCGACGTCACTCGAGAATGCCGCTCGCTGCCCATCTCGTCGTGTACATGTATCTGCTCACTCATCCATCCCGATCGACGCAATGAGGGTACACGAAAGCTGTCTTGGCCAGTGGGAGCTGCTTGGCGCGACTTCAGACTCTGACTCCAACTCCGACTCCGAGATGGCCATCGACGCGTCCAAGGCCATGTCGGCACTACGCATTCAGCCCAGCGCTGAGGACTGGGAGCCCCCGCACTGGATCCCGAACCCGGTGCCCGAGGACTTTGATATCGTGTCGCCGCCATGGATCCGCCCGCCGGCGCCGAGACATGTGTTCACGAACGTGCACGTCGTCGACACGGAGAAGGGCAAGCTGCGGAAACACATGACAGTCGTGGTCGAGAAGGGCGAGATTGTGTCCGTTGAGGACGCGAAGGCCGGAGACAAGGGCATCGACTGCGGAGGACTCTACCTGTGCCCGGGACTGATCGACTGTGAGTGCCTCTTCAGGTCTGGTTGCTGACGTCAGGCCACACGCACATCACGGCGACACCCGGCATGAGCTCCCTCTTCAGCAACAGCGAGACGGAGATTGCGCTCAAGGCTCCCTACGTGCTGAAGGGCATGCTGTGGCGGGGCTTCACGACCATCCGAGACGTGGGCGGCGCGACGAAGCACTTTGCAGACGCGACGGAGCAGTGGCTTACGCCTGGTCCGCGAATCTTCCAGGGCGGGCCGATCATGTCCCAGACCGGCGGACATGGCGACCTGGGCACCGGTGCATGCTGCAGCCCGCCTGCGATGCGCATCGCAGACGGGGTGGACGAGTGCACCAAGGTGGCGCGCACGCTGATGAAGAACGGCGCGGCCCACATCAAGATCTGCTCGTCTGGCGGAGTGTCGTCGCCGACCGATAAGCTGGAGAGCTCCCAATTCACCGTGGCGGAGATCAAGGCGATCTGCGACACGGTGCGGGCCATGGGTGGGTGCGGCGTCGCGAGCCACTGTTTCACGGTCGAGGGAGCACGGAACGCGATCGAGGCCGGCGTGTGGAGTATCGAGCACGGCAACCTGCTCGACGAGGAGACGCTCGAGCTCATGGCCAAGAGGGGCGTGAACCTCACGCCGACGCTGGTCGTTTGTGAACTCATGAGCCGCCCGCCGTACAATGCCCTCATTCCGCCGAGCTCGCGCGAGAAGCTCGCCCGCGTCAAGAAGCAGGGCTTCACTGTTCTCAAGGCGGCCGACAAGGCGGGCGTCAACATCGCCTACGGCACTGACTGCTTCAGCAGCATGCAGCCTGGTCAGTTGACTGAGTTTGAGCTCCGCGCCCAAGTTCTCCCGAGCGCAAAGGTGTTGCAGCACGCTACGGTTAACGCCGCCCGCGTGCTCAAGATGGAGGGCAAGATCGGCGTCATCAAGAAAGGCGCGGCGGCGGACCTCATTCTGCTCAAGGAGAACCCGCTCGAGGACGTCGCGAGCCTGAACCGGCCGAAGGAGAATCTCCGCGCCGTGATCAAGGACGGCCGCTGCGTCCGCAGCTCCGTCAAGGGTCTCCGCGTCGAGGTGCCACTCGTCTAATTCTATAATCTGTCAGTAGTTTTTTCCGAAGTGCAGCAAGAGAAGAGTAATAGTACAAGTATGCATTGGATGGGGTATGAAGCAAGAACGATTGGTATGCAGCACGTGGAAGTGCGAAGGTCAGCCCGGCGTCGTCGGTCCCGCATCGCGAGAACCTCGGCCTTTTCATTCATGAATGATCAGTAGAATCATCTCGGCGCTCAAAGGCAGCCGGAAATCAGTAAGCAAGGTCATCGCAGTGGCTAGCTCCACTCCGACCAGGGGGTCTCGGCCTCGTCTCCGTTCACGAGCAACGAGGTCGCTCGGGGCCGACAAGGCTCACCGGTTCTGCTTACTTTGTCAACAACGCTGGGGCATTTCGCCGCGCAGCTCAAGGCTCAAGGGCCTGGGTGTTCGTTAGGCGGCACTACGGCCTGAAAAAGTGGCTCGCTTAGGCGCCGAGCGGCGCTGGCCAGATCTGTAATTGCTAGTGAGTATGGGCTTTTGACTTATCGTTCTGTTTGCTTTTTGGGTGCTGGTGTTTGGAAAAGCGCTTTGTTGGGTTTCGGGTTGTTGGGCATGGCTTTCGACTGGGTTGGGCTGTTTGACTGGGTTGCGATTGGGCTTGACTTGGGGGCATTGGTTTAATTGACTTGTGACGTTTCTCGCTTTCGTTTGGGTTTGACTTCTGACGGGTTCGCTCTTCGTTTGGGTTGTGACTTCTGACGCTTCTCTTCGGTTTCGTGACTTAGTCGGACTCGCCGTCGAAGTCGGAGTAGTAGACGACGTAGTCCTCTTCGTCGTCATCGCTGTCACTGTCGTCGCTGACGACGATGCGAGTCGGACGGGGGTCAACGCGACCGATGGCGAGCTGCTTGGCAGAAGAGTTGCTCTGATTGTCAGCTATGGTCCTGAGCTGAGGGCAGGGAAAAACTTACGGAGCAACGACGGTAGGCGCGGACAGCAGCGCGAGGCGAGCAAGCGCGGGTGCGGGTAGCGCGGCGAACGGCGTGGTTGTGGGCGCCCGCCTTGCGGGCAACGGGGGCGGTAAGGTACTTGGCCATTGTGATTGAGGTAGTGGTGGTGGTGCGGGTGGGTGAAGTTGAGAGGCTGCGGTGGAGTCGAGAGAGCTTGGTCGATGCGGTGATGGAGACTCGGAGAGCCCAAGACGGCCAGCTTATATGCTTGACCGGCACGAAGTCGTCTGAGTCGAAAAGTCAAATCTGCAGCCAAGATCTCATGTCACGACGCGTCACGAAGCTTCCAGGGGCGTCGGAGCCCTGAAGCCCGGTCAGTACCCGCCGGCAGGTGCCGACGGGCGGTGCGAAGGAATGTTCGATCGTGATCGCGATCGTGCCCGATCACGAGCCCCCATTCACGCGACCTATCACATCTCGTCAGTGGACGGGCATGTGTCGCGGGGCGCAACTGCGCAAGGTCTGGAACAAGCATAGCCAGATCAGGCAGCGCGGAGCTGAACACGACAGGGAGGGTGAGAGGTGACTGACGAATGGGATGTGGCGGTCACAGAAAATTTGCGGCATTCCATCACCAGTCACCTCACCTCACCGGAACACACCGGCCCTGTGTGCGCTCCGTTTCAGTAATGCGAGTCGGGCTCCAGCGGACAAGCCCTGTTCATGAGCTAGTCCATAGAGCCTGAAAGACGGTAGAAGTCTCGTTGCCGGACGGTCGTAGTCAAGCACCAAGGCCCTTGTGCCCAATTACCGCCCAGATCTCCGTCGACAAGCCATCAAAAAGTTCAAAAGGATTCTCAGGCACCTTGTGATGCCTGAGAACGCCAACAGAAGGTCCGACTGGGAATCGAACCCAGATTACAAGAACGACACTGCAATACTCGCAGAGACGAGGAAGCGGGTAATCAGAATCTTGTGTACTAACCGTTATACGATCAGACCTGTGCGTGGTTGTCAGGGGCGGACAACGCCCGAGGCCCGCGCCCGCTGCCCAGATCTTCGAACGCAGTCGGCAGGACGGAGTGAAGGTTGCAGAAGAAGTGCTGTAGATTGACGATAAGGGGTGAATGGAAGTTGAGGGTTGCAATGCTCGTCAGAAAGTGCAGTCACGTGTGGGCGGCGTCGGCTGTCGTCGATTTCGGCGTCGGTTTGTGTAAACAATGCCCCGAATGGATTAAAGTTTGCTCTTCCCATCCTACTTATTTCTTGCGCTCCTCTCGCATCTCGCATGTCGCCTCCTTACACCCGCTTGTTGACGCAAGTTCTCCAGAGTTCAGGCCACTCGGTTTAGATCTCGCGCCATGAATTGGCCCTAAGGATGGTCCAACTGCTGTCGACAATGCCTCCAATCTCATCGCTACCCATCGTTGATAGTCATCGTTCGGATCGCGGACTCCAGCGCCGGCCGACGGCAACACGGTTCGTCATTGCAGTCGGAGTCTGCGCCTCTCGAGAGATGTCAGCATGTATTAATGGTCCGCGGAATCTCGATCGCGATCGAACGATACACGTGATGGCACCTCCCCAAAACGGCGGGGAAGGCGCGGAGGCGTGACAACCCGGTAACGAACGGCCGGGCTAGTGTCTCCGCTGTGTCACCTCGCGTCCTCTTCCCATGTTGACGCCGTGTAGATTGACAATGCTGTTGCCATCACTCACCTCACCATCAGCAGCAACGATAAGATGCGACAAGCACGAACGCGCAACACCATCAACTTGAATACCCCGCCTTTGAAACGGCCAACACCGCCGCCAATCCCGCCCCGGCCGCTGTTTCGGCTCGGCAGCTTGACCAGCAAGCCCCTCCCGAGTCCCCCCAGCAGTCCCGAGTCCGAGCTATGTGACCCCGACTGCGTCCTTTGCATCATGAGAGTGACTGTCTCCCCCGAATCGACGATCCTGTCGCCAGCACCGACGGATTCAACGCCGAGCGCCCGTGAATCTCTCCTGCCCAGCCGAAAGGTGTCCGATGCGTCCACGAGCAGGGCGTCCAAGTCTTCGGCTGAGGTGACAAGCCCGCCGGCGCTGGGGAAGAGACGCCGCATCACGGCCAAGGCGCACCTGGCGCCATCCCCAGACTCTAGCGACATCGTATTGAGCATCCGCGATCTGCCCGCTTGGACAATCGGCTTCCCACCTCACCGTCGAGTCAAGGAGGCCCTGCGAGTATCGCTATCGTGCGGCGGGATTGAAGTTGAGTCGGAGAAGGACATAGACGGGCTGAGGCACGACAGCGGCTTGGACTTTGGCAAGGACCCACGCCTGTCGGATCTCATGCCGGCAAGAGGATGCCACTTCACGTTCAACTTCTGGTGAGCATCCGCGGTTCGCTGGCTCATCTAACAGCAGGACACGGTCACCCCTTGAGTTTCCGGAGCACAAGCCGCGGCGCAGCTCGCGACCATCGCCCTGCTCGCCGACCAGTGCAGCACACGAGCTGCGGGAAGAGCAGCGTATAGCGCGGCAGAACGACCCCGAGCGGATCCGGAAACAGCGGCTGCTGATGCGGTTGAATCCGATGAAGCAGACCGAGACCTTCAACGCGCTGACGATCATGAGCCGCGAGGGCCTCCCCGATGGCTTCGGCGGCGTGTATACGAGACAGGATCTCGAGTACATCCGCGACAAACTGATCAAGTTTGCGCCGCTCGAGTGGAGAACGCAGGAGTGGTATCGCGACGGCTTGAGGGAGATGGGCATTGATCCCGATGCCAGCGCCGCCAAGCCACTAGAGACAAACGAACACAGCCCCGCCGTATCCAGTCGCCGTGACAGCGACAACACCAGCAGTCAAGCACATCATGACGACAGGGGTGAAGGCCTCAAACCCCGACCAGCCATCAGCACGCGCCTGACTTCCTGATCTTCCGCACGGGGCCCCTGTCACTCACCTCCACTTCGATTTAACGAAAGTCGACTCAACCGCCCCTTCACTCTCACAAACATCCACCATGCCTCCACGCAAGAAGACATCCGCCGCCAACAGGAAGGCTGCCCCCGCTGCAGCCCAGAAAGCTGCGGCTGTGAAGTCGACAACAGCGGCGAAGCGGGGTGCTCGAGCTACTCCCACTCCTCCTGCGGCGACCCAGCCTACTCCGCCAGCCCCCGTTCCAGCCGCACCTAAGGTCACCAAACACGAAATCGAACTAGAGGTCACGCTCGCGCCTGTCGAAGGAAACCTGATCCGCCTCGATTTCTGCACAGGAAAGAGCGCCGAGAGTGCCAATCTAAGCCGGAAGCGAACACTGCGCAATGCCTTCCTCACCACGTGTTGGGTTCAGGGCATCGACGACGCCGAAGTGGTCAAGTGCACCGATGTGAACGGGAAGATGGTGGCCGATCGCACCCTGGCGCAAATACTGGGTCACCACGATGACACATACTGCAACGTTACCTTCAGGTGAGCTTTCGGGATGGAGGCGAGCTGACGGCAGGTCGGCTCAAGTGAGCCCTGGCATGGTCTCGGCTGCGCGTCGCCAGGAAAGCGAGGAAGAGGATGTGGGAGACGAAGATGATGAGGGAGACGATCGTAGTGGCTGGGGGTGGGGTTACACCCAGGCGTTGTAGGACAGGTGCCACTGACACAATAGCGGGAGCATGATGCAACCACGTACAGCCGACCCCTGACGCTATCATCAGCTAGTCTGGGACCTGAGAATTATCAAAGGCCCACAACGCACACGACCGCTTCTGACAGTTACTCCGAGCAACTTTAAAAGTCAGTCGCGGACATCTTGCATCTCCTCATCACTCCATCCTCAAGGGCCATGCCCGCGATCCGCAACGAGCGGTCCTCCTCCGCTCGTCCACCCTCCATCTCGCGCCGCCCCTCCCCCACCCCCGCCTCAGCCACGGCATTGGGCCCATGCCCCTGCCATTCTGGATCCATCAAACCCCTCCCTCGCAAACGAGAGGTCCGCGTCCGTCTTCTTTTGTCCTGGCAATCGTATCCCGGCGTAGAGCCCGGGCTCTCCGACCCACACAACCTAATACAGGCCGATCTGCGAGTAGGAAAGGGACACGAAACGCTGAACCTGCACCGAAAACGATCCCTCCGACGCGCATTCGTGCTCTGCTGTCTTGTCAAGGGGCTCGGTGTACGGAGTACAGACATCGTGACCGTCGAAAACGAAGAGGGCAAGGTCGTAGACCGGAATGAAGCCCTGTCCGACATTCTGGGGGACGAACTGGACGATGTCGAGTTCTTCGTTACGTTTCGGTGAGTTTGCATCAAAGGAAAGATATTGACGCAGGATTCAGAACGGCAGTACATATTTGTGACAAGTATCTCTGTCCCAAGGATGCAGCACCTGAAGACGAGCTCGTGCGACGGTTCGAGGAACTGATGGGCCTGGGGTCCTCATAGACCATAGATTCTATAATCCATAGACAGGCGGGGCGAGGCGATCTTGGCGGAATCCCAAACACGGCGGAGAGACACAAACACGGTCAGCCATGTTCTCGCTGCCCCAAACAGCGGGGAGCGGGAAGGTAGCGCCTCTTGCACCGCATCCCACTCCTTCGAGCACTTTCGGGTCAACTTCGGCTTTCAGAAATTTTTGCTGCAGCAATCGGACGGCGCTAGTGCAGCTGCTGCGGCTCCGGTGACTAACCACCATAGTGCCCACTGGAAGGTGATGTAGAGTTGCTCCGGCTATGTGGTGATTGTGAGCATTACGGCTCGAGGGCCGGAGACGCATACATTGTTCGATTGCTGCGTACGCATGAAGGAGGGGCGATGTGGTGAACATGTTGATAAGGAAAAATCAAGTTGCCGAGAATCGGGCAGGTGACGTCAGGCCGATAAGGGTTCTGCATGCGGCTCAGTCGGCTCAGGATGAAGTTTAGAGTCGTTTCAAGATGGGGCCGGATGGGTTCCGGATGGGTTCTGGACAGGCTCCGGAATGGTGCTAGTGTACACGCTAGTCGATTGCATAGGCTTCATTCGCCGTCACTCCTCCCCGGCGATCTCTTGCCACCGTTCGCGTTCAATCGTGTGTGTCTCGTTGAATGAGGGACACCAACGCGTCTGGGTCGTGCCCCAGGAGGTGAAATCGTGAGCTACTGTGTGTGCTCAAGGCTGAAGTCCGGATTGCCACCCCTCGTTACTCGGAGACTGTACACAGGACCCTATGCATATGCTCTAGATCTACTCATCGTCCTCCCTCCAACCGTCATCGTCCTCCTCGTCGGCACCCTCGTCGGCGCCGTCGGCTCCATCACTATCGTACTCCTGCTCACTCCGCTCACATCCACTATCGTCATCTCCATAATAGTCCGGCTCCTCGTCGCTATCACTGTCATCACACCAGGTGGACTCGCACCATGTGCAACAACCTGGCCCGCCGCTTGAGAGGGTCAGCGGTGTTCGATCGATCGAGGCGTAGAGTTTTCGCTGTTCCTCTGCCTCCTTCCGCTTCTGAAGCTCGATATTGTCGAGTCGCTTGTGCATCTCGTCGAACTGGCGAAGTCCCTCAACGCATGTTGTGATGTATTGTTCCAGCCATGAGCCAGGGCCAGCCCAGGCGGGCACGCCGGCGTCGCTATTAGGGCTGTTGATCTCCGACTCGGTGCGCGTGTCAGCGAGGATGGTGTTGATCCATTCGGCCACTTCGGTGGCTACTGAGGGCCTTGGCCGAGTAGTTGTTGAGGAACAATCGCGAACGGACGCGGTGGCCGCGTCGGGGTGGATCTTGCGTCGCTTTGTTGGGGTTGAAAGCTCCGGAGGGTTCTCGGGATCGGAAAGCGAGCAGGTTGAAAGTCGCCGCCGCTTGAGCCCGCGCGATGCATTTGACTGGGGAGGCGGGGTCGAAGTTGCAGCTTGAGCAACGGGGTGCTCTGAAGACATGTTTGTGTGTTGTTCGTTATGGAGAAAGAAGAAAGAGCGCGATGTTTGGGCTCGATCGCATTATATGGGACACGGTGGCAAATGTGTTACGTAACCCCAGAGCGTGAACAAACACTACCGATCAATGCAACTTGCGCCCTCGCCAATCATTCCGTCATCCCAATTGTCGCTTGTCTTGGGATCTTGGGCATGTCCTCTGACAGAGACCTCGAACAATCCGAGGCTCAGATCGCGGCTGCCAAGGCTGAGCTTGCGGCTGCCAAGGCGGAGCTCGCGGCCACCCAGGCAGATCTCGCGGCCACCCAGGCAGATCTGGCGGTCGTCCAAGTTGAGCTCGCCAGCGTCAAGACTACCAGCGCCCAGTTCGCGAAGCTGCAGGACGAGGAGAACGCCCAGCCGATGCGCCGCATCAAGGATCTCGAGGATGATATCGTCAGTGATGTCCACCGCTGGCAATGCGGGCAAAGCTAATAAGAACAGACCGCAGCGCGCGCGGTGTGCCGCCAGGCTTCCCCTATCATCTGGCACGCGGTACTCCGCCATGTCCTCCTAGCTCTGGAACGCCGTCTGACCCCACAACAGCGTGCTTAGAATCCCGCTTGGGGTTTAACGAACTAGCATGTGAGTGCCATAATCGGTCTTCCAGCCACACATCCGAGCACGTTTCGATTGAAGACCCTGCATGACCAGCTGACGGCGTTAACAGGTCACGGAGACGGCGCGTGAGCTCATGGCCGGGGGCAGATTGCTGCCGATGATGAAAGACGCGGGATGGGCCCTCCGTGGGGAGGACGTCATGCACATCATAGGGATGTCAGAGGGGCGCAACAAGTGCGCGCACCCCGAAGCACACCCTGATACCCTGCGCCCGCTGTTTCGGAGCCTCTGTCAACAAGAAGAAGCAGCCTTGGTCCCGACTCACCGGGCTTCTTCCCGCGTCACTCTCGACTCGATTCTGGCTCAAGTCACCCCCGAAGTCGTTCAAGAAGAGAAGAGGAAACATGAACTTGGCAAACGGCCCCGGCAGCTCGAAGACCCACGTGCTCTCCGTCATCCGCGGATCCGTGGCGTGTCCCCCGCCCTATCGCTGCGCTTCCGCGAAGGTCGGCGATGTCCCCTCCCAAGTTTCCCGCAGGCTCTTGGCCGCGTACCTCGATTCAGCCTCTTCCCCCAACGCTCCCCACCACTCTGCCGCCTCCGCCTCCCACCCTCCCCCCGAGACCCCCTTCGCCCTGCCTAATGGCCCCTGTCTCGCGACCCCTAAAGCGATCTCGGCGTCATTGAGCTAACCACCCGCATTTAGATACTTGGACAATAAGTGCTATGGACACATCCCTCGATACCTATCCACTGACTGAATGATTGAGCTCTTGCTGATCCTCCCCTTCCCGCTGTTTGGTTTCAGGAACGGAGAGTCAGATAAGAAGAATCAAGTTGCCGAAGCTCGGACCTAACACTGACGTCACTGTTATCTCGCTTCGGTCGGCTGCACATGCATCAGGTAACCACGCAGTCCGTTGGCATGAATGTCCAAGTCCGACGGCATGCATACGCTCGTTTTGACGCAGGGCTCACGACCCCTACGATCACTTTCCTCGCGGGGGCAGCCACCAACACTACTGATAATCCGATCTCTCCGCCTCCCACCCTCCCCCCGAGACCCCCTTCGCCCTGCCTAATGGCCCCTGTCTCGCGACCCCTAAAGCGATCTCGGCGTCATTGAGCTAACCACCCGCATTTAGATACTTGGACAATAAGTGCTATGGACACATCCCTCGATACCTATCCACTGACTGAATGATTGAGCTCTTGCTGATCCTCCCCTTCCCGCTGTTTGGTTTCAGGAACGGAGAGTCAGATAAGAAGAATCAAGTTGCCGAAGCTCGGACCTAACACTGACGTCACTGTTATCTCGCTTCGGTCGGCTGCACATGCATCAGGTAACCACGCAGTCCGTTGGCATGAATGTCCAAGTCCGACGGCATGCATACGCTCGTTTTGACGCAGGGCTCACGACCCCTACGATCACTTTCCTCGCGGGGGCAGCCACCAACACTACTGATAATCCGATCTCTCCGACCAAGTCCACGGTCGCACTCGATTCACTACTGTGCTCGTACACATGGTGCCACGGATAAGCATTTTGATCACATCATAGTGCGAGTACAACCCGCTGAACTCAATCTTCTGTCTCCCTTCCGCTGTCCTGGTCACTATCAATTCCACTTGTAGGGTTCTGAAGCGCCACTGCGTAAGACTGGCCGTCATTCCCCCCGCCGTCACTCCATTCGTACCCGCTATCAACGTCGCTCAGAGGCTGTTCGAAGTTCTCCGGGTGGCAAGTTTCGCAGTACGAAGGCCATGACCACGCAGTGATAGTGGTTTGTTTCCACTCGGTATCACGCTCCTTCAATGCCTCTTGCCATGCAGCTCGCTGCTGCTCGGCGCTCTCGCGCTCCTGCTCCTTCCTCTCGCTGTCGCGTGAGCCGTCGTCCTTGTGGACGGCTTCCGGCTGAGTCCTGAAGCGTTCGATCCACGTCGGCTTGTGCGAAGGGTTTTCTTCCCATGCCTTGTCGTCCGTTGCCCAGGAGTCCTCGGTGGGGGGTCCGGTGGGACCCAAAAGGGTCGCTTTTGGTACGGGGTCCACTGAGGCGGTGGCAGGAGGATGACAATCGTCCTCTTGCAGTTTCGCTCTCTTGTTCGAGGGCTCAGGAGAGGCGCTAGTGCAGCGCTTGATAGAGCCCACAAGCTGTGAGGGCATCTCGCTACTGCTTTGCTGATTCAAGACGGTCTCCTTCGTCATGCTGCTCGATGTTTACTGAGGTGAAAAGCGAGGTGGGAGGTGTTGGGAGAAGTTGGGTGGCAACAGGCTATCAACGGGGCGGCAGAATCGATTCCAAGCAAACGCCGATACGGCCGTACCAAAGGCTATCTTAGTACTCCCGCTCAGAAAGGTTGCATTCGATAGCTTGACCCACTAAGCACTAGCTCAGGTTTCGCTCACATCAGAGCACAATCGAACTCTCCCTCCCCACCCACTCACCATCGGCTACTTGAGAAATGTACTCTCGGCCACCGAACAACGTCTTCGGAGCCGACCATCAATGAAGCAATGCGCACAGGATGTCGTCAGCAGCCTCTTCGCAGCTTATCTGCTCGATCACTGGCCCAAATCACTAGTGCCTAGTGCACACGACCTATGGCTCAGCCGAGGCAGAAAATCGGCGAAATTAAGGAAATAGTGATGGAACTAATGCTGGGCTGTGGGCTGCGGTTAGCGCTTGGGATGTCGCGCTACAGCCCCTCACGCGCGCTCACGCGGTCGCATCGTGATCGTGATCTCACTCTTGTTTACCAACAACACCTCACCTGACCTCACCACCATCTTGACGTCGTCACTTCTCGCCTTTCGTCCTCTCCACCTAGTACCTTGACCAAAACATGTGCCCTGCCTCCACCAAACACCGCACCCCGCGCCCCTGCTGCGCCGCATCCCGCCAGCGCGACCTCGAGCTCGCGATTAAGCTTCACCGGCGACAGATCGCCCAGCTCAAAATTACCCATCGGGAGGAACAATGCCGGCATGAGCATCAAGCGCGCGAGATGGAGGCCGAGATCGCGCGACTCGCACTCGAGGCTGCCCTCAAGGTATGTCGCCACCTATTTGTCATGCGTGTGTGTGTGCTGACAGCATTAGGCTATCTCCATCCTCGTCAACCCATCCCGTGCAGAGGCCGGGGAGAGTGCTGACTAGACTGTTTTCTGTTACTAGAGACCCCTATGCATGTTGTAAACACCCAATTCGGCTGCGGGTGGCGAATATAGCACCCAGCGAACGTTGCCGAGACTTGAACGCCGTGCGCGCCATTGCGTCACCGCCAAGCGTGCACCAACCAAACTCGTCGATACATGAGCCTCCGAGGGTGAGGCGTTGCTGCACAGACCACGCTCGACAGACCCATGCATCGCAAGGATTGAGCAGACGCTGTCCGTGCTCAAGAGTCATTTACGTAACGGCGAAGAGTGCACGGATCCTCAGAACCAAATCTGGTGCGATGCTTCGTCGCCTCAACTTCGGTCGTCGTCATCTCCTCGATATACTATATCATCACCGATCCGATCTCCATGACCTAACTTACACCCACTACCCCGATCGATAATCACCGACGCCACCATCATGCCCGACACAGCCCACCGACCCTCGTACGAGGAGCTGCAGCAGCGCCTGCGCGATATCGAGATCAAGCAGGAACAAGGCGTCGAGCGGCTAGCAGCGATGCGGGCGGCTGGCTTCAGGATGGACGCGGAACTGCGCGAGCTGCGAGCCGCGTTGCAGCGATTGAACGAGGTTCGTACGAGTTGTACTAGCTTTGTGGCCGAAGAAGCTAGAGGAGGGACATTCGCTTGCTGATGTTAGACCTCTGAGCTTGTGAAGAGTAGACTAAAGCCCGCTGAGCCGGCGGCAACAGCTGCCGACTAGATCCGTGCCGGAAGAGCCGAATGTGCCGGAAGTACCGGGTGTATCGGGCCAGCCAATGTACTTGCGTTGGATTGGATTAGCTGTGAGCCGAGGTGTTAGCGTTAGGTTGGTGTGAGTGGGTCGTGTGACGAGCTAGGGTGTAGGATGGATGTTGCGTAGTTCGAAGGGAGCTACGGTCCGCTCAGATCTTGGTTCCGTGGTTTGGGGTGGCAACGGTCGCCCTACTGACTGGAAATTGATGATTCTGCTGTCTCCGGACAGCCTCATCCTGCATCACTGACAAGCAAGAGTCCCGCAAGAGGAGTAATGGCTGCCATGCAGATGTGGTCGTACACATATCAAAGCGGACCAACACATCTCTTCTTGAAGACGTAGGAGGAAGCCGGCGGCAGTATCCCGACGCTAGTCTCGGCGAGGCGGCTCCCGTGCGTGCGTCATAAGCCATCCGAACACGAGGACAGCCGCACGCTTTGCACGATCCCTACTGCTTTCTCACGCCTAACGATGGGTAATCGAGGGAGTGCCGATCGCATGCGCCTCAGCCTCATGCGACAAACTTTCGACGCAGACCCTCGTGCGTTCTGGGAACCCGGCGGTGGACGGAGTAATTCGGATGCTGTCTGCAGTTGCCGAAGCCGAAGCTGCAGTTCGGACCGGATCTGGGTCTAACAATGTCATGAGGCGATCGCGGCAGGAGAGCACGCTACTTGGAGTCGCGTGCTCGTCAGGTGATGAAGAGAGGTTCTGTTGGTGAGCGATGCGCGTCCGGCTAATCTGCCCGTCTATTCAGCCGCACTAAATCGGATCTCATCCCTTATCTGCGCGTTCTTAGCATATCTTGGTGCCGTCCACCAAACGGCTGGCAATGCTCTAACGGTGAGTGGGTTTGGGGTGTGACGGGCCCCCAAGCAGGTACATAACGCGCGCCCCGGAGCGATGAAGAACGCAATCAACAACATCCCCTCGCCAGAGCACAACTTCACTCTGCACGAACTTCGATTCACAATCAACAACACAATGGCGAGACCGCAAGCTCGAACACTTCCCGCCACTCCATTGGAAGTGGCTCAACCGGCCACGATCTACCTCCGTATGAAGCGCGACGAGAATGAGTTCCACATCGTGGCGATAACCGACAACTACGACGACGCGCACTCCAACCTCGATCTGCGTTTCTTCAGCGGCGACGACACACTGCATGGTGTGTTGTCCGACTTCGCGTGCATGTACGGCACGCACATCTACACTCCGCGGTATGCTATGCGGGCGTTCAGCGACACCGAGGAGGCGGAGCCCGGCTGGCGTCCGTTGCCGCACAACATGCGACTGGACGCCGTCATGGAGGGGTTCGAACTGCGTCTGCTTCAGATCCGTTTCACGTAAGTTACTGTGTGAAGAACGAACGGTGCTGACAGCAGTATCAAGTCCTTGGCCTTGTTGTGCTGGTGGGGCCAAACGGTGCAGCGCATGTCGAAGCCTGAGATCTCCGATCAGCCCTCGCCGCCGAGCCCGGCCGAACTCAGAGATACCTGCGTCGAATATCTGTTCGACTTCGAGCTCTTCGAGAGCCGCATCGTGGTCGCGAGCGTGTGCTGGGGTCAGCCGCCGTACAGCCATCCCGAGCATATCGCGACACAGACCGACCGCACGGTTGACGATGTGCTCAGCGCTCTGTGCAAGCTCGCCCGCATCCCCTATGCCGAGCCCAAGGACGCTCCACTGCTCATGGACCAGAATGGCAAGGTTATCCTGCCCACTCAGAGGCTGGATGAGTGGCTAGGCAACACCGAAGGAGCGCTCCTCTACGCATACATCTTGTGAGATCATTCTTCGGTCTTGCGCTGACAGACAGGCGCCCCAAGCGCCGTGCTTCGGTGGAGTTTGCTTACTCGACCGAGAAGGAGCTGGTGCTGCGTCGCACCCGTTCAAGCGGAGAGTTGTCGAGGACTAAGTCGGCTTGGGCCTGAAGTGGCTCTGATAGAGCTCCCTGTAACGAATCTGTTATGTTGTAACAGTATGCAAGTTGTATGACGATTTACGCAAATTCATTGATAACTTTCCATCGCGCTTCTGACTAACTAGATGACCCTCATGTAGCCCTGCCGGTCAGCTTACTCACGTCATCCGGTAGCTGCTGATAACACTCACTTGAATACAGCCTTGACCCACCCCTCCTCATCGCCCATCGCGTCGCCCAACTCGGTGTCGGCGTCCAAGACCTCACCGTCAATGTCCAAGAACTTGATCTTGCCGACCGGCTTTGTCTCCGTGAGTCGGCAGAACATGCGCACGACCTCATCCAGACTCTCGCCGCCGCGCAAGCTCAAACCCTGCCCATAAGCCGCTTCAGACCACGTGATGTCGAACGTCTCGCAAGAGGGCGAGAGCCGGAACAGCAGCACACCCTCCACGGTGGGGGTTGCTTTCGCTTTGGGAGCTTTGGTCGTCTTGGTAGTCTTGGGCTTCGCTGCAGCCTTCACAGTCTTGCGCGGCCGAGTGACCTTTCCGACAAGGGCAGCACTCGGAGCTGTCGCCGGCGTGTACCGAGAAACGCTCGAGCGGGCGCGAGACGAGCGGCGAGGAGGGGAGGTCGTGGTTGTCATCTCGGGCTGTAGATGTTGAGGTCAATAAATAGGAGTCGATGCGGGAGATGGTCATGAGAATGTCAACTTATGAGATCATCAGTGTTGGGATGACGGGAGCTGAGTCAACTAGCCGTTGAAGAGCTGAAGGCCGAGATCGGCCAATTTCAGCCATCTCGTTCCGCCCTCCATTGCCAGAATCGCGATGACCATTGGGATTGCTGGACGCATGACAATTTTGGGAAAGCGTGCTGCGTTATGGGCCGCGATGCGTGAGCTAACGGGCGCGAGTTTTGTGTGACTGCCGAGCTGTTCGCCCGATAATGGATGAAGACGAAGATGCATGGACTTGTCCTAACGTTCTTTCTATACTTCGGAATTGCTGACAGCCCGTAATCATGTCCGTGGACCGGTGAACTCGTCGTCAGACAAAGACAATTACTGGTATTCTTCGCGCCTACCATCAACACTCTGTCCGCCCACTTCGCTCACCGAATATACGCGTCGATGTAGGCTTCTGTCCAATCATCGTTCCACCAGGCGTCCAGACGGTTGTACGTGCGAATACGACTTCCGCTACCATCACGGAGTAGCACTGCGTGTTCCTGCCGATGATATGGGATACGGTCGAGGCAGCACACCGCGCTGAGCATATCGTGCACAAGGCGATCGGGCCGGAAGGCCATGTACTCATCGGGGTCTGGCTCGATATCCTCAGGAGCACAGTGCGAGACCGAACGCAAGCGCACCCGCACTAGAAACTTGTCATGCCGGAGGAGGTTATCGTCCCGCTCAAATTCTAAGCGGTAGATGTCACACTCTTCTGAAATATATTGGGCCGAGTACGGCTCCATATCGTCTGGCTCATCCTCCCACTCTGCTTCTACCTGTACAAGGTCGAGGGCTTCGATCACGCGCTTTGTCGTTGTAGTCCTGCCGTTAGCCAAATACAGTAAGCGAACTCACCGGCACTCGACTTTGATGAGGCGGCGGGTGTAGCCCTCCATAATCTCGCCCAGTGTTGCGCCAAAGCGGAGCAACTGCCAGTGCCTTCCTTCAGTGTCGCGCTTTGAATATGTCGGGCTCTGCATGGAAAGTGGCCGGTGGCCAGTGTCGATCCTCTCGGCTAGGTGTTGCGCAACGCGCTCCAAGGTGAGCTGCAGGTCGTACCTTCCTCGAATTATCTCCGCCTCTTCGTACTTCAAGAACGCTGCTCGCACCGTGTCACGCTCGACAGTGAGCTCCATGTAAAACGTCTCGCTCCAGAGCCGCTTGTCCGAGAAGTCGTACTCATCGTCGAGGTCGTCATCGATGTCGCAACCGTTTACTCGTCTTGCCCAATTGTAGTTGGGCTGGCTGTAATCGTAGTAAGGCATGGTGATGGTGACGGAGTGGGGGGAAAGAGCTGATGCGCCAACTTGTTGCTGCTATTTGAGGGCTCCTCGAGGGTTGCAGTATTAGCAGCTAAATCGCGCCAGCCTTCCTATAACCCGCTGCCGCTCCCGCCTCCGGCCATGCCCTCACTGCTCGATGGCCGTTCTATTCGTTAGCATCGTAGACCCCTCGGCTCACCTGATATGCGCAACGAGGTGCGCCTTCGTCCAGCCGAGTCGGAACCAGTCCTCGAGCCGGTTGTATGTCCGAAGTTCTTTCCCGTAGCTGTCCCGGATCTGCAAGATGTGGACTGTAGAGTCCAATCTGATGTCGAGGAGGCCAGCCATGAGCCTGATGACGTCTGCAAGCGACCGATTCAGCTTGACGGCGATATACTCATCCGTCATCTTCGTGTAGTCTTGTTCGTGCCAATCGGGGCCCCAACGCAGCCGACAGCTGAGCATCTGGAGGCCAAGCGGATCGCTGCCCGCAATGGGCAGAAGTTCGAAGCAGTACGCATCGCATGTCTCGTCGATTTCTTCTCCTGTCGGTGGCCACATGTCATCGATCTCATCCTTGAGCGGCGGCTCCTCCCGGTCTATGGAGAGGTCCTGGAGTACGCGTTTTGTCGTGGTTGTCCTTATGTCAGGGCAGTCGATGCGTTCACTCACCTGTACTGCACCTTGATCAGACGTTGCGAGAATCCCTCCATGATCGCGCCGAGCCATGGCTTTCGGTCAATGTGCTGCCAAAACGAATCGTCACTGCTACCGTCCTCGCCGTCGGGTACGCGTTCGAAGTACACAGGTTCCTCGATGCAGATATCCTCCTCCCGCTCCTCTTTCGCAAGGTACGCGATGGCAGTGTCGATTGACTCTTCCGGCGCGAAGCACATGTATGAGTCTCGCTTGCCTTGATCCATGGAGAAGCTGACACCGATCTTGTCGTACCTCACACTCGTCGACAGCTTGAGGTAGAGCGTTTCGTGCCAGCGGCGCAGGCGACGTCCGGTATTATGGTCCACAACGAACCTGTCCTCATAGTCGAAGTCGTAGTCGAACTCTTCATCTTCCCCCCAGGAGCAATACCTATAGTTTGGTCGGCTGTAGTCGATGTAACCCATGGCTGTTGATTGCAATGAGGTTGGATTGCAGAGTCTCTTTCGGATAATAACGCGACGTTTGTTTATGTTGTGCGGGACGCTGACGTAACACGTGGTATGCGGGTATCTTATCGGTGACGTCAGCCAGCCGTCTTCGAGAGGGCCGTAATCCATGCAGCACACCGATCAAGGATCGCCGAGCATCTGAGGCTGCCATGACACGAGCATCTGAAGTGCGCTTGGATGTGTGTCATCGCCCACGGTGGACCAGGACCGGGACCATATGAAATCAGGGAGATCTGCTTTCGACTTGCTTTCTGGCACAAATGGCCTAGGCCATTTTGGACACCAGGGGGAGCTACCACGAGCCGGGTGCGCCACACGACCAGCGGGGAGTATCTCGCCATCTTCTAGCTCGCCGGGCTAGCTCTGACCGTCTAAGAACAGCAGAGCCAACACAGGCGACAAGAGTCTCGTTCCACTGCTCACCTCTTAGACCCCTTGTTCCGCCCAGCACCTTGCTTCTCTTAACAACTACCGCCAACACTATAACATTCTCCCATCCGGCATCATGTTCTGCACTGAGTTGGCTGCGGAGCAGTTCCCCTTTCCTGCCCCCGCTGGCACCAGATTCTGTGAGAAAGAAGTTCCCTCACACTCCGAGACGACGCCCCTGTACACGACAGAGCCAGACGGTCGGCCCGAGGTCCTAGTTGCGGAGTGTGTCTTCACGGGGTGCAAGAGCTGGATGTCCTTTCTTCCAGGCTGCTCGGATATGCACAAGCAGTGCGTTTACGTCTCATTCCAATACCTCGAGTTCGACTTCGCCTTCCGAGAGGCTGTCTGTACTCGCAACGACCTTATCAGCGCTTTCAACACCTTGTTATCTGATCGTAAGGCGCTTGAGGATGCCCTCATCGCTACTCGCATGGTGCTTAGCGGTTTGGAAGTAATGCCTGGGACCCAGCAGGCTAGCAAGGCCAAAATACTCCACGAGAAGAACGCCCAAATCCATTTCAGAGAACGCCTTCGGATACTGCGCTGTCAGTGCGAAGAAGCCTTCCGACGCCTCGACAACGGCATCCACAACTTCGGTCAATACCTCTACTTCCTGTCCTTGTGCGAGGACTATGGTATTCCCCAGCTTGGCTGGTCGTGCTGGGGTGGATGGCTCAGCGAGGAGAACGTGCGCTTCCCCGAGAAACGCGAGCACATGTTCCGAAACGGGTGGATGTGCGACGACTACGCTTTCCGGGCCGCCAAGGTCATCAATGCGTCCGAGACGCCTGAGGAGGTGAAGCAACTGCACGTGGACCTCGATGGCCTCACCAGGGAATATCTTGCCTTTAAGGGCTACGCCCTTACGCCGACAGCTGCCGTCATGCACAGGCCTCCGACGCCTCACGGCGCGGACGACCTTCCTCCTCCCTACGCGGTCTAATCCTGCTTTGATACTATGGCTGCATGCAAACTACTTCTGAATATACTACAACTTACGGGTCCATGGTAACGATCTTGTCTCCGTCAAACTTCATCTCCTTGGCCTTGACCGAGCGCAGGTGGTCGACGCCCTTGCTGAGCGAGCAGTCGTGGTAGAACAGGTAGTCCTTGCCCTTGAAGTGGACCATGGAGTGATGGTTCGTCCATCCGATCGGAGGCGTGAGCACGGTGCCCTGGTACTCGAAGGGACCGTATGGCGAGTCTCCCGTCGCATAAGCGATCAGGTGCGTGTCGCCAGTCGAGTAGGAGAAGTAGTATTTCCCGTTACGCTTGTGCATCCACGCCGCCTCGAAGAAACGCTTCTCGTGGTCAGAGGCCGGTACTGGCTTGCCCTGGTAAGTGATGCTGATCTCGCGCACGGGCTCGGCGAACTCGAGCATGTCGTCCGTCAGCCTGGCGACACGGGGACCGAGAGCGTCGCCTTCCGTCGGCTCCTGTGGCCCCTGCTTCGAGCCGTCCCACTCAGTGCCGTCCGAGTTGTAGCACTGCAACTGTCCGCCCCACAGTCCGCCAAAGTAGAGGTACGCCTCACCATCGTCGTCGACGAACGCCGCGGGGTCGATCGAGAACGAGCCCTTCATAGCTTCCGGCTGGGGAGTGAAGGGCCCTTCGGGCTTGTCGGAGACGGCAACGCCCATCTTGAACTTGCCTGGAGAGTCAGCTCACGGTTCGCGGACCTCTACACCTCAACGGCACTTCCGACACTCACCGTCCTTGGCCCTCGCAGGAAAGTAGAAGTAGTACTTTCCGTTCTTCTCGGCGCAGTCCGGCGCCCACATCTGCTTGTCGACCCAGGGCACCTGCTCGGCAGAGAGCGCGACGCCGTGGTCGGTGACCTCTCCGCCAACCTCATCCATGGAGAGGACATGGTAGTCGACCATGTCGTACTGGTCTCCGTTGTCGTTGAACTGAATGTCCGTCTCCCGGTCGTGTGAGGGGTAGACGTAGATCTTGCCCGCAAACGCGTGCGCGGACGGGTCCGCAGTGTAGATGTGCTTGACGAGGGGCTCGGGCATGCTGTCTTCGTGGGTAGTGGGTGATACGGAGGTCGAGAAGAGGAGGGGAGGTCTTTATGAACGCCGTCAGCGGCGGGGGGAAGCGGCGACGGAGCGCTCTCGGCGCATTAACCGGAACACGGCTTCGCGCCGAGAATCCGCCGAGATTACGGCCCGAGCCGGTGGGCGCCGAAAGCTTGTTTCGGGATTCGTGTTGTTTGGTTCCACCGTGGCAGGCAAGCTATGAAGGCGAGCTGGCGACCGCCTCCGTTCAACATCAGGACGATCTTGACGTCGAACGGGTGGGCTGACGGGAGGAACCGCAACGTAACGTGTAAGAGGCAGCATGTCGTTTCGAGAGCTCGCGCAAGGCCGGGGATGATCAATTCAGTACAAGATCTCCGCACTGGAGCCGATGCCTGCCATCAGTCTTTCCAGGAACCGAGAGGCCCTCTCAGAAGCGCTGTAACCTTGCACAACAGCTTGTCAGAGCACCGTCGAAGGCGACAAACACGCGATCGATCTTGCTGTTGGCAGCACATAAGCGTCGTCACGCCCTCTCTTCCAAGGAAGACCGCCACGAGCGCTCAGCGTTGGTGAAGTGGTCTAATACGTCCTAACATCTATGGTGAAATGGTATCATGCATCGTTGCCATCGATGCGGTGGGGGTTCGATTCCCCCTGGATGTATCTTTTGCTTTTCCTTCTACCCATTCCTCTTCGTCCGCGAGAACGGGAGCGAGAGAACGGATCGGATGGTCGAAAAGAGTGCGTGTCGAGACGTCGGGACGCGAGGAAGTTTCGGAAATTTGCTCCCGTTCGAATATTCATTTGCTTCCGCTAATGCGCTAAGGCTAATGCGCTTTCAGGGGCGAACGGTTGATTTGTCTTTTCGGATCGGTGCGGTGTCCGGATTGTCTAGAGAGGTGAAGCGAACGTCTCAAAGACTTGCAGCGACGGAGAACCCTAAGCGATGTCGTTTGGTATGACCTCGAACATCCGGATCCCGATCTCGCTCTTGCCGCCGTCGAGTCGCGGCAGTGGTTTGTCGCCCTGCGCAGTCGCTGTACCAGAGTAGAGGTACCTGCCCTTCCTGGTGCAATTCAGACCCGCAAACTGCCCGACGAGGCCCCATGTCTGTTTCCTTCCTGCGGGCACAACTCGCCAGAGCGCGACGCCCATCTCATGGAGATGCACGTCTTGAAGAGGCCTCCTTGCCCCCTCCTCGCCGTCGTTGGCAGCGTCCGAGCTCTTGAAGAGAGTGCCGGCAGTGAGCGCTCCTTCATCCAAGTCATAACGGAGCACGACGACATCGCCTGCTAGCCCGGCAAGGGCCATCGCGTCCTCTACGTCTTCATGCTTCAGCTTGTCTTTGACTTGACGGCCGACATCCCTACAGTTGAAGGCAGCGAGGAGTGCGCCGTTCCCGCACTTGACCGCTGCCCAGGTCGCCGTCCCATCCTCGTCATCCAGTATGGACGTATCCATCAACCTTCTTGGCAGCAGCTCAGCTGCGCTTTCGCACTTGACCACATGAACTTCGCCCTTAGCGTCGTAGGCGATGAGGCGTCCGAGAAGCTTCGTGTCATGCTCCGCCGGCTTATCGCTCAGCAGCACAGGGCCAGGGAACATGGCGCGAAGTACAGCGTGAGATTGGGGATACTGCGCGGCTGTCATGAACATGTCCGCATCGGGCACAGTGGAGAGGTGGTTCGACACGAGTGCGTTTGAGAGGTTGGAGAAGACGAAAATCTGGTGTGCGTTGCGCAGCTCGTGGATCATGCCGAAGTCGTCGCTGTTGCGCCACACGAAGGACTGCTTACTGAAACCGGCCCGGCCATTGAAGAAAGATGAGGAGTGGGCCATACTGTGCACTACTCTCCCCGGGCCAAACGTTGCGTCGGCGGCCGCAAGCATCAAGGTGTACACCTGTGTGGCTACCTCAGCACCTTGGATACCGTGCAGGAAAGTGAGAGAGGCTTGGTTATCGACCTTAAGAAAGGAGACGCCCTGGCTCTTAAGCCATGCGAACCAGTCGCTCCAGAACTCAGGCTTTGTCGGGACCCAATACTCCCCGCTGTCGTAGGGGTTCGAATATTTGAAAGGCTTGCAGCCGTACTTCTCAACGAGCGGTGAGTCGGGGTGAACGCCGTTCCAGTATCCTCCGTTAAGAGCTAGCCAGACTCCAACATCGCATCCTCCCACCTCTGGACCTTCGAATGTCTTCTTGACAAGAGACACCGCCTCGCCGAGATCGCCAAAGGACTCATTCGACTCGAAAGACCAAAGTTGCCGGTGCTGTTGGTCCTGCCATCCGTCGTCTATGACGAAAGCTTGCACTGGAATCTTCGCGGCCGAGAGCTCAGTCAGAAGGGAGGAGAACATAGCCCGTGAGACGTGGTTCGTCTCACCCAATGCGGACCAGGTGCAGAAGCCGAGCCGGTTCAGTGGGTTGTGCGCCGCCAGAGGTGCCGGGTCACCTTTAGCGCCTGCCCAGCTTTGGGCACGATTGATAGCTTCCCGGACGAGGTTCTTCAGGTCTAGGGCACGCGGCGAGCGGCACTCAACCACGGCGCCCCGACCCTCGCCCGCCGTGGACCTGCGAATATCCACAGCCCATTTGCCTTTCGATGCGGTCAGGTGACAGGTAGCACTGTCAGAGCTCACGGGATACAAAGCAAGATGCTCGGAGCCCTGTTGTACGAGCACAAGGTGAATCGGGAAATCGAGTGGTCTGCCTGAGAACGGTTTCGCTTCGATCCACGTTGGGCGGTAGCGATACCAGACCCAGCCATGAGCGTTGGAGAGATCGACGTCCAGCGTATGTGAGGACTTATCCTTCGACTGGTCACATTTGAACTCGTGAAGCTTCTTTGATACTGCTCTCGGCTCTGCTGGCGTCGATTGCCAAAGTCCCATCTCGGTGGCTGGGGTGTTGCGAGTGATGATAATGCAGCGATCGAGAGGTGGACGTGCTGTTACGCTGTGACACGGGTTGCGTCATGTTCTCGGAATTGGCCGAGCTCATCACTTCGAACGGAACCAAATTTTCTGCACGCGGTGTGCTCGACGATAACAAACCACTCGATCACTTCGCTTTCGCCGTCATCACACCTTGCGCACACCGCTCAACTACAAGCTCATACCTCTCACGGCACTCGCAAGCCTTCGGGAAGCCTAGGGCCGCAGCTCTACTTCTTTTGACGGTTTTCCCTGGCCCAGCGACTTCCTTCCTCGCTTTCCGTTGCCGCCATGCGTCCCACAGCAGCATGGCTCGCGACCTCCCTGCGAACGCTAGCCGCGCAACGGGTTGTTTTGAACGATATCGGAGAAGAAAAGTTCCGTAAACTCGCCTTTGAGCTCCAGTTTCGCGGCAAGCACCTTAAGCTGAAGCAACTCCCGCTGCAAGGCGACTTGCACCGGTCTATGCGACAAATTGCGACGCTGCCCAAGGAGGACCAGGATGTCGCCAAAGCATGGCTCATCTCTCGCCGGTCACTAGGACGCTACCTCCTTCCGTCCGAGAACACGAGCCGGCGGCAGTTTCAGCTCATTCTGCAATGGCTTGGCCTGCAGCGTTTCCTCGACATGGCGCCCACGGCGAGCTTCGACTGGAACCGGCTCCCTGAGCTTCTAGACATGAAGCGGACGGTCCTGCCGGCAGCGCGCTTCGACGTTATCCGCGAAAGCAATCTGTCTCTCGAGGACAAGTATCTGGCCGTTGTGACCTGGCTGAAGGGAACGGACTTTGGCGAGTTCGTCCTCCAGACCCGAGCATTCCCTCCCGATCCGCCGGACTACAAGCAAGCGCTTCTCGATTATGTCGGCAAGAAGCGGTTTCTGGAGCTTGTCGGCCGGCCGCCTCTCTTCGATCTGAACTCGATCAAGGGTTGCACGACCAAGTTCAGGCACATGCTGTCGCGCATCCAGTTGGCGGACCTCAGCCCCGCGGACGAGGAGCGCGCCCTCGTCAGTTTGCTCTGCACGACGCAGCTCGGCAAGCGTCTCATCCTTGAAGCAGGGCTGCCGCTCCCCGATCTCTTCTCCTACGAGCACAACAAGGTCATTCAGAGCTACCGCCCTCTGCATGGCCTCTACCGTGACCCATCAAGCGCCAGCGTACCGCCCGAAATTCAGACGTGTGTCGACCGGATAGGGCAGGACCGTTTCCTGGAGCTTGTGCATGAGGAGCTGTACGACTTGACCAGCATCAAGGGTTTCGACACGGTGAAGACAACGAAGGCGCGCTTGCGGCTGGTCCAGGAGTCGAAGCTCCCGGTGGACGAGAAGGTTCGGGCCTTCGTTGCCGTTCTTTGTCGCTCGGCGTGGGCGGAGCTTCTCGCCGGTGATGATCTCGAGACTAAGCGCAAGATCCGGCGAATTCAGTCCGGCCGCGCCTCCGTCACGAAGGGGCCGTACGGCTTCCAGCGTCGGCTGAACTATCTCGGCCCAGCGCGCTTCCTCGAGCTCTCGAAGGAACCACTTATCGATGTCGTGAAGGCGTTCCCGACCTTGGACCCTGCAGAGTGGCCCTCGTTCTGGACGGCTGTGTACCATTCTGACCTCGAAGGGGAGGAGCGCGATCGCTGGTTTGCCAGTGTGCTCCGCCGCTCGTCACACGGCAAGAAGTACCTCGCCGAAGCTAAGCGCATCGCGAAGGAGAAAGGCGACCCGAACGACCTCCAACCTCTTTCTAACCCGGTAACGACGGCAATTTGGCGCCCACGAGTCACTAGAGAGAGCTCACCCCGGGCGTCGTCCAGTTCATCACCCAGCCCAGAACCTTCCATCGCCCAGGCGCACCCCGCCTAATGTAACACCTACACAACTATCATCTTTAGCATCTCAGGCAGCGTAGAGCACATAGACATGCATGTATGTACGAATATCGCACAACGGTTGTGCCAGGCCCATATCTCGGTCGAAATTGACCGAGCAGCCGAGGTGCGGGAGCAAAACTGCGAGAGATTTCGACATGAGCCATGCGTCATGGACTCACGACTCTATCCATCAACTCCCCTCTCTTCTGTTGCCACTATTTCTCGATATCCATCACCGGATACCTGCGAAACAGGAGTGCGCAGCTCACTTTTACCTCAGGCACTTCTTGCTGTCGCGCGATCTATTGCGTCAGAGCTCCTCAACCATTAGACCGACGCCGACTCTGGTCCGTCATCCGAGCGTTCTGGCAACATGAGGTCGAGGTTGACAAAGCGCTACCTTCAACGATTAGCTAGACTCGACACCCGCGACCCCTCCGTTGTAACCACCCGATTGAAGCTCCTGGACGACATTGGTCTTGAACGTTTTCAGCGCCTCGGACCCGGAGTGAGATTTAAAGCCTCATCTCTGCTTCCGGCAGGCAAATCGTCCGCCCGTCTAAAGGCAATCGACTCTCTTCCCTCCCCGGAAAAGGAGCTCGCGAAGATTGCCTTCCTGGCTCGAACACGATTTGGACAAGCTCTTCTCCCGCCTGTTTACGACAAGCAGAGAGAGTATGGTACACTTCTGAGTGCCGTGAACTGGCTCGGCATTGATCTCTTTAAGGAGCTAGCCGAGGAGGAGTACGATCTGGACAACGTGCCAGATCTGCAAAGACAACATCCTGACCGCCAAATCGTGGCTATCCGCGCCTCCCCTATTCCGGTTGAGGAGCAGCAGAACGCTGTTGCACAGGTGCTGAAGTCGACAGCCTTGGGGCAACATGTCTTGGAGTTCGGATCCATACCACCGCTCTCCGAGGAGGCGTGGGAGGAAGCGATTCTGGCGTACATCGGCGGTCCCGAACGGTTCTTGGATACGTACAAGCGGCCTGCATTCGACGTGCATACCATTCCTGGGATCTATGACCGTCCCTTTGCCGCTCTCGTTGCGCAAGTCCAAAGGCTTGGCCTGTCTATGAGCGATGAGGAGAGAGCATATGTTGCGCTGCTCTCCTACTCCGTCATCGGCAAGAAGCTCCTCGACGGCGCCGGACTACCGCAGCCTCCGCAATCTGTGCGAGGCCGTCCGTTGCGCCCCTCCAAAACCCACCGAACGGGGGCACAGCAGCCGCTGCAATCGCACGTGGATCTGCTGAACCACATCGGCCGCGAGCGCTTCCTCGAGCTTGTCGAGGAGCCATTGTTCGACCTCGAGTCTATTCCCGGATGGGAGACGACAGGTACGGCGGTCCCGAGCCGGCGGCGTCTAATCGAACAATCGTCCCTCTCGCCCGCCGAGAAGGAGAGAGCGCTCGTCGCTCTGCTCGCCATTCGCCCAACGCCATTCATCAACGAGCACGAGCTCTACCGCGAGATCATTCGCCGCACGCCCCAATACAAGCGGGGTACAAGCGGACGAGCGAGCGAGTATTACTTCCCGAAACTCCTCGCTGAGGTGGGCGCCAGTCGCTTCGTAAAGTTGGCCCAGGAGCCGCTGTATGATCTCACTGCTATCCTCACGGCCAAAGATACGGGCAAGTGGGGACTCAATCGCAAGTTTGAGCGTGTGCGGAGGTCAAATCTGAGCGATGAAGAGAAGGAGAGAGCGTTTGTGAGCATTTTAGCTAGAAGCCGGGTCGGGAAGAGATATCTCCAGGAGGCAGGCAGAGAGAAGACCAAGTCGGGGCCCAGGTCTCTTTCGAAGGCAAGTGCCGGGGCCAGCGTCCAGCCTGAATCTGCAGGTGTCACCCGATTCGCTGTCGCGCGGCTGCCCTTCGTCGACTGTGACCGGCGTATACGAGCCATGGCTTCTTGCATCGCTCTGCCACTGCCCGCTAAGCCGAACTTCATACAAGCCGCAGCACTCGTCGGCTTCTTCGTTCAGGCGACCATGTCTGGCGTGTAATAAGCAATCATTACCGTATCATCATCAACTGTACTGTACTACCACTACAATGCCTACTCATACCACTCTGACTCCCAAGGGCTCACAGCGCCTGTACTCCTCTTAGCCAGCGATTATGAGAGCTAGGGACGATGGGGAGTCGAACAATTCAGACATTGAGGACCTTGGGGGGCGCCAAGACCTTGTCGTCCGAGCAAAGTCCAGTGCATTCCGGCGGCCGGCGCTGTATTGCTCACCATCCGTGTGACGGGTCAGGCAAGACTGGAAGGGCACAAGCAGCCGGCCCATGAACAACACTATCGAACTGTCAAACTTACCTCCCGACGCCATCCCTGATCCCTGGATCCCTGCCGCCAGCTGGTCATCTGTCATCCCAGCCTGTTGTGCTCACACAACCTCCCCCAATCCTCATCCCAATGCACGTGCCAAGTACCCGCCTGAAATGGTCTTGCCAGTTGCAGCTGGCCGATCATGCATGTTCGCCGCAGGGTTGACTACACCCGCCTAACCCAGCGGGCATCAGCCGGAGGCAGCAACCGATCATGTCACACCGGTCGTCTGCCGCGCCGGGAGTTACGGGACGCGCGAGCCTACGCTGCCGCTTACTCTGATGGGTCATGCTGTTACTGCATAGCCTTCTGCAGGTTGTCGAATGGCCGCATGGTCCCCATCGTCAAGCTCAGTGATACAAGCTCTGTGATAACAACGGTCGGGGTGCCAGAATAGCAACATGGGCACTTATACTCATCCAACCGCTGCCCAACCCAGCTCAACATTGATAGCTCAAGCGTCCTGCACGACGCAACTCTACCTGGCGAGCGCGTGGGCCCAAACGTGCACTGCTTCGAACTTAACACCTTGCACTTTGTTTAAGCAACGAGATAACTTGGCTATTCCAGAGATCAATTGCCGCAGCTATGACAGCTCCCATCCTCACCTTCCCGCGGGCCATCTCATGCTCTGGCATGCCGAAATCGCCCCGGCACCCATCCTCGTGCACGCGCTCCGTCTGCACGTTCGCCGCGTCTGAGCTCAGCCAGCGTAGGGAATGGGCCGTGCGCAGCCCCGTGATTCCGACGTTCCGGGCTGCATCACCCTGAAAGATTACCTACGGCGGGTAGTTCCCCTCCTCGTAAACCCTCACCCGCTGCCCTTAGTCTTGTCAGCCGCTTGACATGTGTGCATGGGCAGATACAGCTGCACAATTCATCCCCAGACATCTCCAGACGCCCCCGACGTCACTGCATGGATTAGCTGCCCGCAGCTGGAGACTGGTGCCAAGTCGGGCTAAGCCATGAACCATGCAGGTTGGCCGCAACAAGGTTTCCTAAGTTTCGTGTTCCGAAACAACTTCGGGAGGATGCTGACATGGGCTCGGCGTAGACGCGCCGAGGAGGTGATAGCAAACACGGAGCATACGGAGCCCGCTAGGGTCTCAGCTTTAAGCATGAAGCAAGCACTCGAGTGTCCCCATGCGCACTCCTCAGTCCATGCTACTCGACGACTGGGTATAAGAAGTGCGGGCTGTGGATCCCTAGAATCCCCAACCTCCCAAAAGCAGACACCATGAAGTTCGCCGCCGCCGCCGTCCTCCTCACCGGCCTCGTTGCCGCCAACCCTCTCCCCCAGCCCAGCACCATGCTCGGCCACATGATCATGCGCCGCGACACCGTCGACTACGCCGAGTTCGTCCCTGGTCCCTGCAAGGAGATCTGCCGCGTCAACAACGGCCTCTACACCGAGTGGGAGGCCAAGAACTGCAACAAGGAGGTCACCGACGATTGCAACAAGACCATGTGCAAGGTGAGTGCGAGTCGGGAGCTGCCGCCAGGGCGCCTGCGTCGATAATGAGCGGAGAAGAGCTGCGTGACAGGCAACGGAACGAAGCTTACACTCAGTACGTCGACTCCCAGCTCGAGTGTGCCGAGTGCCAGATGCGCAACTCGGGTGACGAGAACGTCGTCTCTGAGGACGACATCGACCAGTCCAAGGACGAGGCCCGCCGCCAGTGCCAGCAGCTCGGCTACCCTACCAAGCTCTAAGCGCGCCACGAGTGCACTGGCAGGCGCGACCTCTGAAGCATCTGCTGGCGACTCTCCTCAGCTGCAAAGTCGTTATTATCATAGAGTAACCGGGTCGATGCCATGCATGACACCCAATGTATCGCTACTCACCTCTCCTGGTTGCTTGTTGGTGTGAGGCTTTCGTCGGATTGGTGATGGCGACCACAGAGTTTGAGGTGAAACGTGCACAGGAACCGGTGCGGCGCCGTCACTCAGTGAGCCAACCGCACCTATTCAGCAACGGTGATAAGCATTGTAGTGAGCAACAGTGCGATATCGAGATGGCCTACATCTGCTCCATTGCTTAGACATTAACGGAGTGTAATACGCAGCCTGAAGGTCGCTCGTGATGATCACGAGCGCGTCGCGAATGCGCCGAGATTCGGAAGGCGGGTGCCTGCATTTGACCAGCCGCACGGAGATCGCCATCAGGCACTTGCTGCTGCGCCGGCGGCCTTAGACGATGACGAGGAAACCCTAGTGCCAGATGTTCTCTTCGCTACAGCGTCAGCTATTGTAGTGGCAGCAGTCCAGGATAGTGGGTCAGGAGGTAATGAGAACTACTCTGTGTGTCTATGGTCTCTCGCATCATCGGCTGACTAACGGTGACTGGCGTCGCTGGGGACTACCCGCCCGCATTGTCCGCAGCAGCTTCGAACAGTGTCTCGGCAATGAGCCCGGCCTAGAAGACAACCACCATGCCCATCAATTGCAAGCAGGTTGGCAAAGGTTGTGATGGCGAGGCGGTGAAGCGGTGGTATCATCGCTTTCGTTCGGAATTCCAGACACCATGTCACTGGACCGGGAGAAGACCGGCACCTTGGGCTGCTCTGCTCTGATTTTGGAACGCAGAAAATAGGCCCCCGCGAGGGGGGCGCAAATGAATGATGATGGCCTCTTGAGTTTGGCGTGGATTATGCTGTGCTCATTCTGACTTGGCACTTGCTGCCACCACCTCGTCGCCAGGACGACATAAGCGCAGTCGATTTCGCCCCTACCACTCTTCGGAGGCAGTACGACACTGCACGAGGACAAGCATAAGTGATTGTCTCCGAGACACTCATCAAGCAGTAGAGCGCAGTAGTTGAGACCGAGCTGGCTGAAGTTGAGTGCACGAAACGTAGTCACTTCCCCCTAACGACGGGCGATTGAGACGTCATGCCGTGCGTCATGACTAGCCACAATCCAACATGCTCCTGCCAGCCAACCATCGTAGGTTCAGCGGGACGAGCATGTCGCCCACTAGTGACACGTGCGGTCTCGAGAACCACCCCGTGCATGCAGCGTGTTCCCTCACTTACTGCATTATGCACCCCGGAATCATCCTCTTTCGTAAGCATGCATGCGTGCATATGTATCGAGAGGATACTGGCGGCATTGGGCTGAGAAGGTGGCTGTCGGTATGACGCCCATCGTGTTCATCTTGCTGTCCAGTGACCCGAGAACCCATCGAAGGTCTGTCTAGCCATCGAAGGCGGACCCGATAGCCAAGAACACGATCGAGCACTTCGCAACGCCTCTGTGCTGATGTTTTTGGGAATCACCTCGTCACTGACGCACAAGCATTCTGACCCCGATGGAAGGAAGTGACGAGAGGCGGAAGCTGCTGGCTGGACATGCCTGGAATGCAACGACCCAAGACCCGACATCGTCTGGCGCCCGGCGCAGCTCATTCCCAAGGAGACCGATGGCGAGACGAGTCAAGCCGCCGAACTTCTCTCAACGAGAACACGAGAACACTGACGCACATCCTCACGCCTACGGCATCTCACAAGAAACCATGTCAGCAGGGTATAAAAGCCACCTTTCCCTCCGTGTTCAGAGCTCCTCAAGCCCAATCCAGCTAGACAGACCCTAGACCGGACCCCAATCAGCCATGAAGTTCACCGCCGCTCTCCTCTTCGCTGCCACTGCCGCGCTGGCGCTCGAGTCTCGCCAGGTCGACGAGCAGAAGCTCGAGTCGCTCTCCTTCATCGACCCCAAGTGCCGTGACGGCTGCGGCGTCATCCGCGACGTCTACCACGACGCTACCAACCTGCACTGCAACGCCGAGAAGCCCTCGGACGACTGCCTCAGGACCATGTGCGGTGTAAGTGTCCAGTTTGAGTGAAGCGTGAGCGAGGGCGTGAGGAAAGTCGATCGGCCGCCCAGTATTGCCGGTGGGTGATGAAGTCTCGCTGACGCCCAGCACGTCGAGTCCGTCATCAAGTGCGCTGAGTGCCAGCTCCGCACCGGCCCCTTCAAGGACAAGTTCTCCGACGACCAGATCAACAAGGCCAAGCAGGACTCGGTTGACTACTGCAAGGCCAAGGGCTTCGACGCCTAAGTTACCACTGCCTGGTAGCGTCTCCGCCTGGCTCGACGCACACGACGTGCTGGGCAGATGACACTGTATAACATCTGTACTGGCTCTGACTGTATCAGTACTCCGCTTCCTTGTTGAGAAATGTTAACTTTGTTTACTTGGTACACCTTTCTGATGCTGTGCTGCGGCGCTGCTTAGTATGGGGAGTCAGTGTGGTTAGCGTATGGCAAACTGAGAAGTCATAGTCGAAGAGGCGCAGTGCCGACAATCCCCCCGGCTCAGAGGGCTTGGAGGGCTCACCTGATATTATCGAGAGATACTACATGCAAGAGACACCAAGGACTATCGGGGCATCCACTTCCACAGCGTGCCCGCTGCTCGCTTCTCAGCCCTCTTCTCCCTCCATCCCCCGGCATACTTCTCAGCAATGAAAGCGAGGGGAAAGCCCGCGAGACAAATGCCCGAGAAGAGCACAAATGTCCAGCCGGCCCCAAGGCGTCCGTACACGATCTGGATAACGGCTGATCCGACTGCTCCAAAAGCGCACCTCACAAGGTTCAGACTGGCGCTCACTGCGCCTCCTTTACCGGGCAGGACGTCTTGGCCGTAGATTGTCGCCATGGAGGTCGTGCCGGTGCCGAAACCGACGAAGAACTGCATGACCAGGACCGCGGCCAGGTGCGCTTTCGCCTGCAGACACCAACCCAGGCCGATGCAGGCCACAATGAACAGGAGCGCGAACGGGTACATGCACCAGAGGCGCGTGCGTTCGAGCCTGAAGGTCGTGGGGCATTTCCGGAAGTCGCCGCCGACACGGGCTTCTTCTCGCCGGTAGACGCGGTCGAGCAGCTGGCCGTTCACGAGCGCTGAGGCGATCGTGCCCGCCCCGCCGGGCAGGTAGCACAGTCCAATGTGCAGCTCGGACAGGCCGTAGTTATCCTTCAAAGCTGTCGAGAAGACGACGAGGACACACTGTGTCGCGTCAGCGATGCCGACAGGAATTGAGCGGGCGAAAAGCACTCACGTAGAACTCGAGATACGGCAATGACACAAAGACGAACACGAGCAGCACCTCTGGTACAAGCAGGCACTGGAATGCAGTGAGGGGGTTGTACTTCTTCCTCGGGGCACGTGTCGCTAGCTCCTGCTCTACTTCCTCCTCGACCTCGGCCCCTTCGCCCGCGTCTATCTCCGCCCTGGCCTTCTTCTTCCGTTGGTGCTCTTGCCAGATGGCGATGGGCGAGGAGCAGATAGTTGGCGGTGGCAGACTGCCGTCGCCCACCAACGAGCGCAGCGTCTCGGGGTACAGGAAGAGAAAGGGGAGCATGACGCAGCATGTCGCGATGGTCAGGAACCAGAAGATGGAACGCCAGCCTAGTGTCTGGGCGAGGATACCGCCGAGGAGGGGACCAAAGGAGGGGCCGAGCATGGCCGACGACTTCCTGTCAGCAATTACCCTCTCCGTCGACATACCTGAAAAACAGCCATGTACTTGCCCTTCTCCCTTGGCAGGGCCACATCGCTGATCGCGCCAGCACCGATGGAGACCACGCCGCTACCGCCAGTCGCCTGCACCGCTCTCAGGAAGAGTAGCAACCAGTACTCGCTCGTGGGACACAGGGCCAATCCAATGTTGGCACCAATGTAAATCGCCATAACGAGGAGGAAGATCGGCCGGCGGCCGAACGTGTCACTCGCGCTGCCGAAGAAACTCGGCGTCACGGCCTGAAACACGAGATACGTCGTCACGGCCAGTGAGATGTCCTGCTCGGATCTGTGGAAGGCGGATGCGAGCGCCGGGATCGCGGGGACGAAGATGTTGCTCTGCACGTTAGCGCCCTCGTAGACGGTGCGCAGAGTCGGGAAGACGAGTGCTTGCCTCGCTCGCACTTACACTGATAGGGCTGAAGACGGCCGCGACGCCCCCAAGGCCGGCAATGAGCCACTTGGTCCTCTTGGGGAAGGCAGAGTACGGCCGCCCGCTGCCGCCAGTCACGGTACGTGCGAGCTGCGCCTCGGCCTGTCCTCCGTCCTGTCGGGCCTTCTCATCGCGGATCACGGGCTCTTCGGAGTGGTATGCGGCATCCGGTTCTGGCTCCCTTGCACTCTCATCTTCTTGAGGAGCAGGAGGAGCCGGGGAAAGCTTCTCAGTCGACCCATGCTTGCGCGTGTCGGTTGAATCTTGACTATGCGCGGTCGCGAACGAGGTTGTCGTCCCGACTGTGTCGACCCTGTCGAATGTCGCTGTCACCTCTGTGTCTCCTTTGTGTATCGGAGACTGTGGAGACGGCGCAGTCATGTCTCGTCGCGTGAGTGTCTCCGACGTATGCGCTGCGGCATCGGAATTCGTAGTTTGTGGTGGAGAGGAATGCATTGAGTGTTGCAATCATGGCGAGCTGGGTGGTTATATCCACCCGTGTAACAGCAGACCCGCAAAGAGTCGAGAGGCGTCGGCAATCTCCGCGATTGGGCGTCAGCCTGACGTTATCGCCATGTGCTTGCTTTGTCGGGCCGAAAACGCCGTGGATCGCCTACGCACGACTTCCCAGTGCAACCTGATGCGAGGAACGGGACCAGTCACATGCTCACACACCCCTGTCACTGGGATGGTGAACTGCAGAATTTTGTGTCCCGCTCCCCACTTGCAAAAGTTGAGGAACGTCTTATGTGGGCACTTGGGGACAGGAGGGGCGAGGTTTCTATTTCCGGACTCTCACCGGACAGGCACTGCCATGTGCTACTCTGCAATCTCTGACTGGCATTCAGCGGTCTTATCGGATCAAAGAGCGCTGAAGAGGAACGGTAGAGTGTGCAGAGCTCTCGGCGGGGTGCACGCCGAATCCCGGTTGCATCTTACTGACAACTCTGAAGGTGATCGTGTGAGTCGGCGCGCTCTAGTACTATCTCATCCCTATGATCTGCATACCGCGACTAGTCTATCGCGTGAAGCAGGCTTTGACAGACACCCTTGGGGCGCTTTCGCTCTGGCCAGTCCACTTGTAGAGCCCTCCAATGGAGGACGACAGTCAACTTACGGGAAGAGATCCTCACTGCTAAAAGTAATAGGAAGTGCCATCATGCCATCAAACCAACACAGAGGTATACCGTTCCAGGTTCGCGTCAGCTCCGGTTCTCACATGGACAACATTCGAGAATGGAGAGGGGGAATAGATCAGGAGAAAGAAGACTTAAATATTATTTTTGGACGTCATGTCTTTGCGATCCAACGGGGTTTGTTCATCCTTCGCGACTGCACCGCACGGCCACGGAGTGACTCGCATGGTGGGAGTAGACGAATGGGAAGGGTGACTCACGTATGAAAAGGCGGACCGCAAGGAGGCTCGAGGTGTAAGCGAGCTCGGGCAACCAGCAAGCCACCCCCACACAGCAGCTGCCGATATGCCGAGATTGGCGCTGGATGGTGGGTTTGATGGGCCCGAGCAGCAATCCATCGACATCCACTCCAGCACTGACCCGGGCATGTCGACAGTCCTTTGACGAAGTTGTGACCTGCTGATGCTCGTCGACGAGCTCTCCAGCGACGCCGAGAACATCAGGCAGCAGGCGACGGCAGCGAGGCCAGCCTGCCCATCCGCATCAGCGAACGGGCCTGTCACTGGCCCCATCAGCCTGCCAACAAGCCACCCTAGCCACAAGCATCGTGGATGTCAGCACCGTCGAGGGTTGATGGACAGAAGAGTGATAAAGAGAAAAGGAGTTACGCAGCAACTGAAAAGGGGCCCTGGACGAACTGCGGTGTTTCACGGACCACGTCTCAGCATTCCCACGACTGCTCCTCCTGTGTCTGCGTCAGTCGTGAGAGACTGGCTGTCGGCGTCTCAACTCCGATCACAAGTCCGTCAGCCAGTTGAACTCCCTCATCAGCAGTCCCAGGCCGAAGCGAGTCTCATACCGAGTCTCATGACTTCTGCATACCTGCATTTCTTCTCGTTCTTCTGATGCTAACTTCTAACCAACTAAGAAGTTTACTCTAGATCTTGCCCCTCTCCACAAACCTGGCGGGCAAGTCGACGTACCTCGCGCGAATAAACTCAGCCACGCCCTTGGCGAGGCTGTCCATGCGCACCGTGGAGCTGACGCCCTTGCCGAGATAGTCGTGAATGACAAAATGCACAGCCAGCATGCCGGGGAACTCAACTCTCTCAACACGGTACCCGTCATACTCCTTTCCGAGGAGCTTGATCAGCCCTTGCTTCGAGAGCAGCGCTTTGAGCCAGGGATACTCGTCCTCGTGGCGCACGAAGAGACCCACGTTGGCGTTTCCGCCCTTATCGCCGCTGCGGGCGTGGACGATCCACCCCAGCGGGCCCTCGACGGTCGCGCCTTGCTCGAGGGAGGCACAGGGCTCAGTGCTGTCGTAGTCCTCACTGATGACGCGCGGGGCGGTGTGGTCGGGCGGGCTGGCCGTGATCTTCTCCTCGCTCCCGACAAAGCGCACTTCGAGGGGGAGGTGGCACTGTCGTACCCTTCCGGGCCAATACTCCATGAAGGGGGTGGGCACGGCGGTCCTCAAGTCAAGCTGCCACTGGAAGCCGGGGTAATGCCCTAGCCCCTCCGGATTCACGAAGGGCCAGAGACTCTGCGTCGGCCCGAACGCGTCGAGCTCCCGGCTCTGCGCAAGGATACGCATCATGGCCGTGCCCTGGGCTTCTGTCTCTGGATTTGTCGCCGCGACGCCATACTGCGTCATATCGAACACGCTGAACTTGGCGAGCTCCTTCCCAAAGTATCGCCGGATCTGCTCGCGATGCGCGGCAAACTTGGCCTCCACGTCCAGACCCGTTGCGAAGATCATCGCCTCGGCTTGATACCCCGCCACGGCGCAGATGGCCGCCTTGGTCGTATCGGGCGGCGGAAGGCCCTTCACCCCCGTGACCCTCACGCGGTCGTTTCCGAGATCCGTCACGACAATGTCGCGGATGTCCGCCGTCACGTCCGGGTTCAGGTATATGTTGCCCTGGATCTCGTACAGGATCTGGCTCCTCACTGTATTCGCGTTGACGACGCCGTTCGTGCCCGGCTGCTTGGTCACGAGGAACGTGCCGTCGCGCGCAATCTCGGCTATGCCCATCGTCAAGTCGTGGTACGGGCCAATGTTGAGGAAGCCGGAGCTGTTGCCGCCAGTCACATACCCGCCACACTCGAGGCAGTGCCCTGCCAGCAGCGCGCCAGCAAGGGGGCCGTACTCGTCCCAGCGCCAACCATGGTGCCACGCCGCAGCGGCAATGAGCGGAGACGCATCCGTGCACCGGCCAGAGATGACCATGTCCGCGCCGGCTTTGAGGGCCTCGTAGATCCCCCGCGCGCCGACGTAGGCATTCGCGCTGGCGGGCTTCAAGCCCCAATCCCTCAACTTGCGCTCCGTGTCTTCGAGATGGTGGAAGTCCTCCCCGGCCTCGGCGAGAGAGTCGAGGCGCGACATCAGGTCGTCCCCCTCCACATAGGCTATTTTCATTCCCTCGATGCCCAGTTCGGCGAAGAGGCGGGACACGGCCTCGGCACACCCGCGCGGGTTCAGCGCGCCCGCATTTGTGAGGATCTTGGGACGGTACGTCTTGATCTCGTCTGCCGCCAGACGCACGTGCTGCAGGAACGGCTGTTCGTACCCCAGCGACGGGTCGCGGGTGCGCTGGAGGTGGTTCCGGACCAGGCCCTGGTGGTCAGTTGGGTCGCAAGGGAGGAGACACTAACCATCTCGGCGAGGTAGTCGCCAAACAGCACTGGCGCCTGGCTCGCCTGCTGCTTCAGTGCGCGCCAGTTGTCGCCCGTGAAGCCCGAAAAGGCGGCGATGCGGAAGACATCCTGGCTCTGGTCGCCTGATGGCATGTTGCGTGCTGTGCAGACGTTCGAGAGAAGGGATGAGTGTAGGCCGGTCAAAGTGGGCAGATACTATCGCAATGTATTACATAGGTTGGGGGCTGGGATATATACTCAAGAGCTAAGACTGAGGGTGGAGAAGTTGGGAACACCCGGCATTCACACAAGCCGAGTGGCCGACCCCATGACGAGAGACTTGTCCGAGGCATGTCGCGACGGGCATCTCCGATGCGTGTGCTAGGCACGGGGATCTTGGCGCATCTAAAGGTCGACAACAGTGCTGAGGACTCCCTTGCTCGCAAAGCCAGACGCGTACAGCTTGGCCTGCTTCTTGCCTCCGTTCGTCTTCGGGTCGATCGCGACGAGGACAGCGGCCGAGGCCGAGTTGAGCTTGCTCCCGTCGTCGGCGAAGAGGCGCGTCGTGTTCCACTCCTTTGCCGGCGCGCCAGGCGTGCCCTTGGAGAGGTACACGACGGACGCAATGTCGCCGTCCTCCTGTAGCGTCTTGGCCATCGTGATCGCGTGCTGCAGACCGGCGTTGACGGCTCCCGACGCATCGTGGCTGACCTCGGGATAAGGGTCGGCGAACCAGAAGGGGTTGTCGATGGTGCTCGGCAGCTGGATCTCGCCAGGCAGGAGCTGGAGCTGGTCGTCCTCCCCGATCTTGGCAAAGTACATCGCACCGCCGGCCGCGTCGTTGATGATCACCGTGCCGTCGGGACCGTGCCCGAGGCCATTGTTGTTGTGCAGCTTGTGCTCGAGCGCGAGCTTGTAGTTGACGCCGACGTCGTCGGTGTAGTCGAGGTCCGCGTCGCAGTGCGCAATGCTCGACCAGGCAGCGACCTGGCGCGTGCCCAGGTCCTCCACAAGACGCATCGGGCCGTCACGGTAGTGGTGGTCGTTGGTGACGAAGAACTCGGAGGGGGAGACGGAGAAGATGTCGTTCGGAGTCGTAATCACCGGAACGGCGACGGTGCGCACCCACTGAGCAGAGCCAGAGCCGAGGACGTAGTGGAAGATCTCGACGCGGGAGGCAGCAGCGGGACCCTCCGGGTCGGTGTTCGGTGCGTGGTTCACGGCGTGGATGAATACGGCAGCCTTGTTGTGGGGGTCGGCGACGACATCGATGCCGTGCGTCGTGAAGGCGCGGTTGCCGAAACCCTCAATCTTGAGCGGGATGGCAGTGTCGGTCTGCAGTCAGCTCACGTCTCTTATGCCGGCAGCTCTGTCCATCACTGGGAGCGCCGCTGCTCGCTGGCACTTGCAGGCGTGACTCACCTCGGGGTCGATGATCCTCAGGTTACCGTAGATGGCCTGGCTGGGGTCCTTGAAGTTGTGGAGGGCGGGGAACCATCCCTTGCGCGTCCCGTCCTTCTCCTGGCACGCAGCAAAGATGAGGCCCTGGTGAACATGCAGGTCCTCGCAGTTGATCGTGTCGGGAATGATCTTGACCTCGTTCGCGGAGGGGTGGAAGTTGGTCTCAGTCCCGAGGGCGAGACGGACGGCGCCGAGGGTCTTGCCGCGGTGGAAGGCCGACTGGGCGAGGTAGGAGATGATGGCGAAGAGGCCGGCGCGGGCGAGCTGGGCGGCCATTTCGTAAAAGGAATGTGGTGGAGTTGGAAAGGAAGCAGGAGAGTTGTTGTTGTTATTGAAGATTGGGCTTCTGAACGACGTGGCGTCGAAATGAGGCTACGGTTAGGAGATTTCGTCGGGATCGAGATGTAACCGGAGGGGTTCAGAAGTCGTCGTCGCGTACGTCGTCGCGTGCACGTCAATTCAGGCGGGAAGCGCGTTGTCTAGCTTTCGTTTGAATACGATCTTCATGCATAGCCGCAAGGTGACTCTGCATTGCAGTGCCCGCAGCACACAGCGCGCAGCCACCCCAGCATCTGGGCCTTTTGTTTTGACATCGCGTTCTTGCCCCAACGCAGATCGCCGACTCCGGAACCTAATCGCACCCATTTCCGACTTCCTCTGGTTTGTCGATCCCCGATCGTGCCGCTGTACCCTTCTGCCCGAACACGCTCAGAACCGTGCTGCGCTACAATTTGGATTCACTTCTGCATTGTCTTCTGCTTATGGGTATCTTGTCCTAACTACCTTAACTACGGGTCTACGTTTTCTTCTCGCCCAGATGCACGAGCTCAGCCGCTCGTTCGCCTCAGCCGCTCGCTCGCGCTCGCGCTCGCGGCCGCTTAGAGCTTGGCCGCTCCCTCGCGCCTCTTGACGATGACCTTGCTCTCGGGCCTGGGGTCGAAGACAAGCTCGTTGACGGGATTCGTCGCCGCGCGGCGGAAGATGTCCTCGTACACGCGGCCGTCCTCGCGTCCGAGACTCGAGTTGAGGACGAGATCACTGAACGCCCACCCGTCGACGAGGTTGACGGCGTTGGGGCGCACCCTGGCGAGCGCGTCGGCGATGGCCTTTTGGCGCTGGATGCCCGAGCCGAGCTGCGCGGGGAGCGCGCCGGCGTCGGCGAATTCGGACGCGGAGGCGTCCAGCGTGACCAGGGCGTGGAGGCGGAAGAGGTCGCCGAGCGCCTGGGCCGTAGGGGCGGGCAGCTGGGCAGCGAGTTTGGGAAGCGCACGCGCAAACGCAGAGACGATGACGTACTGCGCGTAAGCGGTTGAGAGGCGCCAGCCGGGGACGAGGAGGGCGTTCTTGCTCCACCCGTCCTTGGCGAGTTGCTGCTGCTGGGTCGTGAGGAAGGCGACACGGCGCGCAAACGCGGCAACGAGGTCGTCATTGGAGATACCGCCCTTGGCGTTCTTCGCCTCCTGGAAGAGGGGCACGCCGAGCTTGGCCGCCTTGAGGATACTGCGGGAGACTTGCTTCGTGAGCATGTAGTTGTCGCCCTCGTACGTGACACTGGGCAGCATGTCGGCGTACAAGTGTCCGATGCCCGAGTACTGCGCGTAGCCGTGTCCGCCACATGCGCGACGGCACGTCTCGATGCCCTCGACGGAGATGGTGGTGCCGTGGCTCTTGAGCGCACAGGACTGCACGTGCAGCTCGGCGAGGAGGGCCTCGGCCTGCTGCGTCTTGCCCGCGGAGAGGAGCTTGTCGTAGTTGGCGTACAGGTCCTTGAGTTCCTGGCACGCGAAATAGAGCGCATAAGAAGTCGCGATGAGGGGGAGGAGACGCTGCTGCACAAGGCTGTAGTTGAGCACAGCCGTCTCGCCGTCCTTGGGCTTGTCCTCGTCCGCGAACTGCTTCCGGATCGCAGCGTAGCGGATCGCAATGGCGCACGCGCGCGCGAGCGTAGTCGCCGCGTCGGCAGCAATGCCGACGCGGAGGTACGTCATGCCGCCGTACACGA